TAATAAATCAATCTGCCTCGTGTATATAAAAGCAATCTAGACCAACCCGTTCACCCTTAGTCCAACAGCCTAAATATGTTAGAACGTGTTACAAACAGGGTAGGATCCGGATACAACCTCTGTTTCCACTGCCTATGCATTCTTCGCATGGGACAGGCAAGTTGTTCTTCTTCAGCTGCTTATTCATAAGTGTCCAATTGAACTAATACGTTCAGAACATGTTAGGACAATGTTTAGAATAGGTTACGCACCTCTCCCTTGTTCTTGCCACTCTTGAAATATATCGGTCGGAAGGTGACATTGGTAGCAGGAGCTGGTTCTGAACTTGCTCGGGACCCGTTCGGAACATTGTTAGTTGTCGGCATTGGCGGATTTGGCACGGTGTTGCTCGACGTAGATGCAGTTACGAACGTATTTTGAACATGTTGTGGCTTGGCTGCTTTGTGGGTCTTCATGATATCTCGAAAGTAACCTATAATGATGAGAACGTGTTTAGAACGAGTTCCGAACCTCGTACAAATTGCTTCGGTCTGCTTCTGAATCGACGGCGCTCCGCCTTTCGTGTTCGTCGCGGACGCAACCTTCAACTTGTGCTTCTTGAGATGCGTGCGTAGTGCCCCTGTTTCAGCGAACCGTTTCTAAACATGATTCGAACATGATTAGAACATGATACCTGTCAGGGTACGAAGAATGAGGCAAAACTCTGTGATTCGTGATATACTAGAATCAATCTACAAAGGGGGAAGAAGGATCTAAAATACAATCCGCTGTGTGAGGGAGTGATAAGTAGGCCTTGGGGGTGAACATAACACATCGTAAGGCCACAAGGCACCCACACCCCCAGGCATCAAACTGAATTCAGTCTTCGTTCCTTCACAATACCAACTAGTACTAAATATATCTTACCCCACACACTCCGTCGTCCCCGTCGTTTGCGCGGCAAAAAATTTCTCCCATCACCACCACCACGTCGTCATCCTAACACGTTCAGAACCGGTTACGCTCATGTTCATAATAGGAGGAAAATTTCCACCTCGTCGTATGCGGTGAGACCCAGAGGGGCCTCACATAATTCCAGGTACTCCTGGTATAGCTTCTAATATGACATTAGCATAATCTAAACACGTTTTAAACACGTTTTAAACACGATATACTCACATTGTTTTTCAATGTCGATGCCATGGTTGTTGATCAATCTAGTGAAAAGGTGGGGAGAGTAAATTTGAAGTCGGTGGAACTATTTGTGGGTGTGCCGAGGTTTACCCGACTCATCCGAAGTTTTCCCTACCTCAGGTGAGCTGCATCCTGGACAACAAGGACAACAACAGTCGCAAGTCGAGTTCAACAGCTTGGGATTACTGTCACAGTTTCACCATCGACAACGACACGACCGGGAATAAGGCGGCAACACAGTTTGCCGAACGATACCTGCTTCCCTTCCTCCACGAGGACCTGCAGCGACTGGCCGACATGGTGCGCCAGATACCCGACTACCCGCGCCAAGGCATCGAGTTCTGTCACGTGCTCGGCATCGAGTTCTGTCACGTGCTCGGCATCTCCCAGAAGCCCGGTGGGCTGGCCCTGTGTACGTCGCTGCTGAAAACCCACTTCGCCGGTGACTGGGCCAAAGTCGATGCGGTGGTGTGTTGCGAGGCCGGCGGGTTTGTCTATGCGTCGGCGTTGGCCTCGTGGGTCAATGTGCCATTGGTGCTGACTCGGGACGCTGGCAAGCTCCCTCCACCCACCGTGTCGGTTATCAAGCTCTCATCGCATATCTCTTCTTTGGAATCCAACGATTCGACGGAGAAGCGGATCGAAATGGAACGGGATGTCCTACCCAGGGGGGGTTTCGTGGTAGTGGTGGACGATGTACTCTCCACCGGGAAGACGCTCTGTGCGGTGTTACAGCTTCTGGATAAAGATGGAATCGGCTCCGATGATGTCAGCATAATGACCGTGGCCGAGTTTCCGGTTCACCGTGGCCGGGAACTATTGCGCCGGCGTGGGTTTGGCAGAATCAATATTCAAAGCCTTTTAGTCTTTGGCGGTGCTTAGCAAAGGACGGAAAAGATCTTAGAGAGAGAGAGAGAGATTCATACGCCCGCCAGGCCTCTCTGCGAGGCCCATGTGGGGAACTAGCTAGGATGACTAATTACATGATGGTTGCCTTGTGTCCTTATGGCCTTGTCAATATATTTCTTTCCTGCCGCTTTCCATTTTCCGCGTCTGTTAAACAAAGGAGAGTATTACAAGGGTAGTGTATGAAAACGGTCCATTTCCTGGACGTTTCTGTCTTTCTAGGTTGTGTTCTAGAGTGACGCTGCTCTTACTCGGGCACAGCGTCGGGTCAGAGGGTGGAGACCGTGTAGTTAGTAGAATAGAAAGTTAGTTAGAGAGGAAAGGGGTAGCTAAGCCCCCGGGTCTAGTCTTCCTGTATCTTTAACAAACTGTATCATCGCCATCACTGCTTTTAGGTCTAGAGACCACCGCTTGATCGGTCCGTCTTTGGCCTCGGATTCGTATGCGCCGACGAGATACGCCAAGTCTCCTACTCGGGGTCCAGCTATTGTCCTTATCTGCCGCCTCTGAGATTCCCATATCGGGCATTCAAGGATAAAGTGACGGACGGTCTCAGTTACTCCGCACTCGCAGGCGCTGCTTTCGGCCATCGTGATCCTGTGGAGATAGCCGTTAAGGCGGCTGTAACCTGATCGGACTTGGACGAGGAGCGCCGCTTGGACTCTTGTTAGGTTATCGTAAAGTTTCCTTATATGTCTGCCTGGGAGTGCGTTGTCGAGTGTCTTTCCGAAGCGCCCTGTCTTCCCGGCCAGGAAAGCCGTGCGTTTCGCTCCCTGCTGTCTTCGCCCTTGCCGGATTAGGTGTCGAAGTACTTCAGTGTACCCCTCCGGCTGCGATCCCGCAGAGGTAGCGGATTGGGCAAGGGAGTGTGCCTCTTCATTGCCGGGGACGCCCTTATGTGCCGGCACCCAATGGAAGGTGAACGTGAATCCCTTTTCCTTTGTCTCTGCAAGTTTCCGGAAGATCTCTTGGAGGGTTCTACTCCTTTTCTACTATGGCGTCTTGATCGTGTCGAGGGCTCTTTTACAGTCCGATAAGATATAACAGTGGTCGAGGCCGAGGCCTAGCGCGGGGATATTAACGGCTGCTTCCGAGATGGCTTCCGAGATGGCGGTCAGTTCTGCATAAAGGGCATCGACGCCTGGTGTTAGTCCTATTGTGCGAGCTTTACGGAGACGTGGGATATTCGGGGCATAGATCCCGATACCCGCCAGGCCGTTCCGATATGATCCATCGGTGAAAATGGTTCTAAGGCCGAGCTGGGTGACCTTCCCGATTGCAATCGTCTCCTCGTTGATTACAACGCAAGGTGGATCTTGCCATGGCGGCTTAACAAACGCCTCTACCTTCTCGAGCGTATCTAGCTTGACGTGTTGGAAGATCTCCGCTGTAGCTTCTAGAGGTGACCTATGCCTTTCAGTTTTGTGTAGGCGTCGGATAAGTCGCCAGCTATAGTGGTTCGGTGGTTTCGTATGCATCTTAATCCAGTGTTTCCTCGTTAGTTCGTAGAGCCTATCCTGGACTGATTCGATCCCGGCCTCGCCAGTTACCACGTCGTACGCCGCGGACCTGAAGATGGCCGTGATTGCGCTCGCCCCCAGTTTGGTGGCCCTCTCGATATGACGGGCTACTGTCCCTGCGGAGCCTGGGAACCAGATCGGAGCACCATAGTCGGTGGTTGGCGCGACCGTCGCTGTAAATATCTGCCTGTGTGACAGTCTTGGGCTTCGCCCAGTCTGTGTGTTGTGGCCTTGCGGCCTAAGGCAGAAGGGATGGGTAGACCGTTTGCCCACAGATGTAAATAGCAGATCGCAGTGAGAGAGACCTTCTCCTTCTCTCTTTAGCAATTCAACAGCGTTACCAGCTGACCAAATCCTTCGTGGTTTGGGCCCACGACAGGAACTAGCCATTACTTCAAGATTCTGAACTTCCAAGCTTCAATATCAAACATGCTCCGCTTATTGACTTATAGCTCTCCAGTTTCTATAACTAGATCAAAGACACCTCGGTCCATCGTAAAACTCCGTTCCCAATTGCCTTAACAACCTGGGCTCCAGGATTAATGTAACCAAGACTCCCAGCGCCGAGTAGATCTTGTTAACAGAAGTATGCTACACGCGCCGCGCCAATAATAACGAAGTGACAGCCTGTTGGCCGAATTATAAATAGAACGCTGGCGCCAGCAAGGAACTAGAGTTCGTCTTCCTTATAAAGGGCAACCCTTAAGGACGAACCTAGCGGCTCAATAGCATATTTGGACCTAGATGAGACGGTTTGATCGCAGAAGTTACGAGAACCACTTTCATTTATTGCAAAGCTAAAGAAGAAGAGCTATCTACGACGCGTGCGCAATGTCCAAGACTTCGACAGTTGACTTAGTCACGTGACTATCATTCAGGAGACAGGCCACAGGCCTGGAACCATAACAGGCGAAGCCAGCGCTCGATCTTCTCGGTACGAAGGTCGGCCTGGATAGAATCAGTGGCTATTTTCGCTACACCTATGGTCTACTGCATACTATCGATTTTTTATTCAACTAAGGCAGGTCAGAATATGTTCGACGTGATATTATTACTCCGCCTTATTTATTCGCCAGGCCAGGGCCCTGTCGGAGGATATGGATTACTAACCTGATTGAAGCATTTCCAGCGCTTTCTTGGTCTCCTGGACCTCCGCGACCGGCACGTACGCCAGGAGCTCCTTAGTATACGCAGCGGCGGTGGCCGAGGCGTAACGTTGCCATCGATCGTTCTTGTGGGAATCGGCGTAGTCGCAGATCCCTCGGATCACAAGACAGGGAAAGTGGTTCATCAGGCCGGCTGCTTCCATCTCAAAGCAGATGCAATCCTCGCCGACGTCGGCAATAATCCGATCGCGCGCAGCGGCGTCTTTGACCAGCGTGTTGCCGGATACGATAGTCCCGTAGTGGATATCGGGGTCGGTGGTGTCTCGAGGATCGCGTTGAACGTCGCCAGCCGCGTCGCAGCCCCGACAGTCCGACCCGGAGACGTGGCCACTAGAAGCTTTGAAGAGGCGGTCTTTGTCGAAGCCCTGGTGAGTATAGCCAGGACTTGTCTTGGATCTCTTGCCCATCTTCGGGTATTTCTCTAACATCTGTTGAAGGAAGTAGGGAACTTTGGAGTCTTTCCGCTCGTGATCGGCCTGGATGCTGGCAAGCGCGTTGAGGAGAACCGTCGGAGGCCGTCCGAGGAAGCCTTTGCGCTCACGCCTGTTACCAGGCTTTGCCTTAATCAAGTCGTACTGGCAGACGCCGCCTGCAGTCCCATCGGGCTGGCTCACGACAATGTCGCCGAGCCGGATATCGCGGTCATCGTCCGGTCGTGCGATGCCACCGCCTATGCCGACCAGAAGACCAACACGGATGGATGGCAGAGAGGCAAGCAGGCTCGAGGCCGTGGACGCAGCCGAGGTGGTTCCATAGTCTCCGGCGGCAAGGGAGACGATAACGATGTTGTGCTCTCCCATACGACCCCATGTATAACGGTTCGCGTCGATTTGGTGCCTAGTGAAGCCAGTTGGAGGAGCATGTTCCTCGTCAAACATTGCTTCTGCAGCGGCCCGCTCGATGGGAAGAGCTGCGATCCAGGCGACCGCATAGGAGTCGGGGCTGTCGAGAGAGTTGCGGGATGCCATGGTGTGGAGGGAAGCGCGCTAGGCCAGCAGATGGGCGGGTAGAATGACAGGTTGTGCGGTTCGCCTAGGTCAACGAAGAAGCTAGAGTTGAGTCGGACAAGGACGACGACCGTAACGGCAGAGAAAGGCCATTATAAGGCTGCGTTCGTTTTCCGGTCACTTCGCAGCTTGTTCTCCGCGACCTCAGCCTTGCGCTTTGCGACCTGACCAGGCGCTAATGCATGCGTCTGGCTGGTCGGTTGGACAGAACTACGGCTGTTGCCGATTAATGGCGTCGAATCACAAGTGACGAGGCGTTCTAGTCGGGATTGATCTCACTAATCTCATCAAGTCTCGTGATCCACGCAGAGGCGCTGGGACATTCACGATCGCGTGCAGTCACATTTTAACGCAGTCCTCTAATATGGCGCCGAACCACAGGACGAAACTAACTCTCGATCATATATTCAGTAACGGATATCGAGGACTGCTGGAATTTCCCGTATCAAATCGATCCGCATCAAAGTCAACCTCTACAAACTCTACTTTGTGTGACAGTCTTGGGCTTTGCCCAGTCTGTGTGTTGTGGCCTTGCGGCCTAAGGCAGAAGGGATGGGTAGACCGTTTGCCCACAGATGTAAATAGCAGATCGCAGTGAGAGAGACCTTCTCCTTCTCTCTTTAGCAATTCAACAGCGTTACCAGCTTACCAAATCCTTCGTGGTTTGGGCCCTTGACAAGAACAAGAGAATATTTATATCCAATAGCAGCGGCCTCACTCTTCGCGAGAAGGAATTCTTTTGCAGTTTGATGGATCAGATAGACCTTTCGATCCACTACAGTCACAAAGAGCCCGCAGAGGTGTCTCACCGACGCTTCAAACCTCGCTTCATCGTCAAGGTCAGGTTCAAGGTCGTCGAAGGAGCGATGGCGGTCTTCTATAGCTAGAGCGATGTTCATTTCTGTTAGTGTAAGAGGCCTGGTTGCTCCAACAACGATAGAGAGCAATTTCCGTGCTTGTGGTCGATCGTCCTCCTCGATTTTTGTAAGAATCGCTTCGTATGCTTCATCAACTGTGGACGGAAGGCCACTAATAACTGCCTTTAGTTTCCGACTTGTCGGTCGAATCATTTTGCGAATGATATCGAAAATGAGTGTTGACCAGAGGTATGTTCGGTGGCTCATGCTCAACAGCTCTGTTTCGAGATTTGACTGTTCTGAATTATTGAGTTTGAGCTCAGATCCGAGTTGAGATACTCTCCATTTGATGACTAGATCAATCTCATGACTGATTATATCTGATTCTTGCTCGCCGTGCAGCCGAATCGTAGGAAAGTTAGAAGTAAGATCGGTGAAGCGCCGTTCAATGCCTGGGTAAGGACGACTAGTGACACATATTTTGAGTCGAGATGCATTGTTTCCGGAGCTTGCTTGCTGGTAGAATGAACTGAGAGCGTTAATAATCTGATACTGCCCTCCTTCTGCGCATTCGTCGAGGGCATCCAAGACGCAAAAGACTTCCCCGGCATTCCGGTCAGCCACCGTCTTTATTAGAATACTCCAGAGTATATGAAATGATTGAGAAAGTTGATGTCCATTAGCGGCGAAATCCGGCATAGCGTGTTTGATAAGTGTTGGTTTCTGCCGAAAGAGCTGGTGGAGTAGTGCCGCAAGCGCTGCAACTGCACTTTTCTGTACGTCATTGTCATCTTTGAAAAAGAAGTAGCAAGTTGTGCCAGCGTCCGTGTTTTTGAAATCTTCGTCGAGAAGAGATTTAGAGAAAACTGATTTTCCGCATCCAGGATCCGCAGATATCCAAAGAAGACTTGAGGAGCTGCTGTCTTTCCAGTTTCGGAAATGGTCATGACGGAGAACCCACTGGCAGGTATCTCTAAGTCGGCTAGAGTTCCGGTCCTTGAACTGCTCGTAGTCGGAAGCTGAATTACGCAGGGCTTGCATACAGTTTAGTTCCTTGTCGTTCCATTTCACTTTGCAGATTAGTCCGCTAACCATAAAAACTTGCGGTTGAATTACCTCGCGTATCGTCTGAACCCTCTTCGATCTCTTTTCGAAGCCGTTGGAGTGCGTTTCTTTTCCCCTCGCCATAGATGACCGGTAGGTAGACGCCAAAGATTCCCATGAGGCAATATGCTTGATCCTCTTCCCTCTTGGTCTCTCGCTCTTTTGCCCATGACATTCGCTCATCGTTGCTGAATTGAGACAGATGTCCTTAAAGTGCGCCAATTGCAATCCCAGTAATCTCGTGAATTTGCTGTTCTAACGACTTTTTGTTACCAAGTCGCTTGCCATCTCGGGAGAAAAACTCGACTGATCGCGGAGCAAGAAGCTCCTGTAGTGTCCAGCCTCTGGTGAACCATCGACTCCGCCTAAACGCCGGTTCCCATGGGAGCTCAGAAGACCGGGTGTGCTTTCCTGTTGAAACGTCTGAGAGATACACATAGCATTTTGCTGCATCCCCGTACCAGCGAAACATCGAGTTAAGAGCCTCTGTGAGCTCGGCGCTACTTGACTTGTCGATGCAGCAGCTGTCCACCCAGAAATACTGAAGCCCATGTTTCTTTGCTTGCTCCTTACAAAACTCGATCTTTCTATAGCCTGTCTTGCTGGTTCCCACGGTATTCGTAATATCTTGGAATGTAACCTCCTGGTCATCCGCGTCCCAGGTGTGCGAAAGGATTGCATAGCTGGGAATACTGTCGCTGGGGAAGTGGGTCAGGCGGAAGCTGCCGCTGGGGCCACTGCTAAGCTGCCGCATAGCGAGGGTAGGTTTTAAAGAACCGAACGTAAGTCGCTAGGGGGATTGAGTTCTCTCAAGAATATCTTCAGCGAAAGGATATAATTACTGGTACTACGTGGGGGGATAGTGTGATGAAAAAGGGAAAACGCAGCTTCCACATTATTGGTTCTATTACCTGTTGGCATCGTCCACACAAGGACTGGTGTGAAGGTGCAAAAGAGCTCATGGCGCAGCGGATGGCGCAGTCTCACCCTGCAATGCACTAATACGAAATAGGATGCGTATCCCTTGCCAGGAGGACTGTATGTGTCGCAGGATGTCCCTGTTCGTTTCTACTACCACGCAATATTCCTTTCTCTGCCCATTACCCCTAGGCTAAGCCTATTTAGGACTGCTCACTCTTCTCCTATGTATTTGCCTATTGTAAGAGTCTCACTGTCGGGAATCTCCAATCGTGAGGCAAACATTGAATTGTTGCTATGAAGGAGGAATCTATCTAAGGTGTGCGAGGCGTTTATCTGTTCTGGTGTTTACAGAGCAAACGGGCCACAAGGCCACAAGGCATCCAGGTCTGCGGACCTCTGATCCATCACACCTATTTTCAACGGTTTAGCTAGCGAAAACACACTCGGGGATACAATGGGAATCGTCAATATCAACATGCGTTGTGTCTATACAGTACGGTAACTGAGCTTAAGCAGCGAACTTGCTTAATCATCACCCCCGCGTAATGCGACAGTACGTCGAGATCATATTGAAGCGTAAAACTGGAAACCGACTCTGCTCGTCACTGTAGGACGCGACCGCATGGCTAGGGTGGATGTAAGAAATAAATGAAATAAATAGGAGTCTGTAAATTACCATTTTCAGAATCCAGGAAACTGGTTGTTAGGTTAATGGATTTCGGAACACATCCTTTACCCCGCTGCCCCTGGACGGCCAGTCCCCCAAGGTTTAATTATCCGATTCTTATCCTCGTCAACTGCCCTTCAAGTTAAGATCTGGAGTAGTTGATGCAACAGTTATAAATCATCTAGAAGCGGCAAGACTTGATTGTCGTGCGACCTAAACGCGGACGTGCAAGTCTCATTTTCTTTGACATATGTGGATGAGATGTGACAGTCTTGGGCTTCGCCCAGTCTGTGTGTTGTGGCCTTGCAGCCTAAGGCAGAAGGGATGGGTAGACCGTTTGCCCACAGATGTAAATAGCAGATCGCAGTAAGAGAGATCTTCTCCTTCTCTCTTTAGCAATTCAACAGCGTTACCAGCTTACCAAATCCTTCGTGGTTTGGGCCCATGACATGAGACAGTGATATCCAGAAGGATATATTGTGAACCTGCGCTGCATGGCTCTTAAAGTGTATCTCGGAGCCGACGTTTACATACTGTTACCCTGAAACGGAGAGCCTAGAATAGTAGATAAATACATAATAGATGTCTGGCCAAAGCTGCATTGTCCCTTGAATATGCCCTCGAAGCTAGTCTTAACTTTCCCTTACCCTGTGTGCCCAAAGGAGATCACGATACATGAGAATCCTGCTCCGTAGCCTCTATCGCACCTAGCATCAGAAGAGGATTGTCAGACCGAAGAACATAGCCAGGATGGAAAGGCTTGCGACCTGACCGCAAATGTATGCAAGGGAACAAAACTATATCAGAAGTCCGCACCTTTGGTAAGTCGCGTTCTTTGGTAATGGTGGGACTCTGATACTCTTCGCAATGGTTCCAGTTTACACTGTCTATAGAGCAATAGACTCTCTCTATGTTTCTTCTCGCGTATTGCCAAAGCCATAACGCATCCTTGAAAAGCTTTCGAAGCCTCATTTTAAGGTTTTCGCTGTCAGAAACAAGAGGTTGAGTACTTCTAATGAGATTGTCTGTGATTTCTTCAATATCGTTGTCTATCAGCTCTTTCTCTTGTTCATTAAATGCAGTCGCGTGCATAGCACGAAACACCGTGCCACGTAGGGGGTACTCGGTCGACATCTTGTCCAAGTCTCGGGGTGTGGGAGACTCTGAAACGTGGATAGTGCGAAAGATCTTGTTTGAAAGTTGCCGGGCAATAAGAGCTTGTGCGGCGACCATCCTGAGGTGCTGAGAAGGAATGCTGTTAGATATTGGTATCACGAATGGACGAGCAATGAAACGAGATTGTCGAAGCTGGCGATACAGTGTATCCTTGACGAGGTTAGTTAAAGATATCACATAAAGGGTTCGCGTACCATATTTTTCTCTGGAAGGGTTGTAAAGAAAAAATCTTGCGCTATCGCCCGCAGCGTGCTCGATATCTCCGAAAGTTGGCCGGAACTGCCAACCCCTAACGTTAGTAAATGCGCATATCGTGGGAGTCCGATACTGACAAACTCTCGTCCAGATCTATTAACCCGATAGCGCCTCTAATATCTCGTAGTTCGTTCAGTGCCTCATGTAGGCTCCTCTCCAAACCTAGAATTTTTACATCCTTCTCTACTATACTAGACTGCGCGGTTCGAAGCTGGCCTTCCCTTGCAGCTAATTCTCTTTTAATATCATCAAGCTCTTGCTGGCCTTTTCGCTTCCCGTCTTCGTATTGCTCTCGTAATTCCTTGCGTTCAAGCTCCCAGCTATTGTACCTTAACTCAAATTGCTGGATCAGGACGGTATGTGTTGTTTTAAGAGAGGCGACCTCCCCAGCACTCTCGGACCTTTCCGTCTCCAGCCGCTTTACTTGATCACCCAGTGTTCTCCTCTCGATCATAACCTCTTCGACCTCATTTAACGACTTTGCAACTTGGGAGAATGTGGTGACAGCATTATGAACATCTTTCCAGCGTTCTAGAAACTTTGGTGATATTGCGGGTTGACTAGACATGGCAAATGAAGGAAATGGTCGTGAGAAGCACTGCGAAAGGATTGCCAGCTAAATGTCTTGTATAAATTGGAAATATAAGGGTAATGAGTAACGTGGATAGCTGCCATTGGATGCCACTCCTTTATCTTTAATCTGCAAGGCGCCCGTTATGGTGTACTAAACCAGAGCGTGGTAGGTTTGGTTCAACTAGAACTGACATTGCACCGGAACATGTCAATACAAACTGTGCAGGAGCAAGGAAGTCGTGACCGGTTGGCGGAGAGCGGGGAAGATAGTCTGCTACAAATGATTGGCTAAATATGCGCCATTCACAACAGGCGGTCCATCCAAGCAAAAACTACCAAAAGAAGGGATAACTAATGCTAACTTACGGAGTACTCAAACACCGAACTGCCTTGCTACAGTACATGCAGTCCAAAATTAGGATACGATTTTCTTTCCGGCTTCAAGATCTGCAATCTCCTTGGTCAGAGCAGCACGCTTCGTTCGTGAGGCGGCATCTTCCCCGGCGATATCCATCAATTGTTCTTCGGACAGGTTGCTCACGAAAGCCGTGCCAAAGAATCTCAGCGGGGAGCAAGGCCCTGTCACGAGGTGGTAGTCCGCTGCTTGCATGCACAGATTATCCGCGAAGCGCTTACGAGCGACTTTATAGTAGGATTCGAGGATGTCATGGATCTCTTGGACGACATGCTCGACATTAGACGTGTGATGGTTCTGCACAATGTCTTCGAGGCGGACAACTTCGCCGTGGCTGCAATCGGCGAAGGTTTTCTCTTGCAGATCGGCGCGAATGCGCTTTTGGCGGCTGGTAAAATCATAAGCGGCTGATGCAAAAACGGGATGTATAGACTTACCACTTTTCCAGGTTATCGGCGAAGTAGTGATTCAGAGTCGCTGGCGTTCCGGTCCTCTCGACATGGAGGAGGAAACGGACATAGCCGAGCGCAGCTTTATACTTCGCCAAGAGCTCATCCATGAGGACCGACATGAGACCTTCCCACACGCGGAGATTCGGGCAGACCAGATGCAATAAGTCTCGGACGAACGTATGCGCCATACTGATGATATCATTGATGTAACCGACGGCGATTGGCTCCCATTTAGACGACTGAGTCTTCATCGTCATAGCAAGAAGTGAACCATCAAAGGTACCGAGCTCAAAACCACGCGACGTCTCGTAGACTCTTGATAGCCACTTAAAAATACCCCGAGGAGTTTGGCTGACTATCGTGTTCTCTCCGGGCGGCAGCTCGTCCAAGCCCTCGGGGTCCTCCTGGGCTCGGACTGAAATTTGCCGTTCGATTTCTTCGTCATTTTCATCTCCGTCCTCTGAGCTGTCGCATTGATCTCCGTCCTCTGCGCTGACGCGTCGTTCTCTGTCGAAAATATACGAGTGACCGTATTGTGCCAGCATTTTCGCGAGAGCCTCATTGCGGTTCACAACCGCAGTAGCGAAACGAAGGTTTGGGAACTTATCAAACCAATCATCGCCCACGTAATCTGCGGAGAGTGCGGACATCACGAATTTTTGGAACCGTTCACTTATACCCAAAAGGTATTGACGCTGTTCGTCCGCCGTTTCTCTTTTTGCGCCCAGGTTGTCGAGAAGCTTTCTGCGGGCATTGAGCTTCTTATGGATCTCATATTTGACCTGCGGCAGGATTAGCATCGCTTCAGAACGCCGGGGGCTCGACGCACCTTTGGAAACTCGCGACGGATGTTACTGGCGAGGATCTCCTGCAGTCGAAGCCGCAAAGAACTGATGCCAACTCTGTCCTTCTCAAGAGTGTTCCAAGGAAGGTTGTCCTGGAAGAAGGCCGTCTCAATTGCTTCTCGGTTGACAGATGAATTCTCGAGCTGACTTTGTCCAGGATTGCGAACAATGCACCATCCTAAGGTCAGTTTGTGCCTTTTGCCCTCAACAAGGGAAATCAACGCCGATTCAGCCCCTCTGTCGACCAAGTCTGGCTTGGTCAGGACCCCAAGTGTCCTGTGTCCATCTGGATCCACCTCCTCGGCCATTGTCAGGATCTCTTGTGTTGCAATGTCCACATTGGCAGGAACGACCGCCAGAATGATAGACCGGGGATTCTCCATATATCGCCGGACCATCGCTTCGACCTTTTTCTTGTCCGCTTTGGTCGTGACCCCTTCGGTGGTCTTTCTGAAGATTCCGGGGACATCAACAACCGAAAAGTGCTCTTGATCCGGCCCGTATATTTCAATGCGGAGCACGTCGTCGGAGAAGGTGATTCCGCCATCGATTCCCATAATTGTATGTGCCTAAAGACGTTAGCCGTGGATAGAACCCAGATGGATATGCGAACCTCTCTCATGATGCTAGAGAATGTTTCTGGGTCCAGGTCCTCGAGGCCGGACTTTGACCAGGCGGTGCATGCTTCGACGTGCTCCCCGCTACTACCACTGGCCGGAATGATGGAGATCGAAATCTCCGGTTTTGGTGCCCGGCAGAACCTGATCTGCGTCGCGAACCGGGTGCAGAGATCACTGTCCCTTGGGAAAGGCAGGCCGGTTAATGCTTCAAGAACAGAACTTTTACCGCTGGACTGGTCTCCGACGGCTACAATCTGCGGAAGAGATACGTATTCTCCAACTCCGCTCGCAAACAGTTTGTCAACTTTGTTCAGGAGCGCCGGATCGGCTATACCGCTGATTTTTGACCCTGGGCCCGTCATGTTGGGGTGATTGAAAACCAAATGTGGAAACTGATCAGGGAAAACGAGGCCGATTAGGTCAACGGCTAAGAATCATGAAAGCTCCCATTTACGCCATGAGAATTGGTCTTCCTTCCAGCAGGTGACCTTTATATCATAGGGTTACAAGCTAGATTCATGATTAGCCTCCCAAAGTGTTGAACGGAAGCAGAGTGAAAAACGGGATTGCACGTTGCTCCGTTTGTTCTATTGATTTGAATTATCGGCCCAAATCTCTGGAATAACTAATTCCGTCGCCTAGCGAAAGGGAGAGCGCAGTAGCGGTGAGGTGATCCGTTTACACACAGAGGCTGGTAACTCCGAAATAGGAAATGCACTTTCGGCGAGCGGCGGGAACTGGCATAGATTTATTAGAAAACCATCTTGCTGCCCTTTTCTATGGTCACTTCCGAGACCGTACCCGTCATCGCTGAGGCATTGAAACGAAGCCGGCAACTTACCGCTGAAATTGTCGGAGTTTAGAGATTTGATAAGCATTCTATAGAAGCATGACCGGTACTAGGCTCTTTCTAGATAGAAATGCCGATCAGTCAGGCTTGTAATTAGGTAAATACGTTTGAAGCGACGAACCGTGTTGTAGAGGACCAACGGCCAGAGGCTGGCCGAGCAGAGCTGTCAACCAACGCAATCAAACGGAGCAACAGCCGGGGTTTGGAGATTGATGGATTTGGTATGAAAGCGTCCCGGCTCTTCTCTTTTAGATCAGAGGACGACAAGCTAACAGACTGAATCCCGTCCACTGCACTGGAGTGATCATTGAGGTTGTCGGGGGTTTCAACTTCGAGGGCTCCGCTAGGGGCACTCTATGGCCATATCTTATTTTCTTGCTTCATAGTAGAGCTGACAGCGGTAGTAGGCACCATCATGGCGCATGACGCAGCAAGTGTCCGTCTCTTTCAAATCGCTCGCAAACGCGGCGATGGTGAATGAGCTGCCTGCCAAATTCGGGTGCTAAAACTGGAAAGAACACAGAGCTTCTCGTTCCGCTCGAAGCAGACGAGGTTGAAGCTGTATTTGCGGGAGTCTGGTTGGCGAATTTCTTGCGTTGCCGGGGAGCAGCAAAGGATATTACCTTGGCCCTGCTTGGAGTTGCAACAGTACTGCGCAATCGCTTGTGCCGACGGTTTCATCAGCAACCCTTCGATTCAGAGAGAGGCGAGAGTTCGGACGCCTCTGATGGTAATGGCACCGGCGACAATAGCTATACGGTAATGAGGAGGACTGCGGCAACGAGACCAAGACGAAGCGCAAGTGGTAACCTTTAGAGAGGCGGCGCATAATAACACGGATCAGGCCAATATCAGTCATGTAACAAGACTGTGTTTCCTTGCTTGCTGTCGGGTACAGATTTTGTCCCAAAACATCGTCCAACAAGCTTCCCCATTTTTGGGAGCCAGAAGTGGATCTAAAAAGTTCCAGCAATAGGCCCTTGCAATTCCCTCGAGTAGTCCATTTCTAGGCCCACCCGATATCAGCGTATCCGTTTCCGGACACCTCAGAGTCCCGGCGAACTGCCGCCCGAATCCATTTCTGGTCTCACCCGATATCAGCGCATCTATTTTCGGTTAGGACATACTTGTGATGGGCGTGGTGGTTGATAAAGACATCTTAATGTGTTTAGTGCGAATGCGGTTCCATTATGTTTAGTTCGTGTCAAAAACATCCTCATAGGAGAAGCACTACAGGAGCCGTGATTACAGGATAGGGTGACTGTGATGTCTGGAACAGTTTCCATCAACAGCACGAACGGGGATAACGTCACCACCCTCTCATCCACGCCACGATTTCCTTACAGTAACTTAGCACAATAGCGCAGCAGTACAACATTATTTTGTGAATTATGGCGAGCTATCTCTGATTAGCTGGGAATCATCTTCGAATTATTTCTAATGGAGCTACCGGCTTCATCAAGTTATATGACTTCGTAGACATCCTTAACGGGTCACTTTAAAGTAGATTTCCCCCAAACCTTATCTGTGGAGAATACTCCAATCGAGCAAAGATCACGTATAAGAGAGAAGAGCGATGTATTGGATGTATGCCTGGAGGAACGTAGTTCCGTAAGGTCCTTGTGGACGCACGAGGGACAGACACAAAATCACAACCCAACCTTAAATCACATGATTTTCACGTGAGTTTCACGTGATTTGTCCCCCTCAACCACAGCCGTCGTTGACACGCCTTCGTCGACATCGCGATCGGCCCCCCCGCTTTAGCCCCTGTGATATGATTGGAACGAACTATAAAACTACACGCTCCGCGGCGTCCACTTCGCGTCCGCAGACACTGCCGGATTCTGACCTTGCGCCTGACTGAGTCCGATCGTTGAGTCTGGCTCGGATGGTTAAGACGGACTCTAATGGTCGAGACTTCCCTCTGATTATCGAGACTGACTAATTTGATAACGCAAATAAATCCAACAACGATGGATTCTTTTTCAATATGCCTCCTATAAATGAAAGTGCAATTGCTGAAGCTATATAAGCTTTTTGAGATCGAGAATTCCCATCGATTCACAAATTTGCGGAGGCTTATGGCGTTAAGTACTCTACTCTCTAAGAACATATCTAAAAGGGCACCGAATCCTATCAAAAAGGGGCCGAGAAGTTGCAAAAGTTGTCAAAAGATCAAGAAAAATGGCTGGTCTAGTGGATTACGGAAGAAGACCTTTGCGGGAGGGCCCCTTCGCATGCCCAGGTTCGCTAAATGGCAGAACTGATTGCGAAAGAAAATAGAGATAACACTCCCTGCGGCACAAATTAGACCGACGGGTTTCTACTCCGGAATCCTGAGGTAAGAAACGATTATCGGACGGACGATCGAGGCTTCTAGAATAAATTCTGCCACAAAAGATGTTATTTCGGAGTTCTTTTCGGCTTATACACGCATTATCGAAAGGTATAACATTAAAACCAATAACCAGTGGAATTTTAATGAGCATAGCATCGCCCTAGGGTGCGGAATTAATGGCCGCGTAATTACACCAGTCTAGGAGAAGCAAAAGAGGAAGAAGAACACGATATACGTGAAGATTCCTAAAGATAGAGAATGGGTCTCTATCCTAGAATACATATATGCAGATGGCCGATCAATTACGCCCCTGATTATCCTTAAAGGCAAATCTCTGCAGTCGACGTAGTTCCCTTCTCGCGATATCCCGAACTGGCATTATACGTCCTCAGAAATTGCCTAGACATCCAACGAAATTGGCTTATAATGGCTCGAGAAAAAGTTCTTACGGGAGGCCAAACCCCTGAACCAAAATGGAGGAGAAGACTCCCGAGAATAGCGCTTTTTGGTATGCGCCGGGCACGGTACGCATGCTAAGATCCAGCTCATGAAGTCGGCGAAAGATAGTAAGGTATTTATTTTATGTTTGCCAGCCCATTCTTCCCATGTCCTCCAGCCTTTAGATATTGCATGCTTTTCGCCCCTGAAATCAAGATATCATAAAGAACTGAGCCGCCTATCTTCGCTTGATGACTCTGCACCAGTTAAGAAGCATAATTTTATAGAAATATATTATAAATCTCGAAATACGGCTCTAAATTCGCATAACATACGTGCAGGGTTTCGTGGAACAGGAATGGTGCCCTTTAACCCAGCCAAAGTATTAAATAGTTTCGTAATTGAACGAAATTCACACCGTAATGCCCAGTCGTGTGACCCCTAAACTAATTCCGTATACCTATAGCATACTAAAGGGGCTACAGGACATATATAAGCAAAAGTTTGAGGGAATATCATCGCGAGACTTCGGGGGATTCTAGGGGAAGTTGGCCAAGTCCCTGGCGGAGAAGAATACCGAAATCGCTGCACTTAAAGCACACGTTCTACAACTTGAAAAAACTATTCAAGATCTAGGTGGTTCGACTACGAGGAAAAGGAAACGAGTCTAGCCTGATTTGAACGAAAGATTTGCTACAATTGAGCAAATCGTTGCGTTGCAGGAGGCGGCCAAAGAAGCGGAGCGGAAAGCTGCGGAAAAGGCGGAGAGGATTTCAGAGCACGCAAATCTAGATTCGAGCACTTATGCTCTGTATTTGAACTAGATGTATAGAAATATATATGGTGGCTGTTCTATTTGTGTAACTCTAGGGCAATACGTGGATCAAATGGATTGTTTGTGGTGGCCGGAAACTGGGATGACCGGAAACTGGGTGCTTTGACTTAGAGGTATTATGAATAAATTCGAGGGATTCGTCGTCGTAGTGAAATTCGAACCGGACTAGGCAAGTCGCTATTATTCTAAAAACAATTGAATTGGGAATATAAACTATATCATTCTATGTAGGATCATCGCATCCAAAATAGCGAATTCATTCCTTGCTTTGTTGCTTTATGGTATACAATATGTTGACTCTTTGGCCTATCATATGACTGCCGTAGCATCATGTCTTAAAACCAACCTAGAACAATGGAAAATAAGCCTTTTATGATGCTTCTGTGAATATAATTCGAGTACTCTTTTAAGGGAGATTCGAAGACTGCGAACTCTAGCTTCGTTCCTCCAGGCTCTCTTTGAGCGAAACCCGCTTGCGGGTTCGCATCTCCTGTCTAAAATACAGCGTGAAGAGATAGAGATAGACATCTCCGAGCAAACACTAAACCACGTGACCCAACACACACTGAAGTCAGGTGACCTCCGTGTGACATTAAAGTTGTGTAACTAAGTTGTTCTAACTAGTTAGGTATCTGAAAGTTGCGTTCAAGTTGCGTGTTCTTATGCCAATGCCTGGTCCCCTGGCCCTCCAGATATATGAGATTCGTGGCAAGTTTATAATGCAGTTTGTAGCCTCGGGCTCCGTTAGATGAAACCTTGGTCTGCGACAGAAGTACATAGTTTACCTTGGAGGGTATATATGTTGATCGTTTTGGCGTGTCAATCAATCACGGAAACAATAGGATACCTATTCAGAGGCAGTGAGATGCTTGTATTCGGTCAGAAGTACATATTTTACCTTGACGGGTATATATACCCAGGCTTATGTAATCTTATGTAATCTACAAGATGCGGTGACTAAGTAATAGCCGCGGATTCCGACAATTGGGACACCAGGAAACTGACCCTTTTTGAATTCGAGCGTCCATGTTGAATATACGAGCACCGCCACGAACGGGTCCTGTCTGGCGAGGATAGGGTGCAGGGGACGTCATAGTACGTCGGGTGTCAGTATAAAAAGTGTTCCGGTCTCTCAGGTGTCCCGGTGCTTCAGGTGATTGATTGATTAATTGGTTGACTGATTGGTTAATTCATGGACAGTCCCAGCCGCCTTACTCTAGTGGCAGGCAGTGTACAGCTATAAATAGGGTGCTCCCGCCCTTCGCTTTCAGAAATCAAGCCGCTCCCGTCAGAGCTGCTTCCGCTTCCTCTGCTCTGAACCGCTGCACCTTACTAATAGCTCGGTTAGCTGCTCTACATCTATATACTTGTCAGGCCTTTCCTGGCCCTCCTCTGCTTCTATATACCGTTAATCACTCCTCTTCGCTATGTGTATTTGAGTACTGTGGATGGGACTGACCGGAATTGCTCCAGGAGTCCAGTCCGTAGGATTAGGACAAGTGAAATACTAGAGACGGCTTTCATTTCTAGCAACGATTCATCAACTATGGGAACTAGCGGCATCCTCGGCTTTCGCAAGAAAGACCAACGCAAAGGTTCTTATAACCACTATGACTCTTACGACCTCGCCTTCGATGTCGCCAAATTTCTCGCCCAAACTAGCCTGGCAGAGCTTGCTCACCTTGCCAAACTTGTTGACAAGCTTACCTGGGTCGATGTACATCAATCTCCAGTGGCAACAGAGCTAGTCGAAATCTACGAGCGATACGGGTACAACTACGAGAACTTCGGCGGCAGAACCCGCGGTCACAGCAGCTGGGGCGACGTACTGTACACAACACAGGGCACCGCAGCGCTGTTCGAAATCTTGGATGGGAAGTTGAAGCACCTGACTGACCAAACCGGCTTTCTCGACCGTTTTGGATGCGAGTGGGCCTACTTCATTGATTTTGTAACTCGAACATATACGTCTGTGCGACCTTTTCGAGTTTGATATCTAACTGTTGGACAGGAGCTTCGGCAAGTGGAGATCTGGGCTTACCGTCAGGGGTTTGCGCTCGTCTCGTTCGACGGCCTTGTCGAGGCCTACCGCAAGTATGAAACCAGCACCGAGCGTTACAGGTTCTTCAATGTGTTTCTGAAGAAAGCGTTTGCGATCGGCAATTTTGGATCGGATTATGAACTAGAGGATGATGACCTGCAGCTCCGGAACGTCGAGGTCAAGAAGGGACGGGAAATAATCAAGGATGAAGCGGAGACAGCTGGACTAGATTCTAAACAACCTAGCCCAGAGATCGAGATCAGGAGGGTTACATACCCTTGTGCATCAGCCTGTCTTATGTCTTTGCCCATAGAGCTTCACCACCAGATCATCCGGCATCTTAACACCGACTCAATCGAGGACTTGCCGGCTCTGTATGATGATGCCAAAGCCAGCGTCGAAGCTCAGTGGGCATTGAAGCGCGCCTGCAAGCACTTCTGGCACCTGCCAGAGCTCATTGCCCCATCCGACTTCTTTGACCGCCATTCTCTACTTCCTACTGTCAAGAGGCGTCACCGCCAGCGTCTCATCATCGCCGCACTTGCTCCGGAGGGCTTCCCAGGCGCCTGCTTTCCTTGCTACAAATGCCGCAAGTTCCTCACACTGGATAATCTCTACCCTTTATGGGGCGGAAAGTTCTACTTCTGGGACGGGGAATATCTTTCGTGCTGCACACCCTGCTTGACGGAACTAGCGAACGATGTCGAGGGAAAGGCTATCAAGGAACTGTTGCATGCTAAGTGGGGGAGTGCTGGGGAAGATGAGGATAGGAGGTATTGGAGACTTAGACAGACGTTGGAGAGGGTACGGAGTTTGATGAGCTTGGAAGTTCAGCAGAGGCTTGTGGAGGCAGGAGTTCTTCAGCGGGTCATTTGACGTTGTCGAATTCTTGTTGGATATCAACCATCCTCTAGTTACCTCAGCAAGCTCAGGCCATTGTGGTAGTGCCTGAGGCAACGAACCGCGCTATACCTAATTGGTATGGTTCTCTACCAAATAGCCTGAGGATCCTGTCATTGATTTTTGGCCTGAGTTAAGATCGTTTGTATGAGAGCAATTTAATCACTTCAACCTCGTTTTCCTCCACAACGAGCTATCACACAGTAAAATTGACATGTTCAATCGAATCCTCTATCGTTTCTTGACAACCCAGTGGAATTTGGACGATGTCAGATCGAACCTCCTCTCGGCGCAGCGTACAACTGAACCCAACGTCTCCAGAGGTGCTTGAACTGCGGTGGTTGGTTAACGATTCTGACGCAGTCTGGCTTCTTACATATCAGCGTTTTTTGCGAGACACAAGCATGGGGAGTAGAAAAGATTCAAATTCTAGATAAAGTATACCTTGCTGCACAGCCCAGTGGATTTAAGTGCAATTATAATAAGTCTTCATGTTGTTATTGAAGAATATGCAAAAGTGAGGTTTCCAAAATCGTGAAAAACACATGAAAATATCGAACAGTCAGTGTGTACGGAGGACCCCTTCAAAAGTTCTTGCCCACGCCAAGACCCCGTAATAAAACCATTCCTAATTAGGATACATGTACTAATGGCTAAGTCCTCCCCATTCGCGTTATCTCAGTCCTTTCTCGTATGGTCTCTCCCTTCCTTATACTCGTTTCCTCCTTCTAGCTCAATTATCTGTTGAATATGTCGTGGAATCCGCTCAATCCAAGCCTGTACCTTCTCCTGCGGGAGTCCTTCCCAGCAAGCTTCCCAGGCTTTAATGGCTTCATGCCTATTCTTTGGAGCACCTTTTCTTGTCGTCGCTCTCTTCATGTATGGCCAACATGGCTCGATAGCATTTAGATCTGGGGAATTCCCGCACCAAAGAAGTCGCTGTACTCCGTACAAATCGTATACTCGTTGCTGTGCATGATGGGCGTGCGACGGAGCTTTATCCTCTTGAACAATCGTGTCTGGCCGATCCTTCAGACATTCCTCTACGAAAGGAAATAGCTTCGGAATTAATATCTTTGTCTGATATCGATACCAGTCGATTCCTTCTCCTTTCTGTCGAACTAGTTTCCCTGTCTTCTGCGTCCATTTCCAGATTGGCTTTCTAGAGGGATTCCGGAGTCCCATCCTCCTCATACCGGTCTCAAGTTCCCACTGGTCTCGACGAATAGGTTCAAGCAAGTCGTTCATCTCTTCTAATACCTTTTCCGCATCGATTTTCTCCTGTTTCGTTTCTGGCATCCAGCAATGGCAAGGGCCTTTCTTATCATACGTAAAGCAGGCCCAGAACATTAATTCTGTATATCCTTTCCAACGCTCCCGGATACAGGTCTTTGCAAGCGCTTCGTCTTTCGTCCTCCATACTCGATAACTACCTCTCCGGTGGAGTAATACGATAGCTGTCTCGTCACTCCAAATAACGTTTTTCCAATCTTCCAGTGTCCAATGCTCGTGCTCTTTCGCAAACTTCAACCGTTCAGCTTTCATCTTCTTCGTCAATCCAGGCTTCCTCGTCGGCTTCGTCTTGTTGAAGCCGGCTTTCTTGAGCACTCTCCAGATGGTAGACTCGGAGACAATCCAACCGCCTCTACAAAGCTCGCCCGCGATATCAGCGCAAGTCTTCTCCCTTCCATATCGATCCTGACGCACTTTGGTAAGAACGGTATTCGATAGCTCCTCCGTCTGTTTTTTGGGCCGGCCGGGACGGGGTGCATCTTCTAGCCATTCGTCTCTAATATGCAGAGGCAGATGATTAGGGTCAAATCCCCGCTCAATTGCACGGGCATAAATAGCATTAATTGTACGCTTTGGAAGACCCGTTTTTTCAGCGATTTCAGCTGTTGTTTTTCCCCCAATAGGTGACTTAAGAGTAACAATGAGCGCCTGTGTTGCGGTGTCAGTATTTGAAGGCATTTCGTAACGTGAGAGAGACTTGATAAGATTCAAAATAGGAGCGATGAAGGACAGATTCGATGTACTTAGGATTCCTCGGCTGGTATTGTGGGACTGCCAAGAAAGTGGCGTATTTAGCGTGGGCAAAAACTTTTGAAGGGAACTTCCGTACCATTGACAGGATCCTGCCCGATCCTCAGGCTATTTGTTCGTGAACTGCATTTATCGATTAGGTATAGTGTGGTTAGTCGCCTCAGGCACGACCACAAATAGCCTGAGCTTGCTGAGGTAACTAGAGGATGGTTGATATCCAACAAGCCTTGCATCTACGCCGGGATACTCGTGTAGAGCCGATTGAAACTAGGTCACCAACTATCACTATAAGATACAGCCCGGCAGCCCGTACCCCCAATGTAGCGACGTGCCTCAGCTAGGTCTCTGACCACACGCAGGGCATTGTCTTCGGGTACATGATCCCCATGCAGCTTGAGGACCCTGGTAGGATCGACCACCACCAGATTTCTACCTGCCGCCCGTAGGCGACGAATGTTCTCAAGTATGATTCGCTGGGCAACATCGCTGAGAGAATAGGCGTCTCTGAACGATAAAATAACCGCGCGAGCGTTCGTATAGCGTCCCGAGCCGGGGTCCTCAGTATCCGAGGAGGAGAACTCATGCACAATAGCACGGGTAAGACGTTCTGCGCCCGCGAAACGGACTGCGCCGCGTAGATCAAAGATAGGCACCTCCTGTACGTATTCGTGGGGTTGATCGGCACAGCCCGTAATGGTCATGGCCGAAGTACGCACGGTGGCTCTAGCAACCTGACTGATATCCATCATGTGCAGGCCCATGTCGGATGAGAGCTTCTCGCACATGATGACGCCTCGTACACTGTTGCCGCGTTCGTCCAGTTTGGGTGAAAAGACAGCAATGCCAACTTGGCCAGGAAGGGCGCCGATGATACCGCCAGCTACACCACTCTTTGCGGGTATGCCAATGTTGGAGACCCAGTCCCCAGCGGCATCGTACATGCCACAGGTGGTCATGACGGACAGGACTTGGCGGACGCTCTGGTGCGGGATGATCCCCTCTCCGGAGACCGGGTGTACACCGGCATTGCACAGGGTTGATGCCATCATGGCCAGGTCGCGTACGTTGACGTTGATGGAGCATTGGCGGATATAGCCGCGCACGGCTTCCTGTGGATCACCATCTATGATACCTGCTGCTTTGAGCATGTAACCTAGACCCATATTGCGGTTGGCGTCCTTGAGCTCGGCCTCGTAGACGGCTTCGTCCACTCGCAACTGCCGGCCTGCCAGTCGGGACAATGCCTTTAATATACGATCAACTCTTTGCTCCGCCGTAGCATTCGGTCCCACGATCAGCGAGTGCGTGGCGATAGCACCAGCATTGATCATGGGGTTCATAGGCCGATTGGTGCTGCGTTGCAGCGACAGTTTGTTGAACGCATCGCCAGATGGTTCAACGCCAACTTTTTCCAAGACCTGTGGCAACCCCGTATCTTGAATTGCCAGTGCATAAACAAAGGCTTTGGAAATGGATTGGATAGAAAATTCCACTTCGTCGTCTCCAGCCGAGTACATCTTCCCATCTACCGTCGCGAGTGCCACAGCCATTTTGGAGGCATCCGCTTTGGCCAGAACTTCGATGTAGCCGGCAACCTCGCCGGAGTCGGCTGGGCGCGCATTTTCTACCACCTGCCGAAGATAGTCGGGGATTGGAGACTTCATAGTGCGGGCTCCCGCTTCTACTGTGAGTGATTTGTAGGAACTGAATGTCAGGATGCGGTCTTCAGGTTTGCCTTGAAAATAGGCCGGTGGTGCATAAAGGCAACGTGTTGATCGTTTTGGCGTGTCAATCAATCACAGAAACAATAGGATACCTGTTCAGAGGCAGTGAGATGCTTGTATTCGGTCAGAAGTAGATAGTTTACCTTGACGGGTATATATACCCAAGCTTATGTAATCTTATGTAATCTACAAGGTGCAATGACTAAGTAATAGCCGTGGATTTCCGACAAATCCTGACTCGGAATCTAACCAAGGCCCGTGCCGACATGATGCCGATGGCTGGCAAGGTACTCCATATTTTCTATCATTTGGATTAGGTACCGAGAGTTTAGGCACTTCAGCTGTGTATAAATAATGGCACTTGGGATACCCCCATACTTATTGGACAGAAGCTGCCCCTTCATCCATCTGGTTCCGTGAGAAGCATTCGTTGTTGTCGTTGTTGTTGTTGTTGTTGTTGTTGAAACTGTACTACAGATCACCTGACATCAGGAACCGCTGTTTTCTCACAGTACCATTCTAGACAACTAATTAGGACATCAATTTTCTTCATCTTGACACAGTTCATACGAAACCATAACAAATGACCTTTCCACAGCTTTGGACTGATGTACATGATTCAGAAACTGTCATTGCCATTGAAAGTACCAGATATCCCCCCAACGCCGTCCGAAGAATATGGAGGGCGAAATATCCAAGCTAGATGCGATCCTGAATAGATTAGACAAGAGCCTAGTCTACCTGCTACACGTCGACCATCACCCGGTGCCTCAAAAGAAGTTGATTTTTGGCGCGGCACTTCTGCTCAATACGGCAGTCCTTTCCTTGCTCATAGCGCGTGTTGTCTATATTTTTCCTTTCTATCAGCCCATTTTCCTTGGACGCGGATGGCCCACCGAATCCGATTCCTCGTTCATGTTGGTTATTTTCTGGAGAGCTATATCGCTTCTGATTGACTCGCTCCTCGTGCAATACATCTGGCGATGGCCTTATACGTTCTTCCTTGAGCGTGAACATGGACAATGGGATAATCCAGCCTCATGGCGTCTGGTTTCGGGGTTCAAAGAGCTTGAGGTTGTTGTTCGAAAATCTCGGAATTGGGGAGCCAAGGACCTCGGCGATGGCTATGACAAGAGCCCTTTCTTCAAGACGCGTGTACTCCCATACACATCTGACCAGTATTTGAGGGAAAAGACTGGTTATTTGATGCAAGGGAAGGACTGGGACCTGGACTATTCCGCAATGATTCAAAGTGCGAGGTCTAAACCGAAGATCGATGCGAATACTCTCATCCTGTTGGTGGCTGACAAAACCGGTGCATGGGAGGCCCACGACTTGCGATCATTGTAGCGGCTAAGACCAGACTGGGTTCTGAAAGCCTATCAAAGATGATCTGCTCGCTCCTCGCAAATCGTCTCAAAATAGGGCACGATGATGGCTCAAACATGGTCGTTTTAAACCATGATCGCGGAGTACCCGGTATCGTCCAGGATCATCCTCTAATCGACGCTGATTGAAATCCCGAACGATGGAGTCGTGCTTTTCAATCTTGAACATGATCTGATACCAAAAGGCGTCCGGTACGACCACACTCGGAAGAATAGCTCTTCTCCTGGGGGGCATAATCCATCAAACAATCGTCGGGGTGCTTTGCGCGCAACCAGGCTCTAATGCTTTACATCGTCACTATCGCCTAAAGATCTATCAAATTAAAACGAACACACAATCTTCAAACTCAACGGACGGAAGAATCGAGGGGCTGCCTTGAGGGAGCAAAGCTACTGTGCGGGTCGAGGCATACATTCTTTAAAGATCACTTCGTTATAGCCACTGGGGCATTCCTTCGGGGGTCGGCGCTCTAGGGTGTTCAAAGGCCGAAAGGAAGTTCTCGTGAGCATTCCAAATAGGTCTCGCGAGTGAACATGGTTGATGCAGCAACTGATGTCTGTTCAATTTTTAGTCTCTTCTTCACGCAGCAGTTTCGCCGTCGCCCGAGATCAGGACTGTAACTGCGCGATTCTCGAAGTGTATAATATTCAATTTCAGATCCAGAGATTATCGCGGAAGCATCTCTCACGCAAGGTTTCATTTCAATGGAAATTTTCTTTCTCATTTTTGTTCTTCATGGTACCAACCACTACGTCGCAACAAATCTCCGAGATGACGAAGAACTATACTTTCGCAGCCGGCTTTGACTGAGACAGCTGAATCCCGCTTTCCCAAATATTACACTTATGGGGGGTCGATTGATGACAGCTGGAATCAACTCCACGACTTGCACATTTCAAGAGTCCCACAGCACCGAATGACCGTCACCGTCTCTCTTAGCTTGCCCAGCGGTGCACAATGCTGGAATGTTGCCAAGGTAACAAACTCGGGGGTAATATACGGAAGAGCTGGCATCCAGCGAATGGTCAGCTTTCCTAGAGTCCATAGGGAACTAAGCCATGGCTACTGGATACGTTCCTCTTGGGTGGTGGTGTTTTCAACTGCATGATGTCAGTGCCTCATCGAACAGTTATCACAGTGCATATTCTAAGACAACGCAACGGGACATACCACAGGTCGTGTTGTACTTGGACACTATGAAAATGTTCTCCTGAATTAGCGCGGACTTGGCCGATTTTTCTGGCCTGTCCAAAGGCAACAGTGGTGTCATAGGGGTACAATGCTTTAGTTGAAAATGTCCGGCGAGATATATGTTGAGAGAATGGATATAGAAGCCTGACGCTACGTCAGAGAAATGTAGTATGACCAGAAGAGCATTGCAGAAGTGGTTGCCACGAAGGGCTGACGATGATTCACTGCGAAGAGGGACGCAAGAGGGGCCAGAATTTGAACCTGTCCAGCTGCTCTCTCCTGAGTAATGGCTCAATCCCGGACACAGCAACAACGGACGGGCGATGACAATCCGATGCTGTCAAGGTGAGGAAGCATTCACAGAATCCAGGACGAAGCGTATAACTGGCCTCCGGTTGTACGGATCGGACGTTCTTCCCGAGGACTTGGGGGTTCCACCTTTGGCTGTTGGACATATAAGAGCATGGACCGGACGCATCCTGATCGGGAACATTGACTATCCCCCTCTCTTCATGAGCATGGGATTTTCGCATTCGACTCTCTAATAAACGAGCTATCTGGACTAGTCGATATTGATGCCGCGACTGCTTGACGGACGCCCTCGGGCTATCTTCTACTGGGATTCTAGGTCAAATCTTCAGGAGGGCGATTCTATGCATGAACAACATCTCGCCATCTTTGGAAGCCCGGCAACGGATAGCTCAACAATGCCAAGCTCTTCTATGGTGACATGGACCAGTTTCAGCTAGTTGTTATTCGTTCCGTTCTCGGTTTCATGACTGTTTGAGGAGAATCGTTGTGGGTTCTCTCTATCCTTGAAATCGTTTCGTTTCGCTTTGTGCATAGCAAGCCTCACGGTTCAATCCTTGGGGTCTGAGTACGTGTATCGTCCCTTGATTGGGTTGACCGAAACCTCCAAGGGTAAATATGGGTGAGTGATGAGTGTTTGTCTTGAGAAGAGAGCGAAGAACTTAGATTGAACTTATACATATATCTTCTACTCGACAGGCATTGAAAAGCATCCCTGAATACAACACCTTTTAAGACCACTGAAGACGGAGATCCGAATGCGAATTTCCCAATTCTTTTGCCAGATCTCTATCCCTTTTCTTGTCATTCATCTTGGAGACGGTAGAGGCAAACATGATGTTCAACCAACTTCGACGTTAGTTTCCTTGCACCTTGCTCTGCAGCACTCTAATCTGCTCCAGTACCGCAGATCGGCTAGTTCCACCTATAGCGGACTTCAACTCAACGGCCTTTTCGTAATTAAACACTTCGAGCACATCCTTTCCAAACCGTTGATCGACCGATTGCAATTGTTCCAAACTCAACTTGTCCATCCGAATCGACATGTCCTCGGCAAGAGCAACGACTCTTCCGGAAATATGATGTGTTTCTCGGAAGGGAACGCCTAACGATGTCAGTTACAGAGGATTTGGATTAGATGATGATCAACTGACCTTTGCGGACAAGATATTCGGCAAGGTCCGTTGCCAACATGTCCGGAGTTAATGCAGCAAGCATTTTATCGGGGAAAGTGGTAAGGGTAGCAAGGACTCGAGTAGCAATCAATGTGCTATCTTTGACAGTCTTGACATGTTCAATCATCGGTTCCACGCTCTCCTGAAGATCCTTGTTGTACGTCGATGGGATACCTTTTACCGTCATCATCAGACCAGCCATTTGGCCGAAACACCGGCCACATTTGCCTCGTAGAAGCTCGAGTGAGTCACCTAAATGGTTTAGCCTTGTCCTAGGAGTTCTTGCCATTAACTCACTGTTCTTCTTCTGAGGCATCAAGGAGCTGCCCGTGGTATATGCATCGGCGAGTCGAACAAACCCAAATTCCGCTGTGCTGTAGTTGATCAAATCCTCACTCCATCTCGAAATATGAAGCATTAACATCGAGCCCCATTGCATAGCCTCGATGATGAAGTCCCGATCAGCCACAGCAGCCATGGAATTTGGCATCAACTCGTCAAATCCAAGTTCTTTGGCCATGGCGTCCCGGTCGATGTTGAACGCATTTCCAGCAAGAGCTCCACATCCAAGAGGAGATCGATTGACCCGCTTCAGCACTTCTCGTAACCGTTCCAGATCAGTCGAGAAGAAAGAGCCATAGCTCATAAGCCAGTGGCTCCATCGAACCGGTTGTCCTCGTTGCAAATGAGTATAACCGGGAAGGATCAGATCCATTTCCTTCTCGGAACGCTCCGCAATGACATTGAGGAAGTCAACTAAACATGCCTCAATTTCACGAAGTTGATCTCTCAACCACAATCGAAGATCGGTGGCGACTTGATCATTGCGGCTTCGTCCAGTATGCAATTTTCCCGCAATGTCTTTGCCGATGATTTCGCCCAACCTTCTTTCATTGGCGGTGTGAATGTCCTCATCAACACCGGGCTTGATTTCGAATTTATCGGACTCCCACTCTTTTCGGATTGCATTGAACCCTTTCTCAATGGTTGCAAATTCGGATTGGGTCAGGATTCCTGTTGCAACATTCGCTCTTGCAAAAGCGATGGATCCATTGATATCTTGAGCCCAGAATGCACGATCAAACCAAATTGATTCATTGTATGCAATCATGAGCGGGTCCAATTGGCCTACATCCGTCAGAGAAGTCCCTCTGTGGATTTTTGAAACTTGCCGGTGAAACGACCTCCCCATAGCCGAGTCGATGCATCTGGAGCCTTCTGCTCTGCCATTTTTTCTGAGGGATTGGACGGTAAAGTACGGGTGGATATTCACGCCGTCCAATGTTCGAAATGGCTAATTGTCCAATGGGTAGCCCTTGGAGCTGTTAAAGATGGATGAGCTAGACCTCTACTAGAGTGACGAAACGAGATACTCTGAAGATGGGTTGATGGTATAGAAATCGGGACGATTTTAGTTTGAGCGGGAGATTGATCTAAGAACAGGATTCAAATGCTGGTGATGGTCTTCTACTGGTGACTCCTATCTGAACAAAAAATTTGGAATCGTTCCTCAAATCGATGAATTGTGAGACCTGCCGCTTGCTCCATGTTTAGAGCCAAATGATTGGTGGGTGTTCCGCGCGCTTATTGACACCTTGCGCATTCTTGCTCCAGCTCGCGCTAAACATTCTTTCGGAACTGAGCTTCAACTGTTCAACTGTTTCCTCCGCCAACCTCTGGACATCCTCATACTTGTGTCTTTGAGGAAGGAACATTTCCATTCATTCACATTGATATTACGCGACGCACGCTCCGAGTCCTTCTATCCATTTCCAATTAAAACGAAGCTCGAAATGCCTTCAGCGTCTCGATCCAGAAGTCCTTCCAGGACCCCATCACGAGGACGGTCAATGTCGCGAGACAGGTCGCGTTCCCGCTCAGCGTCAAATCACGCGCCCCTACCGCGTCGCTCCCTCTCACCGCGATCCCGATCGCGATCCCGCTCATATACACCGCGTAGCGAACGATTGGGTCGGGGAAATGGCACAAGACGCAGCAACACGCGTAGTGTTTCACGAGGTCGGAGTTACAGCGGAGATCATGAACGAAGACGATCATATTCAAGGAGCCCAAGGGGTCATATATCTCCACCAAGAAGTGCCAAGGTGCGTCTTCAAGCGACTATCTCATAGCTTCAATAATGCTAACACTCATAAGATTGTGGTTGAGAAGCTCACTAAAAACGTCAACGCAGAACACTTGCGAGAAATCTTTGGCGCCTATGGCAGCATTCAGGAGCTTGACCTTCCAATCAACCGACAATGTACGTCACAATCTGGAGCCCTTGCACTCCACTAACGTTCCTAGTCATGACGAACCGTGGAACGGCATACATTACATTCAATTCGACGGGTTCCGCGGACACAGCGATTGCAAACATGCATGAGGCTCAACTAGATGGAGCAGTGATATCGGTTTCCATCGTTCTCCCTCGTCGACGATTCTCTCCATCTCCACCCCCGCGACGCGTACCTCCACCTTTCGATCGTTACGATTCTCGACCTGGTCCGCCCTTTCGTCCCCCACCTTCTGGTCCTGGACGCTTCAGGTCACCGCCTCCCCGTCGTCGATCTCCTTTCGGACCTCCACCGGGACGCTATGGAAGACCGGGACCCGGACCAGGCGCAGATACTTGGGTGCGAGGGGGAAGAAGATCATTGTCTCGACCACGAAGCCCACGTCGTAGTCCTCGTCGAAGCCGAAGCCGTTCATACAGTTCACGATCTCCATCGAGATCCCCGCCTCGTAGACGGGGAGGTTTTGGGCGCAGAGATAGTCCTCCAAGAGGTGGAGGTGGACCAAGGAGAAGGCGAAGTCCTAGCTATAGTAGCTACGGTAGTCGCAGTCGCAGTCCTAGCCGAAGCCGAGAGCGGGATTTCGGTCGTAGGAGATGACCTTGGGCTTGATGGCGTACAGATGGCAGTTGACAATGGCGTAACTTGTGAAAACAGTTGTGGGTGCAGAGGAAGGATCAGAAAAGCGTGGCACTACATTGTACTCACGTATGGTTGGCTGGATCTGTACTAGTATTATCAGCCGACGGGCTCGCAAGAGACTGCTCCTATGAACAAGCAGTATTAATCCGTTGATGCTACAAGTGTGAGATCCACTACGGACCCCGTACCCAATTGCCGATCCCGTTGCAAAATGACACCAAATCCCTGACACGATTGTCCTCCTTTTCCAATGTATCGATCCATTCCCTGAGTGTCTCGCGTACCGTGTCTGGACCTTCTTCGGCAATCACCGCTCCATGACACCGCAAGAAGACTCGCATCCATACAAGACACAGCTCAAAATCTTTTCGTTGCTTGAGTCTCCAATCAAGAACAGTCACGAATGTGGTCAGCTCCGAGTACGGAGGCGACGGAGAAAGTGACCGAATTGCCACGTCTGCTGCAGATGGTGGTAGTTGTGAAAGACACGAGACCACATCGATGTACGCATCTTCGAATTGTTGAGTCTGCGCTGAAAGAAGCACGCCATGCATGTTCGCAATCGGATCCGCTCCTCGAACTTTGACCGATAAGTTCGCACCAGCAATACGAGAATCACGGACAGGTTCAATGGCCATGGCATCTGCTTTCGTGTCTGTGATTGAAGGCAGGAAGAATGGAGCCTTCTCTGGACGCTTTGGTGCTTCCTTCGGTCGATTGCGTTCTCGAATGACATCAAGATTGAGCAATGTCTGCCATCGGGGTTTCGGCACTAATGACAATGTCATCAAGTCGGAACTGAGTTGCTCCAGGTTGACTTGAGCGCCGGACGGCACCTCGCCAGATTCCTGTGGTTGATAGGCAGACTCAAGAAGACCCACACCTCCAGACCTACTGGGCACGTCTATGCGTGCGATCTCATCCTCGGAAATCTGGTGTGTTGGAACTTGAGTGAACAATGTCCGATTCGTCCAAACGTCAACCCCAACAGTGTCTGCAAACGCGGTTGCGAGATACTCCCCAGTAGGTGAGAACGCAAGAGCAAGACACAGACTGGGTGTTCTAAGAGCATCAATGAGATGACCCGTTGGTAGATCCCAGATTCGAATCGTTGAATCCGAGCATGCAGCAACCAGCCAGCGAGCATCGTTGGAGAAACAAAAATCTTGGACTGTATTCCCAGCAGTCCGGAGTTCTCGGATCGTCTTCTTCGTCTCAAAATCAACGATTCTGATGCATGCCTCATTGCAGCTCACGGCAATCAGGTCGGTGGCAGGTTGGTGTCGTATCGCCAGAATCGAAGATGCCCATTCCATCTGATGAAGGAGAATGCCGGTACTGAATTCCCAGAATTTCAACTTCCCATCCAAGCCGCAGCTGATGACCTTTTGGTTCAAAGGATCAACAATGATTCCCGATACCGCCTGGGTATGCTTTCCTTCTCCTCTTTCATACTGGTTTCGACCGTTCGCTATGTTCGACGATCTTTGAGCAGCAAGCCTTTGTGCTTGAGTGGATGTCAATTTTGGTGGAAACCGTCTTCTATGGCTGCCGGATTGGAGGTTGAACATGTCAATGCCTCCACTGGAAGAACCAATCAAGGCAAAAGTGCCACATGGCGAGACCGTCACGGCAGTAACCGGAGACTTGTCACCAGTCTCAAACTTCCATCGGCCGGCTCGCTTTCTCCCCCAAAACCATGTCCTTGCGAATCGGTCACCCTCATGTCCAGTGACAATACTTTCCCAGCCCGTCGAACTGCTATCGGCTGTGCTGGACTTGCCTTTCGATTGTCCTGGAAGGTTCCATATATTCTTCGTTCCAGGCATCGCACCAATGCCTCCGTCTCTGTTCAGCGAACAAGCCATACAGCTGATCGGTGGAGCCTTGAGATCTTCGAAGCGTAAATTTGAGTTGGATGGGCCTCCCGAGACACCAAGCTTTTTTGCCTTCTTGATGATGCTGCCTTGGCTTAGCTCCACACTCTGGGAATCTTTTCGGAGACTCCATCCCCACAAACTACGATCTTTTCCAGCACTCATCAACCACTTTCCTTCAACATCGGCGCCATCGGCTGGGGTTGGAAGGAAGTTGAGACATGCGACTGGACCTGCGTGTCCGCTTCGTGCATGGAGAGGTCGAGGAATCGGTGAGAACGGCGTTTCATCGAAGATCCAAGTTTTGAGAGAATTGTCCAGGCCGGTTGTCACCATAACTGCTTGACCTTGTAGAAACTCGAGTTTGCTGATGCCTCCAGGAACGCCACGCCCTGCATCTGGTGAACCATGTGCCGCTCGTAGAACGCCCTTCCTCCGACCACCCTGGTTCAGGTCCCAGAGTGTGACATCACCGCTTTGACTAGATGCCGTTGCCATCACTCCGGGTAGCGTCCCATCATCTCCAGCTCCGATCCCATCACTTCGGAAGGAAATGGTCGTAATCGGTGCCGTGTTTGAACCCGTGCTTAAAAGCATTAGGCCAGTGTCGGTGTGGATATCGTGGATGGCGATAGCCCCTGATTGATATCCAATGGCAATCAGTCCCAGAGTTGGTGTTGGCTCCATCATGGTAACCGCTCCGAGTTCAGAGGTTTCCGGCAGTATGGTGTACAGCAATTTTCCGCTTTTGACATTCCATATTTCCACACTCCCATCCGTTTTCCCGGCAAAAATCTTGTTCACATACGTGGGCATATTGCAGATACCGCCAGTATAGCTTACTCCACCCTGAACCGAATATGGGGACGTCAGGGAGGTATAATGTTCCAGAGTTGCAATTGTCCAGATTTCGATAGTGGTGTCACAGCATCCAACCATCCAGTCACCGAATATGCATAGCTGACGGATGTTTTCCTGGAACTTGACAGGGATATCCACTTCTTGTATTCTTTTCCCTCGTTTGAAGACCCAGATTCCTCGACTGGTCCCAGGTGAGTCTCCTCCCCATGCAGCGAATATTCGATCCTTCCATGCCAACGAAGTTGTGATATGCTGAGGCGTCCGAGGTCGAGTAATGAATTGGAGTGCGAGCCCTTTCCTCAAGTCGTAGGTCTGGAGACTGTTTCCGGTTGAAGTGGTGATTTGAAACGTCGTTTTCCCGAGCGGAATGGAGGTGAACGGGACCGATGTAGGAGATACTAGACCTATTGTCTGCGGCAGTTAGTATCGTAAAATTATTTTATAAAGGAACAAGTACGAACTCGAAATGGCGCAAATATTCTTCCAGTGGCAGGATAAGAGCTCTTCGGTCCATCGCTGTCATTGACATGGATTTTGGTCCTTTTGGCAGGGCGCTCAAGGGAACCATGCCCATTTATAACCTGTGAGCTGGAAGTCATAGACATTGAGACCATAAAGTCAGCTTTAGGTAGCCGATTGTTATAAATCGGCGGTTTGAAATAACGTCCTTCAGAGACTTTGGCACTTGGAAATTATTTTGGGATGCGACGAAGTTGGTACATTTCACCGAAGATTTACCGCGAAATCTTCAATTTGCTGCCTCGATGCCTGTTCTTATGGCCTTGACACCTTGACGCCTTGTTCCACTCGACCCTCCGACATCATTCTCTACAATGACGTTTGGATGCTTCATCTAACATCAACAAACTGCCTAACAACGTGAAAATGAAACTTCCGTTTTGTATGAACAGTGGCTCAACTCCAATGTGATATGGCTACAAATTACAATGTTCCGTTGATGAGCGGGAATTTTTCAATTTGGAATGCTGCAGGACGCAGGTACCTGAGTTCTACCATTTCCAGTGTCGAGAATTAAACCAAATGGAAGCTCCAGGCAGGGTTCTCCGCAAATCATCACGATCAACAGCCAATCATGACGCAAGAATGCCGGTTTAAGCCACATTTTGATGCCAAAGCATCTGATCGGCTGCCAACTGAACTAACTGGAAGCTTCAAGCTGTTTTGTGGATGTATCAGATGTGTGGCAAGGAAGCAGGACATCAATCACAAGCTTTTGCTTCAGTTTATCCATACGCAGTACGAGTCAAGATATTTATACAAATCTCGTCCCAAATATGCCTTCAAATCTTCCCGTTTAAGAATGACATCAGAGCCATCAAGCCGTCTCAAAGTTGAGTGACGACCACTACAGGGAACCCATTCATCCCCACCGGAGCTTCTACATATCCGTTGTCCATCCGGTTCGTGGTGACTCGCTGACGTAACGAGTCGCAAAGCGACCGCAACCTCCCTCGGTGCGACAATCTTCTTCTCACATCCATCAACCTCTTCATACAACATCAAGGAACCATGTCGGACTATACTATTGAAACGGGTAACCAAGGTGAGTCTTTTGCATGTTATCACACAGTGATACTTCCCAATTGGGTCGATGACTTTGAGACTTTGCGAAAACCATCGCCTAGACTTCTATGGTCGCGCAAACATGCTCAAGAGTAGCGCAACTTCTGGGGCGTGTCTGTTCATCGTACCATCTCCTCCCTACCCCCCGCAAGCTGCAATGTTCTCTATTCACAATCCTGCGTGGTTTCTCGCACAAAGACTGACATGGCAATGGTACAGCCTCCTGGAAATGGGGTGGGGGAGAGCCCTCCGGGCAAGGCGCAGATGTCCTTAGAGAAGCCGAACTTGCCCTTCAATCAAACCAAGGCGACACTATCAGCCGGGATGTCGATCTGGATGATCCTGCAATTCGCATTGCCCGACCCGGCAGCGACGTTTTCAAGCGAGCTCATGAACTTGAAATTGAGCAAAAAGCAAATGGTCACACCTCCGATGAGTTGGATGACAAGGAGCAGGGGAAGTCGGAGGAAATACTGGAGAAAATTCTCGAGCAAACCATGGAAATGTCCCAGGAAAGGCCCGGCCAGCCCCTAGAGGAATTGTCCGAGGAGAAACTTGAGGAAAAATTCGAAGAAAGGCTGGGAACAATGCCTGAACCTCTCGTGGAAAATCCAGTGGGAATTTTACCGGCCAAACCTGCGGAGAGACCTGTGGATGAAACGGCCGATAAAGATGAAGAATGGTCCGAGGAAAGGCTCGAGGAAACGTTCGAGGAAAGGACTGAGACAATGCCCGAGCAACCTATCATGGAAAAGCCGGTGGGAAACTTGCCCCCCAAGCCTGCAGAGAGATCTGTGATTGAGACGACCGATAATGATGAAGAATGGTCCGAGGTGGTCAAGGAAACTTTCGAGGAAAGGGTTAAGACAGTCCCTGAGGCAACTTTCGTAGAAAGAGTAGTAGACATTTCAGAGGCCAAGCCTGCGGAGGAGACGGATAAAGAGGATGTGAGCATGTCTGGCGGGCTTCCACACCAAATTGGAGCCGGCCCGAGCATTGAAACTGGGAAAACCCCAAAGACCGGCGAGAAGCGAGATGTGGAGGATGTCAATGGGACACGCTCGGAAGCCCAGGGTGAAAAGGAAGAAAAACCCGCAGCAAAGAAGCAGAGGACGGATTCATCCGGAACTAACGATGAAAGCTCAAAGAAGAAAAGAGGAAGGCCGGCTCAGGAGAAGAGTGGGCAGAAGAAAGAGAAGCCGAAGAAACCGGCCGCGACGGAATCCGGCCGACCTCGACGGAGTGGTCGCCTGGCTAGATCGTAGAATGGGGTATCTTATCGTCTCCAAAAGATGTGATTGCGAGTCTTCCATGCAAGACGCAATCGTTCATCGCGGATCGAATTGGATCGTCGCTGGGGATTTCGGGGAGTGGAATTCGTGGGACTCCTGAACATGACGAGGATGCTTTAATCTGTTCATATCCGCCCTCTATCGTTGAGTCGCTGTATAGTATTGCTGATTGTCACTATATAATATCATCAGTCTGTGTTTCCCAATTCTGATTCGACATAACTTACTGTCAATACAATCTCGCGTTGATGCACATTCCCAAGGGCCTCTCAGCGATAGTGGGGATACAGGAAGTTGGTGGGAAACGTCCAATTGAAACCCCAAGATTAATCCATTGCAGGCTACTGTTCCAACGCTCGGATGAAGGGATATCCTACGTCAAGCCATAGAGCAGGATCAAATCTGAACTCCTGCTCTACCACTGAGGCACTAATTCTTGCATTGCGGCCGAGGACATGATATACGAACAGACTAGACAGCAGAGCCACGAGCCGATATGTTGCTTTACAACTAGAAGTCAAGAACGTGATTCCTGGTTGTTTGGCTAACGAAATACCATCGTTGAGGTAGTGAAGGTGGGCGTCTGTGTCCTAATGAGGTATGCCGTACGCTTAACAATGATCAATCGCGGAGAATTTGCATCCGAGATATGCCCCTGAGATCGTTTAGTAGCGGAACTTTGCGAGATGCGATTGGCCCATCCGGTTGGATTCCTAGGTCGGACCAATCCATCAATCGCATCGCCTTTCGATCATTCGTTGTTCCTTCATCAGTCAAATCTCTTTGGATCAGGGCGGCCTTCCATCCTGAATTTAAAGCACCAACCACGTCCTTGTTGATGTCGTCTCCGACATAAACTTTGTCCCAATCGGATAGCGAACTATCAGCACCTGCCCCGGCTTCGAGATCGTGTATTGTCTCAAAGGCGAGTCTCTCGGCAGTGTTGAAGATCGATCTCGATGGCTTTTCTGCCCCCACATCATACGATAACGCCATGAAGGAAATGTCAGAGGACCCTTCACTGTTTGTCCGGCTCTTCTCAAGATTGGGTGTGCCACGGAGAGAAGCAACTGTTAAACCGAAACTTTTCAACACACCAATGATCCGATCATCTGAGTTCGAGATGATACCAACGACGGTCTGATTCCACGGCCACACTGTGGATGTGTCCTCGGATGCCCGGTTCCGTAACATTTTGAAGAAGGGTAGGACATCCGGGAAAAGCTGGTAACCCTCTGAAGATGAGAAACGATGTAAAATAGCTTCAACCAGCTCCGGCGGAGGCGATTTTTCATTCCAACTTGGCAAACATTGGAAAGTCGAGGTGATAACCTGTGGGCGACTGTCAGTCTGGCAGAGGAAAAGTGTAGACTTAACGGCAAAACAGTGACTCTGAGAAATGGTACTCAGATTCAAGGTGGGCAGCTCAAAGGTAGGATAGATTACATTCGCCCACCATTTCGTAGCATTCATGCCGCTACGTTTCCCGTAATTTGGGAATCTATTGGAATGTTTCTGAAAGGCTTCCAAGCTTCAGCGACGTCCGACTTGTTCGACATACAGAAGATCAACCTTTTCGAAAACAACGGTCGAGGTCATTTTCGACAATTCCCCCCAACCCATATGACCGGGCAACATCCGCATACTGAACTGCTATGGACTTTTTCGGTGTGAAGAGGGTTCCAAAGGCGTCCAAACCCAGGAGAAGATTTCGGCGTGTTCGAGCCATTATGGTAGCTTTTATAAGACCATGAAGTGCAAAAATGTCAATAATCTCCTGAATTTGGCATAACCGATACCATAATACCGATAGAAGATTCAAAAGACATTGGTGAGGTTGAACATCCATTGTGATATTGAGCGTGTTGGCTCCAGCGTCCAGGTCACGATGACCTAAATAGGTTTAGCGCGTCTTGGCACCGACTGTCGATTCAGAGCTCCTTTGGATTCTCATGTCAAAATCACAGAATCAGCTTCTCACAGAATCTATATCGCTCGACTTTACCCGGATAGGCGCCCTTCTTCACGTTTTTTGCACGCAGCTCTTCCTTCTGCCCTTCCTTCTGAAGATATTATTCCAAAATCCTTGCTCCCGATACCAAGACGCGGTTGAGTGACCGCGTCACAAGGCGGGGTTGAAGCCTACGAGACTCCAGAAGACTTAGAAGCACGTTGGTTATCCCAATAGAGCCAGTGGACTACATGCGATTGAATCCACGCCTCCGAAACATCCGCGGATCTTATCTGCAACTTTCTTTGCCGCATAGCTCAGTTGATCACACATCACCATGCCCTGCTTTCTTGGACTCGCCGTGTCGGTTCATACTCCGGATGGACCTTTGCCAGAGTATTCCATTCAACGTCAAACGAAGCATAGGAGAATTACCGCCTACATTCCGGTTCCTCCACCAACGATACCCAAAGACTCCACAACCAATCGACCCGAGCAGTCGAAGTTCATGATCAGTATCACATTACTGACACCAGGTCAAACGGTACCATACAGCACTCCGAAACCAACCGCAGATAACCCATATCCTCGACCGAAGCTTGTGAGCGGATTACCTGGCTACGGCGAGAAGTCTACTCCCAGCTCGGGTCCCGCTGTTGGACCTTATGTTCCAATCACCTCCAATCCGAACGAAACCATCGCGGCATACATCTATTTCGATGGTCGCCCAAAGGAAGAAGTTGCGACCCTTCTTCGACGTGGTGAAGAGACGTGGGTGAACAGCCGATGGGTATCAATTCCGGAATCCGAAGGTGGAGGGCTTGCCGAGCGCGATTTCATCTTCCGCGAAGTCGGTCTTGAACGATGGCTCAACGGATTGGATTTAGAGGGGAAGGACAAAGATCGAGCCGCGAAAATCGAGCGACGAAGGCAGCGTTTGGAAAGGAAGCGACGCGAAAAGCAAGAACGGAGAGAGAAGATCAAACAAGAAGAGCAAGGAGATGGAGATGGAATGGACAGCATGGACTTGGGTTTGGGATTGGAATCCTTCATCGAGTCTAGGAGAAAAAAGCTCAAGGAACGGAATGGAGTATTGCGATATGGTGAAGATACTTCCGCTCCGGTCGAAGCCCTGTCGGATGATGACGCGATATTTACGTCCAACTCCGATTCGGACGATGATCCGCCCGTGCCAGAAGCTGCGGGACAGATCAAGGTCGCATTATTCCGCGTCCTTGCTTCAGGTGAGATCAAGAGAGGCGAATATAGCCCGCAATTCGATGTTCACGATGATGAGGAAGGGCAAAGTCAAGGTGGAGAGAATAGTGAAGCAGATGTCGATCACACGACGAGTTTCGCGAAACCAAAAGCTTTGGATCCCAAGAGTATTTCAACTCAAACTGTGACCGGCATCGATCCTTCTGATCGACCATATGCCGTCTTCACGTTCCTATACAGGGGACAGCGTAAGAATCACACACCCTCTACTTGATCAGTTGCTGATACATGGTTTAGGTCAACTGCAGAAAATGGGCATTCTACCGACATCGACCCCATCCAAGGCGACCGCTCCTTCTTCCAAACGGCGGTCACAGGTGGATTTTGGGGATCTGAAGCCGCTCAACAAGAAAACCGGAACCAAAAACTTCGCTGGATATCGGGATTCCCATGCTAAACCGTCCATTCCCGGAAAGAATGGCGCAAAAGATGACGATATGGAGAGCGATGAAGATGAGGATGACCAGGATGAAGATGAGGATGACGAGAAGGATCCACAACCAGATCTATTGAGTCCTGAGGATGCAGCGCGTCTTGAAGGTGTCAGTGAAGGCGTGCGAAAAATCAAAGTATGTCTTCTTCCAACAGCGCTGTCGAGTGTCCGCTAACATTCCTAGCTCAAACGACAACACTCAGCTGAGCCTGTCGCCACATCTCTTGATGCAACAAGCACCACCGTCAACATTGAACCTATATCAGGGGCTCAATCGGCAGACAAAGAGAAGGTAGCTGGCTCCCCAACCGTTGGAAATGGGACTCTGGGTCCTACAACTGCGGCAACCAAGCTGGCGGAAGAGTCGACGGATGTCGCCGGCAGTCCATTCAAACGACAAAGGGCCAGTATTTCTGATGCGGGTGCTGCGGGAATTGTGGACGATATCGAAACCACAACTCCTTTGACGTTTGAGAAGATTCTCCCCAAAGAACCTACCAAGCCATTGACTCAGACAGGCACGGATATTGAGCCGGTGGACGAAGAGCTATGACCTAGGGGCTTCCGATTCGTCAAGTTGATAGGGACCTCACAGAGGGGTGATTCTTCTCCGGAAATTGACTAGACTATGCTTGTTGGTCTCATGGGCATCCCGTAACATGGGCATTCCATGAACATAGGGGACCTTTGTTCTGGTATCCTTGGAGTAATTGCTAACGATTGTGCGATTAGCTTGGTGCAAGGGAAGCGATACAAATTCTAAAGAGACAGGAATTATTCATGCAACCGGGTCTGACAGCCAAGGACATCGTTCCATGAGAAATGACACTGCATTGTCAGATTTACATAATTCCGCCTCATTACTTAGGTCTTAGGTAGTGAAACAACCTTCACATCCCGTTACTATACAAATGGGTATCATCAATTCGAAGTGCATGACATGGCACCAATCCTCTCTTTGGTATCTTGATGTGTACTCTATTCATCGTCAACGATAGAGCTCGCCAATGGTCCAAAGAATGGGATCTGATATCGATCCAACGTCTCCGCTAAATAGGTTAGCAGATGATCCAAACACAGGCGATAAGGTGACATACCATCACTATATGCGCGATATGTCAACCACGCTATTAGGAGGATATCCACAACGAGAAGGAGATATGATATGATGCTCGTCCATGAGAAGATGATGTGTATGATCTAATATCGTGAGAAGGCGATCCTCTAGAATGGAGCGCTGACGTACGAAGAGAAAGGCGAATAAGAGACTTGATTGCCATGCGTGGAACCTGTCATACAGTCAGTGAAACTATCAGATGGATATGAACGCCTGAAAGAACATACCTCACATAGTCACTCCAACTCTCAAAGACAAGGAGCATGACGGGTCCAGCGGGTGGAAGCAACAGATATGCCAAACATGCCTCGATGTCCATCCGTAATCCAAGCTTCGTGGCGAACAAATCCACAGCATCCCTTCCTCGGTCTATACCACCGGACTGTTCATCGGCCCTGGGATACGACACTGGACTTCTTGTTGGAACCGGAGGAGAGAGTGGACGGGAGATTGGAGGGGAAGCAACTCGGCGAGGAGATGTGCCTTGAAGAGGGGGGGACATCGCCCGGGCTTGTTCCGGTGGAGCATCTTGATATGGAGCAAACATACTTCATAGATTCGGACTTAATCCGTGGCTGGCTGTGTGAGGGATATGCGGATGGAACAGTTGGAGTCGGGGTTTGAAGTTGAATCATTTGACGTTGTGGATCTTATGGTTCGCTGTAGTACCTTCGTCATCGCTGTGACATCGGTCATCGGTGGGATCGGGATGTTTTCCGTGCAGGTCAAGAATAACCTTCACAATCCTCGACCTGCAGTTCCAATCAATAACCCGCATCCTCTTGTTATGGGGGAAAATGGCTGGCAATATTTTCACCCCCGTCTCCTCAGAGTCACCTCCAATCCCATCCCGCTCAGATCATCCAGTGCGAAGAGATGGTGTCTTCACAAGGTCAGCCCCCATGGATGATCCAAGACAGATTCCCTTAGGTTCTCCCGCCGAGTATCCTCTTCAAACCAACAAGTTTTATGCGAATATGCTCTTGGGTGATCGGTCAAACTCGGTATGGACACATCCGTACTCAGTCTCATGGGCCAAGGGCAGAGGAAATGCAAAGAGTTGGGGAATCAGCATCTCTCATATTGAACGTCATCAGCTTGCGTTAGGGCCCTTGAAACCAAGCGGTGCCGTACAATATTTCATCAACCCTGTTGGGATCCAGTCTATGATTCTCTCGGCTACCGAACTAGATCCTTCAAGCGTATTGACAACCGATTCATTGACAGCATTCAGTGTGAATGTCAACCTGTCACAGGCTGGATTTCCACCCCTCATAACATTTCCGCTGCTTCAAGGCATGGGCTTTGTGACTGCTCTTTACAAATCATGCAGGCCCCTTATTCAAAGTTCAGTCTTATTCAGGGGGATGGAGCCGGCAGGATCGCTCCGGAATATCACTTCAAAGTTTCGCGCTTTTCTCGAAGATGGCTCGATTTGGATGATCTATCTAACTCCATATGGAGGCCACAGAGAAAGTCTTTCGATGGTCAATAACACGACATTACAGGGACGTGATGGGTTTGGCGGAATGATTCAAGTTGCAAAACTTCCCAAAGGTGCCTCGGAGGAAATTTACGATACCTGCGCTGGAACATATGCCATATCCTGCGATTTATCTGCAGAGGTGTCAGACGATAATTGCCAGTATCATTTGAAATGGACGAAGTCTGGCTTACAAAACCCGCTTCTGATGTAAGTAGAGCATCCGGGAAGAACGAAGTATATCCCCGGAGTTGACGTCGGGGAGATTTCCAACTTCATTTTTGGCATATTGACACACTCTAGGTTTGCGCTTCCGCATCACGCCAGTTCTTTTGACAGGAACACCGTCATGGCGGTTCGAAATCTTCATTTGCAGACAACCACGAAAGGACTGGCGGTTGCAGTCATGTCGGATTGCTGGACAATGAGGGAGAGGCTTCCCATTGATATCGGGTTCGCACCATGGCATCCGGCAAAGGGCTCTATAACAAATGTTTCTCCTGCTGCGACTCGAACGATAAGAGCTGTGGGCGAGAAAGAAATAGCACAGGACTTCCTCTCACAATGCTGCTTGGATAGCATGTATTTTAGCGGCAAAGGATTAGCGAAATGTATGTGCCAACCTCAATATGCTGCTCCGTTACCTAATTGTGATAGTTGCAATGATGCTTTTTGTCCTCCGCGATCTTGTCGAGTGTCCGGACCTTGTTCAATCCGGACTGGAGAAATTGAAACAAGTTTTTGCTGTGTTCATCTCCAACAAACAGCCCAACCCTCTCGCCTATGACCAGGTCTGGAAAGGGGTCATCTCGATCGCAGGAATGAAAGATGGACCAGGTGCAGACTTCGGCAATTCATGGTACAACGACCATCACTTCCACTACGGCTATCACGTCTACGCTGCTGCAATGATCGGGTATCTTGATCCAAGCTGGTTACAAGATCTGCGGCATACGTCCTGGGTGAACATGCTCGTTCGGGACTTCGCCTCTCCCGTGTGTGATGAATATTTCCCATTTTCTCGATCCTTTGACTGGTATCATGGCCATAGTTGGGCGAAGGGTCTTTTTGAGAGTGCCGATGGCAAAGATCAAGAGAGTACAAGTGAAGATGCCTTTGCTTCCTACGCACTCAAGATGTGGGGAAAAGTCACTGGCGATCGAAATTTGGAGGCTCGTGGAAATCTCATGCTTGCAATTCAAGCCAGGTCATTCCCGACGTATTTTCTCATGGAGTCAAAAAACAACATTCATCCTCCTCAATTCATTGGGAACAAAGTGACAGGCATCTTGTTCGAAAACAAGGGAGATCATGCGACATACTTTGGGTCCAACCTCGAATATATTCAAGGCATCCACATGATCCCTTTGAATCCAACATCAGCCCTTATTCGAAGTGTTCAATTCGTGGAAGAAGAGTGGAATACATACTTCAGCAATGGTCGATGTAACCAAGTTGATGGAGGCTGGAGAGGGATCTTATACGCGAACTTGGCTCTTGTGAATCCAAAAAAGGCATTCGAATTCTTTTCTCAACCAAATTTTGACATGAGTTGGATCGATGGTGGAGCTTCAAGGACTTGGTATTTGGCATATTGTGCTGCACTTGCAGGGCTGTGATACCTCCGAGGGTTGAAAATGTCGAAGGACTGTTGACAAAATCAACTGATAGCATTTCATCTTCGTATCCTACGTTACTTATCCGAGTCCGAGTCAGCGAACATGTCGACTGCTCGTGGACGCACTGGTCGTGCCTTTGTCTCGTTCACCTGTTGTGAGGTTTTACTGAGTTCTGGCGGTTCAGATACTCCAGCGTCCGGCTCGGTCCCTACCGGCACCCCATCGACGTCTTCATCCATTTCTTCACCGTCCAACTCTTCGTCCATTACTTCACCATCTAGATCGTCCATGGCCTCGCCATCAAGATTGTCTTCCATGGCTTCGCCGTCCAGATCCATTGCATCTATGTCCCCCGAACTACCCTCTCCAGGCTTGGCTTCTGCATTCGGAGAAGCATCATTCTGCCTTGGCTCGTCGGCATCAACTGCTTTCCATCTTGAGCGATCCGTCTTCACTAATGGCTTCTCTTCAGGATACTCCGAGGGTTTCTCCGCATTTGCCGCTTGATTGAACGCTTGTACGAACTTCTCCTGTCCTTCAGTAGAGAAGACGCTCCAACCCTCCCAAAGATTGAGAAGATTCATCACACTTCTCTTCCATTTTTCGGCTTTCAATCTTCCCCATCCGAGAACCTTCTCCATCTCACCCAAACGCTCAAAGATCTTCCTTTGAGTCAGTGCCGCCTCGAATAATTGACGATATTTCCAAGCATGCCGAACACCCGACACGCTGGAAGATTGAAGGGTGTCTGAAACAACATATAATGCAATGAGTTTTGATGCCGATTGATCTTTCGTCCCTCGATTTTCAGAGTCTTCCATGGAGATATGATCGAACTTCAATCGTTCGTCATCTTCAGGACCGCCTTCAATGTCGGGTTCTTGATTCGCCTTGGAATATGCAAATGGTCGTTCGACATTGGCTGCGATCAAATCCGCAACTTCCTTCCCTGCCGATGCATTCGAAATGGCAAAAGCCGTCACCCGGGCGACATCTCCCTTTCGAAGTCGACCAGTCGATGTAGGAAGCCGTGCCAATAGGTATGTGAGTTTCGCTTTTTGCAGGGGATTTAGATAGGATTCCTCGTAGCTGTCTACATCCTGACCCTCGCGTTTTGATCGCTGCTTTGCAACTTCCTCTTCATCCGAATGGTCCTCTTCCGACGAGTCATAGTCGAGGGAATCGCTTACGAATTGTTCGAAGTTGGTGGAGAATTCGAAACGCAATGAAGCATCAGGTGCCATCCATGGCGCTCCTCCATCAAAAACGGCGTTGAGTCCGGAGTGGCCATGCCCTCCACGGTTCTCATGATCGGTTCCAGTCATGATGCTCCACAATCTCCAACGATACCAAACACCTCCAGTACTTCGAGCATCCCAAATCCAAGCCCATTTCTCTTGCCTCTGAACATCGGGTCTTGACATGAGAAGAGCTTCAAACTCCGGCCCATGTTTGATGATGGCCTCCACGGTTTTGTGGATCATTTTGATTTGCTGGAGGTCCGAAGGCGGACCAACCATGATTTGTGATGGAGCTTGTTTGACTATATTTTGCCTTCCACCAAGGGATTCTGGTGGTGCGAATGAACCCTTCAAACCCCCGGGAGGAACTCGGTTAAAGGATGGTTGCATAATCGCTTTAGCACCGAAAGGAAGACTTGCAGAAATCTTGCTCAAATCTGGGAGACCCGGTGCTAGTGCTGCGGAGGAGAGATGCCTTCCTAGGCTCAAATAATATCCCCAACCCAGATATCGCCCTTGCAGTGTGGAGACGGCGGAATCAATGTCACTGGCTGGTGTGTCCTTGGCCAATGTCACGATTGCTACTCCGGATCTCCTATCCGTGTCCAATGACTGAGTTGTACGGTTCGATTGTATACGGACATTCTCGACTCGCAGTAAACCAGGTAGAAGCGACTTGACTAGGATGCCGGTCATTCCTGGTGGTAGGTTGCTCATCCGAAGGGTTGGCCTGGCTGCTGCTTTCTCCGACGCTTCGGTATGATCTTCCACGATGTCCGCTTCATCATCGTCAAGTGCAAATCGGGATACAGCCGTTTGCCGTGGATGTTCCTCATTGTATGCGAATATCGGTCGATCTCTTTCATTCCGTGGTATCGAGGATCCGTCTGCGGTTCGCTTCTTTGAAATCGAGCTCGGAGGTCCCAAGCTGCCCGGGCCACTGCCTATCATCGACTTTCTCTGGACTGGTGTGAAGTGTCTTTTGGTCGCACCGAACCCGGCATTTCCAACCCGCCTTCGGGGTCCAGCATCATGTCGGTCATGCTCGTCTTCATCCCCGGCAAAGCTCTTCACAAATTCCTCATATGCAGCCTTTGTCTCTGCATCTTCTCGTGTTCGCTTGGCCTCCGCCTCTTCCTTTTGGCGTTCAAAGACGGATTTCTTGCTCGGTGCGCTGAGTTTGGTCGCAAGGGAAGGGAACTGCTTGATCGGTTTCTCACTCATATTGGTTAACGTCGAGGTTGTGAACAGGTGATATTAACCCTCTAAATGAAGATGAGCATGGGCATACTGCTAAACAGATTGAGATTGAATCTGAGCAGAAGGATTGTAGAAGTGATGTGACTGGCTATCTGGCAGACTGGCACCTTGATGTCCCAAATGGCATCTCAAGCTTCATATGGTCTGTGCGTTTGTCAACGACACGTCGGTCACGTCCTGACGTCCGTCACGTCTTCGAATATGTCAGAAGTACAGCTTCTCTCATTGAACTTCACATTGTCTTTCTCGCTCAAATAGAAGCTGCTTCACCCAGAGGATCGCAAAAATGGGACCCAAGAAAGGAGACAGAAAAGGAAATAAATACTCCGTCCTCCTCCCCACCTACAATGAACGAAGGAATCTCCCCATCATTATCTGGCTCCTGAACAAGACGTTCACAGAACAGTGAGATCCTTGGCCCATTCTGGAGTTCACGCTGACGTCGGGAGGGACATTGACTGGGAAGTCGTTATCGTCGACGACGGTTCTCCTGATGGCACCCAAGATATCGCGAAACAATTACAGAAAGTCTACCCAGGACGAATCCTCTTGAAACCACGTGCCGGCAAGCTTGGTTTGGGAACCGCATATGTCCATGGTCTCCAATTTGCTACCGGCAACTTTGTCATAATCATGGATGCCGACTTCAGCCACCACCCGAAATTCATTCCGGAGATGATCAGACTTCAAAAGCGAGGGGGCTATGACATCGTCACTGGAACACGGTACGCTGGCGATGGAGGAGTCTACGGCTGGGATTTGAAGAGGAAGTTTGTCAGCAGAGGCGCGAACCTTTTCGCCGATACCGTCCTTCGACCTGGCGTTAGCGACCTGACTGGTAGCTTTAGGCTATACAAGAAGCCGGTCTTGGACAAAGTCATCAAGAGCACAGAGAGCAAGGGATACACTTTCCAGATGGAGTTGATGGTCCGAGCAAAAGCAATGGGTTTCAAAGTGGCAGAGGTTCCGATATCTTTCGTCGACCGCGTGTACGGCGAGAGCAAGCTAGGTGGGGATGAAATCGTGGAATATGCCAAAGGGGTCTTGAATCTTTGGTTGAAGGTGTAAAGTGGATGCTCTGCAATGCCTTCAAGGACGCATCAATGGCGTTCCCTGGTGTTCATGGTCATTCTATTTTGGTGGGCGGTTGGGGTCAGCGATTCATGCGCATACAACAAACACTGAGCAAACGGCTCAGAACCCGACCGCAAAGCGGCGGACAGAGAGCGGAAAGCAGTCAAATATTGGCCACCGGCCTCAATAGTGCTGAGACGCCCTTTTGTCGGAGGCGTGGCTTCACAGCATAGTGTCATACCAATCACCTCTTGAAAGAGCTTCGAAGTCATTCCACTTGTCCCACGTTCCTTTCCTGACCTATGTCGCAGCGATGTCTAGCAGCCTTTCATTTTACCTGGTCAGCATCCAACCCTTTGCGGTCTACAACAGCTCTCATCCCGCTCTTCCGCTGCTCAGCTGAGAAATCCTCTCCGCCGAGTCGGTCGGCGATGCCACCTTTTCAACCCGCAAGAGAGATGGGAGAGGGAATTGACGGCCCTGAAGTCTACCAGGGTTTCCAAATCTTCAAATCTACAACTGATTTTATATAACTTGCATCTCAAGGCGGATCGGTGTAGCGTTCCGTGACATAGGCTGGACTGGTACGTCATCCTCTCAGGTTCCAACCGAACTGTTGTTCATTCATAACCTGAGTCACGAATCGATTTGCTTGAGTATCGTTTGCAATTCAGCTCCATCAAACAATTTCAGTGCCTATTTTCAGTAATTTCTTCTCGCCCTCCCCTCCTCAAAAGGACAGCCTTTCCCAGCCGTACCATGAATCTTCTTCTTTTGGCACATCAAATTCATGCTTCGGAATAGTGTCCCAACTATGAGATTCGGTGAGACTTAGCTGTATTTGATGTTACGTCCTCACGCAGTGGGTTTCAGTCGTATACGCAAGTTCTGGATGCTCAAATCTCAAACTATACAGAATACCCAGTATTCCATGCTTTGCGTTTTTGTTCGGAAGTGGGTGCATCCAGGATTCCATCTTTCTTTAGAAGACCTGTCCTTGTGTTCAGTTTTGTTGTCCACTCCTAAAAAAAAGGTTTGCTTCTCGAGATAGAGAAAATATTGACCCTCTAGTTCATAGCGCTCGAGCGCCTAAAACGGAGATGGTAGGCCGCGAAGCAGATTCGAAGAAAAATCTGCCTCGCTCACATGGAGTGGGTTTCACACAATGCACCCGAGTTCCAAAAAGGATCCGACTTGGGAGCAAGGCTTTCGCTATCGACGTGACCAGCCCAGATGCGCAATAATTCCGGGCCAGTTTCTAAAAAATGGTCACGATCGTTGCGGAACATTCCATGCCCTGGTGGTTTTGCGACGAAGCGAAAAATCAAGATCAGATTCTCGAGGGCCTTCCATCACGCCGTGTCGACCGCCAAACATGAGCATATGGTGCTAAGCTTCTATACAATAGAAGCCCAAACGCTTTTACGCAAGCTTCATCCCATTCTCGAGGACTTGGAGTCACTTTCTCGACTCGACAAGGACAATTTGGCGCGGCGATGAATCTGCGAGTAGTTAAAACCGGCTTCGACCGAAACTACCCGGGTTCAGTCCTGTTGACAGAAGGAATTACGATGATCATCTCACGGCCGACTTCGCAATTTGTCACTGATGGTGGCGAGATCGACGCACCAGCCTGAGGACTCTGTGAGGATGGTCTTGGAGTCGATGAGGAAGAACCGGGACATGGTGAGGGCGAAGAATTGCCATGACCGGGACTTTGAGGAGGACGAGGACTCTGTGACGATCGCATTGAGACGATGAAGGGGGGTTGCCCAGTCTGGGATGGTCTCCGAGGTGGGGTACTCATCGTGCTGATTGTACGCTTTGGGAAGCAAAGCCTAGTCAGAAACAACGGAAATCTGGAGAGGAAAAGCTGGAAAGGAAAAGCTGGAGAGGGAAAGCTAGAGAGGGAAAGCTGGAGAGGGAACGCCTTGTGATATTGGACAAGTTCTACAGAAGTGAGGTTGGAAAAAGCAAGTCTGCAGAATGTCGGAGAAGCAGAACATGTTTTGGCAGAAGAAAAGAAAGTGGGGAAGTTCTGAAGTTAGAGTACATTAAATATTCAACATCCATGATGATGAAGATTGTTTGTGATAATGAATCAGTAATAATGCATGTGGACAATCATGATAACTACATCAAGTGGATGAGTCGATAGAAACTAGCAGATACCCACAGTCACCAGCATACTGGTAAAATGTCAACTTAAGAACAACACACAGTAAGGTAGGAAATTATAGTTTGTTACATTCGAATTGGAAGAAACTGAGGACATGGAATCCTATCCTCGGGGTGCCGAAAGGCCTATACCGTTGCTTCCTACTTATCGAAAGATATAGGATTTTCCCTTATTAGGCTAGTAAGTTGATACAACCCTGATTTGCCGTGGGCTGGAGGGCATCCAACGGCCAAAAACTCGCTGAAATAAACGAAATAGAATCCTCTTTTCCGTAAGCCGGAGGAGGGCATCCAACGGTGAAGACCCACTTGAATAGACGAAATAGATTAGTGTATGAAGAGATTCAAACCGTTCCATTTTGGATGCTGTGAAAACCTGGATATGGAAGAGTGAATACTAGCCCTGTTGAAGGACTTTTTTTGTATGATAATTTGGCGCGTTGTCTGGTCCGTCATGCTTTGAACTTCGCTAGGCTTTACCCTAGTGATACCTGTTCCAAGACCTTTGTTTCTCCAAAATTTGTCATTTTGAACCTGGAAATGAAGTCGTCGTGATTAATATATCCACCACAGAGGCGTCGTTTCCCAGTGAAGTTCGACCGACCATGGAGGACCCGCCAGTTGTCGAATACTATCAGAATGTAAGCATATAATTCGGACACTGATGGATTCGAAGAACAAAGAGCAATGAAATCCTTGCTGATCGCTGGGTTGACTTGAGAGGATTATTTCAAGGTGAGTGCGGATGAAATACATACTCAGTGGACGTTCTGGCCGCAATTGTTCCCAGTAATGGTGATGCTCAAGTTGCCGTGCCCATTTCCTGGTCCTGTTAGTAGAGCTCAACTGTCCCAGCGGACTGCGTACCTTGCTGCCTTGTACCAGAGATCCATATCTTCAAGTGGCAAGTCAATCGCAGCCCGATCCGTGGTATTCCATCGCACTTGGATGAGCTCCCCCGATTGAGTGTCGTGGTTCAAAACAGGGTATGTCTGGAACGGTTGGATGCTGAGACCCTCATTGCCGCTTGCATGAGAATGAACTGGCACTTCGCTCAAAATCTTGTATGCTTGTGGATCTTCATCCCGAAGGGCTTTCGCAGTGGCGAAGCCGTCGGAAAGCAGAGATTTTCCTCCTTGGCCGCCAGTATGGGAAAGAAGATGGAACATCTGCAGGCCACATGGATCGGAGAAGTATGTTGTGTCCGTATGAGAGCCGATCGCTAGCGTTGTATACGCCGTGTCTTTAGCTGCCATGTTGGCGGTGAAGTCCCAAAACGCCCCTTTATAAATATTAGCATTGTCGGGGTATCAAAGTATGGGTACTATAGACCGTAATGCGTGTTTCGAATGTAGGAAATTCTTTCCAAAAGTTTCTCCGTCGCTTCAGGCGTGGCCGGACAGCCGTTGACATATGCGAACCCGTATTTGCGCTGAATCATATTAGTCGACTCATTCAAGAATGGACCACCACTTACAATGAGCAGAAGCCACTCCCCCACGCCTTCGTCGGATTCCATAACCTTCGCATATTCAACCTCGACCGGCGTTTGCTTGAAGTCGGTTTCACTCGACCAGAGGACGACACTGACGATATAAGTTGTGGAAGATGCAACAGTGCAACGACTTACTCAGTCGTGCCCTGTCGTCCAACCGCCCTCGTCTTTCCTTTCAATGCACTCGCTGCAAGCCAATCTCTGGGATATTGCGAGGTATGGCCATCGGAGACTATCTCATCAGCGATAGTATGCAAAGTAGGCGGGTGTTTTGGACTGACAGGAAACTTGCACCAAATCCCCTTCCTCCCGTACGTCTAAAATATGTATATCCTCTGGCAGCTTGTATGCCGTCAGTCTAGTGGGAGAGCCACATCTGTGCACTTACTTCAAGGAATGTCTCGATGAGTCGCTGCTTTGTCTCTGGGTGGAAACATGTTGGGCAGCGGCAGTGGTCCCTGATCGGTCAGACCATCTTCCCTAAGTAATGGCTGGCTGTATTACCTCAACCACAATGGCGGCCTGACTTGTTAGCAGCATGGATATTAGGTCAAGGTCAAGGACTTACACTTGGACGTAACCATCCTTTGTATCGGAGAATGCGAAGAGAGCACCATCTTGAGCCCGCACTGGTTTGCGGGTCTTAGATTGGGAGAGTCCAAAGCTTGCCTAGGATATGTTAGGTATTCTCCCACCGATTACAGCGAGTCAGACATCACCATACAAACGTATACCTCCAAGGTGGAGAAGGCCGGCCTGAAGACAGCGCGGGATGTCTGACATGTTGTATGAAACTGATAGGGCGGCGACCGATTTGAAGACTACAAGCTATCACCTTGAAATGAAACGTTATTGATAAAACAATCTGACTTGTCATTGATTTGGGGCACCAACAGATCGAGACATATTTCGTGCGAGAATCGAGAACGCAGCACAACAGGACACACCGCTAGAAATGGATATTCAATGGCCCACAACAAATTGGAGCAAACTCGACTATAAGACTATCGCGAAGCAGAATCATCAAGAGAAATACTTCATTCGAATCCTTGCTTCCAACTGTGGTGTTATGAAATGTAGTAGTCTACAAGTGCCCAGAGGTGGTGTTGAATGTCTAAATATTTGGTGGGGTGGTGCTCTGGCGTACCATTAGTCCCAATAGTATAGACTTACCCCTGACGCCACAACCGAGGAGTCCCATATCAAAACACAGCCGAGCAATGTGGGACCTTTGGATCCATCACCCCGCTATGTTGTCATTCAGTTTAATAAATTCAATGCAGATACGGGCCAGCTAGATCAATGGTAGATCGCCACTTTCCGGTAGAGTTTGGTGGAGGTTTTGGGTTCGAGTCCCAAGTTGGTCGACCTTTTTTTTGCCCGTCGTCTGGATTTTGATACACCTAAACTTGGGAAGACAGGTGTGATGTTTTTTTTGAGAGCTGCATGAGAGAACGGATGGTCTAATACGAATGTGCTATCTAGTTAGGGCACCTACTACTGCTGATGGTTCTTGTCAAGGCCTGCTTAGACAAAGGATCAAAGTCCGCTATATTTTAGTCTTTGGAAAGTGCGATGTATTTTGCATTTTAATGTGCTTTGATATAGTTAATTTACTTCAAGTTTCGCTAACTAGTTAACGAGTAAAGTAATTCCTAGTCATCACCTAGGTCAGTTGCATACGATAATGCATTCGACAGCATCGCAGTCTACAAGATCCATATCCCTCCCAGCTACCTACAACTCGAGCCATCAAAGGACTTCCTCTGGGGGTCCCAATCACGACTGTCGACAACCGTCAAGGCACAATTTTCAGACGGCACTTGTTATCTTAAAGCTAGTGGTGAACCTCGCCAGACTGAGCAAAACCAAATCATGGGCGAAAGGCGTCATCGTGATGTCCTTCTCTGAGGATCAAATCCAGATCCTCAAGTCCCTGTGTTCCCCGCTGAAGATGACTGAGCACACGAGAATGATGGGACCTCGCGAATCGCAAGGAGGTGAAGCCAACGTCGCTATCGTCGACTGTGTCACTCTTGGGAGCGGAGCTGGAGAGTCCATGAGACATCTTTGAAGGTGATGCACGGCTATTTTGCGCCGTTGTTTCGGATGCGAAAATGGGAAAAGTTTGTTTGCTATTAGGGGTTCGGTAAGAAAAAGGACCACGCCGAGTCTGGGACTTGGAGGTTTTCCTGGGAAGACGCCCGAGAGTCCAGGTCGATTCTCCATGGCAGCACAAGACGCTTATCAAACATGAACCCAGATGGTTGGGTTCTCCAGGATTTTGCTGAAGAGAATGGCAGTTGGAAAAAGGACATTTGCACCGTATTTCAAGCAGTACAGAGGGAATGGACTCCACACCCCCAGGCGTAAAAATGCCAGTACCGAAGTCTTAGTTCACGTCCGAAGCCGCCGTCAACAAAGCTACTTCGAGAGATCTTCTTTGAAGCCACTTTAGCTTCTGAGGATGTCATCGACAAATACCTGGGCAGTGGAAGTTTAGAGGGCGACGTGCATGTTGCAATCAATCGATACTTCTCAGACAAGGTCATTTCCACTGACTAGGTGGTTTGAAGAGACTGGCCGCGGCACCATGCACGAGACTTCATGGTTTTATGCCTTAGTGATAAATCAATACCGCATCATCGACTTTAAGATGCGCAGTTAACCTGTGATATTCTGACTCAAGTGACTAGAAAGTAATGGATTCGACAAGCTGATTAGTCTCGCTGATTTCCGCGAAGTCCGGTTCTTCGAGTTCTAATAAGCCCATACTGCGCCGCCTTGTATATCGCAGTTCGTCGATCTATCCGACCTGGATTCCGTCACCCGTGGGACATACCATCGTGTAGAAGACCGCAACTTCAGTTAGTGGCTAGCGGAGTCGATGAAAGCCCACATTCCTCCATTCCACTCTTTTTGAGGACTACAGACTCAGACGGGGTGGAGTGTGGTTACGAAGGCCACACCATACCCACATCACCATCACCCGACATGTTCATGCCATCAAACAGGTTCGGAATACCCTTTATAACACCAGCTTCAAATGAGCGCCGATCATGAGACACTGCCGCTAGATGGTGCAATTCTTCCACCTCTTTCTAGTTGTCTCCCACGAGGAGGTCCGTCATTGTTGCTGTACCCGAAAAATCTTCAACGGTGTCAATCCTATGATCCGCGCTGGATCTCGAAAATGCGCCAGGTTTATCCGGAATCGCCCTGACCAAAACGAAGGTACTCATCGTCGCCAAATTGATGGCCCGCTCGAAGATTTCCGCGCTCTTGCTTGAAAGCCGTAATGTCCCAACGGTATTCGTCTAGTTTTTCACGGTAGATTGCAGCTGCTTCATTTGTCTCACTGGTTGCCCATAAAAGACCAATGAAGGTGGCAATCAGAGCGAAATTGTACGCGGAGGCTGAATACCAAAATGATTGAAGATGCTCAGGGCGGAGACTGTTGACAAACCTGAGCGCGTTGACTAGCCTAGTGTGCGCTGCAGCTCGACATATTTGTATCAGGGCCGGGTCATGTTCAGTCGAGAGGTAAAAGATCAGGCGTCGGTGAAGTGCTATTTCCGTTGCGTAGTAGGCAAGATGGAGGTACCCTAGGGAAGTGAGTCGACCCGTGAAACTAAAGGATATTTGGGCGAAGAGGTACCTGTAGAAGACAACTTCCGAATTGCAACGTTTGCCAACTTTAGGTCCTCTGGTAAGGTGGTAAACCATGCTTTCAGTTGAAGCTGGATTGGTTTAGCATGTTCAAGTAGCCAGTCAATTTTGAGGTTGCGCCGCAGTTCCGCATCGGCTTTGAGTGAGTAGAAGGAGGAGAGGATATCGGCCAATATTCGAGCGAGGTCGATCATCTTCCAAAACAAAACCCTACCCTTTTCCATTTCCGTACTTCCTTCTTCATTGTCTTCGTCTGCAGCCCGCTCCGGGAAGTCGACTTCAGTCAACTCAGTCACATCCCAGTCTTCGTCTGTAATATGTGATGGCCGCCCATGGACCAGACAACCCCATTTATCTTGCATATATAATGCCCAAGCTAAACGTTTCCGCAAGCCTTTCTCCCACGGAGGGATCTGCCAATGGGAGCAGTCCAAATGTAAACCCAACTCTTGGCCCAATGCTACCAGATTTGAGACGAGTAACCACGATTCCCCATTTGGTCGCTGAAGCAAAAGAAGGCCTGCCTGGATCATGGATAGCTTTGGGCGGTGGACAACATCACCCATAGCTTTTAGAGCAATCTCTTCCAGGCGAGGAAGGTCTGGTTTCGGAAGTAGGGCGAGTTCTGAGCTATACGTCCACCAGTTCAGGGCCAGGATGCAGACAGCTGCGAGAAGTGGTGGAGAGAACTCTCGATGGGTACGAGAATATTTCTCGAGGAAGACTTTCTTGTGAAGTACAGGGAAGCTGGGGTGAACGATTCGGAAGTATATGTTTATTAATGCCTGCCCATGAGGAGAGACGATGGTTCCAATAGAGTCAAGATCATCCACCTCTTGATCGCAATTTCTTGTCCCATGATCGGGTGTCAGCAGAAAACCGACTCTATCCGCAACTTTTCGCAGAACGGAGCTGCCAATGGCAATGTCCTCTATACTTTGAAACCCTCCGAGTTCCAAGAGCTTAGGATCAAAAACGGAAGAGGCGGTAACTAGGGCACTGTGACGGTGATTCTGTAAACCCAACGTTTGTTTTAGAAGTGATGGTCCTTTCAAAGTGGCATAATCCTCAACGAGGTGCTGTTGGCGAATAGCATTTGATACGGGACCAGGTTGCGATCCGATTGACCGCGATTCTTGACCATGGCCCGAAAGAGGGTCATTTGGTGATTTGACACCATTTTCCGATATGGGACTCTTGCTAACTCTTCGCTTTTTTCGCGGCTGCGGATCTTCTAAAAAAGTGCAAGGCTGATGATGGAATTGGCACAATACACATTCTGGTTCTCCCTCATGAAGCTCGCATCGACTCTTCCGTTTTCGACACGCGTCACAGGGGCGCCGAGGACGACTTGAAAGAGCATTTCGGGACGCGGTTGTCACCAAAAGACCTGAATTGTCGCGTTCGACTCGTGATGCCATGGTTGTACGCATCGACGGAAAGATTGATTGAATTACTGTCCGTAAAAGGTGCCTCTAGGTATGTTGAACATATAGGATGTCATGGATAGATTTCCTTGGAATAGAACCGCAGAAACCATGATGGGAGATTCAAAAGGACAGTAATAGAATTGAGTCAAATCTGTGAGGTAACGCGATAAGGAAACTAATTCCATAGTCATGTAAGTAGTTAGTCTTCCACTCCTTCATCTCCTCAACGGTCTAATCGTTCTGCTTTCGTCTACAACAGACCGACTTCTTTTCGCGATCTAAAGCTTGAATGTTATGAAAAGGGGAAGGATGTGGTTAGGACTCTCTACCTTTCTACTCCGGGAAACGCCCCGCCGGAGCTGGATCATGGCATCATGCCATTCATGAAGGTGGGAAACGAGTAGTATATAGCGGGAAGGTATAGGAGCATCGATGAGAGTCATGGAGCGAGAATTCAACATTCTCTTGCCTCGGATTCTTCTGCTTGGACCTCGCCCAATCTAATTCAAACTAAACACTCTTGCGAATCTGGTAGGACGGAATGCAGCTCATCCAACCGCATTCCCTATCTCGAGACGACAAAACACGAGATATCTCAAACATCAACCACGATGCGTACGCAACTTGAATCAAGTTAGTTACGAGATCATCAAGTTCATCAGTTCATACAATATCTCCTGATAATATTTCGTACTGTTCGAAATCTCACAACGTAAAGCCATCCCACCAGATCCTAGATCCTATTTACGATTCGATTCTCCATTTCAGGAGCCTAGGGGCGGACGCCAAAGGTGAAGGACCATCTGATATCCTGGATACTTCAATCTAGTATTCCAAACTCAACTTAAATGTGTCCCATGCCGAGCTTGGTAATTTCGTTCCCGGCTTTGAGTCCCAGGCTGAAATCATAGAAGAGGCCTGCTGTGGTCACAGCAGCCAACATGACACAGCTGCGGTAGTGTCGGTCCAAGATAGTTGATAATGCGCGGAGATGTTGGCTTCAGACCGTCCTCTGGATTAGTCTATCTAGTACAACATCGTAGTCGTGCGGTTGCCGAGAGCACCGAATTCACCGATGGCGCCGGGCAGTTAGGAAACAGGACTGTCATTGAACGCTCAGGTAAGTGCTCTCCTGGAAGAAATGAAACCTCATGTGGAGAAACTGTATACGGTCGTTCGCTTATCGAAAGAAGCTGGTTTGTTTCATTCGCTACCAGCATGAGTAAAGCGATCGGACCTAAAAGAGATAACTGTCGGACTCAACTAGGGAAGGCCGTCAAATGGGTATCCCTTGGAAGCTTCGTGGGTATGCTTGGTTTGAATGGGGGCTGATATGTCTCTGGTTCTAGGGCCTGGATGAGGATGTCAAAGGCACAGTTCGATCAATTTCATCCACGATACGGAAACCCCACACGCCAAGAATACAGGACGAAGTTAAACCGTGAAGCATTGCCTGGCGCGACAGATTGGTACATGTAACTAGAGAGTTGGGTAGGCACGGTAGGCAATAAAGTTAAAAGATGGATGTCCGAGCCTCCGAGGTACCAATCAAGGCACTACATTTTGAATCTCTAGACCCACTCATCAACGCCTACTGTTCAGCTCAGCCATCTCAGGGGCTCGGAAGAACGGGCGTGCATTTGGAAATCAACAATGCAACCACATCGAACGACATCGAACCGAATCGGAACGGCATGGTTGGATGAAATGTCAAGTCCTGCTGTCAGGGGAAAGCAGCCACCCTACAAGTTAACAAGTACGCGCGGGAGAATCGATGACCCGAGGAATTACCCTCCTATCCAGGAGCTTTACCGCTACTATTTATAGACTCCAATCATCAAAGACCCTGAACCTCGCCAAAGAAAGCAGCGAAGTCGATGCAGATACAATCCGATAATAATATTCCGTACATGGCAGCAGAAAAAGAGAGGAAAGAAATGGTGAGGTTCTCCATATGTGGAGCGACGCGACTGATATGTACGTGTCATGGGCGCGAAGGAATCTGATCCATATCGGACGCATCACGCAATATGGATTCTTCCCCCGGTTTATTGCTTTCAAAGTTACTAGTTACCGAATTCAATACCCCAGTCAATAATACTCTGTAAGGCTGACCGGATCTCGCCCATCTCGGTTTCGCCAATGAGGCTGAACTGCGACTGTTTCTAGCTGTCCATGCGCTGTCGACTGTTCTGTCTCCCAATAACTTCACCTTCCGCCAAAAGTCGCCGATTCATTATCTCTTGGAATGACAATCTATATCTATATTTCTGGTTCGCATAGTTGTCGCCTTCACGCGCTAATCGTTAATGTCTTGTCTATAACTTGAGGCCGATTTCTATCCGACCACGATGTGCTTCTGATCTCCCTTCAGGGTGCGACATATCTCCCGATGTTCAATCATTACAGTATCTAGTCACCGGGTGCTACCAACAAAACGTCGCTCGTTCCTCGAACAGTTTATCGCATTTCAGAGATACTTTCCTGGCCACACGTTTTGGATATGCCTTGAATCCATCTTGTCGTTACGACACAAGCCTTGGAAGGTTTCACCCGGGGACACGAAAATGGACAATGTTCCTCCCGTGCTGCGGGTAGGAACCCCTCAGCATACTCACCGCAATAATCGAGACTCATCAAGTGGCCGTATCAGCCCTCCATCTGCCTCATCCACGAGCAATCCCTACGACACAATCCACCGACAACCTGGGTCACCTGGGTCCACCCATTTCCCCTCCCGGCCACCTTCAATCGCGTCACCGCTTGAATCCTCCTATTTGGATCGCAACTCACCTCGCAGAACATCCATACCAAGCCCCTTGCTGCCAGCTTCTCAACCAGCATACCGTGTCCCCGACGCCCCTCCTCCGCCCTCCTTCTCCGAGAATACGTCCTACCAGCCCACCAGTTACCAGAATAATCCCCCAGCCACGTCAAGGAGACCCAGTCTCCTGAAAAGGATTACTTCGCTTCGAACGGCAAGGCAGTCGAGATATGGGGTCATAACGAACCATGGTGATGACGATCATATCAGATTGCGGGACGTGGAGGAAGAAAGGGAGGTGGACGATATCGGTTTTGATGTTTCAGGGTTCGAGGGTCCGATTAGCCTTCGTCCTTTGAGTCCTACAGAAGCAAGGGGAGAACATGGACTCGGGCAAGCGCGGGATCCGGCGGGCGAACCAACTGCGGAGACGGCACTTGCAGAAGAGTATTACCGGCTTGAAAATAATGAGCGCACGGGTGGAGGCGCAATTGGTGAGGCGATGACATCTATTCTCGACCAACCGTTCGTTGATCAGCAGGTCATTCGCCGTCGGGGTACCTCGGCGACCAACGTTGAGACACGAAACGCTGCCCAAGAAAAGGCGAATGAGACTGGAGCCGTGGTTGCGGTCATGGACATCGGTTTCCATGGTGGGGATTACAGCGGACCCAATCAGGAATCGGAGAGCTTGAGAGATCGGGATGAAAGCAGTGCGAGTTACTTCTTTCCAACCGCGGAAAGTGAGAAACCCAACTGGAAACCGGTAAGTATGCGATGGCAATACATTGCGGTATTGACAATGATCGCTCTCGGTTTCGCGGGTCTTCAAGAATATCTGTGCCAACTGAGCATGCAAAGAGAGAAGACCAATAAGGGGATTATCACATTTATAACCCCCGACGAGATTCCTACATGGTTATTTTTCACCTGGAAATATGTGCCAACCTTAGTCCTTGTGACGTACGGTGTGGGGTGGCAGATAACCGACTATGAAGTCAAACGTTTAGAACCCTACTACCAGTTGAGCAAAGAAGGCGGAGCCACGGCTGCTGAGTCGCTGAATATGGATTACCTTACGTTCTTTTCCTACTTAACACCAGTCAAAGCCATTCGACACCGTCAATGGGCCGTACTTCTGTCATCGATCGGATATCTTTTGGCTAGTTCTCTGGTTCCTGTTTTGCAATCAGCATCATTTAATCTCGAACCTCGAAAAGAAGACCGTAAAGAAGGAGAGCCGAAATTCGTTCGGATCGATGCGCCTTGGTCTCGCGCTGTTACCGCATTCCTTATCGTCGTGGCCTTGTGCGGGACTGCTTTGATCTTTCAACTGCGGCGGAAGTCAGGACTCCAATCCGACCCCAAAGGAATCGCCGGAGTGGCCTCCATGGCTACCAAAAGCCATGTCTTGAACGACTTTCATGAACTCGATACCGCTCCGAATCATGTCATCCATAAGCGACTGCAACATCGGCGCTACAAACTCTATCGCAGCTGTCTCTGGCAAGGCGAGAGAGTCAAAACGGAAACGGCACCGCCATCCCGATTGGAAAACCCTCATCCGAGGATGCTTCGCTTAGCCGCGGGGATCCTGTATATCGTGTGTCTCCTCCTATTCGGCGGTCTCATTCCAGCCCTGATGTTTGTACCTGGCGCAAACGTGGTCACGGAAAAACTGCCTTGGTTTCTCACCCTTCTCGCGACTCTCATCAAACTGGTGTGGACTACATTCGACTGCGACGTCCGCGTGATCGAACCGTATTACATCCTCTCCCGACGGCAGGCACCCGGCCGGACGCTGACGCTGGACTACACCGGCACGATCCCTGGCTGGATTATTATCAAAGCCGCCCTTAACGGTCACATTCTCGTTTCCGTTGTCGGTCTAGGAGCGATCATGTGCGAGGTCCTTACGGTGGTTGTCTCGTCATTCAACGTGGATGGGAAAAATTTCTTCGTGGGTCAAAACCAAGCGAGCGCTGGCAAAACCGGCGTCCCGCCAGATAGCGATCAGTTCAATAGCGGGGAGACTTTCCGCAGCTTTTGGGGATCCTTTGCCCTAGCGGAGTTCATCCTTCTCTCGCTCAGTGTGATCGCAACCTTGGTGTACGTGTACCGGCGCCACCCCTTCCTTCCCCGGCAACCGGGGACGATCGCATCCGTCCTTGCGTTTGTGCATCAAAGTAAGATGTTGGATCCGGACTTCACGAACACCGAGGAACTCAACTCCAAGGAAATGACGGAATGGTTGGAGCGGATTGGGAAGACATATGGACTAGGGTGGTTTCGAGGAAGGGATAAACAGGATCACTGTGGAGTGGATGAGGAAGTGTTGGACTCCAACTATTTTCACGGAAAGGATAGAAGTGGGACAAGGTTTACCGGTCGTGAGGATGACTTCAATTGGGAGGTTTACTGAGTATTGACGAATCAAATGCGAAATGGCAATGCTTTTATATACTATGGAGGAGAGTTTGGGAACTTACACTGCGCTGCTCACCATACCCAATCGGGCAGTTCTATTATCCTAAAACGCGAGCTCGCTGGTCATATATGATGGTTAGTTTCTTGCACAATGAATCGACATTTCATTGCCAGTTCTGAGAGTAGTGAAGATGATTGATTGTTCAAGGATATCTATCTGAACAGATACTCCGATGATGTCCAAGTACCCAGCTTTATCACACTTCCTAGAATCGAAATATAAAATATCACCTTGCTATGATTCAACTTCGGATACGTAATCTCAGAACATGAAGTAATCATTGGTGTTTGATGGAGGACTTGCTTACCTCCCCTTTAGTACACCACTGGTCCGATATTGAGTTATTGACGCTGTGGAGAGGCACGTGCAGTTCACCAAATTGGTGGGAGGTTCGGACAACATCCGGGATTCGGATTCTAACAAAATGTCGTAACTCTAGAAGTAATAATACGTCCTCATCCTCAACCAATATTTCCAGTTCAAAACAAACTGCAGCCTATTCAATAATCAATATATACCTCCCATATCTTTGCCCTAAGATTGCTTACAACTTGAATCGTTGGCTTCGCTCGGTCCATTACCAATCCGACAGCACACATTAACTCTGTCGTCACCATTTAACACATCTCACTCTCGACGACTCGATACCACATCTTCTTCGGACCGAACCCAGACGAGACACAATGGGGGGCAGCTGGTCAAGGATAATGTCCGTTATATGGGCTAAGAAGGAGATCCGCATCTTAATACTCGGACTGGTAGGCCTATTCTCTCCGTGAGTAGCATTGGATGCTGATCCAGACAGGACAACGCCGGGAAAACGACTCTGCTTTACCGATTAAAGATTGGGGAAGTGGTCTCTACAATTCCTACTATCGGCTTCAACGTGGAGAGTGTGACCTATGGAAAGCTCAACTTCAACGTCTGGGTAAGTTTTGCACACGTTGCATTCGTCACCCTTCAAGTTCTGACCCAACAATCTACCAGGACCTCGGAGGCCAAACGTCGATACGGCCGTATTGGCGCTGTTATTACGCGAACACTGCTGCCGTCATCTTCGTCATCGATAGCACCGATCTCGATCGCCTTTCTACCGCACAAGAAGAGCTGGCAGCCATGTTGGCCGAAGAGGAACTGCGAGATGCGGCATTATTGGTGTTCGCAAACAAACAGGACCAACCGGGTGCGAAAGGTGCAGGGGAGATATCAGAGGCGTTAAGGCTCGGTGACTTGAAGGATCGAAATTGGAGTATCGTTGCATGCAGTGCCATCGATGGAAGAGGGGTGGATGAAGGGATGGATTGGCTGGCGGTGAGCTCTCTTTGCTTAGCAACTGGGCATCTTACTTTCTTGAACAACTCGGCTAATACCTGCTAGCAAACTGTCACAGCGGACTCATGATGCTCAAGCAGCCGTCGAACTTGTATAACAATGGTGTGGGATTTTGGCGCAGCACAAGTGCCGTGTCGTCGGCCTGTTTTTACGTGCATGGCGATCATGGCGTTTGGGAATTCAACTGGTAGAAACGTGAATTGGACTGCGGATTAATCCTCTAGCATTTGGGTCTCCTATGGTCATGACAGTCTCCGAGGGCTGGTCGTGAAGGAATGGATCTATTGTCGTCGCAAGGAAATTAGGCGGAATAGTTATCATCGGTTCAGTCAAATCGAGCTGCTCAATACGAATACGGTATGGATTGGCTTAGAGTTGCAATCACATATAGCATACCGGGTGCAGTGACTGCGATATCAAGGAGTCCCATCGAGTACCGGATTTCCAGCCCGAAGGTAACAACTCAATTGAATTAGAGCTGAGCTGAGACTACCTTTATACCTGACTGCCATGAAGTCAACCGAAAAAGCCTGCGTCGACCAGAGAACTTCCACTCAGTCTGGCCGGGAGAGATGATATAACCCGAACCTGACGCGAATAACCTATGAATCCTTCATCGAGAACGAACCCCGAGCGAAATGCCGCTTCCCACTGGTTCACTCCTTCAATGACCGGAGTAATTGCTGCCCCATCCTCCACGGTATCCCCCATAAGACCCAAAGCCAGATCCGTAGCCGCCGTATCCACTCTGGTTATTCTGGGCCCCCTGGTGGCCACCGAGACCGGAAAGTCCGCCGTACTGAGCCTGTCCACCCTGGCCACCCTGCATGTTCACATGGTTCGGATAACCTCCAAATCCTTGTTGATTGGATTGGGTGGGAGGGAGTCCCGAAGGATTGGTTTGGCCGGGAGCGGTGTTGGTGGCCGAATTCGGACGTCCCGGTTGTCCAAGGGCAGCCTGACTAGGACCAGACGTTCCTTTGCTTTCCGTATAGGCCTTCAGAGCATCATCACTACCACTCGGTCCACTTCCTTGCTGCCCGTACTGTGCTTGGCTTGGGAATCCCACCTGGGATCGGCTAAAGACATCTGGAGCCGCTCCAAATCCGCTATTCGAGTGCTGTTGGTTGGGAGGTTGGGATGACCCGGTTCGCGAGTATTCACTCAAACCTCCGGACATGCCCTCACGACCATGCATGCTTGACTGTCCAAATCCAGCCATGGTACCGGGAGATGAGGAATGTTGGTCGTATGACGTCTGCGGAGACATGCCATAATTGTGGTGCGGTTGCCCGTACATTCCGCTCTTGCCGTACGGCCCATATCCACCTTGGAAACCGCCAAACTGGTTCATGTAGGCGTTGTAGTAATGACTGTTGTAGTATGGGTTGCCGAAAGGTGCGCCACTTCCATATTGATTCTGTTGATGGGGTTGAGGCGCATGTTGGGATTGGTGGGATTGAGAACCCATGTTCTGCTGACCAGAGATGGTCGGATTCGGGGTATTTTGTCCGCTGGTCTGAGGTTCGCCATAACGGCTCGGTGCCTAAATGAACTGCCGTCAGTGCCTGCAATAATGACCGCTGGTGCGCAAAGGGTTTGGAATGGGTAAATCGGGTTACGGAGAAAGTGAAGAGTCAATGCTTACCTGTGGCGCTTGGCTAGTCCCAAACGACGAGTCTGAGGGAGCAACACCGAAAGCGCTTCCGGTACGTTGTTGGGTGGCTCCCGAATCTTGCTGTGAAGATGGCTGCTGGCCATAGGGAGCTCCATAGTAGTTCTGTTGCGAACCGCGCGATTGTTCAGAGGCGTAGTAGTTGGGATAATCGGATGAGGCAGACACCTGGGGCCCGGCGTGAGCCTGGCTTTGTTGGGCCTGAGTTGTTTGGTTCTGGAATTGCTCAAAGGCGCTTTGCTGGCTTTGAGGCGGTCCGAACGGATCGTACGCTTTCTGCTGTGAAGGCAGTTCAGGCTGGGTAGTCGCCTGTCCGTATCGACCGAATTGGCTGTACTGTTGGCTCGGACCCGGCTGCGGAACACCCTGCTGGGCGGCAATCGATTGGGGTGGAATCTGGTTAGGCTGTGGAAGACTCGACGTTTGCTTTGGTGTGGGCAAGCCAGGTTGAATGGATGGCTCGTTCTGCGCAGGGAATTGCCGGGAAGGTGGTAAGGCCGTTCGAGGTTGAGTTACGGGAGAATGTTGAGGCGGTTGAGCACGCGTCTCTAATTCCTCACGTTCGTCATCGACATCCAAGGCTTCCGAATCACCGTTCAACCCTAGACTGCCAAACTGGACCGTTGCCCGGTCGATAGGATGGTTGCCCGGCATGACGACGGCCTCCTGTTGTTCCTGGACACGACGTGTAAAGCTCGCGCTTCTTCCTGCAATTCCAGCCGCTTTCATCGCAACCGCAGAATAGCCTGTCACCGGGGTTCGACCAACGGCTTGATTAACCGAGGGCGCCACGGAGCTAGCCACAGTGCTTGCAGCAGTCCCGGTCGGCGCAGGATGCGAAGTGTCGGGGAGATGCTCCACGTTATTCTCAGTCAGTTTGTCCTGTGAAGGGAAGAGATCCGGTGCGGTTGCGACTGGCACATCACTAGGTTTGGTCGTCTCGATAGTAGGTATGGACGGGGCGGGCGCATCAACAGTGTCCTTTGATAAGGTCACATCAGCCGCAGTACCCGCGTCAATCAGGCCATTCTGCTCAGCTACTTCTTCCGCGGCAGAGCCTGTGGGTTTGACAGGCACTTGCTCGGGAGCAGTCTTCTTTGTTGATGTAGGAGTGGGTTTGGGTTTGGCGAACATGCTTGCCCACGTCTTGGGCGGCTCATACGTCTTAGGAGCCACAGTAGGCTCCGCGGTTTCGCTAGTCTTCTCCCACGTAGTATCATCCGTGTCGGCAACTGGAATCGGGTCTCCCCAGGCGGAAGATTCGTTTGTTGGAACGGAGACAGGTTCTGGCGGTGGTCGGGTGCCGGTGGTCGAAGAATGCCCGCCGCGACCACGAGGGGCACCGCGGCTACGCGGAGCCGAAGATCGAGCACGATGGGGTGCATCATGGGAAGATTTCCCTCGCGAAGGACGTGATGTATTGCTCGATTCGATTGAAGCGGGCGTTGCGTCGTTGACCTTCGATCGAGATCGATCTTTGGTTTTCTTTTTGACGTCGTTGAACTGTGACATAGTTCCTACAATAATTAGCAACGACTTCAATGGCGTGTCCAGCGAACTCACCCTCTGTGATCCTCTCGATGGTGTTGTTGAGGTCACCATCAGTCTCTTGCAAGGCGAAGACCAGGTCAACCTCCGTCCAATCGGGAAAGAGTTCTTTGAGTGACGACAACTCCGAGAGATATTTCTTCTTGATCTCTCCAAGCTCGCCTTGATCGGCGAAATCCATCTCTGACGATGATGGATTCAGATGTCCGTTGGTTTGCCTGGTGGTTCTTGGAGCGGTTCCACGTCCGCGCCCTCCACGGGTGGAGGATCTGCCGCGATTTGATGGTCTCGTCGCGACCTCCGACATTGTGTATTTTCTGGTGATAAGTTTCAGAAGAAAGAAGGAGGGAGGGATTTGTGAGGGAGATGAAGTGAAGGAGTTGCAAGTGATTCTTCAACTGAGGCTCTTGAGGACGTGATCTCCACGCAACGCAGAATCACAGGCGGCCTGCAGGGGCAAGAGTCACGTGCGTGGCTGGGTGGCGCAGATTCCCTCGCCACCTCACAGTAGGCGCCACTAGAAGCACACAAGCATCACGTGCACCTTTTGATAACGCCTGGTGGCTGGGGCTGGGTTCTATACACAGTGAATGATACTACAGAGTCAGTGTCACTTGATCATTTTAATTCCGCTGAATGGTGTCTGTCCTCGAGATACTTTGCACAGGTGATTTATTATACACAGATGTTCATAGCAGAGCATCAATCTTCGTAGCCAACTGCCCAAATCATGGATAATGCTACTTGCTAGACTTTCCCATGCCATCCTTGAAGCTGGATCTTCGATCTTCAGCCTTGCTAATGTACAGGATCGAGTCCTCCTTTGCGGTCCAAGAGCGCGTCGAGGATCCCCATATTTGGCAATTCCTGCCCAACATCATCCCTGTCAATCTGTACAAGACTCTTTGCGATGTCAAGTATGGATGAAGCTTCGTCGTAACGTTTCTGGTGAAGGAGCAGCGTTGCGACCCCCAAACTTAGTGCTGCTGCCTTTTCCTTCTCCATAGCATTGTGCTTCATGAGGTCGGAAGCCTTCCCATCAAGGTTCAGCAGAAAGGCTTTACCCGCCTCCAAATCCGGGTGGGTAGGATGAAGTAGCATCAGAAGGGCTTTGTTCAGCTCGGGTCTTCGGAATGTGCGCGAAATATTGGAAATGAATCCGTCATACTCGAGTGAATCCTCTTTGGTCGGGTTTTGGCTAAATGCAAAATGCCGTAAGAGAATGTTTGCAGCAGGTTGAAATCCTGAACAAAATTTCCCCTCTGCAGCCATGATGGACACAGCACGGTTAAACAGTGTGAGCGCCGTACCTCCCGATGGATCGTCGGAAATCTCATGAAAGATCAGGCCGGCAGTGAGAGCCCCATTCCATCGTCGCTGAATTCGAGCACTGCTGTCTGTGGCGTTTTGCGACGGCACTTTTATCCATCGCATTACAACATCATGATGATTGGTAGACCCCAGAAAGGAGGCCAGCTGCCGCGCGAATCTTTCGTTTCGTAAAAATTCCTCATTGCCTAATTGGTTCGTAGACCAAATCCAGTTCATGATGGTTCTCGCTGCCTGACGCTGCTGAACGTGAAGAACCTCCGGCGCCTCATGAGACTCATTATCTTTCGACGCTCGAAGGAGAGATTCTAGGCAAGCTTGTACTTGCACGACCGTGCCAGACCCGCTGGCGATTTGTTTCTCAAGCCATTCGAGGGGGTGTTGGAGAACCGCTCGAACCGATCGAACGTTATGGGAATCATTCGGGACACTGGAAGCTGGTTTCGTCGGAAGCGGAGATGTTGAGAATAAAGGATTCGAAAGGACAGCCGTTACGTGTGTCGCAGCGGCTTGTCGAGCAGAAACGTGGTTGTCGCGAGGGGGAGCGGTGGTGGCAACTGCCGAGTCAACTAGTCGAGGCCGCGGAGCCGGTTCGCCGTGGACGCGGTCGAGGTGTACACGGAAAGACGTTGACACTTGGTCAAGCAGCTTCTGCAGGTCTTGTCGATTCAGGGGAAGCTGTGGGTGCAATTTCGAGGATAGGACTCGGCGGAGCATAACGTGAGAAGCGATGGTAGTGAAGCAGCGTTATGCGACAGGAGGAAACCGTTGGCGACACCCCGTCAATGGATCATCAATGATGATAAAAGCCTTCATACCGCGTAAACACGCACTAGAGGTCAGGATAGACTAGATTCGACAGGATGTTGAGTTCGTCCTCTCCGAAACATCTCGTCGACTGGAGATATCGAAGAGGGTGAGGTTTGGGACAGTCCTGGTCAGGCACCAAGGCATTAAGGCTTCTAAATCTTCTTCACGACACCAATGATCAGAACTCACAGAAGACCACCACCAACCCAGCTTCACGTCACTCTCAGAATTAATACAAACCGGATCTATAACACTAATTGTGTTCGGGTCTTTGAACCTCTATTACCCAAATGAACCTCATTTCTCATTCAACTATCAGGATTGCGATTTTCATGGAATTGTGGCACCCTGGCATCTCCATCAGATCAGATAGGGCTCCGCTAGGAAGCATCATGAACATCTATTACCAACTCATTCACCGCCATCACATGTCCCATAAACTGAAGGTTTCGACTTCAGTAAGACCGTAAACCATACTCAGACATCCCCATGAAGTCACTCCCTTACGATTGAAAGTTGAAACACTCAAGCCTAGACTAGAGATCCGACTAGGAACTGTCAAGTGTCAACTGACCTGAGTACCCTTGGTTCTCTAGTGTTCCTCCGTGCAAGCGTCCCCATGTCTTGCCTGGTTTCATGTCCCTTCCCCTCACTCCACCCGGCCCGGTTTCAAGAAAGTTCTCCCGTTCTTCTAGAAGAAACAAAATGGAACAATGGGCCTTATCGGATCTAAGGCCCGAAGAACCTATACGGCGGAGTTGTGCGCTGAAGTCCTGGATGCTCACATGAGTTGGGGTAAGGTATGCTGTCAGACTGGATGTCAGGGTAAGCCAGTCGTGAAACCAGACACGAACTCTGCCTTCAGTTCGCTGAAGGATGCATAATTGTGCTATTAAGTTTCATAGCAGAAAGGCTGACAGGGGGTTTCCAGGCCTGCCAGCTTGCCCAACTACCACTGAGGAAGTGGATGGATTCAGAGCTTTTGCTGAGGTCTTGTTGATGGCAAGTGAGGAGCACGGAGTCATTCCCTCCAGTATCGTTACTGGATCTCTGGCGAAGTCACAGTACATCTTCCAATTCTAGCTGATTGCTTATGGTTTGAAGATAAAATGATATGTCGAGTGTCATGAGGCCCAGCCCAGCCATCTCGCTTCATGTAGTATCTGATGCTAAACCGAAATAAACACCAAGGGTATACGAAATATTCTCCTGTTCTGCAAATATCCTCATCAAATACATGTTAAAACCATAAATTTTGTTGTGGAACAAAACCTTCGAAAGGTCAAGCCTTGTGTGGGAATTTCCTCCTTCCCTCATCTTGCATGTCATTTCGTCTTCACATATTATACCTCGTTGCGCCGTGTAGCCATTATTCGTACAGAGTAACCCAGACAGGAAGTGCGTTCGATCCTTGAGGAGATCGCACAATGGAGAAGGGAGCATTCCCAAGATGATGCCGTTAAAAGCACCAAGGATGCGGATGGTACAGCCGTGAATGGGTGGTTTGCGAGGCTTAGTACTGGTGCTGCATTCCTTCTCCTTCCTGTGCCATCCCAGAGCCGTCCTGTCCCATCCCAGAGCCGTCGTTATCGACACTTGAGAAGTGAGAACCGTCTGGGCCTTCGGAGTCTTGCCGCATATAGCTGTGTTGGAAATTGGTGACGTGATGTGGCGCGCTCATAAGGTTGTAGTTATTCGGCGTTCCTAGCGGACTGGACTGGTAGTTGGGGTAAGTCGCGGTCTGAGGAGCGTGGACGGAACCCGGTCGTGATGTAGGCTGATAAGAGGAGGTTGCACCAGCCAAGTCAATTCGCCGAGGCATGCCATTGGAAAAGGATCGCATGCGATTAGCTGCAGTGGCTTGGAATCCAGGCATTTGTGCATCTAAATGCTGGTTAGCGATCTATTCAGAGAAGCCATTCAAGGAAGCGAGACTTACATGAGTATCCAAGGCCATAGTTAATATTGAGACCTGATGGACTCCTTGGTTCGCTGCTATGATCCGGTCCACTAAGCGGAGCGCTATTCAGAGCCGGGCTAGTGGGATCGGGGCCAGAAAAGTCGGTCCCAGGACCAGAATATGACATGCTCGTACGGAGAGGACTTGAGAGAGACTCAGACCTTGACCGTCCCATTCGATCATGAAGCTGTAGACGTGGAATGTGAGGATGCGACGTGGGATAGGCGGATTGCGGTGGCATCGATCCGAATGGATTTCCGCGGCGTGGACTGGTGTCGACAGGAGAGAAAGCAAACCCACCCTCGGCCGAAACAGGAGAAAGGGTGTCCGTCGCGGACTGTGGGGGAGTGAATGCGAAACCTCCGAAGGCGGGGGAGACACCAGTTGGAGAGAGATGGGAAGAGTCAGGCATTCTCCGCATCGTATCCAAGGTCAGTGGGCGAATCATATTTCCTTCCGGGAAGCTTGGGGTGTAGGTGCTGGAACTCAATGAAGGCGCAACTCCATGGCTAGTCCCAAACGGCGAGTGAAGTGCCTGGGTGAGGTCGAAACCGTCGGGTAGTTCTCGCGATCTCATCATTCGCTCCCGGTCATCGCTCGTGAGCCTCTTCAGCTTTGCTCGTCGGTTCTGGAACCATACTTGCACCTGCCGCGGGCTGAGACCTGGAATTTCCCGAGCCAATCGCTCACGATGCGCGGCATCAGGATGGGCCTGACGAGCGAACTCGCTCATAAGGAAACGGGTTTGATTATGTGTGAGCCTACGAAGGGTTAGTTATGAGCGGAACAATAGACTTGGGCTTCCTACCGGAATCGTTTCATTTTCCGCTTCTGGTTACGTAGCTCTTGTGCAGTCATAGGTTTCGGGACCTCATCATCGTTCGCTTCGATCGTAGTGATGTTGAGTCCATTGAGATCCTGCTGATGCTGCTGATCCATGTCTTTCATGTCATTCCTGTCTCCTTGAGCGGACGTGGGTGTAAGCCTGGACATTGGACTAGCCGGTGCGGACCCGCCATATGTAACATTGGGGAGTTCTTCATCGTCAACATCGTCAACACCCATAACACGTTCGGCGCTAGTTGGAGAGGCACCTGAGCTGTTTGCCGGGGTATTCTCCTGATGGGCACGAGATGGAGTGGTTAGGGGATAGGGATAACTCTTATGCGAGCGAAGCATTGGTCTCTGCTGCATGTCAAGAGCCAGGCTAGGCATCTCCGTATGGACTAGAGCCATGTTGCCGTCCGTCGAACACGGGGTAGACTCGAGGTCTTTAGATGAGTGACCTTGTTGCCACCCAGATTCAGAGTCGTGATGATAACCAGACATGCGCGGAGAAGTAGGAGGTGAGAGTGGGTGGATTGTGAAAATGCTACCCTCGACCATTGGAGAAATAGTGGGGTTAAAAAGGGTTAGAAGAGAGGTTGGTTTGGAGCTCTTCTGGCAGGGACAAGCTGCTTCTCGTTAGCATACATTTCAACATACAGTAGTAGGGTGCATGATTCCGCCAGGCGATCACATACCAGTTGTCAAAGCGGAAGCAATTCCAGGAATCAGAAATTAACAGATCCGAGAACGTTGATTGAGTGATCGGATGGAGTCCAGCGGCTGCAAATGCAGAATGGTTTGGGCTGGCCTCGGTGATCGACCTGAAAACAGGACGAGAGGGAATGGATGAACAGCTTATGCGTTTCCCGGTGGTAGGTACAAGAGCGTCCGTTTTGGGTAAACGTATTGCAAAAGCGACGGGCAAGTGGGATTGACCGATCAAGGCTCTGAATGAATGAATGGAAGTGAACCTGCAATAGAATAGGATCCAACAAGTTGGTTGATCTTGATCGAAGTTGAAGTCAGGAATGACACCAGGTCACAACTTGTATAAGGCAATTTGAAAAGAAGGTAGAGTATATTGACGATGAAGGAGCAGGGAACGACCAAAGATCGATCAAGAATGCGCATGGGAAGAGGGATATAAATCTTTCTTTCTGCAGGTAGATGATGGATCTGAAGTAGATGGCCGTCTCCGCATCTCAGCATACCCATGAGTTCCCATTCAAGCTTTAAAACTTGATGTATCCATCGAGGATCACAACGGCCGCCCTGCTCACCCCGCCAAACACGATGCTTGTCAAAGGTGACCTCCGTCGCCATGAAGGTGGTCTATCAGGGTACAGGGGAGGAAGGAAGAGGAGCGACAAGGCCTGTCCAGGGTAAGGTGCCTCGGAATAAGGCCCTGGTAGGCGGAGAAAGTTGATTGAGAGACCGGCCAATGAGGCTAGATCGAGTTGAAACCAGACCGAATGGCGCCATGCGCCTCAATTCCCCCGAAGCTCGGTATCGAGGGTAAGGGCCGACCGTACAAGGATCGGCCTGCGCCAGAGGTCCAGCATGAATACGCGATGCGAGGGGAAGGCTGATGCAGATGTCAATCGATTATCGAGAGAGAAGATCACGGTGACGCCTCAGCCGGCGCCAATAAGTCAACCAGTCAATCGATTGGTTCAGAACAGCCATCGTCAGTCTTGCAGGGGAAGCAGGCATGGAAGGAAGCCTGCGCAACGGTGTTGACATGCAAGAAATGAGGAAGGGCTTTGAATGATGAACAATGAGCATGGCCCAGAAAGGAATGGTCCCAGTTTGTTAAGTGTCAAGAGCGCTTAAACAGGACAACGCTCCAAAATTTCGACGGCTGGGGACGGTGAGGTGGCACTGCTGGTACAGGCCCACAACCTAGGTCATGGTCATTCTTGTTCCTGGTGGCTCGATCTTGAGTACACGATGTGTTCTGTGTCGAAGAATGTAGCTCCCCCACTAGAAGGGTTGGAGAATTAGCATCCGACTTGGCTTTCGCATGTTGAGACAGGCTATGACAATTCAGCAACGATGGGATCAGTAACCCAACAACCCGATGCAGACGACTATTTCCTGGTCAAACGCTGGAGCAGAAACAAACACAGGCATAACTGAGGAACAAATGCAGAGATCTTGACTCTTAGGGCAAAGACCCACATACGCGCCGGAGGACGTCCTAAGGGCGCAGCAAGAGGCCAGCTAGTGGTATGAAACTAGCCAAAGAGGGCCAGTCGGCAGGCCTTGGGCAGCGTGCACGATCATTCTTTGTTGGACACAACTGCAGACCATTGTTGGTGGACGCAAACCTGCGTCGAAGAAGGATGCAAAGAAGCATGAGGACGAGAACAGTGAGGAGAAAGGCAGGGCAAGGCAGGGAATAGGGCAGGCTAGCCTCAACCTTGTACCGAATACAGTATTAGTCAATGCAGTAATCGTCAATGCAGTAATAATAGAGTGGATTAGGAGGATTAGTGGAAAGTCTGAACTCTGACGCAGGTCAAGCACCAAAGAGAGGGAGACGTGAGAAATAGAGAGTAGAGGCTGGGAGGAAATGAGTGTGGAAGTATCGCCTAAGGATGAAGCCTCATATTTTCTCCATGTCCATAATGATACTCCGTAATGTGTCTCATTCCCTCCAGTCATTTGCATTGCTGATGCATGTATGTATTCCATGACCCATCACAGAACCTTTCCATGCTTCTAGTCTGTGGCGCCACCTATCACGAGTCACGACCCGCTAGCCCCCAAGTTCCCAACCTCCACAGTCCACCTAGGCATCATCCTTTAGCTGCCTTCGAGAACAATCTCAGACACGCTAACGCTTCTCTGCTTTAACTTTCGTTTCGTTAATTGTCAATCATCACTCGCTTCTCCATCTCCACTCACCATTGTCTCAGGGAGGCTCTCCGCTCTCAGCTAGCCAGGATGATATCAACAACCTCATGCCTGATGCCTCCGCCAAAGCCCCAAACTGACCGCCTAAAGAGTCCTAAGGGTCAACTACTAGTAAGTAGTAACTATCACCATCATATCTTATTCATATGTTGTGTTCGGCCCGCTCCGGAAATTGGTTCTGGAAATCAACTCCAGAAGCTCGTCCATTTGAAGAACGAGTTGTTAGGGCAAAGGTTTCCCTCCCTCCCCTCATCTCGTGGAGTATATTGCTCAGCAAGCTGTAATCATGTTGCTCAATATCAAGTTGAATCCCGTTGGTTCGTTCCGATCTCTGGTATGGAGTGTTGGAACGGTCCAAAATCTCGGCCTTCAAACGCAGTCTTCTGCCATGGACATGCTAGTCGGGCGACACAGCGCCGTCGTAAGAGCTGGGATCTTGTCGATACCGGCAGCATGGGTAATCCTAGCGGCAAGCCTCCGCCTAGCCAAGCGAAAAAGCTCCTATGATCAGCATCCAGGAACGGGCGTGCATAGCGCCATCTGACCATCTCCGCTCCTGGCTAACCCAATGAATCAGATGGAACCCCGCGTGGGCAGAAGAGCCGCGGCACTCTGCCTAGAATCCATTCACGATGCGGATGCTCCACCATTGCCTAACTTGCATGAAGTATGTGAAAAGGTACGTATCAGCCTACTGGGCGGTGCAGCCGCTGTGCCACGATCGTGATGGAACGGTCCTCTTTGCGATCCAATGGAGATCGTGATGCATGATAGAGACGGTGGCGGTTTCGCAGACTGAGAATAAATGCGATCTTCCCCTACGATATCTCAAATTGTTCGGGTTGGACCCTCTGACAGCGCAAACCCGGTTGCAATGGTGTTCATGACCGGAATTGCAGCGGTTGTGCAATTTGCAACTGTTCACGTACCTGGTGAACGAAGATTGCAGCAATATCGAGACTTGCGGAGAGCATATGATCTGGCATGGCTCCAAATTGCCCGGATGGTTCCGCTGGTTCTCGGAAATTTCCATCTTGAATCTTTCTCCCCTTCGACCTTATTGTTGATGGAGTGCCGCCAGTTCAGGCACCAAGCGTCAGGAAGGCTGCTGGTTCGCTCCCAAGGCCATTGATTTGCGCGGGGATGAGCAAAGCACTGCAATCTTAATCTACATCAATTCCGATCAGATTACCTATGACCACGGTAGTCAAGGGTCCCTTTCCCAACGAGGAAATCATATATTAACAAAGAATTGTCCGAAAGTGATGGTGGGAACGGTGAGCAGGCTGAGGAGGGCTGGGAGCGAGGGTGGTGACGATCAAGATCAGGATGCAACCCCCAAGGAGGGCCAGGGACCCCGGGGCAAGCCAAGGCATGAACAAATTGTGTCAGTGGCATTGGTCGGAACTCACTCGGAAGATGCTCTGATAACCCAATGCCGTCTTTCGCTCCGTTCAACCCCTCTTTTCTCACAGAGGGATGCTCGTGATTGTACTAGACGACATCTTCATCTGGTAGCATCCACGCGCTGATACGATGGCAGGTCTATATCCACCGTCAGACATTGCGAATGTTCCTTTTGTTAGGCTGTTCAACGACCATCTGCTTCCAGTTTATCATCTAAGCCTACCAGGTTTGTGAGTCTCAACTAAGCATCCTGTTGTCAGCAGGATTGTTCCTAGCATTTTAGACCAGTCAGGTTGTTTCAACTCCGCACGAAAACAGTTCTACGCCTTACTGACTGGTCCCGATCCCACATTAGTGGTTCTGTTGCCACCTTCGCCTGGACTGGAAATTCTCCGCGACCTGTCCCATGACTTATTACCGAGCCAAGATGCGTGGGTATATTCCAGCCCAAATCAGACGGGGCATCGGCTTGGCTGACAGCACTTCAGTTTTGTTCTTGCACAGATGTTCTTTGATTCCCAGGATTCTTGGGCCACCAACCTCGTGTGCTTGGTATTGAAGCTATTTGGTGATCGAGAGCTACGGCCTCGGATATGCTGTGGTTGTAACAAGTCATGCTGATTCATTATGAGCCCCCAGCGCGTAACTGCTGAGAACATATTCGACAGTATTCCGGCCCCACCACTGGTGACAACAAAATCCAGGGGACCAGCGGCAAGAAAGGTGTGGGGAAATGCAGACCGGCCCATCAAAAGAAGCATCTGACAGAAGATGTTTCGACACACGAGGGCTGTCACAAGTCCCTGACCTGGCAGCAGACAGGGAATCCCCAGCTTCGAAGCTCTTGCTCCATGACATGATGACAGGACTGCATTCGGAAATTTCACAACACCATAACGTTTCTCAGCCATAGCCCATTGGCCTGAGACTCACGTTTGAGAGATCTTCCGAGCGGGCATCCTTGGCGCGGTCCGGGAAGTGCCTGTGCGGACAATTTGGCCTGCTAGCTAGCGGCTTCATCGATTGCTCTACCGTCTTAGGACAAGTCTTATGTCTCTTAATCCAACACGCATCCCGATCACCAAGCTCTTCCATGGTTTATGCGCCCTATCCCCAACTCCAGACGCATGATGAGCGATAAGCGAGGCAAAACGATTGATGGATACGCCATTTTGCCAGAGATGTCCTCCGAACGCGAGGCGGTGGCATTCGATGCACGCAATCACTAGCGGCAGAACTCTTCATCACCCAGCCATGCAACTTCATCTAATTGCTGGTCGAACCCTCAGGAACAGGAAATTCGTTAATGAAGGTGTCGGTCTTCTCGCCACCATTGGTAAAGTCTTCCTTGCTCTGACTCAAGCTTCAGTGCCTTGGATCTTCTTGGAAGGGCCGCTGCCAGCCGCCCCTCTGCTTCGTCCAATCCACTCTATCGTAAGCAGTATTCACCCAGTGATGTCGGATGGCAGGCTTGCAACAAACACCGAGAACAGTTTATATCGGGTGCGCCCTGTTCGTCTAGTTTGAGTATTTCGTAGTGATTGCCGACTTGCTATTCGGACCGTTCTTCCACTGAGTGTCTCTGGGGTCCTGGCGATGAAACTTCCGTACCGTTTGTAGCGTCAATGGGAGCGGTTAACGGTGCAGCTGACCCCTCACCCGCTTTGGTCATCCCATATCCTTCCTCTCCCCTGGCTTCATCCTTATTCTCCTGTTGACCTGGCTGCTCCTTGTCTTCCTCCTTGCCGTCCTCGGTCGCATCGGGTTCGAGAAGCTTCGAAAGACTCCCAATATCGTCGTCGACATTGTTGAAAGTACCCAGTTTGGTCCTTGACGCCACACGAAGCGCTCTCCACGTCTGACTTGCCTTGGTATCCTGCAGCTGTGATTTCTCCTCTTCCGCCGTTGCCATCTCCAAATCCAATTCAGCTCCTTGTGCACCTTTGACGTATTTCTCCGCACTTAGTGGGGGTTGCCTGATATTGGTCAGTCGATGCGCCCCACATAGTGGCGGGGTTGTCAAGCGCCATATGATGCTCCTGGTATTTGCCCGAAACGAAATGGATGCCACTCACCGTGCGAATGTCCCTAGCCCTTGGGTGGCGTCCGTCCCGCCTGCATCAGACAGGAATCTCAGGTCCAACGTACCCATAGGCGCTGCTCGCATACGCCTCTGGGCGAAGGTTTTCTCCGCACCTGTGTTGGCACCAAAGAATTGCTCAACCGTCAGGGCATCTTTCACGATTGGAGGACAATTCTCCATCTTCCAGAACACCCAATTTTTGTCCCGTGACAAAACCGTATCGACCATACGGTAGTAAAATTTCCCCTCTGGGCCCTCTTGGAGGTAGGCCGCGATCCTTGCTTTCATTGCGATGGCCCATTCCGTCTAAAAAGGTCCCATCCAATCATTAGTCCATGCACTAACTACGTGATTTCATCCTCTCACTAGACAAAACACTTACATCTTCTTCACTTAAATTGATCCCAAACTGCAAGTGCCGATTTGGAAGCGTAGGCCACCGTTTCCGAGCCTTCTCCGTGAGTGAGAGTAAGAACTCGATCAAAATCAAGCCTTGCACGAGAACATGTCTCTGGAAAGCGAGATCGCTCAGCTGTAACGCGGATTACCGAGTTAGTAACGGAACCGATGCTCGGAAGGGTTGCCTACCTCAAGCTTGAACAAATCCTGGCTCGTTAGATACTTGGGATTGAAAATGCTTGCGAACTCGGTATGGGATTCGCCGTGTTTCCGTTTCACGCCACGCTTGTCATCGAGATTCCGTGCCTGCTTGATCTTCGGCATTGCCTTGAACCGTTCAATCGTCGCCTCCAGTCCATTCTTGAATTGGGCAAATTCCGGCTGATCCGCCACTCGGGGGGGATTCGAGAACACTTCTTGCAAGGCCCAAAAGACAGGGTAAAGCCTGTTCAACCCCGTTTCTTCATCGATAGTGTCTTCCGCGTGGTTTGAATCTTTCTCACGGCCGACATCTTTCCCGGGTGTAGAGACAATGGGAAGGGGTGCGTCTTCTTGATCTTCCATATTAACGTCTGCCGAGGCTGGGGTTTGAGATTGATTTTGATTGATTTGGTCGGCGCTACGATCTGCCTTATCACCTTCCGGGGGCGTCTGCGACTCATACGTCGTGACGTTTTCGACATGAAAATCCCCCCTTTGATTCACCCAACCGCGTTCTCCCAAAGGAAAACTTTGGAAGAGGAAGATGAACACACGACCGCAGAATACAGCATCCTCGGCCCTGGAAAGTCGTCGAAGCAGTTCGCTACAAGATCGAAGGGTCACGAGGTTTTTCTGTTGCTTAGGACCGAAGTGTTTCTAGATCTATTAGCGACACTTAGAATTCAAGACGGATTTGATCCTACCGCAATGAGTTGCTGCCTCCTTGATTCTAGGTAACCGAAGATAACCCGGCAGTCGTCGATACTCTGGCTGTCAAGCAATTCTTCAAAGAGAGTGGACATCAATCCTGTCTCGCATTGTTCTAAGCTGGAGTTAGCATTATGGCCGACCAAAGCATGGCTTTCCGGTTGCCTCACCATCATCACCACAGACCAGCAGGATATCAAGTAAATTCCACATGTCGACAAACTTGGGGCTGTCGATGTGAGTTGATGCCTGCCAAATTGTAAGAGTCTGCTATCGTAGAATATAGGAAGACTGGGTCTTACGATTATCTTGTAGAAGACTCGCCGGGCAGCAATTGAAATAACGGCATATTGAGCATTCTTCGTATCCTGAGTGGCACTAGGGTTCAGGCCAAATGCGCGCTTGAATTCCGACGATGGTAGCCGTGGTTCGATGCCACCGGTACCTTTAATGGTGCGGGCGCGATCAAGAAGATGCTCTGTTTTTTCGACCGCTTGGTCTACGGTTAAGAGGACAGGAACCGCCATATTCGGGGAATGGTAATGTGACGATTCGTCTTTCTCATAGAGTTTGTGAGGCAGCCAGTCCCCACCGGAGTACTTGAACGAAGCTATCGTACTATTCTAGACTTGGAAATAGTGGTTCCTCTTGTCTATACAGATTAAGATAGACAACAATTGAGTACTGTAAGGCAAAGGCAGAGTTACCTCTACAGTAGGGAGTAGGGGATTGGACTGGGTTCGTGATCGTGAAGATTGAGTTGGATGTGGCGTCGGTGTGAGGCATCAAGGTTTTCAAGGCAGTCAGGCCAAAATTAAGGCATCAACTTTAAACGCGTTGACGCGTCTCCGTTGCTTCATCAGTCGAGTCCCACGAGGTCCATACTGGAGATATCTCCGCAACACCACGCCGCAACAGTGCTGATTCAATAAACGGGGACCCAACCATAAGGTCAACCTTGTTAGAGTACGCTCCCCTCGTTTATCAACCAATTTCTATTCATCATGCCTGCGTCGGACCACCATGACCACATGTCCGACAACGAGCTTGATAGGCTCTTCAGTTACAATTTTGGCCCGGAAGGGGATCGAGAAGAGGCCTCAATAGCAGATGCTTCTGCGCGGAATCCTAATGCCGCTCGACCTACGGACGGCGATGATGGACTGGGCATAGATCGAGAAGTTCCAATCGGAGAGCGAAAGCGAAGACAGCCCATTGCTAAACTCGACTCGACTTTGTTGGACCCCCCATGCCACAACGAAGGTGTAACACTAATGCTAATGTTCGACTAGACTCACCGGACCAAAAGGCATTCCAAAATTACGATCCATAGCGAAGAAGCAACTCAAATTTCGGGGCAAAGGGCATGAGGTCAGTGGTTTGAATGGGATACCCGTGGACCAACATTGACTGTTATGGCACCAACAGTTCTCCGACACGGCTCGGCTATTGAATATGTATCAGCTTTGGCTCGATGAGTTATTCCCGAAAGCCAAATTTGAAGACGGTCTGGTTATGGTTGAGAAACTGGGTCATAGCAAGAGTGTGCAATCCGCGCGCAAGCAGTGGATTGACGAGGAAAGGTACGGCACAAGCGCGACGAGGCAGAACTCGACTCCTCCTAGGAATCTATCTGCACAAGAAGATCCTCCCGTTTCACCGAAGCCGAACGCGACAGACCACGCATCCGGAAACCATGCTACTCCGAGTAGTTTGCAGAATCCCAACGAACCATTAGAGCGACAACAACTTCCCACTTCAGGGATCACCGATCATAGAGCTCCAGACCAACCGCCGAACTCAGACATACCGGATGACGATGAATTAGCTGCTTTGTTAGCCGAGACTACAACCGGTCCTGGAGAGCATCAGACTCATGGTCATAGCCAGAGCACCGCGATACATAAGCCCGTTTCTAACGGGCATGATGAATACGAGGCAGAGATGGAAGCAATGGCAGATATGGATGACCTATACGGTTGAACCGGTGCCACATTGGCAAAATGGAACAGCATAAGAATGTCATTTACAGGAAGCCGGGACTGCTGCTTATAGCGGTACTAGGGGACCTCAACAAGGGCAGTATATGTTAACAGATCCTTCGGGATAGACGTGCTCAACCATTCAACGAACCTCAAGGACGGAACACCTCCCAAGTCCACGGTAGGAATGGAAGACGGTCGTGCGGCACGACATAGTACTTTTGGTACTTACCTGGTACCTGGGAGATGGATCAGCGGCATGAAGATTAATCGATAGATTGAAGAAGAAATACAGCCGAATCATTGGTATCAAAGGCATCAAGCGATGTTAAACGTGTAACGAATTAATGTCAATCTAATTCACTCCATCCATATTTATGTTGTGCCACGGATCCCTTTGACACTTAAAACAGCAGCGGAAGTGGTGAAGTGACAGTGAAGTCACCCCGCGATTTGTTGACCGTTGCGCTTGTGACTTGCTTGCCGTCCATTCCTTGAACTTGTTCAACACCACGACACTCAAGTCTTTCCCGACCAAAACCTCGCTGCCGGTACATTTAGAGAGGTCAAAATTTCCCCCTATAGATGGATCTCTAGCTTTGCAAATGTCAGTAATTAATTCTTTCCCCTCATCAAATCGTGTTTGTGGGCAGTGTGCCCCAGCTCTTACAGGCCATTCCTTTATGTACCTTATTTGATATACAAGCCGTGCGAAAGTTTGGAAGACAACTCTGCTAATACAAGCTAGAGCCTGCCTACCAACGCCTATGGAGACCCTTCAACGAGCACTCGAGGAGCTCACTGTGACAGCCGAGGGTAGCTCCAGGGATTGGACCGTCGATGATATCTTGGAATCTCCACGGCCGTACAAGCGGGCGAAGCGTTCGGCTGAGGACATCAAAAAGGAATTGGAAGAGGAATTTCTATCACCTTCCCCATGGTTCAATGATGAATGGCTCAACCGTCTCCAACACCGCTGGCAACCCCCTACCGATTATGCAGATCTCCTCGACATCACCCCGACACAAACCCGAACTATCATACGATTCACACGGGAAGGGCTTGAAGGACGCGTGACAGGCTATAAAGAACTCACCGTTCCAGCAAGCAGTGCAACGGCTAAGAACTCAACATCGATTCTACGGAAACCTGCCAACCGTGCTGAATTTGTCCGAGGTGCGGCAGGGTTCTTTCCCTTCGCTCCTGGCGGACTAGATGGCGTGGAGGCCGTCGCTGCAGCCGAAGACAATGCACTACAGCATGAGCTGACCGAGAGAGCTTCGGGAAAGTTAGGCTTGGATCGAGTGATCCAAGTTGGTGCGCAAGGGGCGTTGTTGGAGGTTCCTCCAGGATTCTCACGAGGGTTGTCCTTCGCTCGTATCGATCAGGATCAAGTCGAAAGGGCCACGGCAGATGAAGTGCAGGCAGCGTTGGCCGAGGATCCAGAACCTATGGACGCCAACGCACCCGGTCAAATTCTTGCCGGCGTCACAGCCGATGTCCAAAGGGAAGATTCGATGCAATCGGAGGAATATGCTGAAGAGGACGAAATTGATGCCCTACTCCCTGTCGAATTCCCCGCATTGGCACCAAGGAGCCAACTCGCCTTCTCGTCGTTACAGAAAGGTGGCAAGGAATGGGCGCACATGGTCGATATCAATCGGGAGATCTCGAACTTCAAGGAACTCGTGCCGGACATGGCAAGAGAATGGCCCTTTGAACTCGATACCTTCCAAAAAGAGGCAGTTTATCATCTGGAAAATGGGGATTCCGTTTTCGTTGCAGCCCATACATCGGCTGGCAAAACCGTGGTTGCCGAGTATGCGATTGCGTTGGCCGCGAAGCATATGACCAAGGCAATCTACACCTCCCCAATCAAAGCCCTCAGCAACCAAAAATTCCGCGATTTCCGAAACACTTTTGACGATGTGGGGATTCTGACAGGGGATGTCCAAATCCGGCCAGAAGCAAGCTGCCTGATAATGACCACGGAGATTTTACGCAGCATGCTGTACAGGGGTGCCGATCTAATACGGGATGTGGAGTTCGTCATTTTTGATGAGGTTCATTACGTGAATGATCTGGAGCGTGGTGTCGTTTGGGAGGAGGTCATCATCATGCTTCCCGAACATGTCACACTTATCCTGTTGTCGGCAACGGTTCCCAACACGTACGAATTCGCATCATGGGTAGGCCGAACCAAGAAGAAGGATATCTATGTCATTTCCACGCCAAAACGACCGGTGCCGTTGGAATATTACCTTTGGGCAAAGAAGTCGATGCACAAAATCGTCAACGAGGACAAACAATTCCTAGACAAGGGTTGGAAGGAAGCAAATGACATTTTGACTGGGGCGGACAAGGTCAAGGCACCTGTTCCTGATCAAGCCGGACCCCCCCGGGGTTCAATCAATCAGCGTGGCTCGAACCGAGGTCAAGATCGTGGAAGGGCACGAGGCAATCAAAGAGGCGGTCCACAACGCGGAGGTCCACAACGAGGTGGCGGTCAGAGAGGACCCCCCGCTGGACGAGGTCAACCATCTCATCGAGGCCATGGGAATATCGCTCGAACGGGTCGCGGAGGCGGGAGAACGACGGCAGCCCAAGACCGAACAATCTGGGTGCACCTGGTCCAATATCTTCGGAAAGAAAATCTTCTGCCCGCATGCATCTTCGTGTTTTCGAAGAAACGGTGCGAAGAGAATGCGGATGCCCTCTCCAGCCTCGATTTCTGTTCGGCGGTGGAGAAGAGCGCGGTTCACATGATCATTGAGCGTTCCGTAGCCCGACTCAAGCCCGAGGATCGTGGGTTGCCACAGATCCGTCGCTTACGCGAATTGCTAGGTCGTGGCATCGCTGTGCACCATGGCGGTATGCTTCCGATTGTCAAAGAGATGGTTGAGATCCTCTTCGCTCGAGGACTAGTCAAGGTTCTCTTTGCGACGGAGACATTCGCTATGGGTCTAAACCTCCCAACTCGAACCGTAGCATTCTCCGGATATCGGAAGCATGATGGTAGATCATTCCGTGATCTACTTCCAGGAGAGGTAACCCAAATGTCCGGCCGTGCTGGACGTCGCGGTATCGACAGTGTAGGCACGGTGATATTTGTTCTACCCGGAGCGGATGACGCTCCACCATCAACACGGCTTCGACAGATGATTTTGGGAGACGCGACCAAACTCAAGTCGCAATTCAGGCTAACATACACGATGATTCTCAACCTCCTCAGGGTTGAAGCTCTGAAAATTGAGGAGATGATCAAACGCAGCTTCAGCGAGAACGCTACTCAAGCCCTATTACCGGAGCATGAGAAACAGGTGAAATTATCCGAAGCCGATCTTGCGAAAATCAAGAGAGAGCCTTGCGATATATGCGATATCGATCTCGCGCAATGCCATGAAGCCTCCATGATGTTCGAGAAACTAAACGCCGAAATGCACCTGACGGCATTGGGGTCTCCTGTGAGCAAGCGCATGTTCACGGCAAAAAGGCTGGTCATCTTTCGCCGAGTATGTGCGCCGTTGAATTTAGACGCGACTACGCTGACTTCACGTAGGATGGTGTTCGCTCTGTGGGCGTACTCACGAGGGATGGGGCCAACGCCACCATGACGAAAGCGGCCGTCCCAACCGTCCCCATCCTTGAATTCACCTCGAAGAAATCCCGCAGCACAAGTGACGTTCTCCCATGCCTGGGCGAGTTTGCCAAGTTCTTCGACCAGCTTCCGACTACGCAACAGGAGATGAAGTTCCGGGTCACTTTGGTGCCTGTATCGGACCTGGAATGCCTCACTAGGACTATTATCGGGGGGGATCAGCCGGTATTGAAGGCGCTCCACGACAGGAAACTCCAGAGTGCGCTTCTTGAAGTCGAACTCTTCCCGATTTTCCAGTCTTGGACTTACAAGGACTGGGATGAGCTCGATTGGACCAGAGTGAAGAATCTTGAATTTAACAACGTCCGTGAAAAGCGAGCCGAAGCGTCGAAGCTCGCACAGGAGACCCAATGTTTTCGATGTCCCAAATTTGTGCAGCACTTTGCCATGCAACATGATGAATGGCTGATCAAGGAGAACATCAACCAATTGCGACAGCTCATGTCGGATCAAAACCTTCAGCTTCTTCCCGACTATGAGCAACGCATCCAGGTCCTGAAGGAGCTTGGCTTCATCGACGAGAACTCCCGCGTCGAGTTGAAAGGGAAGGTTGCTTGCGAAGTACATTCGGCAGACGAGCTGGTTCTCACAGAATTGATATTGGAAAACGCACTTGCCGACTATGAACCTGAGGAGATCGTGGCTCTTCTCTCGGCATTCGTCTTCGAAGAAAAGACGGATTCGGAGCCCACACTGACGCCTCGGTTGGAAAAGGGGAAGAACAAGATCATCGAGATCTCCAACAAAGTCAATCGTGTTCAGGAGACGTACCAGGTCATCCTCTCATCGGACGACTCGAACGATTTCGTGAGCAAGCCTCGATTCGGCATGGTCGAGGTGGTGTATGAATGGGCTCGAGGAATGTCGTTCAACCGGATCACGGATTTGACGGATGTGATGGAAGGAACGATTGTCCGCGTCATCACGCGGCTCGACGAGACGTGTCGCGAAGTGAAGAATGCGGCGCGACTCGTTGGAGACCCGACGCTGTTCACCAAGATGCAGACTTGTCAGGAGATGATCAAGAGGGATGTGTGCGCGGTTGCGTCGCTGTACATGTAGGGTACCGGAGACGCTATTACTAGAAGGGCAGCACCGGGGTTCAAGGAGTAGACTTAAGGAGTAGGCTCAAGAAGATAGATGTACATATCATGAATTCATGATCAATTCACTCCATTCACTCAATTCACGTTCTAAGGCTTAATTAATGGCTAACTGACTAAGTTAACGTAATCCACCAGCGAGTCGCCCAAACCACCGAGTCGCCCACTTCATCTCCGTAACAGCGATCATCACGATTTTTTCGCAATGTCTCAACAACAGAGCCCTCAATTACCTTCAAATGAAGCTAGAATGAACCTAGCCATCCAGACTATCGAACAAGACCAAGTTCAATCAATTCGAGAAGCTGCAAAAGCTTACAACGTCCCGTGGAGTACCTTACGTGACCGCCGCAACGGAATGACTGCACGAAGCGATTGTGTCCCGAATTCGAAAAAGCTCTCAAATATGGAAGAAAGGGTGATTATCGACTACTGCCTCGATGTCGACGCGCGCGGATTTCAGCTCAATTACGATATGTTGCGAGATATAGCCAACAAGCTACTCAGCGATCGCGGTCAGGCTCACGTTGGTATCAATTGGCCTTCAAGATTCGTACAACGCGTTCCAGAGCTCAAAACACGTGTTAATCGAAAGTACGACTATAAAAGAGCCCTGAACGAAGATCCAGAGATTATTGGCGCGTGGTTTCGCCTCGTACGCAACGTGAAGGCAAAATACGGTATCCTGGATGAAGATACATACAACTTTGATGAAGTTGGCTTTCAAATGGGCGTAATCGGGACGCGCATGGTCATCACGGGTACCGAACGACGTCAGACTCCAAAAACCTTGCAGCCAGGCAATACAGAATGGGTGACATCGATCATTGCTGCCAGCGCGCAAGGTTGGATTGTCCCACCCTTCATCATCTTCAAAAGCGCTCGACATTACAATACCTGGTACGAGGCGATTGCGGATAGGCCTGATTGGGTTCTATCAGTTAGCGAGAAGGGCTGGACGTCCCTTGAGCATGGATTTGAGTGGTTAAAGCATTTTAATCGCTTCACAGAAGACCGTACGACTGGCGCCTATCGGCTTCTGATTATGGATGGCCATAACAGCCATGACACTATCCAATTCCAGGATTTCTGCAAGGACCAGAAGATTATTACTCTCTGCATGCCTTCGCATTCATCTCATTTGCTACAACCCCTCGACGTTGGCTGTTTTGGGCCATTAAAGCGCGCGTATAGCAAGGAGATTGAGGACTTTATCCGGTGCCGCATCAACCACATCACGAAAGAGGACTTTTTACCTGCTTTCAAGACCGCCTTCGAAAAAGCAATTGCTACGGAGAATATCCAGGGCGCCTTCAAAGGCGCAGGATTAGTGCCTTTCGATCCAGAAGCTGTTATTTCAAAGCTTGATGTCCGATTACAGACCCGACGCCATTACCAGAGATCACTCAATGGGAGTCGCAAACACCACGCAACGTCGCTGAAATAAGGTCCCAAACAGAGTACATACGACAGCGCCTTCAAAGAGATCAAAATACCTCCCCAACACCGCTTTTAGAAAGCTTTTCAAGCCTTGAAAAGGGTGTTCAAATGGTCGCGCACGGAGCTTCAATCATGGAGGTCGAGATAGGAAAGCTTCGGAAGGCAAACGAGACGCTATCAAAGCGCAAACAACGCAAAAAAAAGGTGCTTAAGGGCGCTAATACGCGCTCAATTACTGATGGGCTTGAATTAGCTGTACAACGTCGGGATCAAGATATAATCAGTGAAAATGGTACTTCTAATGACGTTCCCGCAAGGCGCCAGCGACGTTGCGGACGCTGTCGCGAGCCAGGACATCGCGTTGAGACCTGTACAATGCCTCAATTAGCTATACCAGAAAACGTAGATCCTAGCCTACTTCCTAATTAATAAATTGCTTCAGTAGTTGTTGAGATATTCAGGTTACGGTAGTGGGCCACGGTTGAGGTGGGCGACTCGGTGGTTTGGGCGACTCGCTGGTGGATTACGTTAGTGGATGAGATGTAATTAGTGACCAAAGTCCTGTCTGAAACCATCGAATGAATGCGATCCATGTTGATCGGTTGATCCGTTGTTTATCCTAGCAGCACGTGAGATGCAGCCTTGAGGCCTGAGGCATGAGCCCTCGACTCCACTGCATCCCACATCCCACACCAACTTCCCATCGACAGTTTTCTTGTTGGACGCCGACTGTGCCTATGGAATCCTCTACAGACGGTCAGGGCCATTAACCATTCTGCCCAAAAACAACATCTCAACCACACCACCCCCTCTAGTGCTCCTTATTTTATCCCTCGATAGGATCCGCTGCTTCGATGCAGCTTGCATCTTGATCCATCTTGTGTTATTGCATTTGCTCCAAGTGCTTTCTCCTCGCCTCTGCGCCCATTCAATTCTCTTCCTCCCTTTGCTCAATTTATTCTCGAATCCCACCTCAATATGGACGGAAATATCCTGAGGGGCAGGATCGCCGCCACTCTCGATCCGAATGCTGATATTCGGCGACAGGCCGAGATCGATTTGAAATATGTACGACATGTCTGGCTGGCGGCGCATTCCTTTACCTACATATCAACAAGCTCACATCGTCTAGGCGGAGGAAAATCCCGGGTTCGCGGATGCTCTCCTTAGCATCCTCGACTCCGATCAGGATACCAATATTCGACTCTCCGGTAAGGAATTGTGCCTTGGTGCAGAAGGAAATCGCTGGCTAACAGGTGGACAGCGGTCATTTACCTGAAGAACCGTGTCACGAAAGGATGGGCTCCACACGACGACCATACACAGGGCAAGCCGATATCAGAGGAGGAGAAAAATACCATGAGACAGCGCCTGGTGCCGGTGTTGGTCTCCTCCTCCCCTGCGATGCGCGCCCAACTGGTCCCGACCATCACCAAAATGCTCACCTACGATTTTCCTCAACAATGGCCCAACTTTTTGGATCTGAGCTTGCAGCTTCTGAACGGGAACGACGCCAACTCGGTCTTTGCCGGTGCATTATGCTTGCTCTCCGTCTGCAAAGTGTACCGGTTCAAAGCGGGAGAACAGCGACAGGAGTTCGAGAAGGTGGTCGAGGTCACTTTCCCACATTTGCTCAACATCGGCAACAAGCTCGTCAACGAAGAGAGCAGCGAGGCCGGGGAGATCCTCCACACCATTGTGAAGTGCTATAAACATGCGATATATGTCAGTGCGCTGCGCTTTGCCCAGGGAACGATGCTGACGATATATAGTTCGAGCTTCCGGCGCATCTTCAACAAGAGCAAGTGGTTGTGGGATGGTGTACATTGTTCCTGACCATCGTCTCGAAGCCGGCACCCGCCGCTGCCATGGTCGAGGATCTCGAGGAACGGGCCTTGAATCATTGGTGGAAAGCCAAGAAGTGGTCTTATGCGAATTTGAACCGACTGTTTGCGAGGTACGACGTGGACTGCCCTCGAAGAAATCCTCAACTGCTAACCGTGGTAGATATGGCACTCCTGGATCGGTCACCAAAGGCGCAAGCGGCGAAGATTATACCAACTTCGCCAAAACATTCATCACCAACTTCGCCCCGGAGATTCTGAAGGCGTACTTCCAACAAATCGAGCAGTGGGTGGCGAAGACGGTATGGCTGAGCAAGCCGTGCTTGTCTTTCACCTTGGCCTTCATGGCGGAGTGTATCAAACCCAAATCGACATGGAAACATTTGAAGCCGCATCTGGCCACCTTGATCGAGCATCTCCTTTTCCCCGTCCTCTGCCAGTCCGATGAGGACATCGAGCTCTTCGAAACCGACCCACAGGAGTATCTTCACCGGAAGTTAAATTTTTACGAGGAAGTGTCCGCACCGGATGTCGCGGCGGTGAACTTCCTGCTCGACCTCACGAAGAACCGTCGGAAGCAGACGTTCGCGGTGCTGGAGTTTGTCAACAGCGTGGTCAACAAGTATGAGGCAGCGCCCGATAACGAAAAGGATCCCCGGGCGAAAGAGGGTGCATTGAGAATGATCGGAACCTTGGCTCCGGTCATTTTGGGGAAGAAGAGCCCAATTGCGGATCAGGTCGAATACTTCTTTGTTCGCCACGTGTTCCCCGAGTTCCGTAGTGACCACGGATTCTTGCGAGCGCGAGCCTGCGATACGCTGGAAAAGTTCGAGCGACTGGACTTCCAGGACCCCAACAACCTTCTCCTCATCTACCGAAACATCCTGGAATCAATGGCGGACCCCGAACTCCCGGTTCGCGTGGAAGCCGCGCTCGCACTTCAACCTCTCATTCGACATGTCCCGATCCGAACCATGATGCAGCAGAACATCCCACATATCATGCAACAGCTGCTGAAGCTCGCGAACGAGGTGGACGTGGACGCTCTGACGAACGTGATGGAGGAGTTCGTGGACGTGTTTGCCGCCGAACTCACGCCGTTTGCTGTCGCTCTTTGCGAACAGCTACGAGATACCTACCTGCGCATCGTCCGAGAACTGGTCGAACGCAATCAATCCCGCGATCCCGAGGACTACGGCGAGTTCTTGGATGACAAAAGCATCACCGCGCTTGGCGTCCTTCAGACGATCGGCACATTGATTCTGACCCTTGAAAGCACACCCGAGGTCCTGTTACATTTGGAGACTATTCTCATGCCCGTGATCGAAATCACGCTGGAGAATAAGCTCTATGATCTCTACAACGAAGTCTTCGAAATCATCGACAGCTGCACCTTTGCTGCGAAATCCATCTCCCCGACCATGTGGCACGCCTTCCTCCTCATTCACAGAACATTCAAGTCCGGCGCCGAGCTGTACTTGGAAGACATGCTTCCGGCGCTAGAGAACTATGTTACCTATGGCGCAGCACAACTGGTCCAGAACAAAGACTATCTAGATGCGATCATTGATATTCCCCGCGTGATCTTCAAAGACGAGAAGGTTGGTGGTGTGGAGCGGATCTGTGGCTGCAAGATTGCCGAAGTCATCATGCTTTCTCTGCGAGGGCACGTGGATGCATATGTTCCGGAGTTCATTCAATTCGGTATGATGCACCTCCTCAGTGATGAGCCAAAGGTCAAGTCACACCGCGTCCATTTGATGGAGATGGTCATCAACGGAATTTACTACAATCCCTTGATGGCGATGCAGGTCCTGGAGGGGAACGGGTGGACCAACAAATTTTTCAGCATCTGGTTCTCGAGCATTGACAACTTCTCACGGGTACATGACAAGAAGCTCTGCATCGCCGCGATCACGAGCCTGTTAACATTACCCGCGGATCATGTCCCAGTGAGCGTTCAGCAAGGTTGGCCTAGATTGTTGCAAGGCACGGTCCGGTTGTTCCAGACACTTCCAACTGCCATGAAAAGTAAGTTCATCGCTCTAATGGGATTCGTGGGTGACTGACCGTATACAGATCGTGAAGAGGCGAAGCAGGAGGAAAGCTTCGAGCTCAACAATGAGTACGACGATGACGATGACGAGGAATGGGTCGATCCTGGAGAGTGGGATGATGCTGATGAGGGAGAAGATGTCAAGGATGAGGGTGCCGCGTATTTGGAGTTCCTCCATGAAGAGGTAAACATCTCGTATCGATCCCCTAGTGACGGGTCTAACATCAATCGCAGGCCGAGAAATTCAAATCGGAAGATGATGACGAGCTGGAAGAGGAGAGCCTCCTGGAAACACCTCTTGACAAGCTCGAACCTTACGGTGTATTCAAGTCTGCACTGCTACGTATGTGCATACCTCTGTGATGACTCGCGTATTATCAGTCTGCTAATATTTCCGTTGTTAGGCCTGCAACAAGAGCAGCCGCAGCTCTACGATAACCTCACGAAATCCCTTACACCTGAAGAACAGCAAGTCATTCAAGGTGCCGTGGTGCAGGCCGATCAGATCGCTGCGGCCGAAGCCGAAGCATTAGCCTTAGCTCAGCAACAGGCGCAAGCTGTCGCAGGAGGAGAACAGGGGAACGGTCAGGTTGGTTTACCGTCGCAGTAGAGCGATAGGACCACGTCCCCTAGAAATCCTAGCGAGATGACGCGAAGGACAGTATGGTTTAATTTTGCTGCCTGTTGGGCTGAAATTTTCATCTCTCTAGTTCGATTAGATGGCATTATGCACGAAGCTCGAGCTGGCGTTGATGGGACCTGGTGCGCTTGGGAAACCTTCAATTGTTCTAGCAATCACTCTCGCCATATCCCTTCGGCTTTTCAGTAATTTGAATTGACTCCGATTAAATGTAAAACGTTCAGCCAATACGATTCCATCCGCTTCGAAACACCGTTCGGCAGTCTTTTAACTGAAAAATTGTAGCCCGTCGTTCACGCCATGAGTTTGTCCATTCATCCCAACTTCTCCATCTTCTTCCCAAACATCGATTCGACCATCTCTCCGCCACGCACAGCCAGTACAGACAGCAGCGAATCCGAGAGCTGCACGATACATTAGCTCAACCCCTTGTCTATATGATCAGAGTGGGGAACTTACGCCATGTGATTGCTCGCAGCAGCCTTGCAACCAGATCCCTGAGGATTCCTCGGCAACAGTACCTGGCTCAAACGCAACAGAATAATTCCTTCGAACCGGAAACTTGCCACTTTCCTTGTCCGGCGACGACAACAGCGACTTGCAAGGTGACAGCAGGTCCCGATGTAAAGTGCGCGAGTATCCAGTGGCAAGGATTAGGAGGTCCACATCCAGCTCGGTGCCGTCAGCGTGCTGCACGTCCACGCCATTGCTACCACTCTTCTCTTCCGAATGCTCCAGGGGGCAATCACAGATGGGACCCGGGGCGATTCGAAGTTTGATCCCATTATGGATGGGTTCTGCCGACAAGACTTGTCGTGAAGGCAGGATCCGAGTGCGCCAGCTATTGGTATCGGAACCGTACACAAGCCGTTGCGCGTATAGAGACTCGTAGATTCGGTCGATAAGACCAGGGCGTACGACACTATAATTAGTATTGTGGTTTCTTGCTAAGGTTTGTGCACGTCCGCAAGGGGGCTGGGAGAAGAAGGCGTGCGTTGACTCTGGATCGAAGACCTCATTCACGCTATATGCGAAGTCAGCCAAATTCAAAGCACAAGACCAAAACGAAATAAATGTGGGAAGTCATACAATGGGCTATCGTCCGATGGTCTCAATGCCGAGTCCCGCATGATCATTGATACTTTCGAATCCAGGTGTTGACTCTGAATGTCCTCGAAGATCTCTGCCGCACTTTGTCCCGAGCCAACGACAGCGATGTGGTTGTAAGTGCCGCCTTTCTGGCGTAGCTTCGCAGGCATGTAAGCGTATTGGCTAGAATGGATCACTCTCGGGTTGGAATTTGGGAAAGGGGCCGGAATTTGTGGTTGACCTCCGACGGCAATAACGACGTTCCTTGCCCGATGCACAGTCTGGGTGCCCGTCCGCAAATCGCGAGAGGCTACCTCGAACACCTGGACTGGGCCATTTGCTACAGAGACTTGCTTTTCAGGTGCGATCTGGATAACCTCCTGACCGTAACGTACGACATGGTCGAATTTTTGGGCGCACCAGCGCATGTAGTCGTCGTACTCGATTCGAAGCGGGAGAAAGGTGCTGAGGTTGGCAAATTGGACCAACCGGTCGTTCTGGTGCAGGTAGTTAAGGAAGGTGAAGTCGCTCTTTGGGTTGCGGAACGTGGCCATGTCCTTGAGGAAGCTGATCTGCATTTTCGCCCCCTCTATGAGCATACCACCATGCCATCGGAACTGATTTTGCTTCTCTAGAAACAAAACCTTCGGGCTCGCAGACCGACCTTCAACCTTGAACTGTTCTTCGAGAGAGTCGTGCAGGGCAACGGCAATTGAGAGCGAAGCGGGGCCAAATCCAACGCAGATGAAGTCAAGGAGATCGTCATCGTTCGGACTCTCGAGGAATGACTGCGGCTTCTGGGTGCCGCTCACGGCTTCTTTCAATGGAGGTTGAACTGCCCCATTGACGGAATGGCCGTTCAAGCTATAACTACCGTTGTTCAGGGACCTCTCTAGACTTTCCTCCCCGACGATCGGCACTGAAATCGCCGATGGACTCATAGCTATGAAGTGGTCGATATGACAATTGAAGCGGCAAATATCTTGAAAGGGACTCCACGTGGCAGAGTGGTGGTATCAAGTCGAAGGAATTTACTCGAGCAATCGATAGGGAACGAATTCTCTGGGTTCGTCCAACAAATGCTCTGCCAATAAGGATTTAAAACTGAGAGGTGTACAAGATACAATTCGGTGTGACGGAACGACGAACTAGGAGTGAGGTATCGCAGAAAACGGCTCAATACGCGGATGGACAGGAGGGAGGGTGATTTTGATCAAATTGATGGTGTACAAGATAGTTTCCGGTACTCCGACTTGTACAGGTCCAAATCAGGTTCTAGAATGACTCTGGACTGGCGAGGATCGGGAGGGAAAGGTACGAGAGAAACAAGGCGAAACAAAAAGACTTTCACGACAGGCGAGGAGGGTGTTCTTAACTTCTTACGAGCGAAGTGGAGCATGGTCCAGGGTCACAGATGGCCAGCTGGATGATCGTGCAATTGAGTCCATGATTAAGGAAGCGGATGCCCTGAAAGTTCCGTGGACTTTTCTTGGTGTCGGGGCGGTTGGTTCGGTTTCGACCGCTGGTACCCTTTCCTTGAGCAGCTTTAACCGGGGCAGAAGGATGGATCATGCGATGGACATCTGAAAAGCATCAGACCATTCTGCAAATGGCGGATATGCGTGTTCAGACAACGTGCTTTAGGCTTCTTATGAGGCACATGTGAGTGGAACTGTGGATGTATCGAGTGGGGGGAGCCGTCAATAATCCCAGGTCTGTACCAACAATTCGACCAGGGAGAAGATCTTATCAAATCAAGATCATCAGATAAGCCGGAAATTATCAGGGGGAAAGGATCTTTGCAGGTTGTCGACAGCTTGTTGGAGTCCAAAGAGCGCCAACGAGTGGAAATTTGCAGCGCTAATTACGAACAAGGACAGCTTAGTGCGGATTCTCGAAGTTATCAGATCCGTATGAGACGCTTGGCTGCCGACAACGGAGGGTGCGTTTGAAGAATGAGACGGGCCGTGTCCGTATTCCACATTTCCAACATTCCCAACGAGACCGGACCAAACATCGAGAAGAACCGAAAACGGAGAACGTCATCCTGATTCCTGGGTGGGGGAAATTGATGATCCATCACCGTCGACGTTCTTCCAGCCTACGTGAAGGGAGAATCGTATTGACTTACTAAATGTAAAGAAACGTAAAAGGGGCAAGGAGGTGACGATCGAGCGTTTTGGCCCCAGAGTACGTACGGAATACGCCTCAGTGCCATCAATTTCTGCCACCACGGATGCGCGCAGTGCATTTCCGGTTCACACAGTGTGAACGTTTAGTTAGAACCGGGTTGATAGCAATTGGCATCCATCACCGTGCAGTTGGCTCTGATGGGAGGAACATGAGTGTACCACTCTATTGACCATCTTCTCGCAGAAAGGCTATCGTCTAGATTACTCTCTTGGGTTAGTTTCAATGCAATTCGACTGGCCCTTGGTTTGGACTTTGGACAGAGACATGCCCGCAGTAGATTTCCATATATTTATATTGGCCTTCGAAGTTCGAATTGGTGTGACATTTCGGCTAGAAGCAACTCGACATGTCCGTGCTCGACGCAGCATAGATATACGGTAATTATGGTAGACAAACTGACTGATCTTGATCAAAGTCAAATAAAACAGTAGCCTTGATTCTGGTACCCCGTCGCTCGAGTTTATAATGCCAGGTGCCATGAGACATATATACTTAATAGTATCTTAGGCCTCCGAAGCACTGCTTCATATTGTCCATTGGCTGGAAATCGGTTGGGTGTAGGATAAGCGTGAGACACATACTCCGTACGGCGTTTACTTACCATTTACGACTTGTGTACCACTACGACCGTTCGAACAATAAGTACTGTAGGTAAGGGATTTCGGTTCGTAAAGTCTGGTAGAGAACATGAGGATCCAGAGCATGAGGATCTGGATGTTTTGGGTGGCTGGCTCCTCCCGGAAATTGCCGAATCGCGTAGGCTGCCCTTTTCCCTGGAGGTTGGTCAGCCTAGCGTTCTTCCCTGTATTTTCGTTGCGGCAGATGACGCGACGCGTTTGGCAGTTCGGTGACTTCGTCCAATCCCACGGCGATTTCACCATCTCAGTTCACCACCACATCTTCACTCACCAGCTCATATGCATTGATACTAGTATGGAATACTGTCCTTGTTGCCGGTATTATTATATGGACGATACATATTGTTCCTAAGCACCGTATTGATACCTGTATTGAGTCAGCATTGAGCCACAGGCGGAGGAGTCCAATTTGCGCTGCAGTCCATCATTCAAAGTCTGGAGAGGAATGAGCTATCCTTGTCCGCTAATAATACAAGACTCCTCCTCACCGGCTCATCCGAATAGCTCCACGTCGCATCGGATCCGATGAACCCACAGGCACTAATACTCCAAACCCACATGGACAACCAGAAACGCAGAGACTTACCCCCATGGATCATGTCTTGGAGGGGACAAACGGCGGAAACCCCTCCAGCGCCTCGCTTTCCTGCCCAAGCAACCCCCTCCTTCCTCTCGATGTACTTTGTAGTGGTTACTTGAAAAGGAAACATTACACCGCGGTTCATTCTCTGAACCATCCGCTACCCATCGCGCCATGTACCGGCATTGAGGACAATGATAGAGCCTCATCATTGACGCCGAGACGTCATCCTATCTCGCCTGTTGTGCCCACCAAGCTCTCTATTGTCGATCGGAGACAGCCACGCCTACCGACCCCCCATCACCATGGATCTTACCCGGTTTCCCAACCTCACAGACTTTGCGGAACCTCAAGGAGAGTGTCATTCATGGACCTGCTCTCTGGACCAAAACGTACTTGACCAGAGAGTGGTTCTACTTGCATGGAGCCATCTTCTCCAAGCATTTACAGGCGATACCCAAGTCCGGTTCCTGGCTGATGACTCAGTGGTTAGCACAGATGTTGAAGGAGAGGAAGCTCATGTACAGCTCTCGCAGGTCAACGCTGCCGACCTGGGAAGACAAGATGGCACTGCAGTCCTATTTCAGTCAACTGTGCGAACGCCAGGCACGTGTTGGTTAAAATTCCTGCTAACGGCAAGCAGACGAAGGATGCGAACGACTTGGCCATCATTCTTTTTATTTCCATCGGTGGCCGAACAGCACATTTCAAGGCTTCCGCCTTGATACCCTGTTCATTCCAGGATCAACTGGCCAAATGTTTCATTTCTATCCTTCAAAAATGCTGCCATATGGATGCTTCACGAGATCTCCGCTTATCTCAACTGAATCCTGTTCCTGAGCGCCAAGACGGCCCTGAACTGCTGCATGACTTGATCAGAAATACAGCCAGCACTCAAACGGCCCTTGACTTCATTGATAGCGAAGCCGGTCGGCGAGTTCTGTCGTACCAAGACCTTCAATACGCATCGGACATCCTCGCTGCTCGAATAGTGAGGGTTTGCAAGGATACTCGTTCGGAAATCCAGCAGATCATCCCGGTCTTGATCCCACAGTCCCCTGAATTATATATCTCCCTTCTGGCCATACTTAAAGCAGGCTGCGCATTCTGTCCGCTTCAGCTTGACGCTCCCGAGGAGCGGCTTCGGTTTGTTATCTCTGATACTTCCGCCCCTGCCGTCGTAACAACCGAGTCTCAGCGGAAACGACTTGACGGTATTCAAGGAGCAAGGATCATTTCATTCTCATACTCCGACCTCTCTTCCCAAGCCAGAGTCGATTTCAATCCCGTCATCCATGGTTCCGATTTGGCGTACATCATGTACACGTCCGGCTCTACCGGTACGCCAAAAGGAGTTGCCGTATCTCATTTTGCCGTTACTCAGAGTCTACTTTCCCATGATAGAGAGTTACCCCACTTTTCACGATTCTTGCAGTTCGCTTCGCCCACCTTCGACGTTTGTATTTTCGAGATCTTTTTCACGTGGTTTCGAGGAGCGACTCTTGTGTCGTGCAGTCGCGAGATACTAATAGATGATCTTCCCACAATGATGCGCCAGCTGGACGTCGATGCTGCAGAACTCACGCCAACAGTGGCAGGAAATCTGCTGAAACAACGCTCAACCGTCCCAAGCCTTCGCCTCCTGTTGACAATTGGAGAGAAACTAACTGGCCGAGTTGTCGTCGAATTTGGCGGTACGGAAACGGAACCCAGTATTCTTTGGGCATTGTACGGTCCGACAGAGTGTGCAATTCATTGCGCAATTCAACCGGCTTTCAATTCCAGGTTGAAGGCTGGACTCCTCGGTCGCACATTCTCGTGCGGCTCGGCTTATGTGGTTAGCCCCCGTGAAGACGGGTCTCACTGCCAAGTCGAAATCCTTCCAGTGGGTTACGTTGGTGAACTGGCTATAGGGGGATACCAACTAGCCCGAGAATACCTGAACCGTGAAGAGCAAACCGCGAAAGCCTTCGTCGACACCGAAAACATTGGTCGCCTGTACCGAACCGGCGACCAGGTGCGAATGCTGCCCTCTGGAGCTCTCGAGTATATCGGGAGACTTGATACGAGTCAAGTGAAATTACGAGGCCAGCGAGTAGAACTCGGGGAAGTAGAACACGCTATAAGCAAGTTTGCTGGATGCGATACAGCTGTTGCGAGTATCGTCTCGGGGTCACTGGTTGTCTTCTGCCGCTTCACGAACCAAGTATCGGTGCCCTCTCCTGAGGCCATTGTACAATATTCGAAGACTTGGCTTCCCTCTTTCATGGTGCCTGGGTCGGTAGAGATCATAGATGAGATTCCATATCTTCCATCGGGAAAGATCAATCGGAAGCTGCTCGAATCCCAATTTCTGCAAAAACGAGCCTCGGTTTTGAACGGAGAGGTAGAAAAATCCTATGAAATCACTACGGCTTCTGGGATAAGCAAGGTCTTAGAAAGGATTTTGCAAGTTCGGTTGGCTCCAGACACGCCACTTGCAAGTTCGGGGCTCGACTCGTTGAGGGCAATCTCAGCAGCATCAGCACTGAGGGATGAAGGTTTCAATCTTAGTGCGACTGCTCTCCTATCCTGCTCCACCGTGGAAGACTTAATTGAGCACATCCAGGGTCGGACGGTCGCCAATGAAACCGAGCCGAAGAGAGAGATTCCATCTCTTGGGCTTGACCAAGTCCATCCTGACGCTGCAGGACGAATGGCAAAAGATGAGATACTCAAGATCATACCCTGCACTCCTCTTCAGCTCTCCATGCTTGCTGAGATGGAGAAGAGTGGTCGAGCCTACCGGAACTGGGTACAAATCGAAATTCCGGGGACCTTTTCTGCCCATACTGTTACCAATGCATTCGAGCATCTTGTGGCCTCCAACGAAATACTACGGACCGGATTTGCTCTAGGCACTACCGAATCTATGCCATACCTTCAAGTTATCCGGAAGAGTTTGCCTGGGGATACTTGTGTCGAGGTTGATACATTCGAGAACTTCGACAAAAACACAGAGGCATCTCGCGAGATGAACATCGCTTCGCCGCTTCATATACTCATAGAAAGAAACAGCAACCCCACCAAAGTGCTCATCCATATGTCTCACTTGATCTATGATGGGTGGTCCATGGATCTGATGCTCGACGACCTCTATGGATACATTCATCGCAAATCCATCCTCCAGCGCCCTCAGTTTTCCTCGGTGGTCGATTTCACGATGCGACCCGTTGAGAAAACGACCCGCATGAAATCAGAGCGGTTTTGGGTTCAGCAATTGAAGGACTACCCATTCATTCCGTTACCTCTCCTCAACGCTGTGAGCGTTCAACATAAACTCAAAACAATCGCAACAGTCATGGAAGGTTCTCTTCACGGAGTACGAGAAGCTGCTGCGAACCTCAACGTCTCTCCGCAGGTCCTTTTCCAGGCGGCCCTGGCACATCTTATCGGACTCTACAAGGGCGTGGACGACGTATGTTTGGCGTCGGTCACGTCAGGGCGAATGATTCCCGTCCCAGGAATCGAAAACATCCTTGGCCCTTGTATCGCGACTCTTCCCCTACGGTTGTTGACGAACGATTCAACGCCTGCCGCCACTCTCATGAGGAAAATCCATCAGCTCAATACAGATATACTGGCCCATTCATACCTTTCTTTGTCAGAAATCCGTAGGCTTGCCGGATTCAACCCCGGCGAAATGATCACCGATGTCCTGTTTGTATGGCAAGAGAGCCTTTCCTCCACAAAGGTGACACCCTCGAGCATTCGAATAGTCGACAGCTTTGACTACACTGAATTCGCACTCAATTTTGAAGTTGAGCCACAAGACTCCAACATTCTCTTGAAAGCGACATTCGACGAAGCGATAATCGATGCTGCTCATATCCATGTGCTTATGCGGCAGATCGAAACCTTTGTATCCTGCGCCTGTGAGAATCCGCAATTACGCTTTGCGGATTATCATCCACGGTTATCCAGCGATCTCCTTTCCTTGATTCCTATCCGAGAACAGACCCCCCCGAGCGAAGCGTTGACAGATCGAATCAGTCGATGGGCAAGGGATTATCCAGATCGAACAGCCCTTTGGTTTACATCGGCTTTCGAAGACAATATTTCTACCATCCAAATCACTTACGCGGATCTGGAAGACCGTGCCAATCGACTGGCTCATGCCATATGTGCTCTTCGAGAATCATCAGACGTATTGGCGTGCATCTACATGGACAAGTCAGTCGAGTTCTATGTTGCAGTCTTGGCTATTGTCAGAGCCGGTCTAGGCTATTTACCGATCACTCCCGATACTCCTCAAGAAAGAATCGAAACCATTCTTCATGATTCACAGGTCAGAATTCATATCGTCTCGGATGCAACTTCAGAGTTGCTAGAGTTGTCCGGCGACAAAGTACTATTGAACGTAGAGAGTCTAGATGTGCGAGATTTCTCCTCTCAGTCACTCCAACATGTCCCGCTCTCATCTCCAGCATATGCGGTATACACTTCAGGCTCGACTGGGCTGCCAAAAGGCGTCCTTGTTTCGCAAGGAAATCTGCTCGGCAACCTTGAGATTTTGTCTAGCATATATGCTGTTTCTGCCGGATCTCGACTTTTGCAAGCATGCTCGATTGCATTCGATGTCTCCGTGTTTGAAATTTTTTTCTGCTGGTATTCAGGCATGACCTTATGCAGTTCACCAAAAGACGCTCTCTTTCGCGACTTAGAGCATGCAATTCGAACTTTTCAGATTACACACCTCAGTATGACTCCGACTGTTGCAGCATTGGTGGATCCTGCAAATGTGCCCAGTGTACAGTTCCTTGTGACAGCAGGGGAAGCCTTGACTGAAGTGGTGAAAAGTCGATGGACCGGAAAAGGCCTCTTCCAGGGATATGGCCCTTGTGAGACCACCAATATCTGCACCGTTAAAGAGGACGTCAAAGATTCGGACGTTATCAACAATATCGGTCCTCCTTTCAAGAACACGTCTGTCTTCGTTTCAGGCGTGAGGGGTTTTGAGATCCTTCCTCGTGGCTCCATCGGTGAGTTATGTTTCGGCGGCAGCCAGGTGTGCATGGGTTATCTAAACAACCCGAACTTGACGTCTGAGAAATTCTTGGTTCATCCTACATTTGGTCGGCTATATCGCAGCGGAGATCTGGGCCGCCTGTTGCCAGACGGTCAGCTCCTCTTCGCTGGGCGGAGCGATGATCAAGTCAAGATTCGAGGCCAGCGTGTGGAATTGGGTGAGATCAATCACATTCTGTGCAGTACGGATATTGTACAAGATTGCTGCAGCCTTGTCATCGGCTCATCAGCAAGAGGCAATATCTTGGTAACATTCTGGGTCCCGGTCATTGCCCAGAGCGAACCGTCGGTTGTCTCTAATCTAACAAAATTCGGAGACGATTTGTGCCAGTTATTCGACGTGTGTGCTAGACGCCTCGCCGCCTATATGATTCCTACTCATTTGATACCCATCGGAAGGATCCCCCAGACACGACAAGGCAAAGCGGATAGGCGAGCACTGAAAGCCGAATTCGAGGCCCTGGATGCTGTATATCTCAATGGCGTCTCAGTCGGAAGTTCATCAGATGGAGACATGACGGATTGGACGGAAGAGGAGCACACAATTGCCAGCGTCCTTGGAGAGGTTCTCCAAGTACCGCGACGCGAAATCCAGAAGACCTCTTCTTTTTTTGGCTTAGGTCTCGACTCGATATCAGCAATTACTGTTTCCCGGAGACTAGAATTGCTCAACATTCAAGCCACGGTCTCTCAACTTCTCAGATTCCCAACTATTGCTTCCCTTAGCCGGGGCAGGTCATCTGATGAACCAAGCCGTACAAAGGTTGACCTTTCGAATATCTGGACAAAATCAGACCTGTCAGACCTCCGCGCTCTGTTCAGAAACAATAACCTCTCTGCTGCTCGCATATTGCCTTGCACTGCATTGCAAGAGGCAATGATGTCTACATCGTCTACATCCCCCGACGCGTATTGTAACGTCATGCGATTTAGCATTCATGAGGATTCGTCGAAGGTCATACACGCCTGGGACACTGTCTTGAGACGACACGATATCTTCCGAACTGCCTTCGCAAGTACCCAAAACAGAGATTATCCGTTTGCACAGATACTCCTCGATGGTTACTTGCCAAGGACTCATCATGTCCACGTCGCCAGTGAGGAAGATCTGGATGAAGTTATTGGTCACCAGAAAACGACTGTGCAAGACAAAGTGGCAACGATACAGCCGCCATACGTCTCATCCGTAGCGGAGTTTGTAGATGGTGCTATCCAGATAATATTTTGCTGCCATCATGCGCTCTACGACGGGGAAGCGATGTCTTTGCTGGTCAAAGAGGTACAGCAACTCTGTAAAGGCGAACATCTCTCAGCTCTTCCTATCATTGACCCGTTTCTTAACGAGGTTATTTTGTCTAGAACAGCAGAAGCCGATTCTTTTTGGGCACAATTGCTCCAGAATGCGAGGAGCACGATATTTCCGCCACTATCTATCAATCCGACAAAACGCGAACGGCCCAAACACTTGTTCGAAACGTATGGTTCGACCCTCGCCGTGTCTTTGACTCGAATTGATTCAGCGATTCGCACCTTGAATACGCCCCTGCTTTGCATATTGCAAGCAGCTTGGGCCAAGGTACTGGCCCAGTGCGTTGGTCAGTCAACGATTTGCTTCGGTAATGTGGTCAGTGGCAGATCTGTGCCAGTACCGGGTGTAGAACGATTAGTTGCACCTTGCTTCAATACGGTTCCCATCCATATCCAAATCAAAGAAAGCCAATCGAATCTTGAACTGGTCGAGTCGCTTTGCAGATTCACGGCAGATGCAATGCCATACCAGTTATATCCTCTGAGACGTGTTCTGTCAAACGTCCAATCCATCAACAAACCCCTGTTCGATTCACTTTTTCTACTACAGCCTGGGCCGTACCGGCTGGACGAGCATATCTGGACGCTAGAAGAAGATTCTGGGTGGATGGATTTTCCACTAGTTGCCGAAATCACACCGGATCGACATCAAAATGTGCTGGGCTTCAAACTGCATTTCTCTACATCCAAACTCGAATATAATGACGCGGTCTCCGTCGCTACGCTATTCTCATCTGCACTAGAAACACTTCTAGATTCGCCGAACGGGAGTGCAATAGACCATGGGCCGTCATTTCTAGATGAGCGCTTGTTAGCTGGAGACCGGACCATGGTCAATCAAGGGGTGGTCAATTCAGGATGTCTTCCCAATACGGTCGATACAAAGGAGCGCGAGGTGTCTTCCAAGAGCATCTCCCAGCTGGAGCTCAAGATTCTCGAACATATGGCGCGGTTTACCGGGAAAGATGTATCACAAATCAGTGGCTCAACAACCATATTCCAACTGGGAGTGGACAGTATCAGTGCAGTCCAGCTTGCCTCTTTGCTAAGAAGAGAAGGACTTCACGTCAGTTCTTTGAAGATTCTCGAGCTTCAAACCGCTTCCGCGATCGCAAAGTTCCTTGAGCTGAAGAACGAGCCAACCCAATCTCCTCAATTCGATTTCGCCGCCTTTGACCGCCAGCACCGGGCTCGTATTTGCGAAGAGCTAAACATCTCTTCCTCTGAAGTCGAGAAGCTCCGGCCGTGCACACCACTTCAGAGTGGCATTATTGCTCAGTTTCTGCAGAGCAATGGAGACCGATACCTTAACCAGTACAGCATTCGGCTTCGCAACAACATCAGCGAAAACGATCTTCAAGGTGCGTGGGAGCAAGTGCAAAGTAGCCATGAGATGCTCCGCACAGGATTCTTTCACCTAGGGGGAACTGACTTTCCATTCGCGATGATAACATATACGGATGGCGCTGGTACATCGCCATGGTCTCAAGAACCACTCACCCATAGTGAACAAGATAAGCTGCAATGCGTTTCGCAGGATGGTTCATACTTTGCACAAAACCTACACATCCCTGGCTGGCGGCTTCTACTTGAACGCGGCCCAGGTTCGACAACTCTACACATCGCTATCTTACATGCGCTGTATGACGCTAACAGTATCGCGATGATTCTCGAGGACGTCTCACTGCATGTTGATGGAAAACCCGTTTCCATGCGTTCCTCAATTGAGAAGACGCTGGGTGCGATTCTACAGCAGCCAGATGTCACTGAAGCCAAATCATTCTGGACAAAACAAGATCTGCGCGTCACCAAGTTTCCTAATCTCTGCCCCTACCAAACCTCCGGATCGCTGCGGGTCATGGAAATCAACTGTAGTACTACTTTGACTGGTTTGGCCGAAGCATGCAAAGCTTCAGATGTTACCATGCAAGCTATGGGACAAGTTGCATGGGCACGAGTGCTCGGTGCGTATACTGGAGAAGATCGAGTTACCTTCGGGGTAGTGTTGTCAGGAAGAAACACGGAAGAGTCCCGAACTGCGCCATTCCCAACTTTCACCACCGTTCCAATCAGTGTTGCTATCGACACAGAAGCGATTCAAAGTCTTCTGGAAGCAGTTGCCTTCAATTCGCAAGTGCTCAAGTATCAGCATGTGGCATTGAGCGACATAAAAAGCTGGGCCGGTCTCGATGATCGACAGCTCTTTGACAGTCTCTTCGTTTTCCAACAATCAACTGGTCCTGAAACACGCCTCGATTTCGGAGAAATAGTACATGAGGCGGCTACGTCGGAGGTCAGTCACATTATTACTCGCGACGTCCACATCTTGATTATTGACAACATTACAGTTTGTGGTTTCGGTGGAGCTACTTCCAAAGGACGATGATGTCCTGGTTCTCCGCTTAACTTTTCAAAGCAACATGCTACCTGAGCCGCAGGCACAAACCCTTCTAGAACAGATGGATCATCTCTTGGCTAGTTTTTCCAAACCAGGATATGAGGACCAAGCACTCTCCCCACTTCTCTACTCCATCACTCCCGCAAGGGATTCGAAAATAGATTCAGACGAGACATTATTGCACCATTTCGTTGAAAATCAGCTAGAACCTCGCCCACAAGTTGTTGCCCTGCAATTTGCATCTGACATTACCAACGGCAAAGTTCGGAGTCATTGCTGGAGCTACAAGGAGCTGGACAACGCGGCAAACCGTGTTGCTAATATTGTTCTCGATTCGAACGTACAGCAAGGAAGCCTAGTCGCAATATGCTTCAATAAATGCCCAGAAGCATCATTCGCTATTGTTGGCATTCTCAAGTCAGGTTGCGCCTATGTCGCATTGGATCCAAGTGCTCCCCTGGCCAGAAAGAGCTTTATTCTCCAAGACAGCCAGGCTTCTCTGATTTTGACGACCAAAGATCTCCGAGACGAATTATCCCCACTACCAGGCGTACGGATCATAGCTCTAGAAGACGGAGAGTGCGAAGATTTTGAGGCTTCATCACCACGTCTTTCAAGACCTATTGAGCCCTCGGATGTTGCATACTGCCTCTATACTTCAGGTACTACCGGCACGCCCAAAGGGTGCGAGATCACTCACGATAATGCCGTCCAAGCGATCAAATCTTTCCAACGGATCTTCTCCGGTCACTGGAATGACGATTCTCGGTGGCTCCAGTTTGCCTCGTTTCATTTTGATGTCTCTGTTTTAGAGCTGTTCTGGAGTTGGTCCGTAGGGATTCGTGTTGTCTCAGCACCAAAAGACGTCATTTTCGAGGACCTTGCCGGTGCTATTCGCAGTCTTCGCATCACTCATATAGATCTCACTCCTAGTCTTGCAAGACTTATCCGGCCAGAGGAAGTTCCAAGTCTATGCGATGGTGTGTTTATTACTGGAGGTGAGCAGCTTAGACAAGATGTATTGGATGCTTGGGGTTCAGCGCAGGTCATATACAATGGTTATGGACCAACGGAAGCCACCATTGGCGTCACCATGCTACCGCGTGTTCCATCAAACGGGAAACCAAGCAATATCGGCCCTCAATTCGACAACGTTGGCACCTTTGTGTTCAAGAAAGGAACCGATACCCCAGTACTCCGAGGCGGTGTTGGAGAGTTGTGTGTACACGGGGTCCTAGTCGGTAAAGGATATTTGAACCGACCTGAACTCACAGACCAGAAGTTTCCATATCTACGGAAATACGGCGTACGTGTCTATCGCACAGGAGACTTGGTGCGGATACTCCATGATGGATCTTTTGATTTCCTAGGTCGGCAAGATGATCAAGTCAAACTCCGAGGGCAAAGGCTCGAGATCTCAGAGATCAACTCTGTCATTGTCCATGACGTGCCAGAAATTCGTGATGTGGCAACTCTGGTCCTAAAGCACCCTCAGATGCAGCGGGAGCAACTTGTGTCTTTCATCGTAAGACATCTAACAACCGTGGAAGAGGAAAGGACCTACCGTGGCAGTGGAACTTCTTTTCAGTCGGTTGGCGACAAGGCACGATCCTCTTGCCAAAAGTTCCTGTCTCCGTATATGGTCCCAACTTATTTCGTGCATTTGGATGCGCTTCCACTCTCGGTGAACAATAAACTCGACGAGAATCGGTTAAAGGAACACTTCTATGCCCTTTCATCGCACGAATTACAGGGACTCGGTCGATCCACATCCGAGGACAACAGAATGACAGTTCAGGAGTCGCAGCTCGCAAATATCCTGCGCGAGATGCTAAGGAACAGAATCGACACCATTTCACCGTCTTCGAATATCTTCGAGCTAGGTCTTGACTCAATTTCAGTCATTGAACTGGCAAAAAGAATAAGACAAGCCAATCTCGGCCGTCCTTCGATCCAAGCTTTAATGCAACTACAAACGGTCCGGGACATATCGTCAACGATGGTGAAAGATCAGTCCTCCAAGGCTTCAAGCCGGGCAACAGCCATTTCAGCCAAGCAACTGATGTCCATTTGCAAGCACAAGCATCTCCGCCTGGTGGCATCGGCGTTGAGTTGTGAATCTTCTCTCGTCGAGAGCATTGCCCCTTGCACTCCCCTGCAAGAAGGCATGATCGCTACAACCATGAACAGTTCAGAGCCTTTCTACTTTGCTCAGTTTCGGTTCGAGCTCCATGAGGGCACCGACATACCACGATTGAGGGCTGCATGGCAAAATGCTCAGCATAATCTTCAAATGTTGCGGACCTCCTTTGTGCAAAGCTCTTCAGGCTATGTCCAGGCCGTGATGAAATACCGTGAATTCCCTTGGAAAGGAACATTTATACCGGAGGCCACATTGCACCAGGGAATGCGGGAGATGTTCCAAGACTGGTATCGTGACACCCTCTGGACCCTGCTTCATCCATTTGAACTTGTCCTCGTCAAATCAGAAGCACGCGTTCTGCTTTCGCTCCATATGTTTCATGGCTTGTACGACGGCATCAGTATGAGGCTTCTACTCCAGAGCATTGCCCAAGCGTACCAGAGCGAGCCGAATGTGCAGTACGGGCCGAACTTTCACGAGGTCCTCCCATTCGGGCCCTTAGCCACCCTTTCTGGCGCCGAGCAATTCTGGCTTTCTCACCTGGCAGGTAGAAAAAGTGGTACTCATCCTCAAATGCGTTATGATTGTCCTAGTCCCCTGAAAGTATCTTCAACACTTGGTGGCATGGGTTCCATCGAACGACTACGAAAATCACTGAAGGTTACTACCCAAGCAGTTGTCCAAGCAGCCTGGGCGGTGACCATGAACAAGGAGCTCCATCGACCCAGTCCTTTGGTCCTAGGACTTGTCATATCTGGGAGATCAATTGATTTCAACGGAGCTGATAAAGTGGTTGGGCCGTTGTTCAACACAATCCCATTCTGTCTAGAACTGAGGAGCAATGATACATGGCGAGATCTGATCGCTCGTTGTCAGTCTTTCAATATTGCGGTCCTGCCATTTCAACATACGCCCCTTCGAAATATTCACAAGTGGAATCAAGTTCCTTCCAACCATTCTCTCTTCGACACTCTCCTGGTCTTTCAACAAGCCCTTGAGGGGGATTCTTCCAATGAGAACTTGTGGGAGCAAACAGGAGAAGGGGCTGCAGCACACTATCCTCTATCGCTCGACATTGAACTTATAAAAGAGTCAATGAAGCTCGAATTCGTTTCCCAGGGATGGTACTGCGATGGCGAGCAATTGAGTAGGCTGCTATCTGAGTTCCAACAGTCAATGGAAGCAATGCTTCTCAACGTTGATGACAACATTGGCTATTTTACTGCAGATGGAGATCGGGGAAGCCCCATTGCGAGCGAAACACCGTCCGAGACCTTTGCAAATGGACACGTTACCAAGCCTGTCTCTGTGAAGGCTGAGCTACTGCGCGATCTTGTGGGACAGCTTACGGGAATAGATCTGGATGACATTTCATATGACGGCTCTATGGTTGGCCTAGGATTGGACAGTATCGATGCTATCCGATTATCCTCCCAGATTCGACAAGCTGGGTATTCCATTCCTGTGGGCGAAATCATGCGGTCCAAATCCATTGCTGCAATTGCCGAACAGCTCGTTCCTGAAACAGAAAGCGAGGCGGAAGGCAAGGGGGATAAATCGATGGATGTTCTTTTACCGCGTCTGAATGAACTAGTGCGAGGGCAGCATCCACATAGGTCCATTCAAGCAGTATACCCGGCGACACCTCTGCAGGAAGGAATGCTGGTGCATATGATGAGTTCCGGCTTCAAGAGATACTTCAACCATGAGGTTTTGCAACTATCGTCGCACACTAAACTCAATACGCTCCAGAAAGCTTGGGACGACGTCATTCGAACGACCGAAGCTCTACAAATATCGTTCATGGAGCTCGATGACCCAAGCATCCCCTACTCTTTCGCACAGGTTGTTGTCCAGGAGAAAGCTAGCTTGCAATGGTTCACCAAAAGGTTGGACGACGACCGAAATTGGCTATCGGCCGTGGAAGATGCGAAGAGACAAGCGGAACGAAACGCAGAACAGGGGGAACTCATCAGTCTTTGTACGATTGAGACCCCTGACAGAACGTTGCTCACCCTGAGTCTCTCACACGCCTTGTACGATGGCTGGTCAATCGGATTATTGCATTCTGATGTCCAGGAGGCATATCATGGTCGGCTCACACCGAGGCCCCCAATTGGTCCCACGATACAAACCATATTGAAGGGTGATAGTGAGCAGAGTCAGATATTCTGGCGGGACTATCTCTCTGAATGTCAACCTACGCATACATCTCTAAGGACGACACATCCCGAGAAATCTGGCGTACTCCGCCGGGAATCCGTGAGCGACCTGTCAGTCCAGACAATCAAGGGCTTTTGCAAATCGGCAGGAGTGACCATGCAGACGCTGACGCACACGTGTATGGCCATGGTACTAGCATCAAGAAGCGCATCGCTAGAAACGGTCCATGGACTGGTGCTGTCCGGGCGGGATAATTCCAGGTCATCGGAGGTAATGTTCCCAACCATGGCCACTGTCCCCCTGCGGACATTTATCCATGGAGACGTGCGGTCAATGCTGGGGTACATGCATGAGAATATCGCGGATGTGGTTCCTCATCAGCATTACCCTCTCCGAAAAATCCAAACTTTGGTGGAAAGGAATAGTCAGCCGCTCTTCGATGCGCTCTTCATATACCAGGCGCATCCTCAACACCATGTCGACGAGCACGAGAAGCTGTACGAAACCATTGATGGCGATGCCGAAGTAGAATTCGGCGTAGCGGCGGAAGCCGAAATCGCTGACCAGACTCTTGTATGGCGCGTAGCATGCTCGGAAAGCCGGTTCGACACCAAGGCAGTGCAACAGTTCCTCAGAGAACTCGATAGTGTTCTCCGGTACATGGTCAATTTTCCGGACCGTGAATGTCTGAGTGCCGACAGTGAGGGTATCACAATCTGCGGCCTCTCCAAATTTGCTCTAGATGCTGAATTGGAGGACAGAGGAGCAGGCTCTGATGGGCGGGATCAAGCGCGGGTTGTGGATGAGGCCACATGGACTGAGTTGGAGCTTTCCATTCGTCAAGTGTTGTCAAATGTGGCTGGCATACCCGAAGACGATGTCACCAAAGACTCGACCTTACCGAGCATCGGGCTAGACTCCATCAGTGCCATCAAGGTCTCAAAACTGCTGCGCAACAGAGGCATTCTGCTGCCGGTGAGCACACTATTGCGTGCATCCACGGTTCGTACCATGGCACAGGTTCCCTCTCAACCTCCAGATCCCGAAGAAGCCGACAAGCAATCAAACAAGGCAACTTGGAAGTCTCATGCGGTTGGTTTTGAGCTGTTGGAGAGTGTTGACCCCGGCGACGTGGAGATGGCCATACCAGCAACCGCTGGGCAAGTCTACATGCTATCAGTGTGGCAAAACTCCAATGGGCGGCTTTTTTGGCCCACATTCGAGTACACAGCACCTGGGACCTGGAGCCGTGCACAGATTGAGATGGCATGGAATGCCCTGGTTCAAGAACATCCCATTCTCCGGACTACATTTGTGGCCACCGAAACGGAGCTCCCGATCATGCAGGTCGTCCTCCGAGGCGATTCGAAAACCCTCAAGGAGCGTAAAATAGTGAATCTGACGATTGAGGAAAAGGTTGGCACTTGGGTGCTGCGACTCAACATCCATCATGCGTTGTATGATGCCATAAGTCTCCCACGGCTGATCCAACGACTGGATGCACTGTGCCTCGATTCTAACCTCTCGAGTAGCGATTGGGACAATTCTTTTGGGGAATACGTCAACGCTGTCTGCGATGTCGACTCCCACGAGCAAGCTCGTTCGTTTTGGTCGTCTTACCTTCATAAAGCTCCGAATCCGCTGATCAAGCCATCTTCATCTTCATCCCATCGTCGAGTGGAACTTTTCAAGGCAGACGTGGTGAACCAAACCGCTCTGCTTGAGAAGAAGGCACGAGCAAGCCACGTTTCGGTCCACCACATTTTCCTTGCCGCATATGCCCAAGCCTATGCCCGTCTCGTTGCTAGCCACGCCGCTCATTCCAAAGAAGTCGTCTTTGGGGTCTATCTAGCCAATCGGTCTCATGACATCCCTGGACTCGTGGAAAGCTGTGGCCCAACCCTCAACCTTGTGCCCCTACGCGTCTCACTCAATGCCAATAAGGGACTGGTGGAGATGGCGAGGAAGATTCAAGATGACTTGCTTGAGATGAACCGGATCGATCGAGCTGGAGCGGGATTGTGGCAAATCGAGCGGTGGACGGGAATCCAGGTGGATTCGTTCGTCAACTTTTTGAAGCTGCTCGATATCGCTGAAGTCGTGGGTGCAGGGGCCATTCGTGCTGCGGATGGAGAGCGGGATGGGTACGCCAGGGTGGTAGAAGGGAAGAGCGCCGATGATGGTGAAGGATTAACGAAGCTACTGGAGAAAAATCGTGTGAGAGGCGCGTATCTGGTGAGTTCTCGTACCTGGAAACCATTCGAGAGGCATGCTAACTCCCGAAGCCATCTGTCGATGTGGAGGCACGGATTGTCGATGGTGGATTGCAGGTGGGAGTGTTTTGCCCGGAAGGACTCTTGACGTTGAGCGAGGCGGGAAAGCTGGTGGATGACTTGAGGTCATCGCTGTTGGGCAGTGAGTGATGTTGCTGGATGTCAGGTCTTGCCCAGCATGTAGTAGCTTTATCTTTGCTGCTATGACTCCCCATCGACAATCGGGATGATATGTTGAGAACCGAGAGTGAGTCGACATCACCGTCAAGGATCCTAGAGTCAGAATATGGGAATAATCCTTAGTCGAGGTAAAAGATTATCAGTCTTAGTCTTACCGCGAGGCTCCTGCGTAGTGGGTAATCAACTCCGGACGCGTCAATTCTTAGCTTGAAGCCCCTAGCCATCAACGCTGCTCTGGTGAATGATCATGTTGTCAACGGCAACTGGAAGTTGCTCGAAGGGTGGCATTAAGTATATCTCATAGGCTCCAATGTCAAACTATTTCCAGACTGCGAGTGCCGATCAATTGGAACTTTAAAAGTTTGGTCTCTGGATGTTCCAGAATGTCGAGGGGTGTACGGGCACAGCCGCTGCTGCATGCATGATGCAGAGGCGAAGGGATCATCAAAGTGCACCACGCGGACTTTTCTATCCTTATAATTAATATTACAATTTGCACATCCTTGTCTGGAGCCGGTGTATGGACGTAGCACGGAGCGGCATCAGCTTAAGGATTGCACGAATAATATCGGCGTTCTTGAAATTAAGCATTGTCACTGGTGGAGCGATTTCGTTTTCCGTGGACTCGTGGTCGTGCAGTGTCCTGTGTTAGTGACGCCGCGAGTCGTGCGGCGAAACTAGATTAGGAGTCGGACCTTAGTCCTTGTGGTAAAGGCGAAAGTCCCAATTGTTAAGGAGGCCCCTTTTAGTTTTAACAGTTCAGGTAGTAGGCGCAAACTTGTGCGAGTTACCATATGGAATCCGGGATCTCTCCTTGGTCGGGCAATGGAGGTTCCATTCTGGCATTTGGACACAAGAAAAGGAAGGGAAATAATGTCACGGAAATGTCACGGAAATGTCATGACATGTGATCAGAATCATGTGATCAGAATCATGTGAGTTGTGACATGAATGAATATAAGGCAACTGGCCATCCATAATTGTGTTTATCAGGCAATAAGGCAATATTCCACCAGGCCATTAGGCAATGTCCCGTGCTGACACAACCAATTTCACCGGTCGCCCTTTCCTCCCTGCACAACACTTTCGCGGCGCACCTTCCACGCTCCCCGGTGATTGGGGAATCTCAGCGACTCGGCGTCTCTCACTGTCTCTCACCACGAATTTCTTTCTCTCCAACTTTCTTCTCTCTCTCTCTTTTCTTCCTCTTTCATCTTTCAAAACCATCCATCCATCTCTCCCCTCCTAAATCAAGAAGAGAGAGTTCCTGTCTTTCATACAGGAGCCATTCTTCTTCTTCTTTTTTTTTATTAGGATCCGGAATTCGAGCCCACCGAGATTTCTCTTCTCGCGCTCTTTTCAATCCTTTTCAATCCTTTCCAATCCTTTTCGTCACCGGTTCGTTCGTCCGATTGTGACCAACGACCAAATCCTCCTAATCGTTCGACTGCTCAACTTTTCTGTTGAAGCTTGAACAGGATATCCTTTCACTTTGTTCTCTCCAGAACCCGGTGAAATCCTCTTCTTCCTCTCTTCTCCATCACTTCCTGGGTTACGTCTTCATTCGAGGACTTCCAGTTTAATAATCTCCGACTCGACACCACCCTTTCGACTCGCCTCCTTCGTATCCGCTCATCTCTCTCCACTTCGAATCGGCATCGCGGTCATCTCCGGTCCGATCCTCCACGCTCTCATCCATCGCCACGCGCTATCCCGCTCGAACACACCACCACTTATCCTCCCGTGGCCCACGCGCCCCAACGTTCTTAATGACCAGCACCGTGTCATCCGCGCAACCGCAACAATCCGCCGCACAGTCCGCCATCGCCGCATCCTCCGGCTCCGGCAAGACGTCTCCACTGCCCGCAGTGCCGACGCAGCCCACTGCCAAATCCTCGTACGCGAGCGCGACGGCGAGCGGTGCGAAGAAGCCCTCCACTCCTCCGGTCATCGCCTCGAGCACACCTCCCGTGGCAGTGGGCAGCTCCACCCCGATCCAACATGGCAAATCGCACTCCGTCTCGCCTGTGAACCCGCAGAAGCCCATCCAGCCTGCTGTTCCTGCCGTGGGAGCCGCTCCCGCCATCGTGCACGGAGGAGGGTCTATCGCAAACGGTGCGACGCCGCAGAACGATCACTCTCGCAAGCCTTCGTCTGTGACCATCTCCGCCTCGGGTGCCAGCGGCTACATTCCAAACGGTGGCCCGGCTGGCTCGAACAACAACCGACCGAACATCGTCTTCGGCTCCACTACCGCTGAAGGCTCCCCCGTGATCGCCAACAGCACCGTCAATCACTCGCAGATGTCAAATCTGAATACCCCTCAGACCGGCAATCCTCGCGTTCAGTCCCCGGCTGCGTCTCCTTCACCCATCCCGCAACCCGCTGCTAGCGGAGGACGACCACCGTCTGGTATCCAGAACCAAGGCAATCTGAATTTCGGAATGGCAGGCGACGGTAGCGACCATGTAAGTCTTGCACAGGTTCGGATTGGCCATGATCCTAACATGGAACAGATGCGCCCCATGCCTCAAGGACCGGCGAACGCTCAAACGCAACATTTGCGTCGCGAGTCATCGCAATCCGCTCACAGCGATATGAGCGCCAACAACTTCAACCGTCAATTCGTCCCGAATGGACGCGGACGGGGCTACGCAGGTGCATTCCCTCAGCAGATGGCTAACTCTCCAGGTGGGCAATTCCGCCAGCTGCCTTTGCAGCAGCGCGGTGGTCCCAACATGCCTCCATTCCAGGCTCAAGGTCCCATGGGTCAACACCCGAACTCGCCCTTCCGACCCGCCGCCCGCAGTCCCGCCATGGCGCCCGCTGCTCTACACCAGCAGCCGCACATGGCAAACGGACCCCAAATGCAGCATGGTGGTTATGGAGGATATCCACAACAGCTCCACCCGTCACAAGTAAAGCCCTCCTTTTCGCGTCCCCCTCCTGCTTCTGGTCATTTCGCCGCGTTTCAATCTCCTTTCAACAATTCCGCAAACGTCAAGTCCTTTTCGCCCGCCGTTGCCGCGCAGCCACCGTTCAAACCGTTTCCTCATCAACAGGCGGCGTCGGTCGTTTCAAATCCGACCATGCCGGATCACGCTGCCGTGTTTAACCATCAGATTTCCGTTCCGGAACTGTCGCGAGACATGACATATGGCCATTTTCTAACAGAACTTCACCATCCACAGGGAATCTACGGAGTATCGCAGCAGTTCGATCCTACCTACGGCCAGTATTACCCCCCTGGCCCATACATGCACGGCATGGCACCGTTCGGTGCGGCACCTCCCAGCCCCCAGCCCTACCAAACCGGTCCCCACCGTCCCCACCAACCGTTCATGCCGCAGTTCACGAACAGCATGTCACGAAATCCTTCCCAAGAGGCCCCGCGCCCTCCGTCCGCTTCGTTGGGTCACCCGCAGACGCCTTCCATGGCACCAGCAACCATGCCTCCCCAAACTCCCAGTCAGCAGTCGAGCAGCCCCGCCCCGACGGCCGGATCGCAAACCACCTTTATCCGACAGGCGAAAGGCAGCAAGGCCATCCCCATCATGAAACCGGACGGAGGCGCGGTCACGATCAAACCGTCCCCCACATCGTCTCCCGGTCCTCCCAACACCAAAGGACCTGTCATCGTGTCGACTCCCGGTGCTTCCCAAACACCCATCGCTTCCACCGCCTCTATTGCCGCGAAAGAGCCCGAGCCGGCAAAAGTCGACCCACAGCCGTCAAAGACGAGCGCGGAAAAGAAGCAAGAGTTCGAAGAGCAGTTCAAGAGGAACTTGGAGGAACAAGCCAAGCGAGAGAAGGGAGAAGCGGAGGTCAAACCTACGGCAGAGAAGGAAGAGACCGAGGTCGCTGCTCCGGCTGCTGCTCCGAAACCCAAGGAGGAAGAGGTGAAAGAGGCCGATAAAGTCGCTCCGCCTACCGTTCAGGATGAAAAGGAGAAGCCGACCGACGCTATCCCACCGGAAGATGATGAGGAAGAGTGGATCCGCCAGGCAGAGCAGGAGGCCCGTGAGGAGGAAGAGCGTGAGATCAAGTACCAAGAGAAGAAGAAGCGGGAGGCGGAAGAGAGGCGCTTACGGGAGAAGGAAGCCGCTTCTCGCGAAGAGGACGATCTCAAACGCGCCGAACGCGAGGCCGAGGAGGCCGAAGAAGCCCGTCAAAAAAAGAAGGAAGCCGAGAAAACCGATACGGCGGAAGACAAGGCGGAGCGAGAGAAACTTTTCGCATCGCTGAAGCGACCGACCCTCGGCCCTGGTGCACGCATGGGCGCCAGTGGGAGCGGTACTTCAACTCCAAGTTCCGATACCATCATGCCACCTCCCGCTCAAGCCGTGTCGAAGTCTCCCGTGCCGACCGCTTCAAAACCGAAGCCCGAGCCTCTGAAGATCCCGTCCGCCAAAGGTGGTGCGCCTGATCCGCCTACGCCCGGAATGCAAGCGTTGAAGTCCGCTCGATTCCTTGCGGTGCACTCCGAGTCCGTCGTTTACCCCACCGGTATCCAGTCGCCGAATCCCGCTCTCAACCAAGGAAGCAAGACCCTCGGCCGTCAATACGACAAAGAGTTCCTCCTTCAATTCCAAGATGTGTTTAAGGAAAAACCTGGGACGGACTGGGACCAGAAGCTCCGCGAGACTGTCGGCGACCCGTCCGACTCATCTCGCCCTGGTTCTGCTCGAACTCCCTCCGGGGCTGGTCGCCAACCTTCTCGTGGCGGCATGGGTTCTGGATTGGCCAGTGGTGCCATGGGCGCTTTCGGAGTCCAAGGGCCCCCAGGCCGGACTCTTCCGCCGGGCACGACATCGGAGGCGAGATTTGCGGCTTCCTCCATGGGAGCCCGACCTTCGCCGATGGGTGCCAATCCCTTCGGAACTTTCCCCGGTCGTCCCGGTGGCTTCCCTGTTGGCGGTCCTCCTCTGATGCAAAGACAAGGTTCATCACACAGCATGTCTCAGCAGAACATGAATTCCCCTCGTCCTGGTGGAAGTGCCCGGGGCAAGGGTGGTAGCCGACGTGGACAGGAGAAGGGTATGAGTGCCCGCGAGCAAGCACAGCACGCTGCATCGATGCCACTCACCGCGGGCCAAGAACTCAAGCCTTTGGAAGTCTCGTCCACCGGTTGGAAGCCGATGAGCCTCGCCACTGGGGCGCAGCAACCTCTACCAAGTGGTTTCCTGCCACCGGACGCGGTCCAGCGAAAGGTCAAGGCGGCTCTCAATAAGATGACACCCGAGAAGTTTGACAAGATCTCGAACGACATTCTCACCATTGCCGAACAATCGAAGCACGAGAGTGACGGTCGTACTCTTCGTCAAATCATCCAGCTGACGTTCGAGAAGGCTTGCGACGAAGCCCATTGGGCGTCCATGTACGCCAAGTTCTGCAGTTTGATGCTTGCTAAAATGAGCAAGGACATCAAGGATGAGAACGTCAAGGACAAGAACGGAAACCCAGTTGTCGGTGGCCCACTATTCCGCAAATACCTTCTCAACCGGTGCCAGGAGGAGTTCGAGCGTGGATGGGAAATCAATCTACCCGACCAGCCGGAGGGCCAAACCGAGGCGGCTGCCATGCTCTCCGATGAGTACTACATCGCTGCTGGCGCAAAACGACGCGGCTTGGGCCTCATCCAGTTCATCGGTGAGCTGTTCAAGCTTGGCATGTTGACGGGACGGATCATGCACGAGTGCGTGCTCAAGCTGCTCAATTTTGAGGGCTTGCCAGACGAGACCGCCATCGAGAGCTTATCCAAACTTCTCCGGACCATCGGCGAAGCCATGGACAGCGACGAGAAAGGCCAAGCCGCCATGAACCACTACTTCGAGCGCATCGACAAGATCCTCAGCATGGATGGGCTTCCGAGCCGAATGCGCTTCATGCTGATGGATGTGGTTGACCTTCGGAGAACCAACTGGCGGTCGAAGGAGACCAATAAGGGCCCCAAGACCATCCAAGAGATTCACACCGAGGCGATGGCTGCGAAAGCAGCGCAGGAGTTGGAGCGCCAACGTTCACACCAGCGTGGAAGTCGGCCCAACGTGGGTCGGGGCGACTCGCGAACATTCTCCGGCCACATGGGACCGCCCGACTACCCTCGCAACCAGGTCGAGATCGCCGATCTTCGCAAGCTTTCCCAACGCGGCGGGTCCGGTCGCAACGTGAGCTCTGGGGTCAACACTAGCTTTGCGCCCAGCATGTTTGGTAGCAGGAGTGGCAGTGGTCGGAGGGGATTAGGTCCGCCCGGGTTGGGCCGAGGAGGCGAAGACAGTGGTGGCAGCTCCCGAACCGGGACACCGCCAGTCAAGGATAAAGAGTCCAACGCGAGTGCAAACTCTTTCAGGTAAGACCCACCATCTTTCAGGATATTCGGACGGTTTATTAACGATCTTCAGCGCCCTGGCAGCCATGGATACATCCGGAGAAGCTGCCGAAGAAGCTGCCGCCCCTTCCGCCCCGTCATCTCCACCCATGACCAGGAGCAATCCTGCGAACGGAAGTGCCATTGCGGCTCCAAAGACTGCCGCGGGTGGGAGCGACGAGAGGAAGGAGGCGACGGCCGAATCGAACGCGGCATAATTCTATGATACCCCACGGAGACACCAACCATTTATTTCGGTGGCTCCTGTCTGCCTTCCATTCATCGAAATAGACGGGGATCGGTTTCTCTCCCATGAGCGACGGAACTGACTCCGGAACTTGCATCTGTGCGCAGGAAATAGACTTCACTTCCTTGCCTTCTTGTCACCTCCACGGTCGGGGTCAAGGAAGGTGGTTGCTTTGGGCATAGGCTGCGAGAGAGTTTCACTTTGCATTGCATTGGCATCGGCCTTTTCACGGGTTTTGCGTTGTTCGCGATTACTAAAAGTCTGATTGTCGATTTCTTTTTTTCCCTTTTCCCAAGCATAGAGGGCGGGCTCTGGGACAAGGGGTCTTATTTCCTGTCTGTTGCACATATCGACATGGGTGTGCTTCCCTTTTCGGCTTCCTTCCTTTTCGCTCTTCTCCATTCAGTTTCCTTTGCCGACGGTCAGATCGCACGAGCGACGTCGATCGACTAGTCGAGCTCCCGATCGAAATCTCTCGGTCACGGCCTTCCATCACCTACGAGCCTGGATGGTCGTTTCCCGGGAAACGCCTTTCTCTCCTTCTGATTTCCTTCTCTCTGCGGAGCATCCGGGCCGCTTGCCGGTGCCCGCCGAGCTGTTTATATACATGCATTAGTAACTCCTTTCCCACCCTTCCTTCTCCTATCTTCGTGGCTTTCGGGATGGCGCAGCACTGCGGTGAGCGAGGGAAAAAATTGGAGGTGGATTAGACGTAGCAGACAGAAACTCAAACGATGTTCTCAAATCGTGTTCCGGTGATGTTCAGTGCACACTGCGATAGAATGATCCGCTGTAGCCCATGATATCGACGTTCATTGCGTCGCGTGGGAGGTTAACTCCACGTTTCTGCCGACCATGTCCCACCGGCTGATGATCGCTTATAATTACGCGAAGCTTCGATGCATCCCGTTTAGAATGGAAATATCACAGGATAACATCGCAATCGATAATTGATGTCGCATTATAATGGTGCCTTGGGCAGTAAGGATCTGATGTGATGGACAGTAATCAACACGGGAAAGTCTAGGTGCCTTAACGCCCAAGGCATCAAGTCCCTGAATCTCCTGCCGCTCGAGCTCCAGACAATACTGCTGGGTACTCCGTCTGATCACAAATGATATACCTTCCGGGATCCTCTCATCCGCTGGAGCATCGTCAAGCTTCTAGTCCTTGGAGTGTTGGACCATAATTCATTAGCTTTTAGTAGCTGCAGTTGGATCGCGTTGCGGTCGCACTATTTCGCCCCATCATTCCGTCTCCTCTGCACCGCGTCGAAGCCCAAAGCATTCCGACCCCTACCTGACCATGGCCAACACTACATGCGCTGTGCGCCAGTGATATGCAGCAAGGCGAACAGGCTTGATCCTGCCGCACCTCTCACCGGTCGCCGAATGCTTGCCACCTACGCACGCCCGAGAAAGCCTTTCCTGAACTGGCAGCAACTGGTGACAACCCCTCGACTGCATTCTTTCCTTCTTCGCCGTCGGTCAGTTTGTATCGCACCTCGCGAACAAGGCTCGGTGTGCTCCAGGGCTTTAATCTCAAGAGAAGGATCGGAAGCCATTCAACATCCCTATATTCGGTCCAGCGAGCGATGGATGTGCCAGTACACGCATGGCGAACGATATACGATCTGATCTAGGACCAAGCGATCGCTCGAGGAGGAAATATGGGCGGCGGACAACATACCGAGATCCGCATCGAAGGAGGAGCGAATCGATAATCGACGAAGAGGAGGAGGAGGCCGCATCGAGGGTCACGGAGCGAGATCGGCACAGACGAAGAGCCGGTGACAGAGAAGCAAGCAAAGGCAAAAGGAGACAAACTCCTTCACCCAGCCAACGCCGGGAGTCGGAGCGAGTGTCGCGATATGAGCGACACGATGACGATTATTCACCTCGGCGACGATGGCGATCCCCGATGGAGAACTCCGACTCCGGCAGCCGCTCGACATCATATAGTGGCCGACGCCGTGTCCACGAGGCGCCGTCACCCCGGCGCATATCCCGACGGTCGGTCCATCCGTATCCTCCATCCCCTCGTCGTCCGGCATCCATCCTATCGCGTTCGCCATCGCCGGAGCCACGGCGAAGTAACATTCGGGTTGACAGCCATCACAACAGCTGCGAACACCTATACGGGGAAACGGGCTACCGCATGAGCCCGCGACATGAGCAGCTTGAGGCATACGATTTCATACGAGGGCGTCAGACCATTGCGCACGCCACGGGTGACGTCGAGCGACCGTCGGAACACGTGCGGAGACGATCAAGCGTCTCGGGATACACGAGACCGCATGGCAGACAGTCTGGGTGAGCATTCATGCTATAGAGTGGCTGCACCGATAGGTATGCTTACCGTCTAATAGATCGTTCCTAGAAGGACTTTTCGGACGACCCACATACCCATCTCCATCAATGCGACGTCCAGCCTCAGTGGTTTCCAGTTCCATTGCGCCATCCATCGCACCGGTCTTGCAGACTCGCCCTTCCATGAGAAGAAGCAACACCATGTCCACGCGGCCCATGGTTATACGACCATCGCTTGCTCGCAGAAAGGAGCTGCCCAAACCATCCGGTATGGAGACGGTGGCCACCGTCTTCGAGGCAGCGAACAGCATGATATCGGCCGTGGCCGAACCACCCCCGCCTAGGCCTCGGGTTCCGGACCATCATCGCAAACGAAATTCGGGAATCTTTTCATCCCTGGGCTATTCGGCTCCAGCAGCCGCTCCTAACATGGAAGAGACAAGGTAGTTTCTCTCGATAAACGGCTCGAGATTCGTGTAGTACCTAACGATTTTATTCACAGAGTCGAGTGTATCTCCTGTTTAGACGACGTTCTACCGCGGAAAGCCGCAAAGCTCGATTGTAGCCACCATATGTGCAACTCTTGCTTGAAACGGGTCTTCAACTTATCTATCACCGATCCCTCTCTGATGCCCCCGAAGTGCTGCACGGACCGCCTCATCCCCTTACGACATGTCGCACCCCTCTTCGATGATCCGTTCAAGCGGAAGTGGAACCGCAAGTATCAAGAATATACGACCAAAAATCGAATGTACTGCCCGAAGAAGGGGTGTGGGGAGTGGATTAAACCCAACCACATCAAATCGGATGGCGCTACGGGCCGTCAATATGGCACATGTAAGCGTTGCGGGATGAAGGTCTGCCGGATCTGTAACCAGAAATGGCACGGTAGGAAAGATTGTCCCAATGACGAGGAGACAAAGAGAGTGGTCGACCTGGCCAAAGAGGAGGGCTGGCAACGGTGTTACAATTGCAAGACCATGGTAGAACTTCGGGAGGGCTGCAACCATATGACATGGTGAGTTTGATAGATGGTCGGTTCATTCTAGCCTCACTAACTCTGTCCCAGTCACTGCACGGCTGAATTCTGCATGATATGCGGTTTGAAATGGAAAACGTGCGATTGTCCATGGTTCAACGTCCCTCCCGATCCTGCCAACTTGGCACCACCCGACCCTTTCATATTCGCCTTCGGCCAGAATCCCGATCCTTTTGATCCATTTCCAGCCGGATTCCCGCGACGACCTCGACGAAACCGCAACGACGGCCCCATGCCGCCCCCACCCCCACCTCCGCCCGGCGCACCACCCTTGAACCTTCGCGTGTTTGACGCCCATGCCCAGGCAATCCCCGTGCCGCCACCTCCACCCCCCCCTGCCGAAGGCCACAGGGGTGCTCGTCGGAGACAGCAGGAGCGTGAGGATGAGCACTTGGCACGTCGGCTCGCCCTCGCCGATCTAAGTGACGAGCCGATGGCTCCGGAAGCGCCACGGCCTGAGAGACGGAGATCGACGGCGAGGGCCCGGGCAGCCAATCGTGCGGAACGGAATCGCGTGGACCGAATCCTCGATGCAATTGAGGAGCCGCATGCTGAAGAGGTCGAGGACAGGCCGCAGCGGCCGAGACGGACGAGACTGGTTCGTCATGAACCCGAGTCGAGACAGCGGGTAGGTCGGGGGCGAGAAGCGAGTCCTGCAGATGGAGTGACTAGTTCCAACATGGCCGGGTTGGACGGCGGAAGGACTGGAGCGGCTCGAGTTCGTTTGTGGCGGCAGCATGTGTGATTGGTGGCATCTGAGCCTGAAATCCCACCTGGCTAAATATGATAACGGACATATAAACCTCACATTCGTCGAATTGTTTTCTTAGCAGCCAACAAGCGTGGGCGTTTACGATTTTATATAGCGGCATGAGATACTATGAAACTGCACTCCATATAAGCCACACCTTCGGTGTAACTGCGAATGTGCAAGGTTCATCACTATTATACCCATTGCCAGATAATATCACCGTTGTGGATTCAGAAACTAAGGAACCGCTAACGTTAACTAGGGTATGAAGTTACAAGAAAGCCCAACAAGAGACGCAATCGTGAGAGAAATGCTGAAAAACGTCCTCACGCCAGAGAGCACCCCAACCAGTTGGAGGAAATACCAACCATACCAATTCAACTTATGTACCCTTCGCAATAGTGGATGCAGAAAGCCGTCTGCTCGCCTCGCCTCAATCGCCATTCTAGAGCGTCATCCAGTGACGCGCCTCACCCAAAGTCCACCATCCCAGCCTCCTTCTTCCTTCTCCCTCTTCTTCCATGCCCGATGCACTTTTAACCCAATCTCGTGTTCCTCCCTCTTCACCTCCGACAGCTCCTCGCGCAGTGCCTCCAGCTTCCGCTCAAACTCCCTCATCGCCTTCAGATCCGTGATCAGTGGGTTTTGTGGCTGCTGCGCACGAATTGACTGCTCTGCTTTCGCAATATTGACGCGTTGGTGGGAGAGGTCGTCGAGCCTCGATTGCAGAGCGGCAATGTGGTCATTGGGATCTTGGGTCGGGTCTGGAGGGGGAGCGGGGAGGGCCTTCCCACCACCTTGACGGGTAGAAGACATTCCACTACCGGTGGTGGGAGTGACTGATCGAGATCCATCACGGAAAGTGTTGGATGAGGGGTCAGAGATACCGACGACTCTCGTGTTGATCTGCGCGTATTGAATTGGCTTTCGGGTGGAAGACGCCGGCTCGTTCTCTTTGTCCTCTCGGGTGCGTTGGACAGGAGATATCTTATGAGGCTGTGAAGGGGCGTCCGCATATGGTGCACCTTCTTCCTTATCAACCGGAATTGGTCGACCACGGTTCAGCATGCCACCTCCGTTTGCGAATGCGGCTGGAATCGGCGGAGGTGGAGAAGGGGGCGGAGAATTCTGATAGGTCGTGTTGGTGGCGTACGTTGTCCAACTGAACCGGCTAGTTGGGTCGTTGGGATCAGCGGCGCTGGCAGTCGTGTCGATCGACTTGCGAGGTATCCGTTTGTCAGACGGTTTCCGCTGGTGAGCTTGACGACGATTATTCGGCTCCAATTCTCGTGGCGCTGCGGGGCCTCCCCGTACCTGTGGCGATGGACTTGCAGGAATGATCGTGTTTGCTGACGAGTTTGTTTGCGCCGTTACCTGAGGACTATCCCTCCCCCCAGCGCCTTTAATATTGGTTCCATAGCTATCGGACCGAGCCGGTCGTACGGCTGAAACGCCAAGTGCCTCGTTCGAAGGTGCCATGCGCATATTTGACATGGGCGAGCCATCACCCGCTCTCGATGGCGGTCCTGGTCGTTTACTGCTTCGCGGCGGAATCGGGATGGGATGCTCGCGTGGTTCTATCTGGTCCGAAGGGGGAGGCACGATTGGTTGGCGACCGCTTGCGCCCTTCCACGGCTTCCGGGGTTGTGTCTCGATGGATTTCTTTTGATCCCGGTTCGTGAGCCGTGCAGCACGTTGGGAAAACGCTTGGATTTTACTTCGTTCATCGGTGTCGTGCTGCGAGAAAGCCGGATGTTGAAGCTTCGATGGAACCTCACTATCGGCGTCGATAACATCGCCTGGGCGAAAGGATCCAGGACGGCCTTTCTCGCTTGTCGTCGGTTCCCCCGAGTATGTATCCCATTTCGTAGTACTGCCGGATGCAGTCCGGCCGTCTCGGCCGGCATCGACACCTGGCCCCCCGGGGGATCTCTTCATGACTGGTATTTGGCTTTGAGGGGATCGCGAAGGCAGTCCTTGACGGTCGGGTGTTGAATGATCCACAGGGGAGACTGATCGGCGTTGATATGCTAGGTTAGGTGAAAGATCCGGCGAGGCTGGGGGGGAGATTTCCTCGTGAAAATATCCTGTCTGACCATGTCTTGGGTTATTGTACTTTTGTTGGTACGGCAAATCTCGGGCATCTTCAGAATAGACTGATGACGGAGCTTCTGAGGCTCGCTGGGCATGGCTATCAACCAACGGCGCGATTGATGTGCTGCAGAAATTAGAAGGGCGTCAGGCAAAGTAAGGACGACGTCCCACTCACTATAGCTTTCTTGGCTGAGGTGTACGGATGGCGTCGGCATTGAGGTTGGAAGGGAGGGGTCGTACGGTGTTTGATGGACTGGTTGGGCTCAGATCGGAGACATTGTAGAGTCGATCGAAGGTGTTCCCATCGTAGGTCGTGTCAATCAGTGTAGGGTTACTGATCTGCGTCTCCTTCCCACGCAGCCGCTTCCACATCGTTCACGGCTGGCGGTACCTCCCGCGGGTCTATCCAAATAAAAAAGTTAGCAAGAGCGGGATTATTTTCAGAGTTCAATAAAAGTAACAATATGGTGGCGGGCAGGACGGGTCACGTTTCCTCATGCCTTCAGATTAGGCCCGAACCACGGGAGGGAAGCGAAAGTTTAATGCGGAGCTGAGGCGAGACGCCTCGAATCTCTTGGTACATGTTCCAAAGTTGGGGGTAGGGTGGTTGGAGCTTGACGGGTTTGCTGCGAGTTGTACTGCTGCAACCCGGTCCTCGGAGCATTGGTGTGTCCAGACACGTTATTATGGGGCGGCTTCGGGGTAGACAGTGGAACTGCTTTGGTTCCAGTAGGAGTCTTTATCACGGTGAATTGCTGCCCGTTCGGCAGAGGAGGTCCCGGAATGTAGGTGGTCTGGGTGATGGTAAGGCCGGGTCGTATCATGGAGTTTGAGGAGAAAATGCTCGTCTTCGACCTTGTGATGTACACCAAGGCATGAACCACGCCTCCAATGCCAAAGGTGAGAATCGTGAGCATCAGGTTGAGGAACACCTGCAATCCAGATCCGCCGGAGAGCAACACGGCCAAGGGAGGGGTGAAGAACGACATGACCATAAGAGACGAGCGTTGGAGTTGGATCGTGGAGACCTTGGGACTTGAAACGTCCTTGTTTCCCCTGGTGGGAAGACGTGCTCGGAGTTTATTCATCTTGCTGTTGCCGACTCTCAAAAGCCAGGGGGTAGGCACGAGTAGAGGCGACCAGGGGCTAAGTACACTGGATTGAAAGAATTTGGGAGGATGATCAAGAGGGGAATTCTGAATATGCAAAGGAAATATTCAAAGAACGTTTGGTTGGCGGTGATAATATGCTGGATAAGACGATGGGTAATGCTGGGAGATGAGGATGGGAAGCAAAAGCAGAACACGCGGGAGCCAAACATTGCGCCCAAGGAGGCAAGGACGGATACGTTGAACCAAGTAGATTTCTCTTCCTCACCTTCAAGTCCGAGTCCAGGAAACGGCGTCGACGGGGGACGCGCAGGGAAGTAAAGAACAGAGGGTGAGGACTTTAATATGAGATGCAAGTGCGATATCTCTCGGTAGCGGGTCGTCGAAACAGCTGGCAGGATCCAAGGTGTTTAATGCCTCCAAGACGTGTCCAATGCAAGATATCGGATTCCTTCTAAAGATATTGAACGGACGAAGCTCCAGAAAACAAAACGAGCGAAGATCAAGGATTGTAGCACATGAAATATTGATGAATGTACCGATGAATGTATCTTGTTTCGGGGCTGTGTCACCGACTCGCAGTGGACTCGGTCACTCTGGTGATGCGGGTCGCTCTCCACGACAACAATCCCGTGTCGAAACTCCAAGGAAGGAATGCTTCTACTGGCCACTGGGAGCAGAAGGTTGGAATATCGGATAAGAATGCGGTGGATATTGGGTTGAAGTCTGAATGAAGATGATCGAATTGAGAGTGAGTGTTTCATGGGCGGAGGGGTGCGGTGGGCTGGATGGATGTTAAAACCGATAAAACGTCCTTCAATTCCCAGCGACTGTCTGGACTCTCGGCCTCGTCTGTCCGCGTGTTTCAGAATAACGAACGCGACACACAGAACTCGACGCCATCGTCGGGATTTCTACAGTGTACCTGCATTAGTGCTTTATTTCCCAGAAATCAGAATCTTAATGATCCTCCTGCTGTGGCACAGTGCTTGGATAATAAATCATCAAATGAATCTTGAAATAGCTTCTGTACTGGAATATATCTACACCTATTTATCCCCTGTGTCCGTCACGTGACGCCGTGATTGAGTGATACGATGCTGTCGATGCCCCAGGGATCCATTTGGTGGTTGACCTTTGCGATGAGTTGGCGTTGGGTCCTAATAGCACTATATTATGTCACGTGCTTATCGGTTCAGAAAGGTTCATGGTATACATCATGTTGTCGCTAACTAAAAGAGTCATATTCCCAATCAACATTTTATATACATCTCACACGCAAACCCCTTCTTGCCTTAGATATTCCTGCCACCAGTCACCATGATGGTCTGCCCGCTCACATAGCTCATGTACGGGCTGCATGTTGCAAGAATCGATCCAGCCGCCTCGGTCGCGCTCCCTGGTCTCCGGAGCGGGATATCCGGATATGTTGGTGCCACCGGGCCCTGGCCTTTCGCCGCCTGCTGTGCCGTCGGAATCCCCAGGGCAACCTTCTCACCATCCGGCAACGTAACGAACGCACCCTTCTCCTTCGCTTCGGTCAAACGGGTCATGATGTACCCGAATGCGATCGTGTTGGCGCGCACGCCGAATTGCGGTCCCCATTCCTTCGCGATGGTCTTGGTCAACCCGACCACACCGGCCTTGGCGAGGGCATAGTTGGCTTGGCCGGCGTTGCCATGAATGCCGGAAGTGGAGGAGATGTTGATGATGACTCGCGGCTCGCCGTCCTTGACGCGGAAGAACCGAGCGGCCTCGCGGACCAGGCGGAACGGAGCGGTGCAGTGCAGCGCGACGATGGTATCCCATTGCTTATCGGTCATCTATTTCACGGATTAGCCAACAGGTGGAGGATTCCGGATGAGGGGGAATCACCTTGTGAATCACACCATCCCAGGTATACCCGGCGTTGTTGATGATGATGTGGATCTTGCCGTTGCCGAACTCACCGGCCTTCTTAACCAGATCCGGGATGTAGGCCTCGTTCATGATATCGCCGGGGACGGCGAGCGCCCTGCCGCCGCTCGAGTTGATCTTGGAGGCAACATCATTGGCCTTGGCTGTTGGACGCTCCTCATTAGCGATGGGTCGATGACATGCATTGGGCAGTATGAGACTTACTTGCGTCGACATCGGCAATGACAACGTTGGCACCCTCAGCAGCAAACAGTCTAGCTGCCTCTGCACCAATACCCTGACCAGAGCCGGTGATGATGGCCGTCTGGCCGGCGAAGAGACCTTTGGGATAGTTAACCATGATGGGTGACGATGATAGCGATTTGATAGGTATGATGGGATGAAAAATGTAGGTTGCGGTTGGAAAGATCGAGATTCGAGAGCAAGAAACGAACAAGTCCTTTTCTAACTACCGAAACAACAAGAATGTCGGCATGTATTCAAGGAGATTGCTCGATTCATCCTCCTCGAGACCGCGGGTAGCTGTAGCATCTCCGTAAAATTGCCGAGGCTCTCTCCATGGCGAGTCCCTGTCCCGTCTCTGAACCACCAAACAGCTGCTCGAGGAACTTCAGGGTCCGACCCGAACTTGCTAACGGTTAATATTTCGGAAATAATAATGCCATAGCCGCCGGTATACGGATCGCGGAATCGGAGTTGGGACGTTCTTTACCCTATTTCGACAACTGCCTCCAAAATGCACGTGCAGCCGGGACTCTTCCACCTTCGCAGCGGCAGAAACCCCTAGCCGTACCTCTGAAGTCACCCACAGGCCACAGCCTTTCAGCAGTCCATAATTACAGTGACCTTGATCTGATGAAACGGTTAGAGACAACTCAAACTTAGAGCTTACTTGACAAAACCTGGGAATTGGCGCGCTGAAATCACCATGCCGGTATTCGAACCATCATGTCCGCTATGGACGAATCACACATAGAACAAGACATTCCAGTATCCAATGCCACCTGGACGAGCCATTGAACACCTTTCGGGTTCGATTTCTCTAACTGGATGCATCGGTGTTTAAATTATTCCTAAAGGGCGGAGATATCGCGATCCCACGTTCATCCTTATGGTTCATGGTGGCCATGCAACCGCCAACGCATGAGGGAATCCTACTTGGCCTCTGTTCTTCAAGGCATCTGAATCTCAAGATATAACTAACAGCAATCTTCTTCTTTTCGATTCAGTTGTAGTTCCATTTGCTCTTGTTCGTCGTATGTTATCTTCCTTTTAATTCTGTCTAAGCCGTCGCGAGTTCCCGTTGTTGTTGTCATGGAACCGGTGAGCGCAGTATCCACCTTCGTTGGCCTTACTGTAGCCGCTGGGAAGATCTGCGAAGTCCTCAAACCGATCGTGGAAAACATCAAGGATGTCCCTCGTTTTATTTCATCCGCGGCTGTGGAGGTTGCTGACTTCCATAGCGCTCTTACATCCCTTCAAGTCTGCTTGGGCGACTTGAGCTCTTGATCGAGCAAGTTTTAGAAAGCAATCGAGTCCTTTCTAGACGTCTTGAACTCCTTGAAGATAGATACGATGCAATGAGCTGCCTTGCCAGACACGAAGACAGCCAGTCTGTCTTGACTGCACGGCCTGCCGCTGGACCGGAATTTTGTGGCATTGAGGCCGCTTTCGTTCGATTCGCATTTGAAGAAGACCTTAACTCATCCGGCGTCTACCGGAGAGCAGTCTCCAACCAATGTGATTGTTCAATCACCAACTCCGCCGTTAGAACTCACATCTAGTCCATATTTTCGGGATACAATTTTAGGAAAATATCAATCATTTCGGTCGTAGCCCTACCCTTACTCCCTAGTGAAGTCATCCTCCTCGAGCGTCACGCTTCTGGAATCTCTGTAGTCCCCGGTGATGACGGTCCTATACCGAGAGTGAGGTCCCAATGGACGGCGTCTACGATGGAGTCATCCACACTTGTAACGAATGCGGAGGGGTACGTCTCCATAGCCCCCCTGTACTTAATATCTAACTCTAACTTTTATCTTCGTTAGATTTTGGAAGAAGGGCGGGATGGAAATCGATGGCACGCCCGTTTCTTTAAGAGTAGCAGATGTAAAAGACGACTAGAGTCCGATTCGCACTTATCATTCCATCCAGATGGGGACCTTATCTGCAACATTGCACATATTTCTGCCACTCGTGTGGGAACAAAATTAAAGACCTATAAATTGTCACCCTGGATCACGTATATAGTTAAGGGTATTTCAAATGTCAGAACTGCAAGCGCGATATGAAGGATTTTCTACGCAGGAGTACTTCAAGGGATCTTCTGCAGGCCATGTTACAAGTCCATGATGGCATGAAGGCGAGTATGGAAAGTCCGTAGAGAAGGTCGAGGGAACATTCGCGCTGAGGTACATGGAAGCGACCTTGGGCAACATTCCGATCCTATCGACAGGCAAGGTGGGCGCCGTATTTATATACACTCCTACACTCGGGCAGAACCACCGTGGTGGTTGAAGTGGATTGTCCAGTCGGATACCCTTAGGCTACTCCTGTTGGAGGATCCGACTCACGATTAGTCAATGTCCAGCGAATTTGGATTCTAGTGTTTAATTCGATACTTTCAATGCTTCTGAGGTCAATACCATACTCACAAGCTAGCAACACTGGAAAAGGAAATATGCTCCTAATCACCACTCGCTTTGCCCGTAAACTCATGCATTGGATATCTCGTAGTCGCCACCATACCCGCCGAGGCATTCTCTCTATTTCTTGCCAGACTTCTTAATGCCCTGTTGTCCAGTGTTCATTGGGCCCTTCTTTCCGGCGTTCTTCGCCATGTCGGCGCGAGCTTTGGCATCTACGAATGAACCTGTCAGTCGAACATATTCTTCCCAGGCCGCACCCCTAGTAGGGCGTGGCTCTTGCGGTTGGCGGAAGGGATTTCGCGGACGTACCAGCCTTCATCTTCTCCTTGTGTGCCTTGTCGTCGTCATCTTCCTCGCGCTTCTCCTTCTTGGCCTTCTTGTTGTGGATCGGGTTCGTGCCAGCTGTATTAAACCCACCAAAATCAGCCATTGATGTAGATCAGGGTGCGGATAACTGGAGACTAACCTCCTTGTCCAGACGGCATGTTTGCGGTTAAGAGGATAGTGGTGAGTGATATATATGGTTTATATGAGGGACTTTAAGCTGCTGTGGATGGGAGGGGAGGATTGAACTGTAGATTGCTTATCGATTCGAAGGCGGTCGACACATTGAAGATTTCTAATGCGGAGGAAATCTGTTTCAGCGGGAGAGGGGCGGCGGTCGCGGGGGTTTGGTTACTGCCTTAGGCACAAACATTTTATTCCGCAGACCCTTTGTCACGTGCAACCACCTGTGAAACATCATGTAATCACTGCGGCCACTCTTCAGGGCCTGGGTCCTATGGCGGTCCATATTCAGAGCCAGTGGGTTATGAATGATTATCATGAATGGACTATTCAGAGCCAGATTAATAAATCAGATGTGAGATGGTAACATAATATAGAGTACATGTCTACACATTCTTCTCGCCTTTCTCACTAGATTCTGGCTTCTTCGATGTGTCACGCACGCTTTCAACTTCAACGGACTCCCGGTCCCCAGAGCTTCCACGGACTTCCGCCCCCGTATCCTCGATTTCCGGCTCAATCACCAGGTTCAGGATCATGGCAATGAACGCCGTAACAGCGAATCCGGTTTCCATAACCAGTTCAATCGCGTTGAGGAAACCAAGCAGTGAACGGTTATCGCCTTGATAGGTGAACACGTGCGCAAAGTACTCCGGTACTAGGGTCGCGCCGTAGCCGATCGCAAGCGCGGCGGTCAAGATGAAGCGGTTACGGCGGTTAAATGAAACTGTGGAAATGATCGCGATTCCGCTGACCGCGACGGCGCAGAAAAGGAAGGTCGTCATGCCACCCAGGACGGCCGATGGAATGGCGACCAGGGAGGCGGCGAACTTTGCAAAAATACCCATGATGATAAGGAAAAAGCTGGCGTATTTGTTAGGTGAGACTCAGAGAATAGTCGATAGGTGGACGTTGACTTACCAGCAGCAATAACCAGCCTTCCGGTTGGCGCATCGAGTGAGCGCGATGACCCCGTTATTCTGCGCGAAAGTAGTCATAGGCGTTATCGTCATGAGTGCCGCCAGCGTTCCGTTGATGCCGTCTGCCAGGACACCGCCCTGGATGCGGGATTCATACATCGGGCCTTCCACTTCGAGCCGCGACACATCGCACGCCGCCGTAACATCACCGATCGTTTCACAAGCGCAAATAATGTAGATAGCCAAGAGAGGAAGAACCAGCGGTCCATAAACAGAGAGCGGGAAGGTCTCCACCCAAATAAATGAAGCCGTTGGGGCGGAATCGATACCGGACCGATCAAAATAGCCTGTGGCTGCCGCTATAATACAGCCGGTAAGAAGACCCCAAATAACGCTGGTGGATTTCATGATGGGCGATCCAAAACGTTCGCAAAGGATGATGGTTACGAAAGCCGAAAATCCAAGGCCTGAAGCAAGCATTAGCGAGAGTAATCTATGTATATATCTCCATGATGGGCTTATCACGTACCTAAGAACTCTGCGGATCCCCAGGGCAAGGCATGGGGAGCGTCGATAGTCGGACATAGACTGAAAAGTCCTGTCTCAGGCATCGAAGCGCAGTCTCCAGAACCGCCGGCCCAATTCTTCATGCCAGAACTGATCAAGCTAAGACCGATCAACATGACCGTCGGGCCAGTGACGATAGGCGGGAAAATTCGCAGCATGATCTTTGGCGGTAGGAAAGAGATCAAAATTTCGATTAAGGAGCAGCAAGCTGCTGTCCCAAGCAGCGCACCATACCCTTGAGGGCAGGGTAATTTTGTGCCGTCCTCAGCAGTCGGACAGTAGCCATTTTCGTACATTTGGGCGAATGCACCCATCGCAACCGGGATGATTGCAAAGGAAATGCCAACGACAGATATAAGGCCAGTGCCAATGTAGTATCTGGCAAGATGTAAGTATGGACATCACTCTAAGGTCGAAGCACATGAATCCATGAACCCGACTCCTCTCCAGTCCACAGCGTCCATTGCCAAGAATCGCAGAGGGGTAGAAAATAGAGACTGACTTACGGGGTTTTATATATGTGGAATCGTGTTATTTGAATCATCGACAGGATTCCCGAGACGATCAACGCGGTAGAGACTAGATACTGCTGCTGGGCACCACTGAGGTTGGCACCCCCCGCGCCCGCGATAATGATGGGTGGAGTAATAACACCTGCCAACATGGCCAACGAATGTTGCAACCCCAACAACAGAGCCAAAACGACGGGCATATGGTCATTCAATCCAAAGAAGGGCGCCGGTGACGGCTTTTTTTTTAAGAACGGAATGTTGGGGGTGAAGAGAAATGCATAATCGTAGTCGCCAAGGAGGCCATGCCTCGTGAGGAAGGCTTTTCGAATTCCTCGCAGGCGGTCGCCAACAGTCTTCTTCTTATGGCCTTGTGCCACAATCTGAGAAGGGCCTTCTTCTTCCATTGCTCTTGATATGGAAGGGGTACCCAATTCTCGTGGTCAATGTCGCGATGTAGGTATGAACCTAAAGGGCAGGCCTGGAAAAGCAGAATGCTTCGAGCTAAAAAGTAGACGACGCGACGACCTGATGACAGAACGGGCTGAGGGACAATATATAAACACCACGGTGATAGAAGATATCGAGATATCGAGATTCAAGAACCCTTACCAAGATATGATCCAAAGACCCATGGAAAATTTCCTGGGTATCTAATATGGGTCTCCCACGGGACACGACCGCCCAACCATTGGGCGGGGGTGGTCCGACAACGAGTGGCAGAAGTGTGGGAATGCCGGGATACGACATATCACATTATGTAGCCTCTCGCTTCTCAGACTCTAGCCGTTGTTAGGTTTAGCTCTAGACCCAAGGTGCAGGATGCGAGGCGAACTGTGGGATAAGCGGTTGAAATTGTGGAGCAAAAGCGCGGGATCGCTACTAGTTGCAACAACAGAGCTTCCCCAGCGTCCAACGCTGTGTGCTATTGTGCCACTATGGTCTGCAGATGTTGATCATGGCATCATATATTCAGATTCCCCAGCGGCCCAGCTCCTTGTCCCCGGAAAAGACATGTGCCATAGTGCATAAGTCGTTGTATACCGCGTGGTGGACGAAATAGCAGATGGCAACAGCTCCTTCAGTCGAGTCGATTCTGATGTTGGCATGTCGGCGGGTTCCTATCCATGGAAATGGCCTCATTGGCATGATAATTGGCAGAAGGTTGAAGAAGGCTGAAGGAGCTCGTATCGATCGAAATGGCTACTATCACTCGGCAGACTCGTATAGAGTACTAGGTACCAACTACCAAGTAAGGAGGTTCTCTCTGTAGTCTGGAGGTAATCTGTATCAAAGGCGTCCAGGCCCAACGGCCAAGAGATAAGAATAAATGGAATCACTGGATTGAATGTGTAATAAAAGCTTTTCGGGCGTGGAGCTTCTTTGAATTAAAGCCTTTTCATTTGTCGAGGCGGATAGGTTCGAGCGTCGGGCGCGCTACTGTTCTGCCGCTACGAGAGCGCGAGTGATACCCCTCACATGTGAGCTTTCGTTGGACGGTGTCGGAGGGCGCCGTCTATCGTCGGTCTAGTAAGGGCGGAAATCTGATATCGGATAATATCTGCACACTATTATTGACATCTATGACTCTTAGTATTCATTGTTGGTACAGTACGAAATACTTACCTCCTGAACAGTCTACACATCTCGTCGCCTGGGAATTGATATTATTTTCTTCTTCTAATCTGTGCAAGCGCTACCGTAGAACCTCACCACTCAATTGAGCAACATGTTGTACACCAACGCCATCATCATCACTGTCAATGACACCCGCGACATCATCCTCGATGGCGCAATATTGGTCAAGGACACCCGCATTGAAGCCATCGGGAAGACCACCGCTCTTCGAGCCCAGTATGCCGACGAGCCCATTACGGATCTGTCGGGCAAAATCGTCATCCCTGGGCTCGTGTCGACTCATATGCACACAGCCCAGACGCTGCTTAGAGGTACCTCCCCTTCACCAGATCATGGACAACTGGAACTCTGCACTTTCACTTTACTAACATCGCATAGGTGCCGCAGACGACCATGAGCTCGTTGGCTGGCTCTGCGAGCGCGTCTGGGTAGCGCAAGGCAACTTCACTCCTGAAGACGGCTATGCCGCTGCTCGGATCAGCATCGCCGAGATGCTAAAGTCCGGCACGACGACCTTCTTAGAGAGCATGGTAGGCTAAACATCCACGTCCCGCGGAGCGAAAGACTCCGCGTGGTCATCCCCCCATTTCCTTGAGATCGACTTATTAGCCTATAGTTTGCGAATCGGTACGGTTTCGATGGCCTGGCTCAGGCGGTGGAAGAATCGGGGATTCGAGGATGCTTGGGCAAGATCGTCATGGATGTCGGTCAGTATGCAAAAGACCCGGCATGGGCAATGCATCCGGGGTTGGTGGAAAATCGGGAGCAGAGCCTGCTGGGGGTTCTGGATATGCATGAGAAATGGGATGGGAAGGCAGAGGGAAGGATTAAGGTCTGGTTTGGTGCGCGAACGCCAGGAGGGTACGTCTCAACGAACTTCCAAGAAATCAGACCCGCTGACAGTTCGCCAGTGTCTCCGATGGCCTATACAAAGAGATGACCGCCCTCTCCCGCGAAAAGTCTATCCCGATCACTATGCACTGCGCCGAAGTCAAGGCAGACCGCGAGTTCTGCGCCTCCCTCTCCCCTCCCCTGACCCCCATGACCTACTGTGATTCTGTCGGTCTCCTGGGCCCACAGACGGTGCTCGCCCACATGGTGCACTTAGACGACAACGACATCGCCGTGCTCGCCAAGTCGGGCACGCACGTCGCTCACTGCCCGACCAGCAATGCCAAGCTGGCGTCCGGCATCGCACGCGTTCCCGAACTGCTGAAGGCCGGCGTGAACATCGGACTCGGAACGGACGGCGCGCCGTGCAACAACACGAACGACCTGCTACAGGAGATGAAGATGGCCGGCATCGTCCATAAAGCCGTGACCTATGACCCGACGGTCGTCAGTGCCGAGGAGGTCATGGAGATGGCGACCATCAAGGGTGCCAAGGCGTTGGGTCTCGATAAAGATATTGGGAGTCTGGAGGTTGGGAAGAAGGCCGACTTTGTGGCTATCGAGACTAGGAGCGTGAGGATGACGCCCTTCTTCAGTCCCGTTTCGGCAGTGGTATATACTGCCACGGGGGCTGATGTCGATACAGTCGTTGTGAACGGCAAGACTGTGGTCGAGAAGGGCAGGCTCATTACAATGAACGAGGACGCTGTCGTGTCTGAAGCGGCGATTCATGCAAAGGAAGTAATGGAGCGCGCGGGGTTAACTGAGAAAGTAAAGGCTAAATGGCCGCTGATATAGAAGATTTTCTGCATCGTTCAACGTAGATTTTGTGCATAGATTTATTGTCATGATAACTAATCTAGGTCTCATAGTTTAATATAGGACGTTTATAGGTTTAGATCGCATTGTATAAAGGATTTGTTCCTGTTGCTATTCCGAAGACACAATTGATCGAATTCATTCTGATATTTATTCCTCTGCTCTAGAGGGCGGTCTCTCGCAACACGTTGGGATTGCACCATTCCTAATTCGCATTTTCGAGGTACCTGAGGTCTTTGGGAGGAGACCAACTCTTCAACACAAGGATGAGATGGCTCGGAAACGCTTCAGGCGCTTATTGAATGCTTTATTGAGAGGTATAAATTTGTAATGGCATGGAGCTGGGGCACTCCGTTGTATAACCCCGCTTGCTTCATAAACCGCTCCGCATAATAGAAACAACTAACCCCATGTGGAGTCAGAAATAAACCCAAGTGTCATGCCAAATTCGCCAGTCCGATGCGTCTACGTGCTCTAGATGTTGACCCTACAGCTCTAGCCTAGGATCCCATTCCTCCCACTCAACACACCATCCGAACCACGTCCGATGAATACAACGTAACTTTCTTGGGATGCTCGTCTCCGTCACAACCGGTGGCTGCGTCGGTGTTGGCGTGATTGGTGGTGCAGTAGCATGAGGCAAAGGGGAGGTCGTTTTGGTGGGATCCCGACAGCCGAACCAGCCCGGCGTCTTACAGGTTGATGTGGAAGTGGTTGTTGAATGCTTTGTTTTGGATTCGAATGTCGTTGTGCTTGTCGTTGTCGTCGGATCCTTGCACCCAAACCATCCAGGCTAACAAGGTGAGTCGGATATACCAAAGGGAGGGTGGAAGAACTTACAGTTTTGCAGGTTGACGTAGATGTCGAGGTTGTACTCGAGGTCGTAGTCGTGGTAGTCGTTGACTCATCCAAGCATCCCCACCATCCAGGTGTTTTACAAGTCTCGGTCCGTGTCCGTGTCCTCGTTTGAGTTGAAGAAGAGGACGTGGTAGTCGACGACCCCGGGTCTGAATGATGACTCTCAAAGTACTCCCAGTTGTAGCAGTCCGTACAGTTTGCGTAAGGCTTGCACTCTGCTGGATGGTCGTACTTTTCGAGCACATTGTTGATGACGTATTGAATTCGATGAGTTCCAATACCCACTCTCCAGCCAAAGTCCTCGACGGTATCGTAGGCGCAGGTGAGCCCCGTGTGGCAGACGCTCTGCATTGCGTAGCCCGCAATCGTACAGAAGGAGCCTGCTGTATTGCACGATCCCATGAAAATCGGATCGGCCGTGTGCCCAAAGTGGTAGCCACCTGTCATGTCACGTCGCTGGTGATACCCAGCAGTATACCCAGGGGGCGTCGGAAGACCCAATCGTGAAGCTGGCAATGCTTCGCCGGGAGCCTCGAAGGTTAAAACGGGAAGGCCGTACGTCAGGCCGAGTAAGCTGGAAACCGCCCCGCCGAGCGAGTGCCCGGCAATCCAAACCTGGGCATCTGGATAGATCTCTGTCACGTTTCCGTACAGCTCTTTCGCCGCATAATAATAGCGATTGCGATCTCTTAACGACTCCACAACGCACGTCGAATTGCAGGTGTAGGTGGTGGTCTGGCAGTCGCACACCTGCTTCCACCAGTACTGCCCCCCTTGGCCGCAACAGCAGCTAAAGAACAAATTGTCGTTGATTTTATCGTTGGTGGTAGTTTCTGAACCATCGAACACGGCCGGTGCTGGGGGTCGGTTAGTACTCGTCCGTCCCAAGTTCCCAGTTAACTTACAGGTTCCTTTTAATGCAATGACCACGGTGGAGTTGGTCTTGTCCGAAAAGATGTGCCCTCTTAGCCCGTCCGTCTGCCAACCAAATTCATTCGAGAAATTGAATCCGCCGTGCACATCCTGCCAATTTCCTTCATTCGGGTCCACGACATATGCATCGGAGGCCATCCGAGCGAACGACAATACGGTGTCCTGGTCCGTCACGTTTGGACCCGGCATCGCATCGACTGTCCATGCAGAGCCAGGCAGCGACATTGCCCTCCCCGTCATTCGCCCATTGTCCAGTATTGAATCGATTGTTTGGGGAGATCGATCGGAGAGCCGCTGGATGGTTACCGCATGGGACCGAGCGGTCAATCGCGGCGCTTCACTGACGTTGCCATCTTCGTCTGCAACCTTGATTTTCGTATCTTCTCGGACGTCTAGTTTCCTATGAAGTCTTGGGTAGTTGTCCGTCCCATGATGAAAGACGTGGCGGAGCCGCTATTCCAAGTTAGCAGTGCATCTGGAAGCCTTGATCTCGTGGAAGCACATACAAACTCATGCTCTTGTGCAGCTAGATGCTCAGGATGTTGTATTCGTGGGTCAGGCTTCGGGAGAGGCGGAAGAACTGCAAAACCGGGTACTGTATCTGATCCAGGTTCCGTAAACCGAGCGGCCGTAGGGCACCAGGCCGCTGCGGCGAGCAGAAGTGAAATAACCACAGATTTCGAGCTCATACGTGAGAATCGGAATGTTGACGACGGATAAAGCATGTCTGCCATCCTGCGTAGAACGCAGAAGACATGGCCAAGGTGGCTGATATGGAGGATATAGCAGAGGGCGATAGGAACGGTAGGAAGGCGATGATGTTGTCACGAGAACATCCAGGAGGATGCAGCTCCCTGTGAGTTGTCGCCATTGCGGGGGGCGGAGATCGGGCTTTTGTTGCCTGATATTGGAGCCTCATGGCCTGACAGCCTAAGTCTGAGTCTGAGTCACATGATATATGAGCATGTGACCTTTAAGAAAGACTAATGCCTTGTTGCCTTATTGCCTCACCTGCACCAACGTGCAACTCAACCAGAACAGCAACAGCAACACAAGCCGCAAGTGACATGGACATTTGATAGACTGGGCGTGTGATTACACCACCACAGCTGGTCATACTCCGTGACTTTATCTGCAACCCGATCCGCCCCTTGTTGGCTTTTCTCCTTCTCTTCTTCCTTCACACTGATGGAGACCACGAGTGTTTTCTCAGGATGTCGCAAGACGATCCACACGATACCCCTCTGAGGCGCCCGAACACACTCAACGACTCCAAAAGCTTTACCAGATTGGAGTCTCCAGACGATGGTTCCCGTAGTCGAGGCCGCGCGAGTACGTTGACGAGCGTGGCAAAGGAGCTGCTACCGCAGAATGCAGCAGTACTAACGCCGGAGGAGGAGGAGCGTGATGCTCAAGGAGATGTCTTTAACACCGCACAAGATGAAGGAGCGGATGCGGAAGACCCTCCTCCCGTAGCGTTTCCTCAAACATTCGAAGAGCTACCCATAGAGATCCGGAGTCTTACGGAAAGGTAGGGCTATCTTACTATCCTATCCCCCAAGCTCGTGCTGACCTTACAGGTTTCTAGAATCTTTGTCGGCCAAAGTTCACCCCACTCCGCCCTCTGCCGACACCCTCTCCGACTTGTTTCAGGACTTCTACTCCAAAGCTGAGACTGTAATTGCAACCCATATAGCCACCCTGTCCTCGCGCATCTCCCGAGACAAATCACCTGCACCTTCATCGTCCTCGAAAGGCTCCAAATTGAGCCGTATTGGAGCGGGCAGATCTCGTGGTAGCAGTTTATCTCAAAATGGAGGCAGTGGAGAACAGCAGCTGCTCACTCCATCGGAAGTATTCGACAGGAGGAAGGCTAGGAAGTTATTGGAGCTTAAGAAAAATGCACTTGAAGAGACGGTCGAGCGAGCTGCTTGCGAAAAGGTCTACGACCGAATCTACCGCCATCGGAGCACGGATGATGAGGAACGAGATGAGAAGTTAAGGTCAAGGACCGCCGCTCTTTCATTGGTAGGGATTGGATTGAAAGAGCTGCTCGTAAGTGCAGACAATGTCCCTGAAGAGGCCATGCAGATGGCTGCCGCCGAGGAGGACCAAATCAATGGCTGGCTACAGAACGCTCGGGAGAGCATTCAACTGATGAACGAGGAGAGATATCCCCTGGGCAAATTGCAACACCTTACAGCAGTGCACAGGAGCATCGTGGAAACACTTTCAAAGATCTTTCCCTCGACATCGTCCGCAGACGAGGTGTTACCAACCTTGATCTACACGCTCATCATATCACCACCGGCGTCTCTGAATGTTATCAGCAATTTGAACTTCATCCAGAGATTCCGCTCCTCCAGCAAACTCGACGGCGAGGCCGCATATTGCCTTGTAAATCTGGAGGCTGCAATTTCATTTCTGGAGACGGTCGACCTCTCATCTCTACGAGCGGACGAGGTTCCACAGGGGCCTGGAAAGGTGAATAGCATACCCTCGACACCGAGAAACGAAGCAACATTTACCCCGATGAAACTCGGGATATCCCCTGCGGCCGATCCATCAGTGGGCAATGAGGATGGTGCTCGCGAGTCACTTGCAAAGCAATTATCCTCGCCCATCAGTCGTGCTCCTCCACGTCGCTTCAGTCAGCTCATTCAGTCTCAGACCAACCGGTTGGAAGCTGCCAGCGATTCGCTTCGGGGCGCCGTGCTCGAAAATGCGGAGAAAGGAATCGATACCATCAACTCCACCCTCGAGAACAGCTTCAAATTCCTCTTTGGGAAACTTCGGGAACAGCAGCAGCAACAAAACGCCGACAGTTCACAGGATACGACGATTATCGTCCCAAAGACCCTTGAGGATGCCCGAAAGCTCGTCAACACTTCACCACTATCCGATATGGACGACGCAAGCGTCAGCGCAGCGAGTTCGCACACAGAAGATATCCCCGACGATGCAGGGTCCAAATCGGATAGCAAGGTCCTGGATCTGATTGGGGGTCGTCAGCAGATGCGTGACCGAAGCGCAGACAGCTTGCGGAGTTTGGGATCGAACAAGAAGGTCGCGTTTGCCGATAGCAGACAAGCGACTCCCTCACGAACGGTATCTGAGTCGGCCACCATAGGATCCACATCGGGGTATATCGCACCACAACCCGCGGGAGGTACAGCGATCGATTCGGTCCGCAACTTTGGCAATTCTATCAACCCTTTGAACCGTCTAACAGGAATGGGTATATTTGGGCGGACGGTTTCAAGTGGAAGCCCGTCAGTTACGGTGACGCCGTCGCCAGAGCAGAGAAAGCAGTTAAGCCCGGAAGAAAGATCGATCACGGCCAAGGAGCTGAAAACGATCGCTACGATTGAAGAACTCAAGAAGACGCCTCCCCCGGTGAAACGCTTCCTTGAATTGAAGGATGCACGGGATATGCGGGTGGCGGAGATTGACGAACTGTTGAAAGAGTATCAAAGGCTCGCCACGGCGTTGCGTGTAGCTATATCAAGTTCATGAATAGAGGTTCATCGCAACACTGTGCATGAAAAGCCTCTTACTGTGGTACTACGCGTGACATCTTCAGCATTTTAATATATTTTCATCGTCCTCCGTCATTGCTAGTTCAAACGCAGCATGCTACGGAGTTTTTCTTTCTTGCCCCTTACTCGTACACATTTTTGACATATTGCAGTACAACTTCGCAATATTCTTCGTTTGCTTTCTTCGTTTGCTCCATTCCTTTTTCTATTCCTCGCTCCTGAATTATAGTTATTCCTCGCGTGTCTAGTGAATCCCTTGACTTTATAGTTTTACGGAAAGTATATTGTTGTTATCATTCCCATCCATCGTTTCTGGACCCCAGTTCTCGTTCACGTCTACAAACGACCTTCAAGAGTCCCCATCTCGCAGTGCAAATTTTATCTTAAACCACGTTCATTCAACAACCACAAAAAGTTGGTAGACTTTCTGAAACCTGGGGCTGGCTTCTGGAATATCTCCCCCGGATGCTCCAGAAAGTGGAAACCAAGATTGATGACTTTCATACTATGTCGGAATGGAATGTTCTATCTTGTCCGGGGTATCTACCTTATCTTCTATACTGGATGCCCGGGGACAGCTCCTCTAGATGTCTACGGCGGGTCAACGATCAATTGGTATAAACGCGCCAATGACCACCGTGCAAGTGCTGTCCTTCGGTCGCTATCATCGCCGGCAAACGGCAAATGCACAACACGCCTATCAGTCTCCTCTTGAACTTATCCGGGATTTCCCCAAGCCACCGCAGGCTACGCCTGTTCGAGCAGCTCATCTTGAATTACAATAGCGTGTTATCGAAATGCGTATATGGTAGAACTTTCTCTCGTCTTTCTCTTTCCTTTTCTTCTCTCTTACTTTCGTTTGCCGAGTAAATAGAAAATCGAATTCGCTTCTTTTCTCAATCGTTTCAATCATCGATATTTTCGGGCTTTATATGCCAGAGGGAGCTTCGGTGGCCCCTAGGTAGGGCTCGTTGATCTGGAAGCAGAACTGGCAGGTGAAGCAGCCCTTGCAGATACCGAATCTGCATCGAAAAGCGATATAGAGGAAGCCAGCGACAGTTACCAAGGCGAGTACTCAGAAGAGAGCAGCGATTCCGAGCCTTCCAAGACCCCTAAACCTATATCAACGTTATACGGCTCGTCTACTGGCCCTTGAACTTGTTGACGCTGGGTGGCTGAGCCTGATGCAACGCAAATTTCAGCATAGCTCCGGTTTCGTCCCTATCCTCGAGAGGAGTAATCACGAAAACCTAGAGTTGAGATGCCTCAATGGTGCGTCGCCTGCATTAGATCGAATGTACTCAACTGGGCATTCGCAGATACAAGATTCCTTCCGGCGCGTTCTCGGCGGCCAGGCTGTCCAAGTCGAAACACGCCGTACAGTTCTTCCGGTCCAAGTTTACCGCGACCCGCGGCAAGCACTACACGGCCAATGCTCGCTATGAGCGTCATACCTTAATTCGCGGAGGTCCGCGAAAGTCTCCCCACCCTTTCTCCGATTTCTCGACGCGCTTGGCCTTATCAACGCGGCTGATCTCCCGCAGGCAAACGACAGCGTATACTCCGTATTTAGATTGCGGCAAGATTACGGGAAACATCCCATGGCCTGGGCGAGGCTTCCGGATATCGCCGGTCGAAACGACCGAAGTTATACGGATAGCTGGGCTCTTTGATTGGAATTCGAGAGTCGCAATCCGACGTCGCCTAGACAGAGGACGGCCGTTCACGTCCAGTCCGGCAATATATTGTCTAAAGAGGGTTGCCATGCTATTTACCGTCTTGGCGCTGCCATCTTTCGATGGCTAGTACGGTTTGCTCCGGCCAAGTTCCGCGATTCTGAGGTAGACTTCGGGCGGATGCACTATTGGCCTCGAGGGCTCGATTTCTTCGAGCAGGCGGTCATATACGAAGAAGTCATACGAAAACCATCGCTCGCGTACTGGGATTCTAGTTTACGGCTCAATAACGCCGTCTTTCAAGAGTTGAAAGATTTCAATTACACTGTCTTTGCTATTGAGGGTCGGCTGGAAGGGTTGAGGCGGGAAGGTATGGATGAAGTCCAGGTCCGGTAGTAGGTGAAAAGCGTAGTTCAATGAAATATGCCTGATAATCATGCGAGGAAATACACTGTCACTCACTTCAAACTTCAACATGGGGTGAAAATGAGTCTGAAGCCCCGTCGTGAACACATATACGTATATTTGTACGCGTTAGATAACAACATCTCCTCCAAATCCAATCGGACGTCGCCCTTCCATGCCTGGGAGGCATGGCAGAACAGCCATTGCCTTGTAAAGCTGGCCCATCCCCGTTGGACCACGGTCAACCAACCGCTTCCAAGCTCCCTCGATCCGACTCTTCTTCTCCTCATCTGCACCGCGGACTAAGGCATCCACGCGGGACCGACCCCCGATCGTTTCCAACCACAACGCCTGGTCTACCGGGCCATGCACTTCGACACCTTCACTAGCATTGATGGCCGCCTCAGCAATGGCAGTGAAGTCGACATCGATGGAGAGATCCGTTAAGCCGGCCTTGCTAAAGGGAGAAACGAGTTGATGAGACCTGATACCTCGAAGGGTGTTTGCCGGGATGGTGGATAATGGCCCATAGTCAAGGATAAGTGCACCTCCAGAAGGGGTCTTGTGGAAAGTAGAAGCAGCTTTGTGCGTGGATCGTTTGGACGTAGGACTAGACGCTGGTCCTCCGCCAATACGCATGGCTATTTCGGCGGCTAGGGAAAGTGATTCGGGGGATATCTCCACTACGGAGCCGGTCATGGTCTTCAAGCGCTGATAACGAAGAGATGTCTCGGGGAGCAGCATGCTGTGCGGCGTTGAAGCGTTGGCTGGGCTGAGTTGGAACTCGGGGAAATCGTCCCTCTCCGTTTGGGATTGTCCCGAAGGAGACATCTTAAGTTTTGACGGGTTAGCTATCGGCGAAACCAGGAGTTCCCGCCAATCGTTTGGTTTCTTGAGCGAAGGGGCATGCGGATTGTTTGTGGTGATGATCGATGATGCCTTTTCATCAGGGGCAATTGACTTGAAGACGTGGATCGGGAGAGCATCAAAGAACTCGTGTGCGACAATGAAAGGCATACGATTCGCGTCTTTCGGGACATCTTTGAGCTGATCACACCACACTATTTTTGCGCCTGGCAAGTGCTTGCTTATGCCCTCAAAGCCGGCTTCAGTCTCCTTAACATCCTGGCTATCGCATAACAGCCGTTGCTGCTTCTCTCGAAGAGGCGGACTGGCTTCGACCATGTATATTGATTCGATACGGTCCGCAATTGGCTTGAACTGTCGGACGGTCTGCGATGGTTAACGCTGTTTTCCAGAATCGCACGAGCTCTTACCCTAAGTAAATCATCCATCAATGTTCCTCGTCCAGGACCAAGTTCGATTAGTTGTATCCCTCCCGTTGCATGGCGTTGTGAGAGACATTCTGCCACGATCCAGATCCCAACCAGCTCGCCAAAGACTTGAGATATTTCAGGAGATGTTATGAAGTCCCCCTGTCGGCCGAACTGGTCGCTGTCGGCTTGCTTCGTGGTGTAGTATCCGCCATCGGTGGATGTTAGGCATTGGCGCATATACGTCGCTACGGGGATAGGTCCGGTAGTCTGTCTAGCAGTTAGCCTTAGGTCATGTTTAATACAGACAATACTCAATCCATACATCAATTGCTTCAGCAAGCTTCTTTGCTAGCGGAGTTGACCATTGTCTGGCACCAGTCACATATTGCCTCGAAAAGGCCGTGGAGTTAACGATGTGCGGTTGACCGCAACCCACACGGTATCTTGACAGCGCTCGAAAACATCGTCGAGCACTGCTGTTCATTCTAATTTGTAGTATTGAACTTGCTGAGGTTCCATTGTCGCATCGAGAAAGTTTAGGAAAGGCGACAATTGCTAGGTTCGGAGGTTGCGGACCTTAATTAGCTACCAGTTAGGTAAGGGTCCACGCCGCCGACTCCAATTCCGACCTCCTCTACTACGTACTCCGTACATAGTTATCTCTCCAACAACAACCAGCTATCATGGCCTCGAATTCACGATGGGCGGATACAGAGGAGGATACCGCAGCGGAAATACACCGCAAGAGGGAAAAGGAGGAACGAAAGCGAGCCAAACAGCTAAAGGCGCAACAAGAGCAGGAAGCTCGAGAAGCTCGAGAAGCGCAAGCCAAAGCCACTAGCAGCGTATCTACAGATATTGACGACCGTCCGGCGAAACGGAGGAGATTATCGGGTGAATCCGAGTCAAACGAGGTACATGATGAGCAACCTCGTCCTCTTCTCCGGTTCACGGCGCCGGGATGGGGTCCGAGTCGACGGATCGAGAACTTCGAAACATTGAACCATATCGAGGAAGGGTCATATGGCTGGGTGTCGAGAGCACGGGAAATGGCAACAGGCGAGATAGTGGCGCTCAAGAAGTTGAAAATGGGGAATCCCACCGAAGGGTTTCCCGTCGTTGCGCTTCGCGAGATCCAGATACTCAACCAATGCCGGCATAAGCATATCGTTGCGCTTCGAGAAGTCGTGGTTGGTTCGAAGCCAAGCGATGTCTATATGGTGATGGAATTCCTCGAGCACGACCTGAAGTCGCTGATGGAGGACATGCGGGAACCATTCTCTCCCTCGGAAACCAAATCTCTCTTGCTACAGCTTTCTTCTGCTGTATCATATCTCCACTCCCACTGGATCCTTCACCGCGACCTCAAAACTTCCAACATCTTGATGAACAACCTTGGTCAGATCCGCCTTGCGGACTTCGGCATGGCGAGACATACGTCCAATCCACCGCCAAAGAATCTAACGCAGCTGGTTGTCACCTTATGGTATCGCTCGCCGGAGCTATTGCTTGGGACTACGACGTATGGCACAGCGGTGGATATCTGGAGCATAGGATGCGTCTTCGCCGAACTACTGACCAGATCTCCCCTCCTGCAAGGACGGAACGAAGCGGATCAATTGGCAAAAATATTCGCAACCCTCGGCATTCCCACCGCTGCGAATTGGCCCGGCTTCCGTCGCTTACCACACGCAAAGTCGCTCGCTCTACCGTCCAATCCACCGCCACCTCCGCCGCTCCGTTCGAGTTTCTCATTGTTGACGGGGGCAGGTGCGCAGCTGCTGGAACGGATGTTGGCCCTGAACCCGGACGACAGACCCGAAGCCGAAGAGGTGTTGCAGCATCGGTACTTCCAAGAGGATCCGAAGCCGAAGAGCGAGAAGATGTTTCCTACATTTCCGAGCAAGGCTGGGCAGGAGAGACGGAGGCGGGTTGCGAGCCCAAAGGCTCCGAGAGGGAGGGAAGCGGATGCTGGAGCGGTTGGACATGTTGATTTCGGAGGAATCTTCAGTGCAAGCCAGGATTCAGAAGCTGGCAGCGGATTTAATCTCAAGTTCAGATAATCCGATATACGGGAGTGCATCAACTCTTGAGATCCAACGAGACTTGCCGCAGTTCAATTTATTATTGAAGAAATGTCTGAGCTCATCCGTGGTAGACGAACTCGTTCCAATGAATACCTCGAAGACTACGAACTCGTGACTGACTGATATTAAACTCTTCTTCGCTTGATGAAGAACTGACGTATACTATACTCCTTTCCCGTGATAGGTCATCTCCAACGTACAAGCTGGCTAGAGGCATATAAGGTAATGTGCCATTAAAATTGATGAACGGAAGATCTTCAATACAAATAAGCGAAATAGTGATGGATCTCCGTGCACCATATCATGTAACGCACTACCCAATAATGCATACCACTATCGCTTCATCCACACATAAACGCCATCGTCGTGTTAATACATCAACCTAACCCTTTTACTCCCTATCCACCACCACGGTGCTTTCGCCCAAGGTCTCGCTGCCCCCCGTCACACTTCTCCGAACATCGGACATGCTCTTGTCATCTTTCCCATCCTGGCTCGCGGTCTCCGGCCCCTTGCCCTTCGTATCGGCCTTCGTCGCGCATCGGTCAGTCCACCCTTCCCCGCTCAACGAACTGATCGCCTTGCGGATAGCCGGACCCCTGACCGCCGACGGTCGGATTTCATGCACGGCGTTGATAGCCGCCAAGCTCGCAATGAAGAGAATGACGTCTCCGTTCGCCACGCCCTTCCACCAGCGCCGCTTGACACCGACTTTCCACAAGCTGTCCAAGCTGCTGCGGGTGGTGTACATGAAATTGCCCCGGGCATTCGGGTTGCCATGCTCCACGAAGCCCCAGAGACCGCCAAGCGCGCCGCCCAGGAACCATCGGAGCTCGGGAATGGCCTTGCCAGGGAGGATATTGTTGAAGAGACAGATGCTACCCCACGATGTGCCCAACGCGCCCGTGATCATCAGGGAGATGCGCAGGATGGACTTGGCCAGCCCGTTAAGCGCCGTGCCGGGGTTCGCAAGGATGGCCTTAAGACGGAATAGTGAGAGGGCGCCGTATATGATGGCAAAGAACCTTGTTACGCGCGGGAAAACGGAGAGGAAGTAGTGAATGTAGGTTCGTAAGCAAGATGGGTCGGACGGATGGACGAGTGCGCAGCTAAGATGCTGCAAAGCAGGATGGGCTGGCGAGGTGATGGGAGAGATCTTGGAGAGCGTTGAAGGGAGGGGGTTAGGGTTGTTCGGGAAGAGAGTAGGTGAGATAAAGGCGGGCCATTTCAGGTTCGAGATCTCGGCGAGTCCGTCGACGATCTCATCCGTCTCAGGCCATGGCGCTGAGGCCGGGTAGTCGGAAGCAGAAGGCCGGGCTTGGATGTAGGGGCCACCATAATTCCGGGCGAAGTTCGCGAAAGCGGGTGGCATGCAGTCTCGTTCGAAAACAAAGGAATGAAGAAGCTGGCCGAACGAGAGGGGCATCAGCAGCCAGGAGCCAAACCACCACGGCTTGTTGGCGAGGTATCCCTCTTCGTCTAGAGCATTGTAGATGTACTCTAGCGAGCGAGAGAAGACATAGATAGCTGCGGTGATCCTGAGCTGGGCGGCAGGGTAAAGGGCGAGGAATCCACCGGCGAGTGATGCGCCAATTGGCGCGGCAAGTCTGGACGTCAAGAGGGAGCTAACGCCGGGGTTCCGGGAACGGAAAGCATCGGAGGATGGCAGGAGGAGCGAAGCGCGCAAGCGCAGGAAAAAGCGATGGAGGAGACGATGGAAGAGGAGGAGAAGGGCGAGAGCAGAGGAAAGGCGGACGCCAGTGTTCTTCCAGAAAGGAACTTTGGGAACCGGTCTAGGTGCACGTCAGTCTTCATGCTCATCGGGTCTGATGTCACGGGTAGCGTACGGTACGGTGATGCCTCTACGGCTCATGACCCGACCCATGATGAACTGGAATAATTTCAATCCTCCGATGGTCACGCCGAAGACCCTCAGCGCCGCGCGGACGGCAGCAGCGTTGTAGTCATCCATGCTCTTCACAATGGCTTCATAGTTCGGTGGTCGAGGGACTCGCTTTCGCACGGTTGGCGGTGCGCGTGACAAGAGGTACTGATGGAGTAGCCCATACTCCTTGGGAGATATGGTGTATCGAAGGGCATTGCGCGTGATGGGATCGAGTTTATCGCCTTTGCTGAAGCCGCTCCCCGAGCTGGAGGCTCCAGACGATGACGCCGTCGATGCCATACTGTGCGGGTGGGAGGTATTCAGAGGGCAGGGGAAGGCATCCGAGGTTTTAACACGCGACAACAGTGAAGATATCACGACGCACGAAGATTTCGCGACGGGACGCAACCATATTAATTAGAAGATCGCGTGCAGGAGAATATTAGGGTGGATAGTGGACACGGGAAGATATGGGGTGTGGGGAGAACGACCGAAGAGAATGAGACGATGGACGAGCAATCGTCACCAACCATCTCCAATCACCAACCTCGGCTTTACATTTCCATCATGCAACTTTCCTTGTAGTTCGGGGTACTAATACTCGACTCGGTTGTAGCTCCGTATACCCTAGCAAATGCCATGGAGTGCCATGGTTCTTAAATCAATCCTAAGACGAAGATGAACCATTAATTACCGTACTATTGCTACTCTCATGTGTCTAGTGCCTTGTGCAATGCAGATGGCATGTGATGATATTTGTTCGATTGGTAAAGTCCCTGGAGTTTGAACTTTGAGAAGAGCGACTAACAGTGCGTCTATTAAGTTTAGGTGAGAATTAGAGGCATATCTAGCCTATGTACATAATACGGCCTCAATTCGAGTCGATTCAAACCTTCCATTCCCCTGGCACCTCCGAACATCCTCAAATCCGAACCAGGTAATGTTAACTCCCGACTCCCGAGTCTCTTGAAGCATCCGCTTCGTGTCGTTGACCTTGTCTTGTGGCCCTCCCTTGGTCTCATCTTTCCAATGTCCACGTCCACGATAATCCAAGGATTATTGTGCTTTCCTAACCTTCGCAAGCTTCTTCTCCCTCCGCCTCTTGGTCGCCTCCGGGCTGTTCTCGGTATCCATGATGTAATCCCACCATCGGAAGCTGCTGGCATAGTTGCCAATAAATTTCTCGTGGTGCATGTCATGATGGTCCGCGCCTGCCCAGACCGGGAAGAAATGATGAAGCGACCAGGGGAACTCATAGCCGGAGTGAGCATCGATGGCTTGCATGAGACGCAAGACCACGAAGAGGTACATGGTCATAAGATGTAGATCTCTCGTGAACGAAGCGAAGATGATCGGGCAGCCAACCGTACCGAACGCGAGGCTCATGACTTCAATCGGAGAAGCATACTCGGCGGCAAGACCAAAGGGTGCCGAGTATTGATGGTGGAGCTTGTGGATGTTCTTGTAGAGGAACGGAGAGGAGTGGAGGAAGCGATGGGTCCAGTAATGCCAGGTATCTTCCATAAAGAAGAACAAGGCGATCTGATAGACCATCTTCCAGACAGGCGGGAAAGGAACCGTGGTTTGAAGGCCGAAGTAGTGCGCGATGGGGTGGAAAAGCCTAGTCGTGTCAACGAACCGAATCGTAAGAGGAGTCAAACGGAGTATCATACCAGATCTGGGGCAATTCAACCGTAAAGTGAGACAGCAAGACGAAGCCTGCGCAGTACCACTGCTCCTTTGCCGTCGGAATCTTGTTCTGTCCCGGAGATCAGTCATGGGTCCATCATGTCGGAGTTCGAGCACTTACGGGTTGAATCTTGTATTTCCTCATCGCCGGGATGCAATCAATGATGACCCACGGCAGAGACCTCCCAAAGTATAGGACTTCATGCAGAACGAACGACATGATGCCGGTGGCGAGCACATCGTTCTGCATGTAGACATACCATGTGAGCCATAGCGTCTCGAAATAATTGAGGGAGACATTGGTCTTGGAGATCTCGTCGAATTGATTCCAGTAGCCTCCCGATAATCCCGGGGTCGACGTGGCGTTCCTAGAGGAAAGGTTAGAAAAACGTTGCGGTGCTGCATCACCCTAAAACAGGAAGCCAGCGGGAGTCGTACATTGCGAGATCCATGTTGCCGGATTCAATGGCGCTGCAGGAGCACCGGAAGGACTTCTCTCACGGTATGGCTTCGACCGAAAAGGAGAAAAGGGAATGGTGAAGAAAAGAGGAAGGAAGAACGGAAGAGGGAAGGGGGGAGAAAAAGGCAGTCGAGGGACGTCGATACGAAACTCCGGATCGGACAGGACTGGATGATTGATATTTTGTTGCACCTCAACCACGCAATCGCCCAATCACAAAGGGAGCAGGGTGGATATAATGAGGCTTGACCCGCTTTAGGAGAGTTTAGGAGGAGCAGGAAAGCGGACTGATGCGCCGTCTTGCGTTGACCGTCTGATGTCTTGACCACTCCTGGCTCACAGTCCTGCGCGTCGCCGCCACGCCACAATGAACTCAGTCGGATGGCTAGATGCCGGATAGATGACTCAGCTAGAGCATTCACGTGATCGAAGAATATGTGGACCTTGGAGTTCAGGGCATCGTCCATGTGACAAACTAAACAGAACATAACATGACATGGAATGAATGGATGATATTTGCCTTAAAGCCCCAGGCTGACAATACTTCGATGTTCGTGCCCTGGCACGCCTGGACAAAACACGTGCGCACTTGTCGCGTCCCTCGATGACGTCCCAGCCTCGGAGGTGCCATGAGACAAGACGACAAGGAGAGACTTCCATCGTCACATACAATTGACCTTCTTCGTTCTTGCTCATGGACTCTGCTGTATATTTTATTGCAAGAACATTCCCCTTCGACCCCCCCGCCATTGAGCATGACGACGGTCTTCCCCTTCGCCCGTCTCTGTTTCCGCCATGCTTCCACCCTTCCCCGTCGTACTAATGCGCTCTCACACAACCACCACCTCCGTCGCGGTTTCACTGGGCGTAGTCCCCGATTCCAATCCAGCCGGTCTCAATGGAGCTCCGCTTCTGCCCGTCGACCGATCCTGTTGCTATCCGCCGCGATAACCCCCCTCGCTTTAGTCTCCCTCGGCGAACGGAATGCCGACGGTACGAGAACACCAGAGCAGGCCATGCTCGACGCCTCGCGGGCCGAATTGGCCGCTCAAGTCCCAACCGTTCTTGAAAACTCCCGCAAGGTTCGGCGGACGATATATCACTTCTTAGATGATTACATATATGAGCCGGTCGCTACCGGACTACGTCTCCTTCATCTAATCTTCATTTTTGTGCCGGTTATCGTCACAATACCCGTTTTATGGATTGGAGAACGCATTCCAGGAAGAGATGACGAACGGAGCGGTACAATTTGGTGGTATGGCTTCCTTGTGTCGTCAATGGAACGAGCAGGAGCAGCGTACATCAAACTGGGACAATGGGCAGCCTCCCGGACCGACATCTTTCCTAATGAAATGTGTAGCATCATGTCCACTCTGCATTCAAACGCCCCAGCACACCCGCTATCTGCTACGAAGAAGATTGTCGAAAAAGCCTTTGGGGACCGGCCGTTCCAGGACATCTTCGAGGAATTCGACGAGACTCCGTTGGGTGTCGGTGCCATTGCGCAGGTATATAAAGCAAGACTCAAACCCGATCTCGCCGTCCCAGATAGAGATGTGCAGCAGGTGGCTACCCTTACCCGGACTCTGCGGAAAAATGTCGATGCAACTCTTAAATCCACACCCGCTCGGGTTCCATCAAACTACGTGGCCGTCAAAGTCCTACACCCCAACGTTGAGCGGATGGTTAACCGGGATTTGCGGATAATGGCCTTCTTTGCTGGGCTAACCAACGCCATCCCAACGATGGAATGGTTCTCCTTCCCTGACGAGGTCAGGATATTCGGAAACATGATGCGACTTCAAATGGATCTCCGCATTGAATCAGCAAACCTCACCATGTTCCGCAAGAGTTTCCAAGATCGATCCACGGCCTGGTTTCCCTACCCTTTCACAGAGTACACCACCCGCAGCGTCCTAATTGAGGAGTTCGCGGTTGGTATACCACTGAGTCACTTCCTCGAAAACGGAGGTGGCGCATTCCAAAAAGAAATCGCCAATGAAGGACTCGACGCGTTCCTTCACATGCTCTTGATTGACAACTTCATTCACGCGGACTTGCACCCTGGCAACATCATGGTCCGGTTCTACAAATCCAATCAGCTAGACTTGCATATTCCGCGGTCATGGCAAAAGCCAGATCTCGGTCCAGGGCAGGAGACTGATGGCACCGAAGAGGTTCTCCAACGTTTAAGACCACATCGCAGAGATCCAGCGGCATGGGTGGCGGCGTTAGATCAGATCGACCGTGATGGTTATCGACCGCAGCTAATATTCATTGATACCGGTCTCGTGACGCAATTGAACGCGACCAACCGGCAAAATTTCCTGGATTTGTTCAAGGCTGTCGCAGAATTTGATGGTTATCGAGCCGGCCATCTCATGATTGAGCGATGCAGACAACCAGAAGCCGTCATTGACGGCGAGGTGTTTTCACTGCGGATGCAGCACTTGGTCTTGGGAGTCAAAAGCAAAACCTTCAACCTTGGTAATATTAAAATCGGCGATGTTCTGAACGAGGTCCTTCAAATGGTGCGAGCTCATCACGTTCGGCTCGAAGGCGACTTTGTCAATGTGGTCCTCAGTATCCTGCTGTTGGAAGGAATCGGGCGACAGATGGATCCCGATCTGGATCTGTTCGCTGGGTAAGTCGATCTTTGACTCGTCTAGGCCTTTCGATGCTAACTTGAGCAGCGCCCTGCCAATTCTCAGGCAGCTTGGCACACAAGCGTCCGCTTCTGTCCTACGTGACATGCGATCCGGCGATTACTCCATGATCAAGGTCTGGGCAGGCCTAGAAATGCGCAGCTACCTCCGAGCCTCGATCGAGACTGTGGAGATGTGTGTCAAGTCCGACATGCTTTCCCCGAATATCTAGAAGATTGCATCACGAGATAAATACGAATATCCCATCGATTGGTTATAGTTGAGACGTCTATGGACTAAGATCTAGGCTGGATAGAGCTTCCCGTCTTCTTTCAAGACCAACAAATCCGCTCCAACACATATCTGACACCAGAGAGAGTTTGTTGGATCGAACTTTTTCTTCAAGGCCAACAGCTTCTCATAATGTTCTCCCCCACCGAAGAACGTTTTCTTCCAATCAAGCTCCCCTGGATATCCCTCATTCCAATAGGATCCGGAATTTACGCTGAGGGGATCCATTGCCGCAATGTTGATTAGTTTATCCTCGTGCGTGGTCAAGCCCAGAGCGATGAGATGCATCGAGGCATCACGCCAGGCGGGATTGACCCCAACCTCCAGATCCTTATTCTTTGCGACCTGTCCACCGAGGATAGGGTAAGGCAGCAACGAGTAACTCGAATTTCCGTTTCTCGTCGCGTCTACGATCATTTTACGAATGGCCGGAACATTCTGTTCCGAGAACGAGGTCCGCGCAATCAGGCGCGATGACATACGTCCCTTCTGACCCGCCTGGCGGCGATGGAGCTTCTTGGACGCGCCGGCCGTATCAGCTCCTTCGCGTTTCATTCGTCTCCGCGACTGCAAAACCGTTGTGACGTTCACGCCGAGTTGGCGAATATGGGCTGCAATCGGGTCGAAGAAATCGGAGGTCTGCTGGTCCGTTTTCCCCGGAGCACCGAAGAAGCCGCTATACGTGTTACCGACTTGTGTTGGATACCCCGTGAACCCAAAATCGGTCATGTTTGGGCTCAGGGCGTAAAGATACGCCATAGCATCGAAAAATTGTTCCTGCGGCCCGGTAATATCCACCAGAATGGCATTCGTGGTTGCGAGTGGATGGAGACGCGAAGTGACCTGGGTTACTACTCCGTACGTGGTAGCACCTCCTCCACGGAGGGCGTAGAAGAGGTCCGGATTCTCGAAATCATTCGCCGTGACGATCTCTCCGCTAGGAAGAACAACCTCGAAGCTGATGGCATTGTCGCAGCCGAGCCCGTACTGGTTAGCCAGGGGTCCATGACCGCCTCCCTGTACCCAACCGCCCGCAGCTCCAACAGTCTGTCCTATGGTCAGCTTCTTCAGAGTACAAGATCCTAAGCACCTACAGGGTCTGCAGCTTCGACCATCATGAAGCCAGCCTCTTCGATCTCCGGGCTGATCTCGATAAACGTGTGACCAGCCTTGATGACGACTGCCGGCTGAGGTTGCGTGCCATTTGGTGCGCCTTGCGGCACGTAGTCACGGACGACTTGAACGCCTCTAAAGCTTCGCGTGTTGATGACGAGCGACCCTTGTCCTTGATTTCTAAACCGATCAGCGGCGCTCTCTTAACGTTTGGAGTTGAACCCACCGGTTGAGGAAGTCGTGACCAGTCCCCATGACTGTTACACGAAGATTGTTCTCCGTCGCGAACTTCACTCCTGCGCTCACGTCCTGTGCGCTTTGGGCGACAATGGCATAGACTCCAGGAGTTGCCGAGCCGCATACCGCAGGGAGGCAGTTGGACAATCGCCCGTCCACGGACTGGTTCAATGCTTGCCATTTCTCGCCGCTTGGCCATCCTGGCATTCCTTCATACTGCTCAAATCAGTGTCTGGCTGGCTGACGCCCGCAGGTGCTGGATGCAATGGAAAATTCTTCCTCACATTCTTAGCTTGGCCATTTACAAGCGCAGTGCCTGTCAAGACACACAATGCGACTGTCAATCCAATCTTCGCCATCTTTTCCTTCGAGCGATATGCTCAGCGCCTTCTGGGTAAACGTGAACAGGGCCATGGCAAAATCGCCGCGGGGATCGGCGGAACATATGTACGGTTCAAATCTAGCTCATCTGGTTAAAGTCTAATCTGGGTGTTCGCGAACAACGAGATGAGGTCCAGAACACGACATTGGTGCCAATCAAATTAATTAGAGTCCGCAGTTGAGGGCGACATGGGGTTGTTTCGTATTCATATACTCCACGCGGACCGCTGATTGCATATATGAGCTCTCAGAAAATGGAATACATGCATGTTGATACTATACTCAGCTATTCTACTAAGACTATGGATATATAATAAATAAGCTTCAAGAATATATCTACTATGCAATATGGCAATGTTAACGATAGGGACGGCCGGCAAGGCATCAGTGCTACCGCCTGATTGTTAGCCGCAATTGTGTCGGGGCACTCGTGGCGGAGATTCGAAGGACAAGGCTGCACTCCTCAATGTTTCGAAACGTCTATGCATACGAGTATGGTGCGGTAAGTTGAGCACTACCTGATGGGCCGCAGACATCCGTAATGAGATGGTCACATCAATGGGGAGAGCAGGTTCAAGTCCGACAAAGCGGGTATTCCAGATCTATCTCGCTACTGTACAATTGCTCTGTTGTCGTCCCGGTTCATAGGAACTCCATCCCTACTCCAAAACTAATGCCCTTCCTTGCATCTTCCCCTTTCCTCGCCACCAATGGTAGACTAAAATTCAACTCAAATCGCGCCACCGGATGCGCATACACAATCCCCACACCAGCCGAGCAGCTCGGCAACCCGTCCGCCAACTCTCGAATTGTTTGCTTGACACTCTCTGCAACAGCAGCATTATCCATCGATGATTCACCTCCCTTCGATTTCCTCAATGCGAGCAGCCGTCCTGCGTTCACGAAGGCTTGGAATCGCAAAGGTGTCTCCGGACCGGCTCGCGGGAAAGGGACCAGCAAACTTGCCCCGGCGGCAGCATACACATCTCCGCCAACCGCATCAGGGCCATCGCGCGGCCCTAGGCCACCTAACCGGAACCCGCGAACATCAGTGGGACCGCCCAGTTGAAATCGGTCGGAGAGTCGGGAGTGCACTGGCAGGTTGTTTCCGCTGCCGCCCAGTGCCAAGGGATAGAGAACACCGCCACGGAAACCAGCGGTGAGAGACACCCCTGAATCGCCTTTGATGCCAGGGATCGGAATAGGAATAGCGGCCTGCGTTTCACCCTCGAGCTTTGCAAAAGCAACGTCGCCTCGAAGCGGACCCAAACCGGCCAACTCACTGACCGTCTTGACAAGATAGCCCCTGGATGGTAGAGTCCTGGAGTCACGGAGATCATGGGTCCATGTATGAGTGAGTGCGGATTTGAAGGAATCACCTGCATCTGCACGCACTGTTGGGGATGCGTTGGATGCAAGCGATGTAATCTGGCGCCACAAACCGGAGTAGCCAAACTCATGTTTATGAGCGCCGCTTAACGTCTGCCATTTGAGTTTCGTGAAACCACCCTTCAAAGCCTCCTCATGGCTCGCCCAGCTCTTCAATGTCGAACTGGCAAGACCAGCAACTTCCCAGCTGAAGTCGGGGTTCGATAGGATCGGGGTCTCGAAAGCGGCGGAGTAAGCTGAGCGAGTTCGGATGCCAACCGAGGCGTTGGCAGTCAACGTTTCCGCACCACCGAATAGGTTGCGGAGATTCGCTGAGGCGTAGCCAGAGCCATCGGCATGGCCAACTTCAGTGCCGGTCTTGATTGTATACCGGGACCGTTCCTTGACGGAGAAATACACGTCGATGTCGGTCGGTGTCGTTGAAGGATCCGTGGGGTCTGGTCGGTCGATGTATACGGAAATCGGGTCTCGGAAAATGTCTGGAGTTTTGATCTCAGCGTTGGCCCAAATACTAATTGCGATTCGCTCTCATACCGAATTTGCGAAGTCTATGATGTGCGATCCCGATATCCTCCAGGGCATCTGACAGAGTATAGTACTCCTTCTTATTCGCCTCTAGAAATGGTCGGAACACGCCGTGGAGGAACCCTTTTCGAGTATTCTGAGCGTTCAGGACGCGGACGGATGAGATGGTAACCGGGAGGGTCGTATTGCTTCCAATCTATGACAATCAATTGGTGCCCAACGTCAGAGGAACTAGATACTCACCACCTCCGCTTGTCGAGCTTGTGCTTTCTCATATTGAGAATGCAAGCGAGCGTTGAGCTCCTCCGCTTTCTTAGCTTGTTCTTCGGTATGCTTGAGCCTGTCGAAGACCTGAAAGTAGTCGCAATGTTAGCCAGGGACCATACAATGGGAGCAAGCAGGATCTTACATCTTCATCCAGAGGAGAAGCCATTGGAAAGGCCCAGATGTATTGGGACCTATCCACAGACGATAATTGACAACGCTGATGATACGCGCCTCGGATAGAACCCGTTGGTTGTGTATTAATACCGGAATTGTAAAGTCTGGAGGTCTGATGATGGTAAGGCAACAAGGAACTAACAGTTGGTGCCTGAAAAGCGTATCTGTATCTGTATCATATCATAATTGCGGATATGGGATGTCGCCCAAACCTCAAATCGTCAACTGAATCCAGCTACAATCTTTCTTCACTTCCACAAGAATATATCACTTCTGAAATCAGAATGGATACATATTGAGTCACCTACAGTCATTCAGTTCTTTCGAAACACCCTGAATCTTTCTCTCCGTCCATCACTTGGTCATATCAGCTTGATTGTCTGTATCCATTTACCTCCATCGACACATCCGGCACCGTACCACGAGTTCACGACACATATCGTTCAATCATGGCTACTCCTCAGGCAACAAAACGACTCCAGAAGGACTATCAAGCCATCATAAAACAGCCCGTCCCTTACATTAGTGCCCACCCTTCGGAGTCCAACATTCTCGAATGGCACTACATCCTCACCGGCCCGCCACAGACACCGTACGAGGGCGGTCAATACTGGGGCACGCTCCAATTTCCACCAGACTACCCGTTCGCTCCTCCGGCCATCCGCATGCACACTCCCAGTGGCCGCTTCCAGCCAAGTACACGATTATGTCTCAGCATCTCCGACTTCCATCCCAAGAGCTTCAACCCTGCATGGGGGGTTAGCACGATCCTCGTGGGCTTGATGAGCTTCATGACCAGCGAAGAGATGACGACCGGAAGTGTAAGAGCCAACGAAGCCGAAAGGCGATTGTTCGCCGCAAGGACGCGCTGGTGGAATTCAACAGGGGGCGGATCGTCCAACCGCATCATACCGGGTGTCAGTCCTGAACAAGAAGCGACAGCACGGTCGGGTAGCAACAATGGGGGAAATGGTCTCGCGGGCATCGGCGCAGTCAAGGCTGGTGATGGTGGCGCTAAGTTCCGAAAGGAGTTTCCGGAGCTGGATGAGCAAAACTGGAAATGGATGACAGAGAAGCGAATCGACCCGAAGACCGGATACGTCGTCAGCTCCTCGGCGGCGGGCCCGGGCCCATGTAACTCCACGGCCGCAGCTCTGAGACGAAGACCGGGTTCAAGTACGTCCGGACTCGGTGCGATGGTCGAGGGAGGTCAAGCGGCTCGACAGGCTGGGCAGGTGGGTGGAGGATGGGTGGCAAGGAATAAGTGGAAGATTGGGTTGGTGGTGGTGTTTGGTTATGTTATATTGGCTCGTCTGCTAGGTGATGGAACTACGGACTCCTCGTAGTCACAGGCGGCTCCGGGCAAACAGCAACCCTGCGGCTCAGTTACGATAAACACATGAAAAATAGCTGGTGGATGGATCAGGTTGTTGGGCGCAAACGGGTCATTAACAACGGCGTTCAGGGCATCACGATAGAGTCCACCAGGTAGGATCATATCCCGATCATTTGCATGGGCGGGCATGATTCTCTCGTTATTGGAAACTATCATTCAATTCTGTCTGCTTCTCTACCTAGTGCTACGGTAATACATAGACGCTGTGTATGTCCATGTTCCAGCGAATAAAAGTGATAGGCCATGAGACAGAGACTCGCATCAATGTAATCCTTCCGGCGCTCTTGCTCTCGTGAACCCTTCGCAATCGAATAATGTATGCCTCATGTCATGGACGCCAGTGGCAGAATATCGGAATCGGGACACGTGAAGGGTGCCTTCCCGCCTAGTTCGTCTTCTCCTCAACAACCTCTGTAGTACCGATCTTGCTCGGAACGGTGACCTTGACATTGCCCTTCTCGATTTCATTCTGGAGTCTCTCTAGTCGCGACTCCTTTGGTGCGCTCCTCCATGCTGGCCTGCCGGAATCGAAGACTTCGTCCATTTCCTCTGCGAGACTGAATTAGTCACGTGATCTCCACGAGATATCGAAAACCAGGACGAAAGGGCTTACCGAGTGTTTTCCCCTTAGTCTCGGGGGCAGTCAGGAACATGTGGATGAAGGCAGCGCCATTAAAAGCTGCGAATATCATGTACATCTTCCAGTTGATGTTCCAGAGGAGAGGTGGGACGCCAAAAGCGAGAGCGCAATTCCACGCCCAGTTCGATGCGGTGGCTAGCGACACCGCTTTGGCTCGAACCTTCGAGGGAAAGATCTCGCTAGGATATGTCCAGCTCACGGGTCCCCACGTGGTTGCAAATGTACAGACGAATAAGCTAGATCAAAGTTAGGATTGGACCTATCTGGGGAAAAGGGGGTGGGTGGGGGTGGGGCGGAGGGGATCCCGAGGACTTACTAAGAGGCCGCAACGACTGCTCGGCTGGCAGCTGGATTGTCTGCGAGCACCCAGCTGATGTCACTGAGCGTTGGATCTGTCCCAGGGTTCGGCTTGCCATAGACCCCCTGGACGGAGCCAGAGATGAAGAGCCAAACCATCATGCCGAACGATCCAAGAAGAAGAGCTGGACGACGACCCCATTTGTCTAAGTAGAGAATTGCAGGGAGTGTGAGTGCCACATTGAGGATGTACTGGATGGATGCTGTGAGAAGCGGGTTGCCGAGGCCACTGGCTTCCATGATATACACAATATCTATTTTGGTGAGCAGAGAAACACGGTATGTAAGGTTCGGAAAAACTTACAATACATCATGATATTCATACCAGACCTGAATATATGTTAGTATGCATTATCAACTGCAAGACATATTGCAAAACATACAGCTGACTCCACATCTGGATGGACATCCCTAGTATGACTCGCTTCAGCATACGCGGCTGCACGAGGGCTTGGAAGCTATTGGTCGCTTCCTCGCGCTCGAACCTCAAGGCTTCCTCGATTTCCTTGTATTCAGCAAGAACTTTCGGATCGTTGATGTCGCCCTTCGCATGAAGGTTTGCGAGAACCAGGAGGGCTTCATCCCATCGATCCTTAGATGCCAACCAACGTGGGCTTCGCGGGAAAAAGAACAAGCCAATTAGTAGGATTGCACCAGGGACAGCTTGGATTCCCCAAGGGATACGGAATGCTGCTGTTCCCTGAGTTGGGTTTGTTGCCCCGCCATCGACGTGAGAAGCCCCATACTGGATGAAATATTGGATCAAGATACCCCTGAAGAACTATGTCAGTTATTGCGCCAAAGGAAGAGAAGATTGATAATATAGAAGGATGGAGAAGAACTTCGAAATGGTTCCGCTGTGTAATTTGTCCGTTCCTGTCCACGTAACAACTCACCAAGTGATAGCCCACTGCTGAAAGGAGACGACACGGCCCCGAATATTCTTCGGCGCTATCTCCGATTGATAAACCGGTACGATGGTAGAACAAATACCGATAGATACGCCTGAAATAACTCTCCCGACACATAGAAGAGGGATCCCGTTCGAAGCGGCCTGGAGACTGTAGCGGCAGTTTCAGCATGGGAAGGATCACGCACTGATCGTCGGGGAATCTCACATGGAACCGATGATCCAAATCACACTCGCAATCTGAATAGCAGCACGGCGGGAGAACCTGTCAGCTATGAAGCTACTCGCAAGGGCGCCGAAGAACGACCCGGCTGGCATGCTCGCAGTAATGCCTCCTTGTCGGTACGAAACAGGGTTGTCGAAGTAGTTCTTGTAGGCCTGTGTCCCGAGGACGCCAGACATCGACGAGATGTCAAAGCCGAACAGTCCACCGCCTACATGATAACATTTAGCAAGCTTCTGGAAAAGTAAATGGACTCCGTACCGATCGCGGCGAACCCGCAGATCGCGTAGACATTGTAGAATGTCTTCATTGTGAAGAATCCGATTGGTGTCACTCAGATTCGGTGTATTTGAAAGATTCGACGTTTAGAGAATCAGGGAAGACATTGAAGTTGTGACCCAACAGAAGACTGACTGCGAGAAGAAACGCTGAGGAGGCGGCCAGAAAGTAGGAGTCGCCTGCCGCATATAACAGAAGAGGACTATCCAGATGGCGAATGCACCTTCCTTGCCTCTTGGTCATGGGTCAGTCGCCGATGCTATCCATCGCTGATCGCCATTCAGTATTCCCTGGCGGCTGGTTAATTCCACGATTCACTGCCTGGGTTCACAAAATCGAATTCAGCCGTGCCTATAGTCGTACCCAATCCTGCAATTCAGGAGCATATTCACACCTCCATGCTTCTCGAAAAACCTAGTCATGTAACTCCGCATCGCGCTAGCAACGCGAAGTTACAGTGGATAATAGCTCTGGGGAATCCAGCGGCCGCTTTCCTGGATCACGATCCTACCATGTCTACGGAGGTCGGACTCAGTCAGGTTAGGAAGGACAAAGCTTCATATCGGCTCTTCCATTGGCGTGGATGAAAGTCTGGGGTAAAGGCTCCAATGAGTCCAACCCAACCAGGACCTTGAGCCCTTCTGGTATTATTCTGCTGGAAGTTGCGGGGAACAGTGGGCCCCGTGGTCTGTCCGGATATGAACCACAAATGGAGTCCCAGGCGCTGAGTGCTACACAACTTGCACGCGAATGTAACACGGGGAACTGAGCCCGACGCACATGGACACCAAAGTGGACGGGAGGGAGGGTGAATGGCGCCAGATGCTCAGGTCAAGCTGTTCAGGAGACTGGAAAGGCTGTGGTGTTTCTAGCCATTCAGTCTTCAAAGGGACGTCGGAATGAAATGAACCCTCCAGCCAGGCGCACGACGAGCCGCCATAGGTGAGGATTGCCGTCCTCCTTGCCACAAATCGAGATGATCGTCATTCAGGAAATCAGGATTCAGATTTCAGGGCCCAGGGGTGGTGAAGTGCGGAGTTCCATCACCAGGCAACAAGGCAACCCAAGAAACCTACCAGCTAGCATTGGTGACATGCAGGTGGCAGCACGAGACTTCTACTCGTTCAGGGGATTGGACATGTATGAACTCTGATGTAGCACAAAAGCTAAATGACTCTCGACAGTTCGGGATGTACCAGGGTCCCATTGTTTATCCACAGAGAAGAAGTCGGGATGGTCCTGCTGCACGCATTGACGACTATCGAGCATGATATTGATGCGCTCTTGCAATATTATCCCCGCTTCCTCAGGAAGTCAGGACCTTGAAAAACATGCCCTTCGCGACAGGTGAACCCGAGGGTCTTCGCCCTTCGGAGTTCGAACAGTAAGATTTTAGGCCGATCGGTTGATGGGGGGTACGGTAATTAGAACCCGGCGTGTAACCCTGTTAGAGTCCGGAACATGAATGCAACACCAAAAGAGGGATATCCTCAGCGCCGACGGCGGGTCCAACAGCTCGTGCACAAATCAGGCTACCTACCAGGTTATAGGTAGTACCTACTACCGAGCACATTCGCAACAATCAAGCGCGGTGCCAATGAGCCCACCGAACAAGTCTCGGAATGAGGTTTCATAACTTATAGAGCGGTAGTGTTAAGTATGATACAAACGTTCACTATTGACCGCAACGATAATATGGATACCTATTTTTCCGAAATATCGGCGGTTCTCCAAGCATCTGCCTGGGATTCGATGCCGAACTCATCCCAAACACCGGAAAGCCCAAGAAAATCGCATGGCAAGTTTATTAAAGTATAACCACGGCGGCACCAAGCATCATATACTGCACCATTCTCCGTCGGTCGACCTCTTTCTTCAGCATCACCAAGCACGTCGCCACCACCAGCTCCTCCGAGATGTACTTGGGCGCGTCGCGATGGAAAACCAGGTTTCCTCCATTCCCGGCGTTGTTCTTGCTGACGCCGGGGGGCCGAGTGTCTTCGTTTCGGACGAGCTGCGCGACTGTCACGCCCTCGGGCCCCTTGCCCTTCCTGGCGTTCCCCCCTTCATACTGACTTCGGTTCTGCAGCATGACGAGGGCGATGGTCAGCTGTTGCTGGCCTGAAGCATCCCGCTCCTGGACGTAGCGCCACTCGAATGCGCCGCCTTCGGGTGAAGTGAACCCGTAGGTCTTTCGTGTCCATTTCCCCGTCCCCAGGACCTCGACGCCTTCCTTTCCTTGTTCCCACACGTTCTGCCAATCGGTCGAGGCCTGCCCTGGGGAGGTCGGCGCCGATGGACGAGAAAATCCTGACGATCCCATCGGCATGCAACGGATGACCGGATGCTTGGACGGGCCGAAGTTATATTCGGTCGTGGCGACGAGCCGGGCATTAATCTGACCGTTGGCGCCGACGCTGTCGTTCCGCATGAGGACGCTGTTGCCAGTGGCCTTCGTCTCCCGAAGGGACATGTACGCTGAGCTGCCGTCTTCCCGCTGGATGGGGATTTCGAGTTCCGAATACCGGACGGGAAGTCGAACCAAGGAGATTCCTAGGGAGGAGACCTTGAGGACGTGTCCTGGGACGAACGTGCCAGGATCGGTGGTGACGACAGAGCGGATGCTCGGGGCTGGGGATCGTGAGCTGGTTGCGGTTGGTGCGGGGGCCGGTTGGGCTCCATAGAGGCTATCGTCTGGTGGTGGAGCCAACCAAGAGGGATCCTTCTCTTTAATATTGGTCGGAGGGCTATATGATGGTCTGTTGCCTGTGCTATCGGCGTAGGTGGGGGGTGGAGGTGGAGCTTCATAGTCATCCGAGAAGACGTCGCGGTCTGAAGCCCTCAACTCCGCTTGTTCCTGCGAAGTGAGGCTGTTGTAATCTGGAAGAGGGGCATCGTGGTGGTTGATTGCATGGACTGGAAGAGGAGCATCGTGGTTGTTGATTGCACGGACTGGGCCCAGAGGAACCGTGGATTGTCCGAAGGCCATGTTGTTGACTCTTGTATAAAAAATTGGCTCAAACGTAACAGGGGATGCTCTGAGATGGATATAAAGTTTCTCTCTGAACACTTACAGGTAGTTGATCCTTCGTTCAGGATATCCGTCGACTTTAATACCTGCAATCGGCTCCATTCACTTGGGCCTACGTGAATGAAGGCATGAGCTGAGCCTCTTCCCTGAAACGTCATGGCATCAATGATCGGGACAACTTCCATTCCGTAGCGGAAGTGATGAGCGGTTCCACTGATGTTGAATGCACGGGAGAACGCCGAGAGGTATGGAAGCTGGTTCAGTTGCGCAGGTTGCGGCACAGTTTGGTTTCAGTTACGAGCATCAGAGGCTTGGCTGCTGCCACGCGTTCTCCGTGAAATTTATGTAGGACAAGGCATATTTTCGGTTTCCGTGGAGGTATGCTCAGATGTTGGGGACGGGAACTTCATGGAGAGTGGAGGCGCAGTTCCAGATGTTTGCCTCACAAGTCACACAAGGCACGACTCGCAAGTCCTTCCGAAGTGGGCGAACATCATGATTGCTCCGAGTTTTGCGAGCAAGGCAATAGAGTAAACACATGATTCCAATAGATGGCAAAGACCAGCCCTCAGTCTCCAGTCTGTGAAATAGGTGGAAGAATTATTACCATCAGCAGTTGCTCTACGTCTGGCACAGTACATCACGCTTCAAAGTGCAGCACATCAATATACAAAGGATTTTGTCTTGGATGAATTCATTCATGAAGATATCTATGTTGATAGCTCAATTGGTCTGTACATCCAATCATGCTCGACTTATACAACATCATAGGTTCCGCGGGCAGATGTATACAATGTTACCTGCAGTGAACATCGCCCACTACGGTAGGTATGTGGAAGTCTGTATAGTTTGTTAGTCTCTGTGCCATAAAGCTACATGAAACAAGTTGAAAGGGGTTGACGAAAGTCAGATTGTTGAGCTTGAACTTGAATTTTCTCTTCATGAGATTCAGAAGTTATCGTTTATGTGGTAAATCATCAGACGAACAGGGCTGGAGAGGAGGATAGATAGCAAAGGCTCACTTACCACCACGGTTAATATTGCCCAAGAGCAATCCAAAGCACCATTATTTGCATTTTGGTGCCAGTTAAAGCAGGAAGTACTTGTAAAGGATTAATGAAGATGAGAAAGGTGTGGGAGAAAACTTTCAAGTTCACGATGATTTCAAAATAGCACGTGACTTGTATCCCACGGAAGAACAATGATCCACGTGTCCAGTCCACGCAAATGACAAAGGATTGGCGCCTTACAGCCTTGCTGCCCGATGCTGTCGCATGGCGGCTGCCCCTCGTCAACAACGCATCGCAACGGAAGTCGGATGCAAAAGAACGCTGCCTGTTCTAGAGCTCAACGGACAATTCTCTTAAATTATCAAACTCACCAACTCGCCAACTCTCTGCCTCTTCACATCCCTACCTCTCTAAATATCCGACGCTTATTCCAAGCCGACCAGCGTTTAACTCTGTCAAGATGGATTTCACTGGTATCGCCCGTACGTTCTCGAAACTTCTCACCCACCTTGGCCACGAATCTAACAAGAACCAGAGCAGTTCGTCGAATTCTACTATAATACCTTCGATGGAAACCGGACACAACTTGCCGGCTTATATGTATGGGCTCCTGCTGCTATGCCTCCTCCTCGATACCATCCCGCTAACCTGCTCTGCTCAGCGCCCGAACTCCATGCTCACCTTTGAGCAAACCCCGACCATGGGCGCCGATGCCATCATGGAGAAGTTGACCGTTTGTGCCTCGATGTAACCTCCTCGTTAGGTACTCATCTAACTGTTCGGAAACAGGGCCTTCCCTTCTCAAAAGTCAAGCACCAGGTGGCAAGTCTCGATGCCCAACCCGCGGCCGAAGACGGCTCGATCGTCGTGATGGTGACCGGCGCACTTCTGGTGAGTCACTTTCCGCGAGTGCGTTTCGCCAGGGCTCTCCGACTGACCGCGTTCTAGGTCGACGAAGAACAGCGACCGATGAGCTACAGCCAAGTGTTCCAGCTGAAGCCCGATGGACAAGGAAGCTATTACGTGTTCAACGACATCTTCCGACTAGTCTATCCGGCTGCGTAAGCCATAAGTAGTTCTTGCTTGCTTGCCATGGCGTGAGCGATGCGTTTGCATAAATTCACTCCATTTTCATGTTTGTACTTGATCGGCATAGAGATAGCGGGGTATATCAGGAGAAGGACGAATACATGTCACGATTTGAGGCTGATTTGCCGTTCTATTGGCAAGAACACAAGCTGTAGATATCCATCACCCGCTGTACCTGTGGTAGGCAACACCAGTACCAACCTCGACCCGAGTTCCGGCTCCCCAGCGAGATACCACATCCACGATGGACATGAGTGAGTCTGAAGGGACAGCAATCGGAGTGGCCGACTCGGGTCGCTTCTCTACATTATTCATCCAAGGATTCTGCACTTTCCGGGTGCTTACACTCCTGTCACCTACAGTCCTCTTGGTACCGCGGAATATGACTTTGCATGGGGGCCTTCATCCATATATACTGAATTGCTGATTGCTAAAGTCCATACGTCACCCCTCTGCTGTGAAGTTCAGGGCAACCTTGATGAGCAGGCCGACTCTTGTTAAACTCGATAGATTTGCTCTACAATTTCCAAAATGAGAATAGTGATTCCACATTCTGAAATTAGGATTGAGGCATAAGGTTCAATTTCAATATTCAAAGTGAAAACAGGGATAATGGCCGCAAATAGCCAAGCGTGGCAGCCCCAGCAGCGTTGCCCCGTCGGCCATCGGCCATCCCTCTAGGCTCTAGAAGTCCGACAAACGTGAACAACGTGGAGCTTCTCTACTTCTGACTTACGCAAGCTTATTGAGGCAGCACCTTTACTTCCCTCTTTGTCCGCAACGCACTTCACAACACCCGTTTTCTGTTACTGCCATTGTCACTGCCACGATTCTCTTAAACCGACTCCTTCCCATCCGTCGATTCCCCAAATCCCTCCTCAACTTTGCCGTGTTCCATCCATCATCGCACGCCGCTGCGCATCAGTTCCCCGAATTCCCGAAACCGAGAGGACAACAATACAACCTTGGACGCCTCTACCACGGATCGCTTCGGCACACTCGTATCCAAACCCCTTCTAATTCGGTTGCCATCGCGGTTCGTCCCGCCAGACCGCCGCCATGACGTTGATGGATGAGTTCAGAACGAGGAACTTCAGTAAGTTCGATAGAGTCGAGGGCGGTTCGGATGGACCAGGCGATGGATGCTGACATGCTATTGTATAGGTATATATGGACAATGGTTAGTACCGCCATGCAATCACAACCCGTCCCAGGCAGTGCCATGAGTCCCCTATGCATCGTACGATGTCCGATTGTACAATGTCCCTCTCCATGGCATGATATGGAGTTCTCGCTGCGATCTAGACCGAGACACGATCCCGAACAATCTGCGGTGGATGAATAGAAAACCACGACTGACATGCCCCGAACAGGACCGGAGTGATCGCAATGATCCTATGCTTTGCCCTCGGCATTGCAAACATCTTCAACTTCCATTGGGTTATCGTTTTTAGCGTCATATGCCTGTACGTGCTCGACACCCTCCATTTCTGCGTGCTGGGTCGCTGGCCCGCATCTAACCCGTCGTCACAGTGTATGTTCCTTCATCATCCTCTTTATCGAGATCCCCCTCCTCCTTCGGATCTGCCCGACCTCCGGAAAGTTCGACGAATTCATCCGTCGCTTCAACACGTCCTACATGCGCGCCGCCGTCTACGGCGTCATGTCGACCATCCAATGGTTATCGATCATCGCGAAGACGACGAGCCTGATCGCCGCGGCGATCCTACTGCTCGTGGCTGCGGCGTTCTATGCGTTGGCCGGGTTGAAGAAGCAGGAGTTCATGAGCTCGAAAACGCTGGGCGGCCAGGGGGTTGCGCAGATGATTGTGTGATCGGGAGGGAGGGGCTGGTTGCTATGAGTATGTTATCCTGGCATTCGGTTGTGGACACGATTCAAGAGCATGGGATTTGAATTCGTCGGCCTCGGTGGCTGGTTGCTGGATATGGCGTCCGAGGCGCATATGATCACGATTTGATGTTTCTCGCTAGGTATCTCGCTACCGAGGCGTCGAACAGTAGTCAGCCGTATTGTCTTTTCTGGATGGTCTGGTTACGCTGTCATTTTTTTTTGGACGCTATCAGTTTTATTTGCAAAAACGTCGATGTATCCGTATCTTTTGCTCGCAAGACGTGTATCGCTTACTATCCAGTTCCACATTATTCCGTTTGATGCCAGTAACTGATATACCAGTAACTTGACTTTGTCGAATTCCCAGCCTAACTCACCGCTTATTTAGCACATGTGTTTGCACGGGCTTTCGTGAAAGCCGATAGTGAACCGAGCGATCGTGGACATGTACTCGACTTGTGCATGGTTGACAGCTTGATATTAGCTACACAGAACAGAAAAGGGGGGGTTGCGTCATTCAGGAGCGATGTATTAACCATGGAATTAATCAGGAGATGATTGAACCTAATCAATTCGCTCAGGGGTCAATCTATTCATATCTACAGCCTCGCTCTCCTGGCTCAGAATGCACTACAGTGCCGAAGTGCTCCAGGCTCGTTCCCAAAACTCCGCGTTTCCTGGTATTGCCGTGGTATCAACCGGTTCATTCGCCTCAGAACTCCAAAGAATAGCAATGAACATGTTCGAGGACCGTGCTTCAAGTTGGACCGCCTCAGTCGCTCCAGATTTCGCCTTCCTCTCGCTCATGGAACTTGTCGCCTTCCTCAATCTCGAACAACCACTTCAGCCGCCGGCAACGGGCGCTTTCGATCTGTCTCGCAAAACGAAGGATGTCCCCGTTTGCAGAATGTCGGTTTCGCAAGCATACAAGTTTCTCTCGACTCAAGACCATCAGTGGAACTGGCTGTGGTCGATCATCCAGGGAGAGATCTATAATAATAAGAATAACAAGACACATTAGTATGAATATTGTGTGGTGAGATCGTGGTTCGTAGGGTTCATGTGGTGTTTATTCTTCAACTTCTCCTTCCTCACTTCCGATAGCAGGGTCCTCCTCCTCTGCTGCCTTCACCGGCTCAAGACCGTTCCCATTGATCTTCGCCGGCAATACGCGCCCATTGGTGATGTCACGAATCGGATCCGGATCTCGTTCTTCGGTTCGAGCGCGTTTCGCCGGTCGCTCATCGCCATTCTCATGTGCTTCCTGGAGTTGTCGTGCCGCCGCCGGAACCCGCGAAACAGACGCTACCGCTGCGGGGATTCGTGATGCGAGGGTGCGTTTTTCGGGTTTCTTCAGGTCATTTGCGATAGGATCGTCGCCATTATTGGCGTGCGACGTCGGGATGGTCCCGTTCTCCAGCGGTGCTCGCTCACTTCGACGCGACTTCTCTGCGGTGAGTTGACTGTCGGTGCGCTGCGTCTCTGGCGCTCCCTCCGCTTCCCCAAACGAAATCGCGCTTCCAGGTGTTGCCATTCCGCTCTCTCGTCGCACTCGGGTCTTCGCATTCCGCTCGTCGCCGTCTTCGGGGGTCCGCATCGCTCCATATAACGACCATCGATCTTTGCTTTGGGGATCCAATTGCTTCGCCGCCTCGGCGACCTTTCCATCGTAACCGTCGGCCATGTAGTTGCACGCCCGTCGCACATCCCTGAGCTTCACTCGTTGGACTTCCCACCATGGTCGGCCACCGCCATCATCCGCAAAATCGACCCCGCAATGTTTGGCCCCGCAATAGAGCGCAGCCGCAGCAATCGTCCGGGCCGTGAATAGCAAGGATGCCTGGGTTAAGTTGGAGTCGTTGAGGAAACTCCAGGCAGCATTCCGAAGCTGCTTCTCATGCGCGACGTTATAGTACTTGAGCATATCGAAAAGTAGTCGGTAGGGAGATTCGATGTTGACGTCGAAGCATAGCATGTCCAGAATCTTGTCCTCGTTGAGGTTGATGGTGTCGCGCCAGCGCCAGTAGTCTTTGGTTTGTTCATCGACAATCATGTTGGGGTTCTTGAGGGCGACACGGCAACACGCGATGACAACTTCCTTGATGTTGCGGCATTGCTCTTCGATCTTGGTCGCGATGAAGAGGCAGATTCCAGCGATTTGCTGTTGGGAAGCGAAGAATCAGCGTTCTCGATTCGAGCTACCAAGTCGCACGTAGACACTCACATAGTGATGTAGAGGCTTGTAGTCACTCTTAGCGACGAGAGACCGTCGCATAAGGTACCGGTTGAGGAGGGCGGAAGCCGTCGAGATTGTGATTTGAGACAGCTTGAGCATAATGCCAACTTGAGTGATGAAATTCGTCCCTTTGAACCGAGCGATCCTTTCTTCCTCAAGCGACATGCCGTCCAAGATCGATGGGGTTCTCAAGAGCTCCTCCTCGGCATATATCCATTGGCGTTCTTTCTCCGCAAGCACATCTTGCGGAGACTTCTGTGGTTTAAGGTATGAGAAGAAATCGTCAATCAGCGGATGCCCCGACTTTTCTCCGGAACCCATGGCGAGGAGCTTAGAAGAGATCGATGATTGCATTCAGGGAGAGAAGGGAAGGAGAGGGACAGAATGATGCCCCGGTAAGCAACATGAGAGGAACCGAACCGTTCGAGAGGTGATTCGATGCGACGCGGGGCGTGAAGTGAAATAAAGAAGCTGGAGACAGGTCTCCTTCAAAGGCGCAATTGGAGAAGCTGTTGCAGGCGATAGATATATCTGTCGTAAAGTGAAGATTGTGCCCACATGAAAGCAACAGAAGCAAACCCGCCTGGGAATCTGGGATATCCGCTGGGTAGATTCGCTCAGGAATGATTCTTGTTCCGACGAGGAGTGAATAATAATAATGAGAGACGCTCCAGGCCATGTACAGGTAGGTACGAGGGGAAGTGAAACCAGCATGATTGGTTCATTTCGTCCGCCTTGAAATTTGGTAGTTCGTTGGCTTTTGGACGAGACGGTGTCTCATGGAGTCATGGACACGGGTGACTTGGACACGGTGCCCATTTGCCCAATAGACATGTTTCTTACTAAGACATTTATCACGTGATTATAAAATCGTGTCGCTTTCCGACCGCGGGGCCTCTGGTAACAACGCCATATGCCTAACCTATTATGTAGCTAAGGCCTAAGACGCTCCAAAGATCTTCAGCCAAACGGAGTTAACTGATGGCCGAATAGGAGCTTTTTTTAACGTTCAGTAATTCTAGAATACGATAGTAAATCCCGAGGTCGGATTAACGTGACTCACCCCTACAAGCACTGATCGCTCCCACAGTTTCTAAACTCCACTTCCTCTGGTTTGGTTTGAATCAATTCTTGAGTTAATCCCCCTAAGTTCGAACTGAGTTGCCCAAAGTCGGTTTCAGGGGCAAATCAAGCGCGGATTTCATGCCATTGTGGATATAACTGCTCCCTCACCCTGCCTCGAATATGGTCCAATTTTATCCGTCTCTAACGCCTGAGTTAACCGAGTGGCTTCTTTCCCAGCCGCTTTTCTACATTGCATCTGCACCTCTTGTAAGCTTACCGTACCGGCGAATGTTATCAAAGAGGCTAGTCGCTGACCAGGACTAGACAGGTGATCATGTGAATCTCTCCCCTAAGGGGTATCCGCGGTCCACACTTGCGGTTCTCTCGCCGAATCGTGTCGTGTATTTGGACAAAACAGGTTCAGGAATCGAAACCATCTCCCATATATATGAAAATGGGCGTGCCACGATCATGGCTTGTAGCTTCGGCAAGTCGCCACGCATCATGCGGCTCTTCTGCCGCGGTCGAGTGATAGAGCGTGGAAGCCCTGGCCCTGATGGCTTTGACTCGTGGTTTACGAAAGCTGTCAAATCCGGGATGCAGGTTGACCCAGATGTCCCTATCGGAGTCAGCTTGACCGGCGTTCGAGCGCTCATTATACTTGATGTCTTCAAGGCACAGACGAGCTGCGGTTTTGCGGTACCGGTGCTTAGTAGCGTCGCAGCTGAGAAGCCCAAGCCGGGAAACGCACAGTATTTGGATGGAAATATGATAGCGCGGGAGACTCTTCAACTGTGGAACTTCAAGACTGAGGAAAATGCCTTGGCCAAGGGCATAGAACCCTGGGGTCGGAGGAACGAAGAGAGCTTGGACGGATTGCCAGGCCTCAAACGGTATGTACCTCTACTGCAGAGGACGCTCATTGTCAGTAGGTCATCCACTACGCGGCTCGCACACCAATGGCGGGCTATCGCTCTGGGAGTCCTCCTTACACTGAGCCTTTTGTTTGGGCTACGGAGCCTCGGACTCATCAATGTAGCCCTCAATTCTTAGTACGGCGATGCAGATCTGAGCCGAGTGACTAGTGTTAGGGTTGATACATTGATAAACGCCGACTTTGAATAGCTTATAAATGATGAATTCACATAATTTCTGGATGAGTTTACGATGGAATGCAGTCTTCGTCCGCCACGAGCTCACCATTTAGATTTCCAAGATTCTCATATCAATCAGCATGGAAAAATATAATTAAGGCTTAAAGACGCCCATTCCCTTGAAATGCAGTCCGTGAGTCTTATTAATATAATAATATTTCTCTCTCCTGATCTCATCCCCGTGCGACGCAGAGAGCGTTGCGGCCTTGTGGCCTCATTTCGTTGCCTCGCTCCCATGCAGCACCAGCACTTTGTGATTGATCACTTTGATGTCTGGGAATTCCATGATTCACTTCTTCTTTCGTCCCTTCTACAGCTTGAGAACTTGACATCACACATCACCCATTTGCTCTTTCGTACACCCAACCGTCAAATTACGAAGCCCTTTCTCTCGCTCTTGCTCCATCTGAGAGTTTCGGCCGCCGCTGCAGCAGCTTGCACGGAATTAGAGGAAAGGTGATGACTGTTGGTCAGGCTTGATAGGCCTCCTCTATTGTTGGTCACAACGGCAAAGCTAACGCGTTTTCCACCCTCCAAGGTCGGCGTCTCCGGCTTCCGTGGCCAAGACTGTAATATCTTGCGCCCATCATGAGCTCACCGTCGGCATCAGAGGGGGAAATCATCGAGACTGAGGTCGAGAAGGCAACTACGGCACGGCACGCCACGAGTGACTCCGATATTGACCGTCCAGACAGAACTCGAGACTCCCAGTCACGATCACCAAGACTTTCGTTCGGCTTAGATGGCGCCCGAGATCGATCCCGCTCCCCGTTTCGGTCCAGATCCCCTCGGGGTGAGAAACGTCGTCGAGACGACGATGAAGACCACAGCCATCGACGTGACCCTAGACGATTCAAGGTCCATTATGAGGAACAGCGACAAAGCCGTCATGCTTATCAGGGAGAACGGGAATATGGCCACAATCGGGGATACTATGATCGAGATGGAGATCCGTCAGCGAGGGACAGACACAGCCGATCGGGTCAAGAGTCCTCTACCCACCACTCAGATCGGCTGCCCCGCGATCGAAGCCGCTCACCCGCACGGAGGAGCAGAGGAAACGATTATTCGCACCACGATTATCGACGGGATGAGCGACGGGCTACCTTCCGCGAAGCACCAGCTGCGACTGCCAATGGAACCGCGTCAAGTGGAAGGTCGGGACAGAATCGGCATCCAGGGCGTGGTGGTGCGAAAGGCATACCTGACAGAGGCCATGCTTCTTCAATTAACACAGCTACTCCCAACTCCACTCCAAGCGCGAGACCTGGTCGGGCGAAAACCGTTCATTTGTATGCCTCTACTCGTCCTATTCGATTTCAAAACCAGACTGACCAGCATCACAGCACGGGTGATACCCTCTCGAATGGCGACAGCGTGTCCACTGGTCCTTCAGCGTTAACTGTGGGTTCCGAGGACCAGGAACTAACGACAGACCTAAGTCCCGTCGACGAAGCCACTTTGATTGAAGAGCGTCGAAAACGCAGGGAGGCCATTAAAGCGAAATACAAGAATCAATCAGCGAAGCCCTTACTAGTCCAGGCTCTTGAGCATAGCGGCGAAGTCACCACCCCTGAAGCCTACGATCCGACGAGATCAGTCACCGTGTCGGAGAGCGGTAAGCAGCCCTTGGAAGCGTCGACCATGTTTGGAAGGCCTCTGACACCTACTATAGTGACTCCCCTCCTTTCCCCGAATTCCCCCCAAGCCGTCGATTCTCCTGGCTCTCAAGCCGATTCGTTCGATGAAGGCAACGCCCCAAAGCTGGAGCGCGCCGAGCCTCGTCTCGCCATACCCGGGGTCTCTGCAGCTGATTATGATCCCACAGCAGACCAAAAGGCAGACCTGGCTCGCGATGAACATCAGCATCATGTCCACGATGAAAGTCGAACGGCGAAGTCTGTAGCAGAGCTACCCCCGGTCGAAGATCCAGCCACGGCTTCCATCTCGTCTCCGACTGGCCCCAAAGTACCCGATATGTTTTCCGAAAGTTTTGAGGATGACATCCAGGTTGAAGACTCGAATAAGCCCATTGTTCGTCAGGACCTGGACGCTGGGTTGGCCCGAGAGCAGGATGACTCGGAGGGTTTCTTTAGGCCCATAATCCACGAGATCGTTAACGAACGATATCAGATCATTGAGAATCTGGGCAGCGGCGTATTTGCAAACGTGGTTCGAGCCAAAGACATCCCCACTAGCAAAATCGTGGTCCTCAAGATCATCCGCAACAACGACGAGATCAAGAAAGGCGGACTCAAGGAGATTTCGGTTGTGAAGACGCTAAATGAGGCGGATCCCGAGGATCGAAAGCATATCCTTCGGTTCGTCGATTCATTCGAGCATAAGTATCATCTGTGGCTGGTCTACGAGAACATGGACATGGACTTCAGGCAATTGCTCAAGAAAATTGGCAATAACTCCGGCCTTCACATCACCGGAGTACGTCAGTTTGCGAGACAGGTCTTCCTCGCACTCTCTCACCTCAAGAAGTGCAACATCATCCATGCCGATATCAAACCAGACAATATCCTAGTGGATCACGCGCATAAGAATATCAAACTTGCGGACTTTGGCACGTCGATGGAAAAGGAGGAAGCCGAGATTACCAGCTACCTCGCAAGTCGATATTATCGCGCACCCGAAGTCGTCCTTGGCCTCCCCTTTGACTTCGCCATCGACATGTGGGCGGCGGGCTGTACACTCTTTGAGTTGTATACAGGAAAGATCCTGTTCGATGGCAGGACCAACAACAACCAGCTACTCAAGTTCATGGAGTGTCGCGGGAAGTTTCCGAAGTGGATGGTTCGCGACGGTCGCTTCGGGAATGACCATTTCGAACATGATCACATCACATTCATCGCTCTGCAGCAAGACCGGACCACTCAGCAGTACTATGAGAAGCGTATGGCCATCAGCAAGCCGGAAATCGACTTGGCGACTCGAGTGAAGATGGCGGTCCCTATTCCGCCCGGTGAGGACGCGCGGTTGCACCGTAATTTCATGGATTTGTTGGACCAGTGCCTCAAGCTCGACCCGACGCAGCGTATCAACCCTCATGATGCTTTAAAGCATCCCTTTTTCATGAGGCATGGCTGAAGATAAATCGCCATTTTCGACTCCAGGGTCCTACGATGGATGGATGGCGCTTGATGTTGACAATTTCATCTCGCAGTTGAGAGTTACGTGTCGATGCCCGCCGAGAACCGAGATTATGACAATCAGAGTCGGATAGTTTCCATTGAACGGAGGAGATATGCTGTGCTCTGCCATGATGGTCTACTCCAAGCCAATCGAGATCGCTGATGGTTGTCAAACAAGTAATCAAGCGAGTACCATGGAACCTAATTCAACGATGATGGTAAATTTCCATGCGCTAATGAACCTGCCCGTGCGGATGTGACAGACCACCCACTAATGATTTACATTTGGTCGTCCAGTGCCACACCACAACTGCACATCCTTTTCTCGTGCCCCACACGAGACGTTGATATCCCGAGCACCTTTGATCTCCGAGCTGGGCGTTAGTAGTTCCGCAACGGTGTGCAACGGTGGGCTGCTGTGCGAAGAACAGCGACGCACCACGCCACGATCTCGACATGGACTCCAGCCTCCAGGATTGCGTGGAGTGGTACAAGTACACGGTCCGACCCTCATCCATGCGCGATAAATTCTCCGAGTATGGTGCGGATGCTCCTTGAGAGGATGGTCGGTCTCCGAGTGGACTGCCGTGCTTTATTTCAGGACCGGAACACCACATATCCTCGACTGGGTAACGAGGGTCCAGCTGTATCCATACACAAGATTTGGTAATAGAGCTTCCGGCGCATGTTGTACATTGTTTCATGTGAAAGATGTGAATTAGTCCAAAGAACAATCACCGTGTCCGCCGTTCGACTACTTTGCCAGGCATCAAAGGCGACCTGACTAGAGATGACAGGAAAAGGTGTCACGATATCACCCAGGAACACGACGAGAATTGCGCAGCACATTTCCATATTTCAATTCCCTTTGCTCTTACCATTGTTATAGCCCTGGGTTTTGATGTCTCTTAATCCTCAAGAGAAGCAACCTCGTCAGTGTCATGGAGTACAGAAAGCGAGTCGAACTCAATGTCCCGTAATAGAATGTGTCTGAGTTGCCCTCAAACAGATGATACCAATGTTCGCAATTTGCTGAACCTATACCTTATTAAGCATTCATGGAATTGATTTTTCACTTTCTTCTCTCATATGTGATAGATCTGCAAAAAGAGGCCAGCTCAAGAAAAGCCACAAGCAGTCGTGTGTGAACCAGTGTATTAGGATGGTGGAGAGGAGGTAGCAGAAGCGCAAGGGGAATTCCTCTTTTTCCTTCTCTCTTCGGTTTAGATTAATGGAACCGGTAACTGCAGACCTTGCATATCGAGACAGACCGTGTCAAGGACTTGTATATCGAAGAACCCTATACCTTGTCTATTAGGTCTTATAACTATTACTTCCTGCCCCTGACCTACGGGCTTCTCAGTTTTCTTTCTAACACCCCATGTTGCTACAACGATGCCAATAAAGCCCACTGTACCAGACACAAAACCAATGATCTGTCCTTTGTCAAAGAATGGTTCAGACTTAGGAACTTCAAATTCTGCAAAGGGAATCTGAAAAGGGCCCCCGCTGGCGTAGGTCCTTGCCAAGTAATTGATTCGACCTCCAGCTGCGGTGTAGACATATTCTTTGTACCTCCCTGAGCCATTCATGCTCCGTGAAGCCGTGACAGGCCCACCAGCGATGGCATCCTGTTCTTGCGGCAGAGCGTCGGTTGTGTTGGTCCAGGATCCACCTTCAAACGTCCACTCGCCAGCAACCCTGTCTTGGCTGATATAGAATATTCGGACTATCAATGGATCAGATCAGGCAACAGCGGCGAAACTAATATCTAGGTGTGAGGTGAACTCTGCTATAGCAGGCAGGGTTTTATGGGGTATCATCAGTCAGTTTGTCTCCCTGTCAACTTGTATAGAGCAGTGTATAGGACCATAATCATACCTTCTCACCACTCACTGCCGTTGAATGTAAGGGAAGCAAGGGCTTATTCTCCGAAACGAAGAAGACATAAATGTCAGTAGACCCGGCAGAGACCGCAGCAGCAACGCGTGATCCCCGCCCAGCTCTCGGCCCAAGTCGACTGACTTTTCCGTCTATTGCTTGAACGACAAAATCCTTGTCGTTGATATAAAATCGTCGAAGTTTATGATCTACTTCCGCTGCAACGAGTCTAGATGCGGACTTGTAGCCGATCGGAGTAGTAGACCATTCAATAAATTTCTCGTCCTGGTAGCGGCACGCGACGTCAATGATTTGACCATCAACAGGTTGTCGGTGTATGCGTGGAGCCTCGGAGAAGAAAAGTCGCAGAATCCTACATTATCTGTCTCTTTATGGTATACTTGCTGCTAGTGCGGTAGTGAGCTGCAAGGGGGAACTGTTTTCTGGGTATGACAGCTCTCTGGATCTCCTCTAGCTTCCCGTGATTCCGATCTCGAACGACTATCTTCCGATCTGGATTATGCCAATAAACATAACGTGCCCAGCTATCAGTAATATTGGCGCTGTAGGCTGCAGCTATGTTGACAGCTTCAGAGTCTTTATTGCTGGCGGCAACGACTGAAATGAAGGTCAAGAAGAGACCCAAAAAGAGGATACGTGCCATTCTAGGGCCATCCATGTTGAAACTGGATAGCTTGAGCATGCGGGAAGATGAGTCCGGCCTGATGAATCGAACAGCAATCGCAGCGCCATGATATATATTCTCACTTTGCGACCCAAGTCTGGCGTGTTCAAGGTTTGCGGACCGCATCTTCGTTCCAAGCGGGCCACTCGTCCCCAAAATTATACCTAGGCACTTTCCTACCGATTTCTATAAATTATTCACTCTGATATTCATCTGTAATTCGGCGGCCATTCCAGATGGTGTACCATCACTTGTATAAGCGCCAGCGTTATGAAGTCCATGAACGCCACTGCTGGATTAGTGGACGCCCTGGCAAAAAAGGCAGAGAGAAGCGGCTGAATAAACCAATTATAATTCTCTAGGGAAATATAGGGATCCCTCGAGATCCTCTGGAAAGTCACGACTGTTCAGCTTGGCTGTCTCTGCTGCAGCCGAACGCTGGAGGAAGACAACAATATATACTAACTCCTTCACTGTCTTCGCCAACTCCTGGCCCCAATCTCTATCATTTCTGCAATCAGACCAGATGTATCAATCTTTATGCACATCTGCCGCTTGTGACGGGGTAGCCATCAGCCTCCTATTGCTCCTCAACCATTACCCGTGCCTCCAAGATCTCCTATCAGCCTCGTCGGCGCATAAGGATTCACTTCAATTGCACAAAGGGGATGAATCTCTTACTTGTTGTTTCCAGCTGACCAATTTGACAACTGTTGCACTCGTATTCTGACATCTGGGACTGGACGGTGCAATCAATTAGAGCGAGTGGTGTTGAACTTGAGGACTAATTGATCCGTTTGATTGATTTCCTAAATCTAGGTTTTTCTTCTGGATGATAGAACTATTTACATGACATATTCCAATTTAGGAATGTATTACCTGACATGCATAAACAATAATGGTTGCTTCTAACAAGCGGCAGACCAACAGACAATCACGAACCTTTGGCCAACTAGTGAGTGGGATATTCAGTCTTGTTTCTATTCTTATTAAGCATAGATACAATTGGATCGCTGCCGGACCTGCTAGTGGATATCTTTGGATTTGGAGTGGGGAGGAAATCCTGACTGTTGAGATTGGAATATCTGACTGATGACCTCGTTCAGTCCGATCAGTGGGCAGGAACTTCACACACGAGGTAAGCAGGGAAAGATAAGACGGAGAACAATACTAGTGATAGTTATTATTCTAAGAATAACAGCTAAATATCTGTAGGCTATTATATATAAGGTAAAAGAAGACAAGACGAGACGAAACCGTCATCTGGTTGTTATGGTTATCATTGACACGATCTGGATGCGTAAGATCTGTGATTACTAAGTTCCATTAATCTAAACTGAAGAGAGAGAGAAGAGAGAATCAAGAAATCTCCCACTCCCAGCGTCTCTGTGCGCGAGATATCAACTCTCCTCTGCTGTCCTAACACAGCTCTCACATGACTGTGTCCTTGATAATCCTCCTTGAAACCCACCAGCCACATCTCTGTGACATCAGCCACACTCAAGGTCTTAGGCCACAGGCCTCGGACCATAGCAATCATCAGAATTTATCTCGCACAGCCACACGGGATTTCAAGAAGAAGGCGCTAGCGCCACGCCCCCGGCTAGCGCCGACTTGGGCTTTCTTCAGAAAGCCGTCTGGGGGCGTTTTGCAGGGATTATATGAGTTGACGAGTGAAAATCAAGGGGACACATGACATAGAGCGAAAGTGTGGTAGTAGCAGGTTACGAAGATTCGAGGCCTCCTAACAGCGATCTTCTATATCAAGCTCTTTCCGAAGCCTGTCTGTGCGATTAGGATTGTATCCTGCTTTGCAAAGATAAGGCGGGATAGAATAGCGATCTGTAGATCCTTCGGTTCAACAGCAGTGTGACTTTGGGGATATCGATCGCGTAGTAACCTCCTCAAAGTAGACTCGATTATCTTCACCTGCATAGACAGCATGTCGTCAATGGAAACCTCATCGTGGATATTGACGCGACGCTCCTTTGCCCGCACCAACTGTTTAATATAGGATGCAAGCTCTGAGCCCGGGATATCCAGGATCCGCTCGAGTTCTCGTCCTCTAGTGCTAGGAGCATTAGGAGCGGAATTAGACTTGGCCCCCCTTCGATGCCGACGGCTCTTAGTCTTCTTTGCTTTAGGCATACCGAGAAGGATCTTTGTCACACTAATCGACCTTTAGGACCTCACTGTCTCTCCTTGTTCAGTGCGAATGGCGTGGAGTTCGAATAGGTAGTATGGGAGGTTGATCGCTTAGATATACGCTCGTCCACTACGCCTCTGAGGCAGCCTTAGCACCTTTTTTATCCTATCATGGTTAGACGTAGGCAATCTAAAATCTAGATATATATCTGTCCGGTACCATTTTCTTGGATCTTATGGCGTCAAATTGTCGAGTCTCGTGTTGTTTTTCGTGATATCAAGGCCGATAATGCTCATCACTCCGATTCTGCGTCTTTCTCTTCCTAAAGTCATGCCACGTGCCCTCAGACCTCCTTGAAAGGAGTTTACTCCCAGCTAGCCCATTTGGGCGTTAGCGTAGCTTGGCGCAAGCCAGGTTTCGAGCGACGGTCTGAGCTGTGGCTGAGATAAATCAGGATATGCATGAGTATCGATGCCTGAGGCTTCAGAATGATGCCTTAGCCCTGACCCAGACCTTCAAGTTCATGCCTTAGACACATATCAGACATCAATGATCAGGTGATCATCTCATCTGTATCTGAGCTTCCCTATATAGCCTACATAACAATCTACATCTTCTACTATACACGCAATTGCAACACTGATCTTAATATACACAAAGTCCTGTTACTCTTACTATATAGGGCCTTCGATGTTTGCAAAACATACATCACGTGATGAAACTCGGGTTTTATCCTTAGTGTCACGGTCGTACTTTTCGTGCTTTGAGGCGTTAATGTATTGTTGCCTTATGGCCTGATACGGATGCCTCACGATACGATGCAGATGCAGATGTGATGTGATGCCTCCGATGTGTTAGGGGCTATCACGTGGTGATTCACAATCCCGCTTTGTGTATATTATATCTCTCTCTGTTCTGGTTTCCCATTCTCCTTCTTCATCTTTCGTTTCGTCAAATACAAGCTGTTTTACGATAGTGATCCATATCCATGGTCCTCCAAAATAGCACCGTGACACTTAGGAGGAATCCTAGGTACCTTGTTAGTCAATCAATCTTCATTCACCATTCAATCTGCATACATGCTTGTGACGATTGCTTGACAGATATAGACGCAAAAAGAGATGGAGATTAGGATCGATACTAGTAATACCACTAAAAAGTCCCCATCTTGACCGGTGTGACATGATCAGCGCCTATTAACCTGCAGGCATTCTCATAAACGGAGTCATTTCTGCGATTCTACGGAATACCCATGTCGGCATTGCTTATGTGCCAGGGCATGGCACAGTCGGCTGTTGCTAGCCTCATCAACAGCCATCTACGGGATGCAGCTGGGAGAATTGTCCTCATCAGACAGCAGCCAGCAAACCACATGGCAAAGTCCCTATGATGCATGAACCCAGACAGTAATAATACCCTTCCTGCCAGGGTAAATACTCAAGCTGTTAGAGGCTAAAGTTGCATGTCCTGCACACAGCCAGAACGGGAGAGGTTATATTCGGAGCACACGGATAGTTTTGAACTAACGAAGCGATCGTGATCATGATTCCTTCATCGCACGGAGTTCCAATTACAGTATAGTCCAAGTGGCTCTGACCATTGGCTGGAATAATGAATCTCTTGCATCCAGCAGTCTGCACGCCTACAGTCCACAGCCCGTCGCAGGTCTAGCCTCGCATGAAGATGATGTCAAGACACTGATCTGGTTGATGCTTTCATTCAGCCCGATGCGCAAGGAGAAATGCTTCGCTTAGACTTGACGAGTAGTAAGGGATTCTATTGCTAGCGTGTCCAAGTGAGCTTGGCTGTAAGCAGTCCAAAGCTCCGCACTTTTTCATTATCCCACTCCACTGGTGTTTACCAGTCCTGAGTAAAGGTTGATCGCGGCAGGGAGTGATGAAAGAGGCATGACACAGCAAAACCCAGTCTCCTCAGAGCCATACAGACCAAATCATCGATCAAATCGGCCAGTCCAGATCCTCAACATTCGTTTGTCGCTCTCCAACGGCAATGCCATGTGCCGATCCCATAGTCTCATCGTCTCATCGTCTCATCGTGCCGTGTGGCCCGTGTCGTGTGGAAGGTGGCGTCACCACTGTCTCACGGACTCCAACTCCCATAACCTCCAAATCACCAGATCGACATCGAAGTGGATGGGAGGATGGGACACAGCGACCGCAGTCAGCAGGGTCCAGGCCGACCTTCTGCTTCGGAATCAACCTGCGACTGTCTTGGAGTGGCTACAGATGAAATGCCAAGGATCTGCAGGAGTTCGATATCGGAACGCAGTAAGACGGAGATTCACGTCGTATCCACGGTTCAGACTTCAGGCTTGTGTTGAGACGCCTTAGACCCTAAGTAAAACACGCATGCAGACTGTTCCAACTTCCAAGTGGCACCTTATTAATGCGGCCGACGTCGTGCATCGGTCAGCGACTCAGCGCTTCATAGAGAACTAACAACGGATCAGCTCAGGTTATCGAGTAACATGTAGGTTAGTTGCATATTGGACGGCAGCTAATCGACTGGGATTGAGACAGCGGCGATAGGCAACCGGGAAGCCCATCGGCGGGGCTGGGACATGCGTCATGTCGGTATCATCCCAACCCCGCCAATTGGCCGCCTCACCCAAAAAAAAGACCATGCGCGAGAAGAGAGCATGTCGGTGGCCTTGAGACGCTGGCTGGTCTGAGTGGCCACCCGATTACGGACATGGTGTGGCACAGTGGCAGGCATCGTCATTTGGGATGGCGGCTGGCACTGGGCAAAGCCGTCTCATTTGGTGAATATTATGGATGCCACGGTACGACAAGGGAGCCAGATCTCACACTACGCAAACGGGTAGACGTGCTCTCAACGACCTGCCCTTACGCTTATTGCATGCTGCCCTAAATTCAACGGCTGGATCGGTGTCATCAATTTTGGTTGGATTGGCAAATGCAATGTTAGGATCAAGCGGACGGGAGCCCATGATCGACCGCAAGCGGACGCGGACGAACATTGCAAAGGCGACACCAGTCCGTCCATGACCGGACAGATATGTGATGCTGGTACCAGGAAGAATAGTGGACCATTATCTTCAGTTATTGGGAATGTTAGAGGGTCCTTGTGGCATCTTGAAGACCTTTAGATTGGACGGTCCATCGAGGACTAGAACGGGGCCAATTTAGACAGATTACTCATTACTCCGCCATAGGAACCACTCCAGGGACGAGCTTCGTGACTAGTCTTCCGAAGAATTGGCAAATGCCAGATGTCATCATCAAGACTCACTTGGTGGATAACATTTGCCTTCTTTCCGAAGAGCCGCTAAACGGAAACCAAACAAACGTCTCGTGGCGGGCGCCGATACTGATCTGGTGGTTAACAATCACTTGCATAAAAAAGAAATGTAACACGGGTTCTTCAGTGAACACTGCAATATGGCTTGTAGAATTCTATCAGCGTGTGCTGAACGGTTTCTTCCTTCAATAGGGAGCCTCCCACCACCATACCATCGCTGAACACCTTCAAAATATGAGATAACGATTGCGTCCCCCTTGTGATACTGCTACAGAAGCTCTGCATGAAACAAGATTGGGTATCTTTCGGAAAACGAGTGTCAAGAACTGCCGTGGATGAAGTCCGTAAATTTAAGGGGTCATCTGAATTGATCGACTTATGATTCGAGAACGACCGAACCCCGTGCTCGGTTTTGAAGCCCATTATATGGTATCCCTCGAAGAAGTGTCTCTAGGCGTGAAATCCTCTCGTGATCCGGTAAATCCTTCCGTAAATCGCGTGAATCGATGAAACTGGCGTGTTGAAAACAAACCGCCGGTGCTCCACTCTAAATGTCAACTCCGGTTTCTCTGTGGTTGAAAAGGCCGTGAAAACAGAACTCCTGAAAGCCGCTTGAAGAAACCCTCCTCTATCCGACCATTCAGGCCGCAAGCTGGTACGCCAACCACATTCTATCGGATCCTGACAGAAACCGGATGTCCCAGGTTAAACAAAGGAAAGAAAAAAGTCGACTCCACCATCCATCTGTACATCATTGAACATGACCAACTCCATGCCGATTAACAAAAGATCCGCATCAACATGACTTTTCATCGTCCCATCGTTACTCTTCGGATTTAGAAAGTTGTAAATGAAAAAAGGTCCCCAGTATACACAGGTTGAAGTGAGAAAATTATTCACAAGTGAATTGAAAGTTGAAAATCCGTTGTTCGTGATCCATGGAATCCGGTCGCTCCTAGTCCGTGAAAAGGGGAACCATCAAGAAGGCCTTAGAAGACATGTTGCATCCTGGCATTAGAATGGACCTGGTTGAAAAGAGGCTGCATCATCTGAGTAAGACGATACACCTGGCTAGGGAATTCATTCCAGAAGGCTCCTCCAGATGGGGTTGGAACGAAGCAAGTGGGTTGGAATTGTACCGCAGGGGTCGGTTTTTGATGATCGTTTTGAACAATGGTGTAGGAAGAGGTTGATGTCGACGTCGACGAGGCCGAGGTCGTAGAGCCATCGGATAAGGTGGATAACGTATCGGAGTTCGAGCTACCCGTAGATAGGTTCGAGTCGCGGGAACCCTGGCGGGTTTCGTATATATGCTCGTCGAGGCCAACATTGAGCTGGAAGGACGAGTCGGGTTGTTGGAGTCCGGGCTGGAAGATGGAGGCCAAAGGGGAGAGAGGGGGGGTAATGGGTTGTTGGGGGACAGTGATCGGCTGAACTTGAGGAGTGGTGGTGAGGCGATCGCAGCCAACGATCAACCTCCGCAATTCTTGCAAGTCGATCCGCTTGGACGGATCCAGCTCGAAAATGCGTGTCAAGATGCCATTGAGCTCCTGGGAAAGGGGAAGAATAGTAGGTAGGAAACTCCGGTCCCGGGCGTAGGCGCGGAATGTGGTATCCTCAAAACAGGCCCGCTTCCATGGGTTTCGGCCACAGGTGAGATTAACCAGAATGACTCCAAGGCTCCAGACATCATTGGGGACAGAGGCATAGCTGGAAAAGGCCCTTGGGTTGCTTTGTTGACATTCTGCAGCGAGACGAAGGTTAAATTCCAGGGCTCTTCGAGAATAAGAAACAACGAGAAATGCACGTACCTGGTGACATGTAGAAGGTCGAACCGCAGCCGTAGTCGGATGTCACACGGTCACTGGTGGCCAGTCCAAAGTCGGCAAGCTTGGCCGTCTTACCACCATCGGTCACGAGGATGTTCTCCGGCTTCAGGTCCCGATGGTAGATACCCAGGTTATGGCAATGTTCAACCGCGTCCAGGATTTGTAGGAAAAGAGACTTTGCCAGGAAATCGCTGCCAACATATCTCCCCCGCTCTGTAATGTTAGAAAAGAGATCCCCTTCCGGACAGTATTCGAGAACGACAAAGGTGGTGTCTGAAGACTCCAGGATTTTGACCATGGAAACGACTCCGGGATGATGGTTGGCCATGTAGTGTAGCTGGATCTCACGCTTCTGGAATTTCCGTTGCCTGGGCTCCAGACCAACCTTATTCAAGGCCTTTACGGCATAATTGGTGTTGGTGAGGATATCGATGGCGAGATAGACCACTCCATAGGCGCCAACACCGAGGATTTGAGTCAACTGGAGCCGTCCAGCCAGTACATGTCCAAGGAGGAACTCCGGGGGACGAGCGGAAACCACCGGGGGCGGACTTGGGAATCCATCGAGTGGTGGTGAGGCCGGTGGTGTTGGTGGAAACAGCATTCTCGTCCAGAACTGTGAAGTGGTCCTCAGGAATCCAGTGAAGGGCTCCGAGGACAATTAGAGAGTACGAAGACCAAAGAGAGGGCTCGGTGGTCTTGAGAAAGCAGCCGGACGGAATCCTCCAGGAATATTACGATGGAATAAAGCGCGGAACAGTGGTCGCTCTACTGGTGAGAGTCGTGATATGGAGATGGGGTGGTGGAGGGAGACGGGTGGATAGAGAAGGCGAGGGATGAGTAGAAGGAGGAAGACAAACAGACAAGATTTAATAAATGAGAGAAGATGAAAATTATATGGAGGTCAGAGGGTGGATGAGGATAGAGAGGAGGGAACAGTAGGAGGAGTACTAGGAGTAGATAAGACCGAAGGAGTGACAGATGGAGGGAGAAGGGTTGAGTGGTGAGAGTGGAGTTGATGTTGGTGGATGGTGAATCGGTGATGTATGTATTTTTCGACAGCCACCAGTCAACCACGAGCCCACGACGTGACTGGGCGGGACGAATGAGCTCCACAACTGGGTATGAAGACAGGCCCCACCAGGTTGGTGTCATAAAAGGATAAAAAGAGCAACAATTTACACGAATGTTGACAAGGCGAGACAAGCCACCGATCAAGCAACCCATAGAGCGGCGCTAGCAGAGAATAGAGAGAGGCGGACAACGGGATTAGCGCGAATGTGCAAGGCAATTAGATTCCTACCGCTTGGACCCGAACTTGATCATGGATGAGACAGTATTCACATTCCACAGTAATATGATAATATCAGGCTATTGCATGCATGAATCTGTAACCAGATCGTGATGATGAGAATAGGTAATGATGATTCTGATGACTATGATGATATGGTGGGTGCCGGTTCTATTGCTGAAACCAGCCATTTCTTGTCCACCACGAGTCCACGACAACAACTCCATGGCAATCCGGCGACTTGCCATGCGCCGATGGGTGCAGACCATAAAGGCCCATAATAATTCCATACTGGAAAAAATCCACAATTTCTGAAGGGGGCGACGGTGACTGGCGGATCCGTATTGCTTCCCTCCACCACCGAAACCCCCCCTTCCCCCTCCCCTTGTCGTTCATCGTCAAAAGGAAATTTGCCTCCCAGAGACCCAGACCGGATCCCAGCTCATGGATTGATGATTTGATGGACATGGATTGGGAATCGGGATGATGGTGTGCCCACATCAACAGGCGTCAGGCCAACAACGGTCTCACTCCTGTCCCGTCTCCTCCTCCCACCAAACCAAAGTCTCGAACCATCCATGTCGGATCCTCATGGCGATTTTCCTGCAGTGCCTCACCACCACCCGGCATCGTGCTTCCATGCCCAGTGGATCAGTGGAGTGGTGCTCTGACTCTTCGTTTTTTTTCAGACACTTCTGCACGGCCCTATTCTACTGCCTGCACTCTGCTCTGCAGAATTGGCAAGGTCTGCCGTTAGTTAGCTTCGTTGTACGTCAACGGTTCCGGTCATCGAATTATTGATCGAAATCATCGATGCCTCCTCCATCCTCTCCTGCCAGGCTGCGAGTATCCGATCCCCCTTTGCCGCCCACACGGCTCTCACGCAAATCCTGCACTCCTTCATGGACCGCATCTGCATTCTGCAATTCCTGCCACCATGACTCTCCCAGTTCCCACCATTTCTGTGGTTGGGCCTCGGGTTGGATTTTCTCCCGTGTTACGTACGCTTCCTCCTGTCTGGTTCTATTCCCGTCACCCGCTCAAGGCGCCCATACCCCAAGCCCACCTTCTTGTTTGACGGGGGGGAGAGAGGCGCGGGCGCAATGGGCTAGGGTAAGCCGAAGCGCAGCAAATGGGAGGGACTAAAGTGAACACTTCATCATCTCCGCCCTCCGGTCGCATGTCGCATCTGGGCGACAGCGAATACACGGTGCACCCACCGCTCGGCATTGCTAGTTGCTTGCCTGGGTTAGCTCATGGCACTTAGCACACGCAGGCTTGCAGGCGCCACTTCGCCCCATCGGCTTGCGAATGCCAGGCCCGTTGCCGCTTGCAGCCGTCGTCTCTTCGTCTCGCGGTCCATGCTCTGCGCTCCCTGTCTGAGTCTGATGCTCGGCATGACTGCGCAAAAAACGTTTTCGCCGCCTTCCAATTCTTCAAATGGATCGAGAAATTCGAGATGGTTGTGTCACCGGGACTGGCTCGTCACTGGCTCCCTCGAGCATACAGATGGAAGCAAATGCGGCTGGACATAATACAGCTTGCTTTATTGGCTCTCACCTCCCAGAACTCAGAACTCTGAAGCCTCCCATTAACTGCTTGCCGAACAAGGGGATGGGGCAATCTTGGTCTGGAGCACCGAGCAACCCAGCAACGGGCCCGCAACCGGGTGCAAGCCAGATCAACAACGCCTGGGAAAAATTATCCTCCGGAGGAGGGTCCCTTTCTGAATTACGATGCTGATGTTGTGTGCCCAACTGACCCAAGGAAATGAAGGGCGCCAGCTGTGAGGCGACCACTCACCACACGAAGCCACCAGGCAGATCACCCATCGTAGGCAAGTGCGGAATTCTCTGGCTGCCTGCTGCATCCTGTCTGCTTTCAGTTCACTCTGCTTGCTGTCCTATTGGCTGTTGCCTGTTTTGTGATCCCGTTAGGGAAAAGGCTCTCTCTGTACCGCCACAATCCCAAGGTGAGGAAGGTATCCAAAGGTTCCGTACAACATATATTTACTCGTGCGAGCCTCAGAGAGGTTGCACACCGATGCTGTAAGACTGCGAACAGTCATCATGATAGGGTACTCCTTCGCGATTGCTTTGGCGATCTCCATCGTCTCATATGAGAGATGTGAGGATGTTGACTGTAGCCCACAGTAGGTAGATACTCGTCTGAATCTGATACGTTGGCCCACTAGGGACCCCGACAGCGCCAGCGTCAAAAACATTCGGGCGTTCAGAAACAGGACTTGGAGTTTTGCAGAGACCTGAAAGCAAGAGCTTATTGGAGAGTTTATCAGTTCAACCCTCAGTTAAGAGTGCGAGACCTGACATGAGCGATGAGATGGACACGAAATATCAAAAACTGTCAGAGATCCGAGAAGGCGCGAAGGGGAGACATGGCTGCCTTAATGCCTTAATGCCTGGGGGCTGGTGCAGTGCAGGTACAGGGACGTGAAGGTAGGCGTATTTTTGGGTACGAAGCGCGTAATCTCCAGCAGGCTTCCCCTCACCCATGTTTCCTTGATTCTTCACTTCACTTCCGCTTTGACTGTGAAATCGTGAAATCGTGAAAATCGATCAGTGAGTTCAGAGTTGAGACTTGAGATCACCCTTGTCCCCAGTGTGCCCTCTGCTGGGGCCTCTGTTGAGACTCTTCATGGGGGTGACTTCATCCTTCCTTCTCACCATCGCCCATTCCGCTCATCCAGGATCCAGTCAGTCATGCCCCACCATCATATCAAGTCCAACACCAGCCCTGCCGCTCCTTGTCGCTATTCTCGCTATTTTCACGAATTATGCTTGTAATAGTATTGAGCTGATCGGCAGAAGTCCAGAACTTGGCAAAATGCCGGCCGATCTGAAGTGCGGTCACTCAAGTGCCGAAATGCTGACAACATGATACGGCTAGCTGCGACATGCGGGAAGCCAGGAATCGGGGTTTGGGAGTCATCCAGTACCGCCGATGGAACCGCAAGGCAAAATTGAGAACAAGCCACATTCGCTCGATCCTCAATAGACAATATGGCATGCCCCAGGCCCTAGTCTACACCAATGCAGATCATTGGCAACTAATCTACAGTCGTCATCAATCCAAACTTCCAAAGATCCCAGAAACGACTGTTGAACAGTGAAACAGAGATCAGCATTCTCCACCAGGGATAAAAACAGCCATCATCTGCAGGGAGAGAAATTTGACCAAAGTTCGAATACTTCCAGAAAAGGCTAGAAACCCGTGTTCAAATCTGTACCTGGACTGGAATAACTGGGGAAAGAAAGGGGGCTCGATGACTTGCTGTTGATCAAGCCACTCGCCAATCCAACCCACCACTGGGCACTAAAGAATCTTCGTAAATCGTAGCAAGTCTTTGAGAACCCCGGTCAGTAGCTGCTTTTGAGTTTTGAGTGCTGAAGTGAGCGCCTGACCGGTGCACAACGAGCAGTTTGTTTCCAGATCTTGTTCCGCCCCAATAAGATTCAGATCGTGGTCAACGGCATGTGCCTTTCTTTTCTTTTGCCTCTCCTGCAGATCATGACCGGAACATTTCGTCGGTCTGATGACGAACCGAAAAAATCCTGAGTAGGGAGCAAGGCTTGCATGGGGGTTCCAAAATGTCACTCGTCGCCTAGCGTCTCCGATGTCATGATCCGCAGAGTTTGATTGGGAGCCATCCTGATTGTTTGTCCTGAGTAAACTTTCGTGTTGACACCAATGCGGCGGTTCGGGAATTGGTGGGAGTCGGACTGACTGACACGCTGAGCAATGAGCAGTGAGCAGTGAGCCTTCCCTCAGCTCCAGGTATCCGAGATACTGGTACTCATGATCAATGCCGTTGCGCAAGTGTTGATTTACCAATCGAGAATGGAGGGGAAACGACCCTGTTACATGGGCAATGTACATGATGACACCCCTTGCGCAAATGTTGACTATAGCTGGCTGGGAAGGCAACCAGACGAGTGTTCGACAGCTCCGAGGAATCGAGATGCAGGAATGGCCAAATGGAGCTGGCCTGGATACGTTTTTTTCGTGAGTAAGCCTGCCAAATGCGCCTCGGCGGTAAGTTGCAGCCCCAGGACCCAGGTACCATCAAATGGAAGCTGGAGCCTGGATTTCCATTCTTATCGAGGATGAGGGGTCAACCGTCAAGGACATAAATCATCTTCGCATTGTAGCCGCCAGGATGCGATCCATGTTGAAGGCAGATGCAAGTTTCCATCGGATGGTTTCTCCTGATCCTTTCTGTGAACATCATCTCCAACCTGGTATGGAATATCTGATTGGCTAGTGCGTTAGCAGTAAGTTTCATGGATTGGAGGCATTCGGAGCTGCCACCAGTCACACCGCTTCCGTGCAGGGTTGGAATATGGAAGCCAGTAATCACTGAGTCTTGCCTGGTCTACCCAATGCTCTTTCGGTGCTATACTTGGAGTTGACGAACGGACATAAGGTTCTCGCACACCAGAGGTCATCGAGACAGTGTGCTGGTCACTGCGGCGACTGACGAAGACTTGACGTTGATCGACACTCCACAGTCATGTTCGAACCCGTCAAAAAGCATGACATGAAAGGTGACTGGATTTGAGATGAGACTTAGAAAATAGCAACGCAAGAGCTTGGATTCGACTTTCTGCGGACCGGAGCGTCTGACCGCTGTACGAAGATAGTAGAGATTGGAATTATTACCTTAGTGTCGAAATATCTGAGAAACGAAATACTTCGTCTGTAGTCTTAGAAGTTAGAAGACTGTCTCCAGCCTAGGAAATATCCAGAACGGAGGATTTGGAAATGAGGATATCTAGGAAATAGCTCTGAAGCTACTGAGCACACCATTACCAACAGTCCTAAAGCACTTTGTGGATTTCAAGTCCTGATGATATACTTAATACTTTCACTACCTACCACCTTGGATGTTGTTATTAAAGATGCCTTCAAGAATCAAGATCCATGGGACGAGGCACGTAGATGAATGAACCAGCTCACAGGTGTGCTTCTCATAGGGCTGAATCACGTGGATGTATCTTAAGGTCAATGCGACGTCAGTTCAATTCATCAACTGATGCAGCTCCCAAATTCCGCGCAGTTCAAGCTTACCCCAAGGTCCGAGGTATTTTCTACCTAAAACCAACATTTGATTATATTTCACCCCTAAAAGGATACGTCCCATGGATATTTTCGACTGACAATGGCCCCTATTATGAATCACTCGCGGCGAGGGAGTGGAAGTTAAGAGCTACGGAATAAAGAAAAGCGATGGGTCGAAACGGACATTTCCAACACGGACACAAGCCATTTCATGTTCATCCGGAGCTAAAGGCCGTCCCGAATGCGACGAATGGCCCCTTACATTTCGCGAACCCGACCCGTGCCTTGTTTCGGGTCCAAAAGGAAGGCGACAAAGATGCTCATCAGTTCGCCCAAGGGCATCCAAGAGCAAAACCAGGACCGCTGGTGACGTACGTCTGGAAGCCTCGAAATAACCGCAAAGGCCGGCATGAACTTTCTATTCAACGTACGCACCCTAGTCAAACTCTTGACATGATACCCGTAACCGGATCGATTCGCTCTACTTTGCGAGGGATATCACGGATGTTCACCAAGGCACCGGTCTTTGATATTTCATATCTCGTAGCGGTCATATTCACCCTTGGGAGTGTAATATGGTGCATTAATGGGTTCTTCAACTTTCTCCCGCTCATCCGACCGAAGAGCGAGTTCAAGGGAGAGGAGCTTGTAGGAGGTGGTGTGACAGCATTCATTGGAGCAACGATATTCGAAATTGGCAGTATCTTGCTGATTCTAGAAGCCCTCAATGAGAACCGGGACGGGTGTTTTGGGTGGGCAGTCCACGAGGCATTGGACGAAGCAGCCAGGCCAGTGGAGCCGGCAATTGAGCACTGTATCCATCATCACCAAAAGACTTGGAATATCTTTAGAAAGAAAGCCGGGCGGTCAAGGAGCGTAGAAGAAGGGCGGAAAGAAACCGGAAAGCCAGCGGATAATCTGGTGTGGATATGGTCGCCGTCGTGGTATGACCTGAAGAAGCACTTCTTCCACGAGATCGGTTTCGTGGCCTGCTTCTCTCAATTGATCGGCGCGACGGTCTTTTGGATCTCGGGATTTACTGCCTTGCCCGGGATTCTCAACAAAATGTCCCCTGGCCTAGAAGACGGAATTTATTGGACTCCTCAAGTCGTCGGTGGCACGGGATTCATCATCTCTGGCACCTTGTTCATGCTTGAGACACAGAAGAAGTGGTGGAAGCCAGCCTTCGGTGTGCTTGGCTGGCATATTGGATTTTGGAATCTTATCGGAGGGATCGGGTTCACCATCTGTCCTGCCTTCGGGTACGATACCGATAGCTGGGCCCAGTACCAAGCAAGCTGCTCAACGTTCTGGGGCAGCTGGGCTTTCTTGATCGGAAGTGTGATCCAGTGGTACGAGAGTCTGGAGAAGTATCCGGTCCGAGTAGAGGCGAGCTAGGTCCCTCCACGGCCGGGAATTGGTAACACCATTCCAACCTCGCAAATGATGGGATGTGTCATCAACTTTCCGACTCACTAGAGTTTATTCTCGGGATTCACCAATCCCAGGCGGAAAGGTGCCTTCATAAATGACCGGGAGCTTTCGAAGCCGAGTGATATGCTTCAGATCCATCTGTCGGTGCGACCATGGAGGCTATTCAATGGAATCGTAAAAGGGAGGCAGCCAGAAGAAATATCTACTGTTGCGGGAATTCTAGTAATCCAAGTCCACCATCATCAAACGGTCGCAACATCTCCATTGACATGTCGGCCCCTGAGCTACCAAGAAGCGTATCCATATTGTCGAAGCAATTGTCGAAGTTTAGCCAGTCGAGGGAGTCGGTCAGATCCATCGTGGCAGTGCCCAACTGTGGTGTCAATGGACTCATTGTGGGGGTCGCGCTAAAATTAGGGAATGACGAGGTTATCGTTGAAGGGATCTTACTCCCTCCAGCGGCAGAAGAAGATGTGTATGGCCGATTCATCGGATCTGAATCTACCGGTTGGGCATGAGCCAGGGCGGCAAGTGCATGTAAGCGAGACTCCGGTTCGTTTTTCTGCTGTTCATCAACAGAAGGCTGTCGTGCCGCTTCTGCTTGTCGATCGGCCTTGGCAAGCGCGGCGGAGGCGAGTTCGGCCATAGCGGCGGCAGACCACCATTGGTATCTCATCCTTCGTAGCAAGACACAACATGTCGTAAGCTCTTGAAGGGCCTCTTCCTTTTTCCGTTGGATTTGAGCCTGTCTGTAGTGACGATACGAGACGGAGGTGGCAACCGAGAGTGCATAAGGGATGATAGATACTGGAGGGAGGTTCTCATGACTTCTAGAACCTAAGATGCATCTTACTTTGTCGGCTGAATGACTTTGGCGAAGATAGGCTGGGGAACCCCTTTCGGGATCATTCAAGGATCTCGACGTGTATGTTGTCATCGCGACAGCATAATAGAACAACTCCAGTGCGGCTACATAGCACTTGTTAGTTTACAACTTTGACGATGGAAAGAGAGTGGCATACCGAGAAGAGTAGGGTCTATTTGAACTACTCGTTCATCGCCTCCTAGAAAGTCTTCAAATGCAGGGAAATTGCTCTCCCAGCCATTGTTTGTCAGAGGTTCATTAGTCGGCCTGTAGTAGTTGATGACCGTGTCAACGTTTTCACAAAGCTGCAGCCAGATACCAAACGGTGTGTACTTCCGATCCTCTTGGGTCGTGATCTTGTCCAGACGGTTGTCTCGGTCATTGATACTCAGCGGACGGCCACAGGTGAATGCAGTAACGCGGTCGAGGGACCACAAACACCACCAAAGGTTATCGAGATACTCGTCATGATGCGACTGGCGTGCCCTCCCAAATTGGAGTCCGATCGTATGGGCGTGATGAATTGCGGTGACAAGATGGAAGGATGCTTGCTCGAAACCATCATATCCTTCCGAATACATGGACAGGAGGGCGTTAATCTGGATTAACACAATCCTATTCGGCTCCTGTCGAGCATCCAATGCGGCACAAACAGACTTATACAGCCTCTGAGCGAAATCGCGGGGTGAAAGGAGTTCCGTTGATTGACCAAGGTACAAATGCTTCCTCGCCTGATCATGTTTGGATGCGATGATGCAAAGAACCTGTAGTAGCAGCCGTGGTTCGGACCTCTCGGCATATTGCTTGAGAAATACATCCTTCTCTACCACTGGAAGGAGTGGGTGGACGAAAGAAAAGAAAATTTCCAGCATGGCATCCTGATGTTGCCGAGGTGGACAAATACCGAAGTCAACCGCATGTAGGTACTTAGAAAGAGCCTCTTGCGCAGAATTGCTCAGGTCTGACAGAGCGAGTGACTCGCGAGGTAATCCAGCCGCTGGCATCTCCGAGCCATCCTCTGTCTGAATCCAATAGCCGCATTGGTGACGGAGAACCTGCGGGTTGCGACTCTGATCACGGATCTGGTGCCGTAATTCCGTCTCGGGATGCAGATATCCATAAAATCGAGGAGGTACTGGCGACTTTGACCTCTTTTGTGATCCCGACGGTGTTTCGTGGCCATCGCCGTTCAGAACGGAGGCCTTAAATAGATTTCCTGTTGACTTCACCTGGCTCTTCACGACTATGCCACCTTGTCCTTGAGCTTGGGGACTTGATGGGGCCTTTCTTGGCAGTTTTACTTGAGGTTCATTCGCTGACACAGCATCAGGTTCATCAAAGACGTGTGTGCAGCGTTTCTAGCTCTACGTTAGCAATGACTGGTTTTATGAAGGGGGAGTGACCTACCCGCCGTTTCTTGCATGATTCGCAAGCGCGGAAGACCCTCTTGCGTTTCCGGAAGAGATCATTATTGGCAGCAAATGTTATTATGGAAGACATAGTCCTTCTTATTTATCCCGTGGGAAAGGTCTGCGAAGAGTAGCTCCGCCAATTTGCGCTTGATGCGTATACGAAATATCTGACCGATGACTCGACTCAACTCAGACTCAACTCGACTTGGGTCAACTGAGGGTATCAGGCATCAAGGCAGCAACTTTGGCTTCGCACCAGCACGAATTGGTATTAAAAGGGCCGGGTAATATTAGCCATTAGGGAATAGAGTCTTGACAACCCTCCGTCGAGGCATTAGTTGATGCTCCTGGAATCCATTTCCATGGGAGTGGATCTTTTAGAATTTGGTAATGATAGACCTCTCCCTCGCATGAGTCGCATCAGAGTCGAAAACTGGCTAAGCAATATATTAATGCGAGTTCAATCAAAGGGTCTATCCGCGACTGTTTGGGACACTTTGGTGGGGTTGAAGATGAGCGTCAACACCACAAACTTGGCCCGAACACTTGCGAGACACTTTCTGATTGTTGCCGGTATGTGTACCTTTCTACGCGTAGTGCGTGCAGACCGTAGATGTCGGCACGTCGGTGGGCTGGAAGAACCATCAAGCGAGGGAGCGCATGGGCAACAGTGCAGATTTCGCGATCAGGAAACACTGAAACAGAAGCTCCCTTGGAGTCCTAGTGCAGCCATTTTCCATTTCCTAAGCATGTAATTCTGCAAGATGGCGCAACCGCAGCAGGAGACTGCAGAACTCGTAACCCCACGCTAAGTGAGTTCACGCGGTCAGCAAATTGTGGTTGTCCCCGAGGCGAAAGCGCCAATCCGTCCAACACCGGGTATCGAGCAGGCCCTGCTGCAAGAGAGGATGTTCGGCTTAACGGATGTATAAGATGGCCCTTGATGCCGAGATTCCCAGATGAGAATGACCGAGGAGTGCATTAGGAAGGTAGCCTCATTTAATACGTATATACGATATGTACATATATCGTGATGACAGGTTGGATCTGGTCTTGGATACAATGGAGGAATAAAGGAGTATGCCTTGATGCCTAGGGCATCCAGTCCATCGCTGGTGCGGGGCAGGTGACTGACGTCCTTCAGTGGAGGAAACCAACAGAACAATAAACACCTTTCAGTCCCGCATGTCCACAACCTGACTTGATACAATATCCGGATACGAAGCCGTTCATTATCCTTTCGCTCGTGTCAGATTGCTCGAAATTATTCCGGCCGTCTTGCATTTGATCTTCAGATTGTTTCCATCCTCAAACTTCCATCTCCTCACAACAGAACACCTCTCCGTTCATTCCGCAGCCATGTCTTGGCAAGGTGAGTGCCTCTCTGACTGCATTGCCAGGCAGATGACTGATAGCTACGATGCCAACAGATTACATCGACAAGAGGTACGGGATATTTGGGAATTGATTGTAATCAGTGCTGAAACCATTACCAGTCTCATCGGGAGCAAATATATCGATAAGGCAGCAATTTTCGCCGCCGATGGCTCCTCGGTTTGGGCATCGTCACCAGGCTTTGTTGTACGTCATCCAGATATCCGACATGTTGCGTAGCTGCCCTGAGTCTGCGAATTTGGATACGCATTCCCATAGGCCGCAGTCTCGCGAAACCGGTCCCTGAACAAACCTGGAGACTAACATTCGCACATAGATTGAACCTTCGAAGGAGATGCCGGAGATCATAAAGGCACTCAAAGAGGATTCTGGTATCACGTCTTTAGTCATTCAAGGAGAGAAGTACATCATTGTCAATACCGAGGGAAGCTTGCGGTTGAAGAAGGTGTGTTTTCCCCCTGGTTTTGCTACACTAGCTTCCTATCCGCAGCGTTCCTTGAAAAATGGCAACTAACAGACCTTCTTATCCAGGGCCGAGAAGGCCTGGTTATCGCAAAAACGAACCAAGCCTTATTGATTGCTCACCATCCCGACACCGTACAACTGCCGAATGCCACGGCAACGGTTGAGAATCTCGCCGATTACTTGAAAGGACAAGGGTATTAGGAGGGTCACATGGCAGGGCTCATGGAGGAGAGCCGAGAGGTCATGCGTGCATTCTTCGCACATCCAGCATTGGCGGATTGGTCCTAGGAGGGGGACGCATCGGATGCGCTCGAATGATATGGATGAAATGCGATGATCAAATCCTAAGCGAGGGAACATCCGTCCTCTGCTGTAGCTGGCATCTTTAGGATAGATGGTATAACATTGCAATTGTACTTCGATGTGGCGAGGGCTAGTGATATATTCATTTTATCAAGTTCTTCGTTCCATCTGCCTCGGAGACCGCTTTAAAACGACGACTGCTACCCGGCAGCATTGTTCCGCCCAAGAGCATCCTCAGCAGACAATGCTCACGGATGGCAAAGTTGCCCGTATCAGGGGGTGGTCATACGTCAAGGTCAATTTTTAAACTCTCAAATTATTAACTGTGAGCATAAGTGACTATAATCGTTACTAGCATAATACATTTGCTGTGAATTTCTCCAATATGGTTGATCGTGATGAGCTTGGACCCTTAATATACTCATTTGACAGTTCTGATGGATTTGACAACCAACTTCTTCATAAATCATTGCACACTGGGAGCTCTACCCCTTCCCTTCCGATTTTCAAACCTGCCTTTACTCGTCGAACTCGACTAGCCCGATTAGGGGAATCCGAATCCTCTATGTACCTGGAGTCCTGGGCGTTGATACGTACACATATGCTGGATCTGCGCGTTATCCAACGATCAAGTCTTTGGCAATAATGCCTCGAGAGACGGAACGTAGTTGAGATTGATGGCCAATAACGCAACTGATGTGTGAAATGCTCCAAGACATGCAAAAGGAATGCCACTCATATCGTTCACGCCTTCCTTGCGCAGATTTCAATTACTTATCTCTTGATTTGATTTCGTGTCCTGTCTTTGCGATCAAGTGCAGAACCACTTCCATTCGATCAGCCACGCTACCAGTCCGCGCATAGATCCGACAATCTAACGGTCACTGTTTACTAACTCAAATCATTTGTGTGGCTTGCAAAATGCCTGTTCGAAAATCTGTCAGGGCCAGTCGATCCAACGTCAAGTACAGCAATGATGTATTCCACGGCCTCGACATATTCTCGTCGGAATCCGAGAACGACGCGATTGAAGAAGACGTAGCCGAGATCACCGAAGAAGATGAACCTTACGATGTGACGAAAGAGGAGCAAGTTGCCGCAAGCGAAGAGGAGGACGAGTATCATTCTGATGGCATAGAGGATGGTTCGGTTTCTGACGCAAGCGAAGGGAAGACGGATGGACTGTCAATCGATGGATCTATTGGGTCCGGAGAGAAGAGGGAGGAGTCGAAGATTTCAAGAATGAGAAGAAAGGGTCGCTCTGGACTTTGGTTGCACGATCGCCTAGGCAAAGGCGGTTCAAACGAGGAGGACGAACTCCACGTCCAGGGGCTACTCGATCCTCGAAAAAACGGCTCTAGACATTTGAAAATCCTTCTTACTTGGGGCACTGGCGACGAGGACCTAGTAGCTTTGAACAAAGCGCGTGATCAATGGCACAACCAATTCATATGGCCTCTCCGGCAAGAGTTACATCAGAGCTTCTACTACTCGATTGACCAACAGCGGCGGGAGGCAACCGAGGGCTGGCGATGGTATTATGAAAGAGGAGGTGCAGAGACCTTCAAGGAGCAGCAACGGATGATCTCAATCGATGCCATAGATGGGCGACGGTACCTTCCGAAGGCGAAATACGAGTCTCTCCCTATACTAATGGGCCCTGTCAAATCCCAAAAGTTGTTCGACATTCAATATGGCCAATCGATGCCGTTGGGCGATGCTTGGGGAACTGCTTCTGAATCTGGGGCTGGAGGACCGACCATCGACACGTCTCCTAGCAACATGACCAGGAATGGCTGGATATTAAATATCGGTGCGAGGATACACTGCTTAGAATGGGTGCCTCATCATTCCGGGAATGATCAATACATACTGGTGTCCGCCTTTCATACAGCACACGAGCACACGCAGCAGTCTTTCGAGGCCAGCGTTGGGGACTCTCCCGCCAGAGCATTTGCACCGCAACCACCATATTCCTCATCATTCCAGATCTGGCAGGTTCCGTCATCGTCCAGCCGGGACAACGGCAGAGTTATGAATTCATCTCAACATCCGCGTCTTAAGAGTGTGTTTTGCTTTGAGTGGGGGACGCCTCGACAGTTGAAGTGGTGTCCAATGCAGCGAAGCGACTTGGAAATAGACCCCGACGCCAGCACAGTTGACCTTGGATTCCTTGCTGGAGTATGGTCTGATGGCTGTGTCCGAGTCCTCACAGTCTGCATCGCGAAAGACCAGGAAACGATACAGTTCGTGCGTTTGGAGTCCGCGGTTTTTGAATCTCGACCGCCAGACACCGTCTGCACCTGTGTTGCCTGGCTCTCGCCCAAGTGCTTGGCCGTCGGATGTGCCAATGGCTACGTCGCTATCTGGGATCTGTCGAATTACATCTCTTCACCGTTTCCCCGCCCTGCCGAATCCGTTAGACCCTTTTTCTACCACCCAGTTCACCAAACATATGTTCAGCATGTGGTATCGCTTCATCCGTCCAGGCCGAACCTCCTCGCCAGCGCATCCATGTCAGGCTACTATATCCTCACCGATTTGTCGAAATGCCAAGGTCCATCGTCTGCCTTTGCATCTGCGGACCAGGTTACCTCCCAGCGGTCACGGTTCGGACACCACGTTTTTGCATTTCAGGATGTCTCGCAAAGCCTGGTGCTTACTGATGAGAACCATTTCCTAAAAGCTGTGCCAATACGACGTGTACAGCAGGAATACAGAATGGTGGGCCTCGGCTCGCCGGCTCTGGACTTAGCAACGACGCCATTACACTTGACCGTACTATCTGGTTGCGCGGACGGTTTCGCGATTGGGACGACGATCTTCGATCGACTTCAGGAGCCAAAGGCGGGAACTGGAGCATGGAAGTCGATGTGGTTCAAGCATGAGTGGAGGGACGGCCTTCAAACTAATAAGAAGGGACAAGATGTTAGAGAGAGGGGATTGAATGGCGCTGGCACAAATGGGAATGCACACAAAGATTCTCAAGCAGGAGACAGTCAAATTCCCCATCTGGTCCTGGAGGACGAGCAAAGCAAGAGCAAACCGAGTGAGACAACCGCTACGCAAAAAACGTCGAAAGCCTCAAAACCGAAGAAGAAAGGGTTCACTCGTCAAAATGTCGGACGTCCAGGCGACCCGCTTACCATCCAAGAATTACCAGTCCCTAACGATGGACCAGGAATGGATGGGCGATGGCGAGAGGAACTTCTCAAACGACCCATGAGTCGGTTTATCGAAGGGTTCAAACCGGAGAAGACGAATATTGTGGCAGGGGAAGGTGTTGGCTTTCTGAACCAAGCGAATGGCGTCCTCTTCTCTACAATATATGAGGAAGAGACGGCGGTTACGAGAGTATCCTGGAATCCGAACTTGAAGTACGGCACGTGGGCCGCTGCAGGAATGGGTAGCGGGCTCGTAAGGGTGGAAGATCTCGCAGTTGATTGACCGGGTTGAAATCCAACCACAGCGGCTCGGTGTCGTCTTCTCTTGTTAAGCGGCAGCGATTGCGTCCTTACAGGCCGCCCGGAATATCTTTACAAAGTTCCAAACATCCTCAAAAGTATTATATAAAGGGGTTGGTGCAACCCGGACCACGTCTGGTCTCCGCTCATCCACCACCACGGCCTCCTTCTCGAGTATCTCCATCACTTTATCCAATAATCCCTCGTCTAGCTTGATGCTGATCTGTGCCCCTCGCTCATCGCGATTCCTGGAAGTGATAATCCTATACCCCTGAGCGGTGTCTCCATCTTCTGCATGGTCGAGCAATTCCACCAGGTATTGCGTTAACTGTAGACTCCTTTCCCTGAGGGATGCAATACTCGTCCTGGCAAACACCGACAGACTGGCAGCCAACGACGTCGTATCCAGTACGCTCGGATTGCTCACTTGCCACCCGGCAGCGCCAGGGATAGGTCGGAAAACAGGCTCCATCCGAAATCTCGTGGATTTCTCGCTCCCCCACCACCCTGAGAACCTTGGAGTGTACTCGAACTGCTCAGTCTCGCTCTCCGTGGCGCTGGGGCTCCGCACCACCTCACCGTGCTTTCCATGCACAAAGAGGCCGGAAATCGCGCCAGGGCCGGCGTTGAGGTACTTGTAGCTGCACCATGTCGCGAAGTCTACGTCCCAATCATGCAGCGCAAGAGGCACATTGCCCACTGCGTGAGCGAGATCCCATCCGATAGTGATGCCAAGACCGTGGGCATGAGCGGTGATCTTCTGGATCTCGAGGAATTGGCCGCTGTAGTAATGCACCCCAGGGAGGAGGACGAGAGCGGTTTCAGACGCATGGGCGGAGATGGTAGACAAAATGTGGTCCAGCGGAAGGTAATGTATCTCTGGGTCAGGGGGATCGATGGTTATCAGCGCTTCCGCCGGCAAGGAGTGATGAGCGAGTTGAGAGAGGACCGCATACTGTAGCCAGTGAGTCTCAACCTCGACTCTAGCGTAATGCAAGAGTGCAAATGTGGCTTACATGATCACTGGGGAAGGCCTTCCCCTCGATTATGATTTTGTACTTCTCCTTGGTGGGTTTGTAAAAGCTTGCCAGCAAGAAATGCAGGTTCGCTGTGAGGGTGCCCATTATGGCGACCTCCTCTTCGTTCGCACCAACGACCGTCGCCATTCGCCCCCTAGCTGCAAGATCGATATCAACCCAGGGAGGCGTCAACGCATCGTCGAACTCCTTGAAGTGACCGTACACGCCCTGCGTCCCCCAAGTCTTTAGATATCTGTCAATGTATTCCGTGGTCCTTTTCGGCTGCAAGCCCAGCGAGTTGCCGCAGAGATAAATGGATGGATCTTCGTCTCCGGGCTCTTTGTCGCCATCATGCTTCAGGTTCCTTCGTTTGAGGTCACCCTTGGACGGAATGGTGAACTCCTCACGGAGGTGGCCGAGAGGATCTGCGGCATCTAATTGTCGAGCCTCCTCGATCGTGTATTTTCCCGATTTCATGTTAGTTCAGCAGGTAGAACACGGTCCTACCCTTTTGATTTCGATCTCTTCTCCCTCACGCCTTGAATTTATCAGTTGGATGCCCATCTCAATACTGTAGGGAATAGTTGACTCATTGATATTTAATTATTTACCGATAACCTCCGATACAAGGCGAACGTCCAGTGGATTCATGTTGCCATCGATTGGTCAGCCATTCTGTTAGCCGGGTCTAGACGGACGACAGATACCATGTATGCAATTAATTGATGACCTCAAAAGATTCATGATTCATAATGCTGAGTTGGGCAATTCTCTGCGCAATTCATAACACGACAATACATCATGGCGACCTCATCTTACATCTGTGTCTCTTGTAGACAGCGGGCACTATCAGCAGTAAAACCGAGTCAGCTCAACAGCGTACGGAGAGCCTTCTCATCCCGGACCCTCACCTTCACCAGCGCCACCCCAGACCCTCTGGCCTCACGAGCGTCGAGATGCTTAATGCGAAGCAAAGAAGGTTCCCTACGCATCAGTAGCATACCATCGTTTACCTTGAGGAGCCAAACTGCTGTCCGCTGGTTATCATCAGGCTCTGTCTACATGCGATCAACTCAGACGACCATAGGATCTTCACAACCTGATACAACGACACCTCCTCCATCGGCACCTGATAAGTCCATTATAACAATCTTGCCACGGGCTAGAGAGGTAAGCACATGGCTCCTTTCTGCGTTGAACCGTTCTGATCCAACCTTCACAGCGGCTCCGAGCCATCGCGAAGACATCCGACCAACCCATTCGTCTCCGCATCAGCGTGCTGCCTGGCGGCTGCCACGGCTTTCAGTACATATTCACACTCGAAGACCTGTCATCGCCAAATTCGGCGACGTCACCGCAGGAGGAATTCGATCCGGAGGAAGACCGAGAGTTTGGCGATGACGCAGATGGCGCGAAGGTGGTGGTAGACGAGAGTAGCTTGGAAGTCATTGGAGGGGCAAAGGTGGATTACGCCATGGAATTGATTGGGAGCCAGTTTAAAGTGGTGGATATACCCGGGGCGTCGAGTAGTTGTGGGTGTGGGGCCAGTTTTGATGTTCAGGAATAAGACAGTTTCAAGATATTGTCATGTCAATGTTAGGATAGACAGCCCAAAGTAGGAACTGTTAAACGGTATCATTTGCGCTATGAACACGCCTCATCACGACTTTATGTCGGCTGCTGAATAGCCAACTGCAAATCTTGCGTTCCCGCCCGAGATCAACAGTCGAACCCCGAAGACTGCATTTCTAGAAAGCACGTACCCAACCAGCATTGCTGGAATGCATAACTTCCAACCGAACTGATAGTTCAGAGTGCTCCATATTTCTGCACCACCATCACGACCCCACGCGCCAACTCATCGCACTCTCCGCGGGTGGCAGCCTCCGCGTACACTCGGACTGCATCCTCCGTGCCACTAGCTCGTGCGAAGCTCCGGCCAAGGCAGAACTTGCCAGCCAGTTTGTCGATCTCATCCTGGGCGCCTTTGGGGCTTTCCAGCCTGCGTTCGGAATCCGTGGCCTTGAAGATGGTGCGGTCCCGCACTTCGACTCGAACAAGGCGGTTCGGAAGGTCGGTGTAAGTTGCAAGCCAGTTCTCGGGCTTCCATTCCATATGTGCTAGGATCACCTCCGCGAGGAGCATGTCCGAGATGGCGTCGCCGACGGCTTGGTTGATGAGGTTGGTGACGGCAGTTAGAATCTTGAGAGTGGAGGCGTGATGCGGCGACTTCGGCTGACGGGTTTCGATGGCCTTTAGCGCATCGGGAGAGAACAGAACCGTACCGTGCCCGTTGGCTTCGAAGTAGATTCCGATGTCGAAGCGTTGGGCGGCATGATGCAGGTGCTTAACACCAGTGCTGGTGCACACTACCGGGAGCTTCATCACATCCGTGAGGTACTTGGTGCTCGCTCCGTTGGCGTAGGCCGTTTGCACGACACCAAGCGTAATCTCATCAGAGAGGTCGGCCAGCTTGACGAGGTTTCCGAGGAAGCCAGCGGCGAGCGTTGCAATCCGATCGCCGTCGAGGAGACGGAAGTTGGACTCGCGATCGAGGAAGTAATACACGACACGGTCGGCATCGCCGTCAAGGCTGGCGTGACGCTCATGCGGAGCGGCTTTCGAGGACGGAGGCGGACGTTGCTGCGTCTTGACGAAGTCGGCGCCACACTATACGATGTCAGACAGTTCACCTATTTTAAACGATCATGCCGTCCGTACCTGTACATTGAGAGCTTCGGGTTTCAGAACATCGTCGTTCACCACACGAATATCGAGCATTCCTGGAGGCAGATACTTGATCATCTCATGAAGCTTGGGGCCTCCGACGCCATTGGCACAGTCCACTGTGACAGAACCCTTGGGCTTCTTGTCTGCCATGGCGTTCTTGAAGGCAGTCGCAATCTTCTGATAATAGCCTTGTTCGGTTGGCTCACCATACTCAAAGTGGGTCCCCTTCGTATTTATGCAGCGGACTAGATAGTGGAGTTGGGGAGTGGTGAGGATCTTGAAGTCGACATACTCAACATTGAGCGCCTTCAACCCATCGACAAGAGCCGCAGCCAGAGTGAAACCGGACGCTCTGGTGTCTCGGGCAAAGACCACGCGAGCAGGCGCATTGAGGTTCACCTTCAGCTCCTCCGCCACCTGTTCATACGCTTCGACCAGGGCTTCATCATTCCCAGCATTGGCAAGTAGAGTGGCATATTGTTCCCAAGTACCCTTTCAATATTGTTAGCATCTAAGGCGAATGTGTAAGGTGATAATGACTGTACCTCCAGCATATCTCCCTATACGATATAGTCAGCCATATGCTAAACACGAATTCAGCACGAGGTTCAAGGAACATACCATTGGATCAACGAGCTTGACACCATTGTCCTCAGGAGGATTGTGACTCGCAGTGATCATGACGCCAATGGTTTGGCCATTGAACTTCCTGGAGCGCAAAGCAGCCAGAAGCCCGACTCGGAAGACCACAGAGCCAAGGAGGTTCCTACAGCATGCTGGTCAGCGATGAAGATGATACCAATATTCTCTTGGCACAATGCATACGCCTTCAGGCGGAACTAGATGTTGACGTCAGTGTCATGCATCCTGGACTGTAAAGGCGGAACTTACACCAGCTGTCCCATATTGAAACACGAGGTCCTTCCCCTTGGGGTGCTTCGCAGTAGCCTCGAGCAGCGCCTTGGGAATCACGTCGGACATGATTGATGAGGACTTGATCAAGGAACTTGGAAAAGAGGAAGCGATGTATGTGAGTGCCGTGTAAAGGAAAGGTCGTGAAAGATCGTGAATGATCGCGAAAGATCGCGGAAGTACTGAAGAAGGGTGGCTTTCAACACGCTGACAGTCAGGCAATGCAAACAACACAACAGTCCATAGAAGCGGAGCCTAAACAAGCCTGGAAACAAAAACGCTGGGATGTACCTATTCGGACAACACGCCTGATATATCGAAGCCTTGAGGCAAGAAATAGTATTGATCAGGTATAGATCTGATTGAGGCAAATTACACGACGATCCAATCCATCACCGCTACCTGACTATTTTTGGACTTCTGACTCCGGAGATTAACAGGGTCATAAGACAAGGTATCATTTCAGTACTCTAAGATACGGGGGAAGTGCAGCAGAGGAGAAACACGGCCGGCGGAGATCACGTGCCATCACGTGACTCATATATTTGGTTCCAGATGTTTATACAGCTCCCATTGGTTGGCTGAATATCCGCTCTGATTGGAGGGAGAGAATGCGCCTCGAACTGGTTAAGGAGCTCCCCATATGAACTTTCCATTCGGACTTCACTTGGAATTGTGACCTTTGCGTTTTTCGAAGCACATTGATCGAGTAATATCACATATCAGGACTCGAACATTTTGCAGACTATCTGTTCCTGTCAGGCCAGGACGGGATGTTCAAGATGTCAACGCCTTCCCTCCTTCGCCAATGGTTTGGCTCATTACAGGCCATATCGAGATCAACTCCTCATCCACGACAATGGATTCCACAGTCAATGTATTGCGCTCGCTATCAAATAATGCCCTTTCAGCCTCAAGTCTCTCCATTCTCGACATCCGCCACCCTCCTCGCTCGCAAGAAAGAGAGGCCCAAAAAGGATAAGCGGATTAGTAAGTTTCCCCCCATCCGTCCCTTCGTAGCGCTCCGGTCACTGACATCGCTTACAGCCGAGCTCCGCTACCATCTCATGCACCCCCAAACCCCCCGACCTCTCCGCTTCGGCCGTTCCCGTTACCTCAGACACTGGACCATCCACCGCGCCTGGCAACTCTACCGCCGCCAGCAGCGCGAAGCTCGGGAACGCGAACTGCAACGGCTTTACCACAGCATGCGCGACGCATGCGAAGAACTACGACACATGGACGAGCTGGGCAACCGCGCGCCGTTGTCGGACGCGACGCCGGGGGTGATTGAGGATGAGGGCGGCGAGGCGGAGACGCGCGAACAGGTCCGGGCGAGGCCGACAGGAAAGGAGGTGGGGAGGTTGTATCGGAAGGCGATGAAGAAGCAGGATGTGTGGAAAGGGTTCCCGATTGAGTATGCGAGGCCGCTTACTGATTATCCGAGCCGTGATGGGTGGAATATTGGGTGGAAACGACCTTAGGAAAGTTTGGGACCGATTTCGAAGAGATATATTTCCTCTCACTATCTTCGCCGATATGGTCATAAGGATGCCAAACCCTTTTACATCCGAGACTCTGGTGGATGGGATTCTTGCTGAAAGGATCCATTGCAGCGGCTGCGATTAACTGTACGTATGGCTATGGAAGTATCATGTGGTCAACTTGCATGCATACATTTCAAAAGATACCACCATGTATTCACAACTGTATAATAGATACATGTGCTTTTCGAAGGCTCCGACCCCGCTACCTTCCCCGACATCATTAGTTTTCCGCTGGACGAAACAGAAGAGGAACATTAGGAGCACCATTGGAGAAAGGTCGATGGCGAAGCATCGAACTATGGGCCTGCCCGCTGTGACAAATCAGTCTTTCGAGATTTCCAAATCCCAATTCCTTTTCCACCCCCACTAAACCATCGCCTAGCACGAACCCCTGAATCGTGGTGGAGGTCAAGAGCAGCTCATCAGGAAGTCGTTTCGGCCGATCCAAACTCCAAAGGACGCCCGCAATGTCGCATGAACGCCGATTGAATGCAAAGACGAACAAAGGGAATGGGACGAGAAACGCCGGAACCGTGAGAGTCGAAGTGATACTTAGCGGACGGAGTTGCTCGTCGTTTGCATCGTATGGCCCGGTGGCTGGATTCAGTGTTCACAGAATGACGCAGCACCCGGGCCGGCCCTTCCCTTCGTCCCCAGCAATCAAGGCGGCTCGTGTCGCGGCCTCGAACACATCGTCCACGCCATCTCCAGTCAAGCTGCTGCACTCCAGATATTTCCGGGCGCCGATGAGGTCTTTCATTTCGCTTCCGTCTTTCGCCGTCACAAACCGTAGGCTCTTCTTGCGCATATCTTCCTGCGCGAGCGGGTCGTCTCTTAGATCTTTCTTCAGACCAACCAGTATAATCGGGACTCCCGGGCATCGTTCTCGGGCCTCTTCAGCCCATTTCGCCTTGACGTTCTCGAGTGAGTCGGGAGAGTCAACGCTGAAGCCAATGAGGAGGACATGGGCTTTGGAGTATGCTAACGGTCGGAGTCGCTCGTAGTCTTCTTGCCCGGCGGTATCCCAGAGAGCGAGCTGCACTGATTTTCCATCGACACGGCAGTCTGTAACGTAGTTTTCGAAGACGGTGGGAACCTGGTCGCGGATGAGTATGGACTGCTGCATGCGGCTAGGCTATTGAGTCTACATACATATCTCTACCGACTATTGTTAGCCAGTCGATCCATATGAATATGAGGTATCTCGCCATACCGGTGGAAAATAACCTAATGTGAACACACTGAGTAAACTTGTCTTCCCACAGGCTCCGTCTCCAATGATGACTAGTTTCCTGAACAAGCAGTCGGGTTAGTAAGTGGGCATCGGTAATAGTCCTGAGAACTTGTGTCAAGTCTATTTGGAAGCAAGACACCGAATCGACAAAGTGACGGAATAGCGCGGCAGGGGTTCCAATCGGTATACTATTTTTGGCGACATCATCCTAAAACCGGTTTGGCGACCGCGAGAAAATCGAAAGAGGAGAAAAGAAGGTAGTTTACACTTCCCAAGGCTGGGAGAGAGGGATGGGGGAAGAAAGGAGGGACTGGTAGTAGGCATCCTGATACGTGCGACATTCGAACTCCTGCACTGGAAGTGACACAACAGCGCCACAGGGAAGAAAGGGTTGGATATTGGGATGCGGTGGATATGTTCGGCGTGATTGAAGTTTGAAGGAGATTATGACCTTCTGCAAACTTACCTCCTCATCACCGTTTCCCCATTCTGTGCCATATCGCCGGTTGAGGATGTGTATTCCGAGGGTTCCGCCTTAGCTGACGTTGAGGACTCGAACCGATGATCGATGCCTAGCTGCACGGGTTTCCGCACGGGGAGAATGGACAGCCTGTCACGTCGTCGTGAAAGCGTCCAGGAGTTCGGTCGTCGAGTCGTCTTCGGATCGCGATCGTGGTCGGAGTCGGGGAAGATTGGGTAGGGTGGGGAATCGGGATGTTGTCTCGATGATCAACGGTTCCAAGCCCTGGTCGACAGGCTGTAAGCTGTGAGAGACAATGGCAATTGCTGAGGCGGGATCCTGGGACCAGCAGAGATTGATCGCTCCGTCGCCAGCACGAAGGGGAAGGAATAGGGAAAGGAAGCGGAGTGGGAAAAGCGTTCGGTGGGTGAGGTTGAGATGGAGGGAGAAGGAAGTTTAGAATGGCGTCTAGTCAGTGGTGGTGGCAGCGGTGGTGGTGGTCTCACTGTTGTGTCTCACTGTCGGGGACTCGGGGAGTCGGGGTTGAGCTGCGGCTGTGGTGGCCTGGTGAGTGAGAAGTGTGGCTGTGCAAGGATGGTAGTGCCAGATCACGTGAGTGCAGAGTGATGTCTGAATTCCGAATTTCTGATAGAGTGGTGTCTGATAGAGTGATGCCTTGACGCCTTAAATCCAACAGTGCAGGGCAGGAACCACCCATTGCTTGCACCGCCGCTGCCCTGCCGGTTTTCGCCAAGACCGAACCTGCATAACCAACGCTCTCTGGTCTCTGCGGGCAATTCACGTTTCTCTCCTGTAGAGTTTAAACATCCACCACTTTACTTCCCCGTATCCGATTCCTCGAGCATTGCCTTGCTGAAGTCTCCGTCGATTCCATCCGCTCTTCCACCGCTCTGGAGCTGTCCACGCGTCTGCTTCGGTCCTGAGAGCCCTGACAATCGACTCACTTCTGGGAAAAGGGCTAGTTATCCTCGACATCATATCGCTACCGACTCCGCTAGACCGCCACGCGCCACTCACACTCGCCGTTGGATGACTTTCGAGCTTATTGACCAGGTCACCAGTGGCTTTGGAAGAAGGGCTGACCACTTCCGCGACCTCTGCTATCGCAGCTCTCCATCCACCCACCCCGCAAACCTCCCAAGACGACCTCATCTTGGGACCCGATGCCGGGAAACTCAGTAAACAATGGAGCCGTCGCTGGCTCTGCCTCGTCCATCCCCCCTATCGTCAACCGGAAGAAACAGAAGCGTCGAGCGAAGCAGGCCGCCAAACAAGCGGCCGAGCAAGGTCGGCCGACCGGTGGTTTGCCGAACGCCGCCCATGTGTCACAGGGAGCGCACTTACGGTCTCCTCCGATGCCAGATACGGATCATGGTGCAGAGGAATTCGATGACGCCGACCTGGATTATCAAGGACAACCTGGGGGGCCGGATGACGTTTACTACAGCGACGCCGACCTGCCAAGGGACCCCCGGTTCCCGTCCGCTCTACCGAACGGTCACACGGGCGAGGCGACGAATGGGGCGAAGAAGAAATCTAAGAAGAAGAAAAAGTCGAAATCCGGAGCCTCTGCCGTTGATGGGCCTCATACCCATGGGATTGTCTCGACTCTATCTGGCCCTTCCTCGTCCGATGCTCTTCGACCCAAACACGCTAAAACCAAGGACCGCATCTGGAACACGTCCACGCAAGAAGAGCGGGAGCGAATCAAGGAGTTTTGGCTCTCTCTCGGCGAGGACGAGCGGAAGTCACTGGTTAAGATCGAGAAAGACGCGGTCATGCGGAAGATGAAGGAGCAGCAGAAGCATTCCTGCAGCTGCACGGTTTGTGGTCGAAAGCGCGTCGCCATCGAGGAGGAGCTGGAAGTGCTATATGACGCATATTATGATGAGCTTGAACAGTACGCACATCACCAGCACATCCCAAGCAACGGCCTGCCCGCACCCCCTCAGGTGAGACAGAATGGCCAACAACATGCCAGGTTGCCGCCCGATCGCATGCATCGTCTGATCGACCATGCAACCCCCGGTGCCTCGCAGGTCGATCTCGTCGACGACGAGCTTGATGAGGAGGACGAGGAGGACGAGGAGGACGAGGAAGAAGATGATCTGGAAGAGGAGGAGTACAGCGACGAAGATTACGACGAGTATAGTGACGATGTCTCCGAAGAGATACCTCGTGGTCCCGCCGCCGACTTCCTGAACTTTGGGAACAGCTTGACCGTGAAAGGTATAGTGGACTCCCAACACAATGTCGGGCGGAGAGTTAATCCGATTTGCAGCAGGGGGCATACTGACCGTTGCCGACGATTTGCTGAAAAACGATGGCAAGAAATTCATCGAAATGATGGAGCAGCTCGCCGAACGACGGATGCAACGCGAAGAGGAGGCAATCCATGCTGCCGCGAACATGATGCATTCTCATGGGGCCCATACTCACGCTTATCCTCCCGACGACGAAGAGTACGACGAGGAAGAAGAAGAGGAGTACAGCGAAGACGAGGAGTACGAGGAGGATGAGGAGATGGTTTGTGAACGCCCCCATTGAAACGAAGAGGGTTCTGACCGGGAATTAGGATGCCATGACCGAAGAGCAGCGTATGGAAGAAGGCCGCCGCATGTTCCAGATCTTCGCCGCCCGGATGTTTGAGCAGCGAGTCCTCACCGCGTACCGCGAGAAAGTGGCCCAGGAGCGACAGCAGAAACTCCTCGAGGAGATCCAGGAGGAGGAGCGTATGGGTGCGGAGCGGGACGCCAAGAAAGCTCGCGACGCCCAAAAGCGCAAAGACAAGAAGCTCCAGCAGAAGCAGGCCAAGGCTGAAGAGAAGGCTCGACGCGAGGCCGAGAAAGCAGCGGAAGAAGCCGCAGCCAAGGCCGCCGAAGCCCAGAAAGCCGAAGAGCAACGAAAGAAGCGGGAAGAACAGAAGAGGAAGAAGGAAGCGGAGAAGAAAGCCCAAGAGGAGGAGAGACTAAAGAAAGAGGCGGAGCGGCTTCGGCGACAACAAGAGGAGAAAGAGCGGCAGCTGGAAGCACAACGAAAGCAAGCGGAAGCCAAGGCCCTGGAGAAAAAGGCCAAAGACGATGCCAAGAAAAGGGAACGCGACGAGCGTGAAGCCCGTGAAAAGGAGGCCCGGGAGAGGAAGCTCCAGGAGGAGAAGGGACGCAAACAACGGGATGCCTTGCACCAAGCGGAGTTCGAACGTCAAGCGAAGGAGGCCCCTTTACGATTGGAGGCTGCGGCGCAGGCTCAAGCCCAGACGGTCCACAACCGGAAGGGCGCGAACCAAGCATCGCAACTATCGCAAGCTAACCTGCAGGCCCAAGCATCCAAAAGACCTACTCAACCTGCCGTCGCAATACCACCGGGCCTTCACAAACAGCCCTCCGGTTATGCTTCCCCCGCCGTTCCGGTCGCAACTCCAGTCATGGGGAAGGTTCCTACGCCTGGTCTGCGAGCAAGGCAAGGCTCACAGCCGGGTAGTCATGTAACTCCGCCTAAAACACCGAATATCTCGTCAGCCACGTCGAAGTCGGCATCTCCGAATAATGCAGCTGCATCTCATCCGGTTCCAACACCAAGGTCTATTCTCCAAAGGCCCAGTCAACAACAGGTCCCGCTCTCGAGTTCTCACCCTTCTTCCCCACCTCGAACACTGGCTTCCCCTCCGGGTCTTCCTGTATCTCAGGCAGCATCTGGGTTTGGAATTCCTACGACGTTTGGCCCTACCGGTCAACCTCAACTGTCTCCAGGGCAGGGAATCAGCCCAATCCCGCACGGGGGTCCGAACGTATCACCTTTCACCACCCATCAACTCCCGATGGGACCTCAGTTTCGCCCGATGCCTCCTTATGGGATGCCTGGCCAAGGACCTCCGGGGTTGCACCATCCTATGCAGCCACCGATGCCCGGTTCTCGTGCATTTGAGCCTCCGCCCGGATTTCCCAGTCCACTTCCTCCCATGTCTGGGCCTGTAAATTTCAACGCATTCGGACCCCCCGGCATAGGGAAGGACATCCCTCAGCCTCATTCTCGCCAGCCGTCGGGTTCGTATGATGGTCCACCAGGGGCTTCACAGTCTTTGGCGCAACCAATTTCACGACCCGCTCCTATCCAGAGACCGTCCAGTGTGAAGCCGCACGAGCACGAACATAAGTCTCTTTCGACTGATCCGATTGATGATTTGTCTCGGCACCTCGGTAGCTCTGCATTGCTCGATGATGTAGATGATCCATATCCGGGCCCGTCAAGTGGTCGGCGTCCGAGTATTCCTCCCATTGGCCGTCAAGACAGCCGACCCGGCATGTACCAGATGCCAACGATGTTCGGTCGTGAGCCATCGCCACCAGGGGCTCAAATCCCCGGATCGACGGTCTGGAGCACGCCCCCGCTTGCCAATTCCTTCGGCTCTGCAGGGCTCATGTCCGGATTGACGGGCTCGAGTGCTTGGGGAGCGAGTCCCGGCAACCCTTGGCCAGCCCCATCTCACCATCGTAGCTCTCGACCTGTCACCATCCGCCTTCTTGCCTGCCAAGCGTGTCGAACACTGTCCGCTGCAGCACCCCGACGATCCACGGCTCCGGGCGTGGCCGAGAGTCCTGGTTCCGCGGCTGCCAAGAAGATTGATGGCTACCACGAAGTCCGAGATGTGTACGCCGCCGTCCAAAGCTCACAACCTCCCGAGATTGGCCAGGTCACACATAAGGAACTTATGCAGATCTTTGAAACCGAAGGCGATTCGAACAACGGTGGCGGAACGTTCCAGCTCCGGACCGAGGACGACGCGGCCAGCATCGCCTGGATCGGACCCGGCGAGGATCAGCGGACGTTCGTCAAGTGGGAACCGGATTCAACGAGCCCGCTCCCTGGACTCGGCGTGGGTTCCCCCTTAGCGGGACTCGGAGCTGCACCGGGACTCGGAGCAGGACCGAATCACTCGTTCGGAGCGCCCCTCGCGCCGGGCATGGCACCGGGCGCGGGACTTGGCCTGCAGAGGAATGTTGGCACGGGGTCATTTGGATTCGATAGTCGCATTGGGGGATTAGGCCGATCGCCGAGCGGAGGAGATGGATCGCAAGGGATGTAACGTAGATGGGATCCGTACGGGTTCCCCGATGGGTTCGTGGAAGGGGTTTTCAGGCAGGGTTTGATCAGCTGGTCGCTACATGCCTGCGCATCACATGGTTTAGTGTCGACCGCAATACGTATGGGCGTATGCATGGTCGTTAAGCCATCGTTAGGGGTCACGGTGGATATTCTTCCTTTGGGAGATTCAGTGCGTCATTGTCATTAAAAATGACATATTTTATCGTGCACGCCATTGTTCCATCGACGTGAATTTGACGACTATTCCGTTCCATGTAATTTCGGACTGGACGCTCCCATTCCAGGTCCGTTCGATTCTGCAAAGGCTCAAAGGGTTGGGTATCATGCACTGCTCTCCAAAATATAAACGCCATCCGCCATGACAACGCGTAGAGGTTGCCAACTCTGCGATGCCTCTTCTATGCCGCCCTCCCCCTTCCGCGTACCCCTCTCCCGATTCCGCTTGATATTCCACCTCGCCCGATTCCACTTGCACCCCTCCCTCTACTACTCGCCCCAACTAACCTTCTCTGCTCTGCCTCCTCCCTCCTCCGTTCCTCCTCCTCCCTCCTCCGCTGCTCTATCCTCGACCGCTCCCGCTCCCGCTCGAGCTTCGCCTCCTCCTCCCGCTCCATCTCTGCGACGTCCCCGCTCGCGCCGTCCCATCGCGGATCCAGGATCAATCGGTTATGGTGCTCCGTCAGGCTGAGGATGCGGGAATACGAGTCCAGCAACGTGGTGCTGGAGGCGAGGGTGCCGGACAGGGTCGACATGTTGCCTTTGGCGGTGCGTAAGGAGGCGATGAGCGCGTCGAGGGTGGCGTTGACACGGCGGAGGGACTGCAGCTCGGTTTTGAGGGAGGCGTCCCGCGCTTCGGCGTCGGAGTAGCGTGTAGATGCGGACCGTGGTTGAGGGTTTGTGGGACTGGGATCGGTTGCGGGGGACGGTTTCGAGGTTTTGGAAGAGGGGGGGTGGGGAGGAGGACTGTCGAAGAGATGGTCGGTGGGAGAGTCCGGTTCCGAATCCATGGTGGAGAGCTGAACGGTTGCTGAGGTATAACTCTCCACCCAAGAATGGGAAGGATCCTTTTACAATCTGCAAACTTGTCCAGCGAGATGGACCAATTGAGGTTTAAAGAGCTTGGGCAGTCTGAGGATACGTATAAAGAACCTCAATATGTGGATCAACCCGAGATATTGCACTCACAATTTCACAAAGGACAAATCCCGACGTGATGCAGGAACGTACTGGAGAGTCATATGCACGTGACATGGACAGAGGGATTGCACGTGATACTATTTTGTTTGTTTACACGTGACAGGATGGACATGGTGCGCCACAGCCCAGCCACACATGGCCAGTAAACATCACAAGCACCGACCTCCAACCGGAATTGACCAACCCTCCCAGCCACCTCATCCCTCAAGTGAAGCCATGATGCATCTGACATAGCATCTCGTCCTTTCACTTCGCTTCCCAGTTTTACCTTCAGTTCATGGTTCATGCTCTATTTGGATATAGCACGTTTATTCTGGTTATTCCATTGCTCTACCCTTTATGCTGTCTAGCCTCTTACACCCCTTTCCTCAGTCGACTTGAGTCTCCCATATCTCCTTCATCCGGATCAGAGGACCAAAATATAGCGCTTCCCTTATCCCTTTCCTGACAGTGCGCATATCTTAGCCTCATCCAAACATTTGTTGGTGTCACTTGTTCAGAACCCAAGAAGAAGAGACGAGCGGTCCTGTTGGTTCAGTTCACTATGGCATCTCCCAGCACACCGCCGCCTCGAGCACGAATTCATACTCCTCCTCGTCACTCTCGCATCCACACCCCTCCGGCTCCTCTGCATGGCGCTCGACATGACCGCTGGGAGCCATATTCACCACGACGATCCACACGAGTTGCATCGCAACAGAGCAAATATTCCTCTACCCCGACAACATCACTTTCCCAACTCACACCTAACACAAGCTCCAACTTCACTTCACTTTCACTTTCATCATATGCAAGAAACAATATGCGGCAAACGACACCTACTCCATCGACTTCCGTGCGCTCCTCCAAACGAAAGCACAAGCTACCTGAATATTCTGAATTATCACCTCCTGGTTCACCGCACCACTCTGATTCACACCCCTCGCCGAGCAAGTCTTCCAAATCAAAGTCGCCTACACAATCACGACGTGTGACAGCCAAGACAATGGAGGAAGACAAAGAGGTTTTCAGCATGCCGCAACCTAGTGGTCATCAATCTGGAGCTTCACTTCTACCCTTCACTGGAGCCGGTGTTTACCCAACGCCTGCCAGGACTCCACGCAAACGTGATGTCCCCCGCTCAGCCATCCAGGCGGCGGCCCGTCCGCTATTCGGAAGCCGTACTGCCACAATAGAGGATGCAATGCCTCCACCACGCCGTCGCCGAGGCAAGTTTGTGCTCGACGGTTGGAATGATGATCTTGATATGGCAGATGCAGACAACGAGGGCGTCGAGGTCTACACCGATCCCAAGGAGCGACGACCCGAGCTTGACCGGAGTGAGGACAACCCATTCATAAGTCGCGCCAAGGACGAGTCTGCTGCGATCGAAGTGAAGCCAGCGCCCAAGACCCGGAGCCAGAGGAAGTCGAAGGATCAGGTGGAAGAGGAGAAGCGAATGGAAGAAGCAGTTCAACGGAACGAAGGATTGATTTACGTCTTGTAAGTTATTCACACGCTCCCCATCCTTTAATTCGCGACGCATCACTGACTTGTTACATAGCCGGGGGAAGAAGACGTTCAAACCTTTCACGGACCGCCAACCTCCGACCTCGCCCACCCCCGGAAGAGTCTCGAAGGATTCTCGACTTCGAGCCGCAGATTCTTCACCGGAAACCGTCAACAACCACGCCAAGGCTTTGGCGGAAGAATATCCCATGAGTGCTACCGTCGCTCGTTCCGCAGGAGCGGCCGCCGACCGGCCACTTCTTCGATCCAGCCAACGCATTGCACGCCGACTCTTCCCAAACGATGACGAACCCTCTTCCAGTAACGCAAAGGCCGCACGAGGCCAAACGAAGGATGAAGGTGTCCCGGTTGAGCCAACTCCAGTGGAGCCTGTGGACGAGAATGACGAAGAGGCATTGACGGACGTTGACAACGAAACGGTTCGCCAATACACCGAAAGTCTGCGTTCCGCTTCTGTCAGCTTCTCCGTGTCTGCCTTTGCCTCCTCCCATTCGACGAACCTCACCCAACCCGACCAGTCTCCGTCCTTCAGGCCTCAAGCTCAACCGAAAGCTCGGGCATCCACTCGGGCATCGACTCGAGCATCTACTCGGATCCGCCGAGCGGCTCAGAAGACCCCCTCGGTCGACCTGGAGCCTGAGACCGGCGCGGAGGCTGATGATGAGCGAACCGTACCGACGACGCGGAAGAGTCGTCGTGGCAGGAAATCCAAAGAACCCGTTTCGATCTTCGAAGATTCGGATCCTCCTGCAGTCCCAGCCGACCATGATATGATGGACATCGACGCTCGTGCCACTGATATTCCGCAGTCTCCCGCAACCGTTCCCCATCTCGCGGCGGAGACGCCCACCACTGCCGAGGCGTTTCCCATCAACGACGCCGTCGACAAACTGCAGGTCGAGAAGACGCGCACTCAAAGCCCATTCAACAGATGGCGTCGCACGAAGCGCGGAGGATCCGTTTCCCCGGACATGAGGCGGAAAGTGACTGGATTGGATGGCCAAGTCAATGAACCGGAGCTGCCATCGAGTCTGCCCATGAAGCGTGAGCTTGATGAAGGCGTTGGAAAAGAGAGGAAGAGACTTCGGGGGTGAAATGGTGGTTGACATGCACCAATTGAGAGGCGATGATGCCTTTCAATTGAAGAGGTTAAGTCCTTGTGATGATGTGGAACGTCTTTTACATGCCAATCTCCAGGCGGTGGTTGTGAGAAGACGATATGAAATGCCCTGACGACATTGGGGATACCTTGTTTCAATGTTTGGGGACTTGCTCTACTGGCTTCGGCTGATGTCCTCACCTTAGGATAGTCATCTGAGATTTTTGTTCCTTTTTAATACCGCGCTCTCTGCTCGCTCGGAGCTTTGAGGAGCGCACCCATATTTGCTGACAAGGAGGCGTACTTGAACAATTCCAATAGCATTGGCTATATCCTAAAATCAACTACTTGAGATCATTGTGCAAATCCACCCGAGTGAAACATTAATTCCTAGTGCGCCAACGCTCAGATGAAAGGTATCTTCGGTCTATTCGATCGCATTCCTGACAACGGTAAAAACTTTCAAACGACCACCACATTCCCGTTATATCCATTCCTATCCGGCGCATCCATAATCGATGGTCCCGTCTTCGCCTTGACGACAGTCTTCTCCCCACGCGTCGCCATGATCGTCTGGTTGCCCTTCGCCCAGTCCGCCTGGACCACCGTGAGGCCCTTCATCACCTTCATCTTCTGTTCCTTGACCTTCGTCCCGGCCCCGTCCTTGGCCGTCAGCGTGATCATCGTGTCATCCTCCGCGACGAACGTCACGATGTAGACCTTATCCTGGAGGATGTCCCAGGCGTCCGGCCGGGTGCCGACGGTGCCCGTGGCCGCGCGATGGGGGCGGTAGTACATCCACACGTTCTCCTTGTCGTTGTCGTCGGCGTCGAACGTGACGTCGACGTCCCCTTTCCGGTAGGCGCGGAAGATGGGCTTCAACATCTCGAGAAACCCGGAGTGGTCCAGGTGGCCGTAATAGCACCCGGAACACAGCGCCGTCAGGTTGCTGTTCACCGGCCCGAAATACGTCGACTCGCCGTAGTCGTTCCACGTCACAAGCTGCAGATAGTCCGGCTTCCGCCGCAGCAGGTCCAACGCGCGCGGCAGGAACATCTGCGGGCCCTGGTGCGTCGCCCAGTGCGCGCCGAGGTTCTTGTAGAACCACGGCGCGAGCGGCGCCATCCACTTGAGCTTCCCGTCCTTCGTCCCCCCGCTGGGCGAGTGCTCGGTGCTGTTCCGGATCGCCGCGAAGGAGGCGTCGATACTGGCTTCGCTGTGCGGGTCTTCGAAGTGGTGGATCCAGCTGAAATACCCGGCCGCGCCGTCCGCCTCGGAGCGATTGAACGCGGCGTCGCCGTCGGTGGTGAGCGTACCGGGGAGGAGGTGGACGGAGGTATTCAGGTTGGTGAGCACGTCGTCGCGCCAGTTCCAAGGGGTGTCGGTGGTCTGGAAGGAGCTGAACAGGGCGGCGTCCCGGTACTTGAGTTGGGCCGGGTGGCCGGCGAACATGTTGAACAGATCGGCGGCTTCCTCGGGCTTGATCTGGTCGCCGGACGCGGTGGTCGAGGTGGCGTCGATGGAGATGAAGGCGGAGAAGCCGTGGTCAGCGCACGCGTCGTAGAAGTTCCGGAGCTCCGCTTGCAGGGTAGTTGGGTTGATGTTCACGCCTCCGTAGTTGATGGCGAAAGCATCGATGCCCGCGGCTTGTGCGGCTGCAATGTCTGGGTTATAGTTGTGGTCCGGCGGCGGTGTGATGAGCATGTAGTGGGCGAAAATGAGGCGGGGGGTATTGTCGTAATCATCGGCGTCCGGAGAGCCGACCGGTGTAGAGAGCAGGTTGGCTGCAACCGCAATCGGGGTGCCGTCGTCGTTATTGTTGTCATTGTTATCGGAGGGATTGGAGTCGCCTTTTTGCGACAGGGCAATCGGTACCCCGATAGCGATGGCGAGGATACCCACCAGGAGAAGAATCAATGGAAGGAGACGAGTAAAGACACGTTTCCGTGTCGCAGTGAAGAACAGGACGCCTCTTCGAAAGAACGGGGGAGGTGGTCCCTTGTGCTCCACGGTCGGAGCACCTGATCGATCCGAGAGCAGGAAATCATTCTCATGGAATGGAGTCGGTTGTGATACATGCCTCGAATGGTCGTTTGCAAGGGGAGGTGACTGTGTTCCGCTTGGGTCGTAGTATCGAGGTGGCTCGTCCGAGAAAGTATCAGACCGACCTCGTCCAGGTGCATCGGACGTGTATGTATCCGACCGGTCTCGCATCGGCTCGTAGGCTATATCTCCATCATTGGGAATTCCAGAGGGTTGATGGCTCCATGCCGCAGGAGCTGGGGAGCCCATTTGAACTGCAAATTCCGTGTTAGCTCTCAAAACTCGTTCATGACCTGGAAATCGATGCATACCGATAACCTCTCAGCCTACTGGGCTGGACCTGGCATTACTTTCTGAACAAGATACAGTACAACTTCCAAATTCCAAAACACGAAGGAATTATAAGCACAAGATCGGGAATCAGAAAAATATAAAAAAAGTCACCTTACGAAATAAATGGCGTCGCTATGGGCGATTTAAGAGCTGACTGTATGGACTGACGATCCCGAGTCCCCCGTCCCTGTCATGTCAACCATAGCCTCAACCCTTAAAATTAATCCACGCTAAGAAACACGCGACATTGTAATTGTATTCAAGGGTTCAAGCAACATTGCTGCGGCTGAAAAGGCAGTGTCCGGTGTAGTGATCGCCGATTCGCGGGCACTGGGCCAAGGAGCACTGGTGCAGCGAAAGTCCAATCGGGCATATTAATAATAGATCCGTCGCAAGTGCTTACTGTTTTTCGGGATCCATTTTAACCAGGAAGGCTTGGAGTTTGGGATTTGGGGGCGTTTGGCGTTGTGGTTTGACTGTAAGCGGGTTGGATTGTTCCCTGTTCGCTGGGTGGCAGTTGGCTCCTTTGGATTAGGGGCCTTGTTATCAGTACTGTCTTCGGGCTAGCATGCTCAACTGCCAAGGGCGCCATCTGACGCCATTTGTCGTGTCACGAATCCGCGATACTGGTCCTGGTCCAAGTATTGCTTGTTCCTCAGGAATTGCGACTTCGTGCTTTAGCTTGCGAGGAGAATTACTCAAAGCAAGCATAGTTCGAGCCCTTCAAAGTGTTGTGGACCGTGTGAGAAATCAATGTTGGTCATGATTAACAGGATCCGCAACAGAAGAGGGAAGCGGGATCGACGTGTAGCGGTGAATGAGATAAGGCTATCACACTATCACTGTATATAGCCTCACAAGTCACACAGACTGTTGGCCATTCAAACTTTCTTACCCCTTGGCCCCTAAGGCGGCGGCAACCCCCAACCGGACGACGGCGGGAGATTGTCGAGAAATTCGACACGAAGAGCTGCATTTTCTGTTGGAGTATACTTAGAAACCCTGTAAAACCGGATGTTTCAATCGGGCTAGGCCTCCCGCAATGAGCCTTAGCGTTTAAGCTTAACCACTGGTGCTTACGGTACCCACAAGACAGGTTGAATGCTGGTGAGTGGTGGCAAGATGTGCGATGAGGATCGGTCAGGGATTGATGAATGAGGAAATTGAGGATGGCTTCAGGGCTCCAGTCTACAAATGCCTGTCAGCATTCACGTTTCAGCCCTTTTTCACCACAAATCCAAAAGTGACATCAGATGTAATCATGTAATCAGCCGTCCATCAAGGAACCCTGGTTCGACGCCTATCAATATCTCGATCCATACTACGTATACGTTCATCAGCCCTATCCAGCCCATGCCCCTGTCCGTCCAAATAGCAAGGAGCCGGCATACTACGTGCTGCTAGTATCACCAGTTCACCAGTCCACCACGTCACACAACCTTGAGTGCAAACGCAAAAATGCTGTCCATGGCCACCCATCGCCTCCCGTTCCGGTCCAAATACCCCTTGACCACGTTCATCAGCGTCCCAAACCGTTCCCGGTTCTGATCAGCCAGCACGTTCAGCTTCTCCTTCATCTCCACCGCGCCGACCTCCTTCCCGTCCTTCACCTTCTGCTTGATCTTGTCTACGTCAAACATCGACGAGAGGTAGATCAGCTGATTATACACCTCTCGCTCACCGTACTCCCACTGCATACGCCCTTGACATCCCTTCGCGAGACCTTTCGGTCCGAGACAGCGATGCCCGTACACGCTCATCTGCCGCGTTCGCGCCCCGCACGCCGCGTCGTCGCACACCAGCCAGCCCGCATAGTAACGGGCGAGGTGCTGGCGGATCTGCGATTCTAGCTGCGCGACGATCGAAAGATTCGGCAGCGTGGCTCCGCAGTTTTCCGTGGGGCACACCATTCCGCTCGCGGAGACGACGTCGCTGGAGCCGACCAATCCGCTGAAGGGGAAGCGGTGCTTGCACGCCCGGCAGCGGAGGCGGAGAGGAGCGCAGTTCTTGAACCGGATGCTGTCTGGAATTTGAGACTCCAGGGGCATGATTTCGGTCTCCTGGTTCATGGCGCTGGATCCGCCGACTTGGCTGCGGTATTTGTTCGGGTCGAGTCCTAAGCACTCGGCGAGGCGAGCGGCGTTGGTGCCATCGATGGGTGCGCACAATCGCTCGACGGGTGGGAGGATCTGTTTGGTGAGGTAGTAGTCCACATCTGGCTTCAGGTCCGAACTGGGCCTCATCGCCTGCGCCAGAGTGTGCGCGTTTGCGGCAGCCTTTTCTGCAGAGCCGCCCGAGTCGCCGCAGATGACGAACGACATGACGTCCTTGGCTTTGACGTGCCTCCCCGTCGCCATCAGCTTCTTGGCCACTTGCACGGAGGGCATGCTTGCGCCATTGGGGTAGTCGTCCGGATTCTTGCCCAACTGGGTGAAGATGGTGTATTGCTGGACGGGAATCTGGAATTCGCGCATCTTGGAGGAAAGCTCGCGGAGATAATCGTGGATCTTCTCGACGACCACTTCGGGATCTTCTCCGGATAGGAGAAAGTTAAGCAGCTGTCTATGGTGCGAGTCAGTGGAGTTTGGGTGCAAGAAAGGTGAGGGACATACTGGGAGGTATCTTTGGACAGCTTGCAGTATTCTCTTCGCCTCATGTCCAAGCCTTTGACCTCCAGTTTCTCGACATATTTCCCGTCCACTTCGACCATATTAATAGCGGCATACTTCTTCTTCGCATGCAAAAGGATCCGGCGGAAGATATTGTCGATGTCGATTTCGAGCAACTTGTATTGGTCGTTGACCAGTCGCTTGAACTCGTTTCCGATCTTCACCGCTGCTTCCATATTGTCCATGTTGGTGTTGATCATGACCGAGTCGGTATCGCCGTAGATGACTCGAAGCATGTTGCTCTCCGCCAGCTCCTTCGTGCTTCGCAAGATCTCACGGCCTTTGAAGGTCGTGAGCATGGCAAGTGGACGAGCGTAGAAGCGGGATTTCGTATATCCCAAGCAGCCGTACATAGAGTTGGCCGTGAGCTTGAGAGCCATCTGCTTGTTGTCCCAGGTGACCAGCTGTTCTGATTTTGCGGTCTTGTCTTTCATGAGCTTTTTCACCTCTCGACGACGCGACACCAGTGTTGCGATTAGTCGGGGTAAGATACCAAGATCTTGATCTTCTGGGACTTCCGGCACTTTCTCTTCCTCCTCGGACTGTGTCATATTAGTCAAAATTTCGAGTCAGCCAAGGGACAAAACTTACCACTTCTGCTCTGTCCACGGTCGTGAAGCAGATGTTGAATTCTTGGATGATGCTGGGGTATAAACTGTTAAAGTCCATGACAAGAATGAACTTGTCGTACAGACCCTTCTCAGGCTCGAAGACCAAGCCACCTTTAAACTTATCCTTCTTCTTCGCATCAACACCTCCCTCACCCTCTGGATTTTCTTCCTCGACTTTCTGCTTCCCTTTGCCCCATACCTTGTCAGGGCAGATGTACTTGTTGCGGTAGAACTCGTGGAGGAGAATATACTCGTTCCGCTCCGCTCGAGTGCCAGTGAGGGTTCGGGCCCAGGAGTTGCCAGCCAAGTTGGTAAGCACCTTCGTCAGAGGAAGGAGCTGTGACTTGAGCGTCAATGCGGCGATGAAGTAGGTATCCGCCTCGCAGTGCCGGAGGTAGTTCACGAGGCCGTCCCGGGTCGAAGCCCACGTCTTGAGAGCCGTCTCGTTGTTGATGTCCTGTCGAGTGTTCCCCGCTCCGAGATAGAGCTCGCACATCTCCGTGAGAGTCCAAGCCTGACACTTCGGCATCTGGGACCGGCCCATGTCATTCCCGATATCACAGAGCAGCCGGCCGGCAACGAGTTGTCGCTCTGCATAGAAGCTACCGCCTCCTTTACCCATGGACTTCGGCCAGTCGGATCGCTTGAGACGTCCGATCCGGTGCCAGCCAGGGGTCTTACGTTCCTTCATGCGACTGAGAAGGATGCCGTAGTCGACATCCTCGAGTTTGTGTCCCATGAGGACGTCGGGGTCGATCCGTTGCATAATCGCCATGAATTTGCTAAGGAGAGCCGCCTCGTTCCTCTCCAGATGTACGGAGCCTTTCTGCTTCTCTGCCTCCATTTTGAAGCCGACGGGGAAATTTTCTGCGGCTGGACGCATGATGGTTACAGTCCTGCACGGGAGTCTCTCCACAGGCGTCGTGTCGGCCAAAGAGACGTTCTCATATATACGAGTGCTAACCATGAGGATCTCCTGTTTATTCTCTTTGGTGTTGAAGGTCGTCCGCAAGGAGATACTCATCAGCGTCAGAGGTGGACACTCGGAATCTTCGGCGTTTCCAAGCGGGACAATGAGAGCGGGTTTCGAGACTTGAGCTTCCAGCTTGCACCACGACGCGTTGGTGACAGCAGTGAAGTTGGCTCCTTCAATCTTCAGCCAACATGGTCCCATGAGGTTTTTCCAGAGGACAAACTGCTCAAACAAGGCCGTGTTTGTGCCGAAGACATGAGAGAAAGTTTCGCCTTTGAGGTCCATGGGAATAGCGGGCTTGTTATAGGGATACAGCAGTTTGAGATAGTCCGCTTCTTTCGGGATATCGGGAAGTTCGAACGCATATTTTCGCGAGGAAGATTTGATCTTGTGCATGTCGACCCGGAAACGGCTCATCAGCGCGTCGACCTCTTGGTAGACATCGTCCATACGGACTTCATCTTCGGTGTCTCGTCCATTTCGCACGCGGTATTCGCGAGGGAGGAAGTATAATTTTCGAAGGATGTTGTCGACCTTGACAAAGCAGCTCGTGTACAGGTCCGTGGTCTTGTCCTTGACCTTTCCGAACAGACACAGGCTGCCATTGACCTCGGTATAGTCCATCCAGAAGAAGTTAAAACTTCCGTCAGCCTCCAGGACACTCTCCGGGCTTAGCTTTCCGAAGGAAGTAGTTTCATTCGCCGGAGTACTCAAGACATTGAGCTTGCTGGTCACATCAGTCCATGTTGATGGATCGAAGCCGTCGCTGGTAGGAATGGGTGGTGAGGAGTTCGCCGGTGTAGGGTATGGGTCTTTCTTGATCTTCGGGGCTGGTCGACTGCCAGCCATGTTGACAGACGCGACGTTCGCTGCTTTGTGACCAATTGCTTCAGCAACCTCCATCATATCGTCGTCCTCTTCTTCTTCCACTTTTACGGGTGGCTGAGCCTTGCGTTCAATGGCTTGAGCGAGAGGTGAAGACGGCATCGGGTCACTCATTGGAACATCATCATCCATGGGAGCGACGTAGTCATCGTCATCGAGAGCGGGTCCGCTGTAGTGGTCTGCATCGAGCTCATCGACATCGCAGTTCTTGAAAGAAACCTGCTTAAACCGCTTTGGCTCTTCGATCGGTGGTGACAGTACTCGGACTTTGCGTCGTGTCTCGCTTTTGACAGGCTTCATTCGAGGGGCAGGCTTGCTAGGAATATTGACCTCAACCTCGCCGAGAAGGTCTGCCATGAAAGCGGCATCTTCAGCGGTGGCAACAGGCTGCTGGTGTTAGTCCACGTCATTGTAGAGGACGATGAGCTATACTAACCTTGGGCTTGGCCGCTGCTCCAGTGGCCTTGGTGTTGAAGTACTTGCTGATCCCATTGGTGATTTTGACCTTCTTTTCGCGTTCTTCCTCGCGTTTTCGTTTTGCTGCAGGGTCGAATTAGGGCCGCCTATTGTTAAAGAGCATCTTGTCAATATACATACCAGCTTTGCCCTTTAATTGTGTACCCTCGTCGCTTTCCTCGGATGAATAGCGTTGACGACGGTCATCATCCCATTCCTCGCGTCCGTCATCGGCGTATCCGTCACCATTATCGTCCACAACGAAGTCATCTTGATCCAGACGGCCACGGACGACCTTTTTGTACGATTCTTCGTCCACTTCTTCGTACAACTGCTGTGCCTCTTCAACCTCGTACGAGTCGATTGCCTTCTTGCCTGACTTGCGCAATTCACGCAGCTGGGCGAGACGTGTCGCTCTGGAAGTCATTGTGGGTGTGCTGAGCAATTGTACCACGTCCAGCAATGATGGTAGAATGTAGATATGAGTGAGTGAATTATGCCATCAGGTGAAAGCGTCACTGGGAGTGTAGTAGTATGAAGGTCAAGTGGTGGAGGAGACGGCGGGTGAGGCTCGTCTAGTCTAATTACTACTGTACGCGTCGCGTCTGAGGTCGCGTTACATCACGTGGAATGGAGCGGACATGACGCGGTCCCCTGTCACTGCCCCACTAATGTCGAAATCAACTGATGATCACGTGCAAGATTCTCGTTCTGTTCATTCTCAACAAGAGATGCGAACCCGCAAGCGGGTTTCGCTGAAAGGGAGCCTGGAGGAACGAAGCTAGAGTTCGCTGTCTTCGAATCTCCCCTAAAAGAGTGCACGAACTATGTTCACAGAAGCATCATAAAAGGCTTACAGTCAACCACCGCTATAACGATTACCGCTACAGCGATATTCGCGTTATAATAAGTGGTGGGTTTTGGACGGATCAATTGCCTTTTGGTAAGTTCAAAATGGCGCTAACCTCATATGACATAATAGCTGCTACAGGGTGCGGTTAATGTCTTGGTCACCGGTCGAAACAAAGGTTTTGCCGTTTTGGCTATGCTTGCGCGGAAGGAAAACTTCGTTCCTCCAGGCAAATTTCTCAACCTCAGTCATGGCGGGCCGTGAAGAAATCGACGATAGGTCGTAGGGCTTTGCAGCGCAGCTCGTTTGACACAGTGCGCTTCGAGGGATGCATTGATGGAAGCGTATTAACTTAGAATTGCCATGGACGACCGCACCCGCAACCATTCTTTTTGAAGTCGGATCGATGGACTGGTCCAGTTTCCTCCGACATGTTGATATAGCCAAGTCGGCATCTGGCGATGACTTCGCCTACGAGGCACTCATTCGTATCTGACAGTGGTTGGGCCTATTCGAAACCTCGAGGACGGTCCCTTCTTCATACTCGAATACTGTCCATTTCACAAACGAAGCATTTCGGAGGCGGTTCAAGTCTGGCAATGGTTGTCCGGGGGTGCCTGTACCCATGGTATACCGACGGGCAATGCACATACAAGGAAAGGACGGAAGGCAGATAGGATATTACAGGAGATGTCTCTTGAAAATAGAACCAGAACACCTCATGGATATTACTTGGAACAGAATGCATGAAGCGGTAAAACATATATACCCGCGCTACCCAGCCTGAATCCAAGTACTTAGTACTTGAACACAGTACCTACCATAGACATCCAGTCGATTGCGCCTTCCAACTATCATGCGTAATGTTGAAACCCATCTTTGGTTGGTTACCAGTATTAATGGATTAATTTCCCGAAGAAACACACGGAGAGCATGTGTTGCCGGATTACGTATTCAATTGGATCCCATCTGTCCGCAAAAATCCATTGTTCACGTCGAGAATTCCGTCCCACATATCCACTGTCCTCCGAGCCTCTGACGAAACCACAGCGTCGTGCAAAATGCCTGAACGAAGATCCAAAGCTCCATTGGTGTGGATCGATTGTGAAGTACGTGATTCTTTCGGTGGCACTAGTCATGATCGATGGTTGACTCTTGGAGCAGATGACGGGTCTGGACTATGCCAACGACACCATCCTGTCCATCGCATGTTTCGTCACCGACTACAATCTCAACCTGATGGACGACGATGGCCTCGATCTAATCATCCACCATGACCAGGACACGTTGGCCCAGATGGGTGAATGGTGCACTAAACAGCACGCGGAAACCGGCTTGACCACCGCGGCCCTCGAATCCACGACCACGGCGGAGGAGGCGGCGACGGCCCTCCTCGAATACATCAAGAAACACGTCTCCGAACCAAGGGTGGCCATGCTGGCTGGAAACTCGGTGCACGCCGACCAAGCGTTTCTACGGCGGGCTCCCTATGATGCGGTCATTCAGCATCTGCACTACCGCATTCTGGACGTGAGTGCTATCAAAGAGGCGGCGAGGCGATGGGCAGACGAAGACGTGCTCAAGAACGTGCCGATGAAGAAGAGTCTCCATGACGCGCGGGCGGATATCCTCGAGAGCATCGAAGAGGCCAGGTTCTATCGCGACAGTGTCTTCCGCCGTCCCTGAAGAGTGAAGCTTACCCGTCGGCTGTTCCGTTAAACCTCCGAGGAATGGTTCGTGATTATCATCCATCATCATCCATCAGGGATGGAAAATGTAGTGTCAAGAGCCTACAAGTGATCTGGGAGCCAGAACATTGACGCAAGTATTTGACCAAGCGAAGAAATACATTCTTCTCCTGAGGCGCAGTCATTCAATAATTCATATCACGGGAATTCCCCTGGGAAAGGTCCCCATTCTAAGTAGGGGACTCCTGTTCTTTCGCCCCCGGCTTCGAGACTAACATTGGTCGGAAACTTGGAGTAAGCATGGCATTGTGGGAATTGCAAGATTTAGAACCATGAAAAACCACTTTACCTCAGCAATTGAAAGTCACACTATTTCCTAGATCACCGTAATACAGCATTCCGGAGGTTATTTTTGCGTTGGCGCCCTCTCAAAGAAACATCCCTGGTGAGGAGCACACGTCGCATACTGACGGGCGTGTAAGTCCCGAACCAATAGCGCGGACGAGTCTGGCATAGTCTGGCCCAACGTCTAACAGCCCTAGTGATCTCGAAGTCTCGAACCGACTCCAATACGTACCGATAGGCGATGTGAGAGCGTCAAAGAGATCGTTGGAAGACTTGGAACCGGGGCCGCATGGTTCGGTCCAGACGCAACCATCTCGATGACAGGCCGTCGATGTGAAGATTTCCACCCCAAGACCCCCATATTAATAACTCCATGTAACCGTGTAATGGCCTTTGTCCTTCCCTCATATCAATTCCCTTCATCTTCACTCAACCATTCTGATTTCTTCTAATTCGTTTTTCCTTTGACCTTTTCCTTTCTTGAGACAAGTTTAACTCCCTCCTCTGTCGTTACCAGGTTCCAACTTTCTTTTGGTCCATCTTAATGTGTTCATCAGCCCCCCTACGTCACTAACACTGACACTCATACGAATCTTGGATAGCTGGATCCCTTCATAGCTCGGTGGTCGGTTGCACGACCCTGCATCACCCAACATTCGCTACAGTCCTCATCATGGACCCTTCTATCTCACAAAAGCTCTCACCTCGTCAAAACCCGAATACCGCTACGGACGAGTTTCTCGATCTCCTCTCCGATCCTTTCAGCACTCAGGTAAGCTTCACTCAGGCCTCCGCTCCCCTTTACTCCACCACGTCCTGACACTCGCTACAGATTCAAAATGAAGCCATTGGAGCCGCCCTGGTGGTTGGCCTCGGTGCCACTGCCCTCGTCGCCGTCCTGTTCTCCTTTCTCCGCCGATTTAACAAAGTCATCTACCAACCGAAAGTGAAACATGCCGACGCACGGCACGCCCCTCCGCCCATCGGCAACGGTCCCTTCGCCTGGATCACACCCGTCGTCCGGACAAAAGAGCAGATCATGGTGGAGAAAGCCGGCGTCGATGCGGCCCTGTTCCTCCGATTCGCAGCCATGCTGCGGAACATGTTCGCCGTGCTCACGGTCATCGGATGCGGCATCCTCATTCCGATCAACATTCTGGGCGGCCATCAGCTCACCAAGGAGTTTTCCATATCCGCGTTCATGAAGATGACTCCGCAATACATGTTCGGGGAGAAGTTTTGGGGTCATGTGGCGGTCGCCTACCTCTTCGACGTGACCGTCTGCTTTTTCCTATGGTGGAACTATCGGGCGGTAGTGGAGCTCAGACGCAATTATTTCGAGAGTGATGACTACCAGCGCAGTTTACATGCCCGGACGCTCATGGTGACGGACATTCCGAGCGACCAGCGGTCCGATGAAGGTCTCCTACGGATCACGGATACGATCAACCATACCGGCGAGATCCCTCGCGCGGCCATCGCGCGGAACGTAAAAGAGCTTCCAGAGATGATCGAGGAGCATGCACACCTGGTCCGGCAGTTGGAAGGCCATTTGGCCAAATATCTCAAGAACCCCGATCACCTTGCGTTGAACCGTCCTACCTGTAAACCTTCGAAGAAGGATAAGGCACATTCTGGTAATGCTAAGGTGGACGCTATCGAATATCTGACGGGTCGCATTCAGGACCTGGAGGGCATGATCAAATCGGTGCGAGAGACGGTCGACAAACGCAATGCGATGCCTTTCGGCTTTGCCTCGTACGGGTCGATTTCCGAAGCGCACAGCATCGCTTACGCCGCGCGTAAGAAGCACCCGCAAGGCACAACCATTCGCCTTGCACCGCGCCCAGGTGACCTCATCTGGAAGAATCTCCCGCTTTCCAAAAGCTCTCGACGGCGACAACGCATCATGAACAACGTCTGGGTCGTCCTTCTCACCCTCGTTTGGATCGCTCCTAACGCGCTCATTGCGATCTTCCTCTCGAATTTGAACAATCTCGGTCGGTTATGGCCCGCGTTCGCCCAAGAGCTTCAACACAATCCCAAAACCTGGGCTATCGTCCAGGGTGTGTTGGCGCCGGCAGTCACTTCACTCTTTTACCTCGTCCTTCCCATCATTTTCCGCCGACTCTCGATCAAGGCGGGCGATCAGAGCAAATCACAACGCGAGCGCCACGTCCTTCACAAGCTCTACACCTTCTTCGTCTTCAACAACCTGATCGTTTTCTCGCTCTTTTCCACCGTCTGGAAATTCGTCACCATCATCATCGACGCCAAACATGACGACAAGGATGTCATGCAGACGCTGTCCGATGCGAAGCTACTGAACAAACTTCTGATCGGCCTTTGTGAGCTCACCGTCTTCTGGGTGTGCTGGCTGCTCCAGCGTAACCTTGCTGCGGCCATCGATCTGTCGCAATTTGTCAATCTCGCCTGGAAAGGCTTCACGAGGAAGGTGACCCATCCCACCCCAAGGGAGCTGATCGAATTGACGGCACCACCGCCTTTCGATTATGCAACCTATTACAATTCCTTCCTTTTCTATGCGACGGTAGCGCTGTTCTTTGCGCCGTTGCAGCCCGTCGTTCTTGCCGTCATGCTCTTCTACTTCAGTCTGGATTCCTGGCTCAAGAAGTACCTGCTTCTGTAAGTGACCGCATCTCCGTCTGACAAGTGAGGGGAAAACTGACTCTCAACACAGCTATGTCTTCATCACCAAATCCGAATCTGGTGGCGCTTTCTGGCGCGTGGTCTTCAACCGCATGCTCGTCGCCATCCTCCTCAGCAACATTGTCGTCGCCCTCGCCATCGCCGCGAACGGCTATTCGACCCCCATGCTCATCTCCCTCATCCCGCTCCCCTTCCTCCTCGCCGGCTTCAAATTCTACTGCGTCCGCGCCTTCGACACCCAAACTCACTACTACGCCACCCACGCGCTCAAAGACCCCGAAATCCACGAGCACAGCGACAGCTCCTCCGTCCGGGACAAGCGCGAGCGCGTCTCCGTCCGCTACGGGCATCCCGCGCTCTATAAACCGCTCATCACGCCCATGGTGCACGAGAAATCCCGCCACCTGCTCACCCAGGTCTACCAGGGCCGCACGTCCGCCGATCTCACCGACACCCACACCCTCGCGGGCTACTCCGACACCTACGCTATGCATCCGTTCAGCAAGCCCGGCGACATGAAGATGAATGACTCCGCCGCCACGGGGAAGAACCGCTTCGAGTTCGTCTCGGAAGGCGACATTGCGGCCGACATGTACGCTGAGCACCCCGATTTCAAGTCCGATTTCCAAGGCGATCTCGACAGCGTCTACACCGGCTCGCGGCCAGGCACCCCGGCCACGCTGGTCGGTGACCCGCGGCACGGTCGCTCCGCGTCGCAGGACCGCGACGACGACGCGCCGGGGATCGTGTATCCGCACGGCTATCACCAGACGCCGCGTGCGCGGCCCCGGGAGTTCAGCCCCGCGGGCCATGCACGGGAGGGGAGTTTAGGGAGGCACAGCGTGGTGGTCGATGGGTACGGAGATGAGAGCCGGGTCGATTTGGCCGGGGCGGGGGCACCGATGGGGAGGACGGTCACGGGGCAGACGGACGGGAGCTATTCCGGGGGAGCGGCGTCCGGGCACGGGTATCGCGGATTGCCGGTGGACACGCCAGGGAGTGAGAGCGACGGGATGGGGAGTGAGGGGTATTTCCAGGGACGGGGGATGAGATGAGAATGACTAACCTTGGGGCATCGATAAAGGGGTCGGCGGAAGATAATCGAAGGAAGCGCGGAAGAAGGATGGAGGAAGGCGAGACGGGTGAGGAAGCTGGGAGTTACCATTGCATGAATGAAGTTACGGGTTTGGAGATGGGGGGTTTTGGCATACCGTTTGGGGTATTTCGCATCTACCAACGATGCTCGTTTTCACGACAGTTGGGCCGTTCGCGGCGAATTTGGAGATGTATCATGATCATGTGGGGTACATGTGTTTAGGATTGCGCATAGCGGGTTCGAACATCGCAAGGATTCCTGGTTGGACGAGTTGGAACCCCAAAATTGTTTCACAGAATCGGCAAAAGGCAACGGCAAGCGACCCCGGTACTAGATAACATAGATTCCATTAGAAAATAACGATAATGAGAGCCATGATGGCTATGAATATAGAATCATCTTATCTACAAGTTGGTCGCCCCTTGAGACAATCTGTTAGGGGGGCCAGAGGAAGAAGGGTCCTAGCCCTCATAAGTTGAAACATAGAACCGCTGCTGATAATGCCTTTAGCATGTCTGAGGCAAAAGATATGGCCAACCCAAGAAGAGGTCAGTCAACACGAAAGAATGCCACCAACGCCAATGCCAAACCTACAAAACGTATCATTCGTCATAAATGTTGACAGGAGAACCGGACGATACTCGATGGTTCTCAAGTCGTCTACCTCTCCGTCCAATGCAAGTCCGGTACCTTCTCAAAGTGCGTTTCATACGGCACTTGAACCTGCGCCTGCTCCCCGCTCCCTCCCTGAATTCCTCCCCCTCCTCCACCTCCTCCACCTCCGCCACTACCGCCCCCTTGCCCCCCCGCCTTCACGTTCGGATCCACGAAACAGCTCTGCAGCTCCATCTTGATCCGCTTCCCGATCCGCACGAAGCTGTTGTTCCGCGCCCGTCTCCCGCCGGCCGTGGCGCGTTTCTGCGGGCGTTTCGGGACGCTGCGGGGGGAGCGGGCGTAGGATGGCGGGGATGTAGCGATGGCCGTTGGCGGCGGGGATGAGGGGAATGTTGAGGCCGGGGTAACGGTTTCGGAGGGGCCCCGGGGTTGGGTGAGTTCCGGGGCCGCCAGCAGGTTGCGACAGCAGCTGCAGAGGGTGGTGGTTGGGGAGAGGGAGTCGGAGGGAGAGTGAGGTTTGGAGATCGGAGAGGTGGGGGATGTGAGGGTGGGGGAGGAGCAGCGGGAGTGGGAACGGAGGTGGGGGGAGGGGTTGGAGGGGAGACCGGTGGTAGTGATGGTGGATTGGCGGGTGGCAGCCACGTCGGGGTGGGGGATGGCCGGCGTGTCGGATGGAGGTAGAGGGATGGACATGATGATGGATAGGCGGACTTCCGTGCCGTATTGTGCCTCAGGTGGTTCAGGGGAAAATGTTGACTCTCTACATGGGTAGGCGCCGTTGAGCAGTGAAGCTTAGGCACGAAACCTCGAAGCCGTACCCAAACAGAGACGCTAATCGAGCCGCAGACACGGACTTGAAAATGGCCAACACAACTGAGACAAGAGGGATGAAACCGACGGCAAAGTTAAGGCAGATGTGAATGCTGCTAAAATGAATCTTAAGGCTGAGGGGCGGGTGGAGTACATATGTTCCGGCGCAGTCATATATTCGCCTGTCCTCGCCTCACGCAATACAACAAGGAAAACTGACTTGTTTGGCCCGTCCCAGCATCAACATTAATATGGCGCGGCAAAGCAGACTCGAGGGATCAACATCCGAATAGATTGAAGACGGAACAGCACACCTTGGTGCCCCGCGGCCCTATGAATAGGACTACCCGCGTTGCCGGACCTACCTTTCTATGAATCGATCCATTCTCTCCATCGATGGACGTTGCCACACGTTCCACGAATGAGCACAAGCTGTGAAGGGCAGCCGCCAACTGTACAGGACGTGAAACGTGAAGTTCCGTCCTATTTTCGGGGCAACGCTGAACGCGTTGGTTGTGGCCAGGCTGCCGCCGTGATTTGAAAACGAGCGAGCTAAGGTCCAGGGGGGAGGAGATCCGGGGAAGTGGTTCATCTGCATCTCTAAGAACGCCTGCCGTGGATTCAGGCTGGATTGGGTTAAGTGTGGTTGGGCTAATGAGCTTGTGCACGCCACTTTGCTGGATGGAGGGTTGCAAAGTTGTCTAAATTAAGGCCATGATCGATGATCAATGATATGTGACTTGTGAGATCCTGTGTTACCATCGTCGACATGACGCGATCTTTCGTTCGTTATACGCCAAAGATTCATGGGGGGGATGGAGACGGTCATCGGATCTTCTGCAGACGCAGCTAAGGTCTGATGGACCTTTGCAGTTCCACGGGCTAAATGCAGTCAGTATGTTGAACAGCATGTGTTGATGATGAAGATGTGATGGTTGGACGTTGACGAAGCGAAGGCGGTGTCTCAGTTCCTTGAGCCGCTCGGGACTTCCCGCAATATTTTCAGCCAATCAATTTTCTCCACCACAATATCACGTGACTGTCTTAGCATCCCTGTACAACCTCCCTCTACCGATTCTCATGGGTTTTCCAGTCAATATGAATCAAGTACGGACGATCGCTGTAAATCATCTCCATGATCATCAATTTATTGACCGCGGCAACGAAGAAACAACCAAATTAAAAGGTGTGGTTGTGTCCATACACTCGGATCTAGCGTTACACGCATCCGTGCCGCCCCAGGTGAGGTCGTCGGACAAACACCCTGGCGAAGCCCCTCAACGGATATAAACATTGCGGCACAGCGACGTCGGGTCTGCAGCTGGATGCAACCAGCTTGTTTTTTGTTTTCGCCAGGAGATTCTCCCGAAGACGTCGGTAGTTACACGCCCGAGGCGCGCTTTCGTCAAGGATTCGCAATGGTCGGAAACGGAGGCCCGGCATCCGTCTGCCTCTCCTAGGAGGCTGGAGGCTTCAGTTTAGAATACTCAATCGCTCGTAGATGGCTCCATGTTCTATGATGGCTTGACAATTTGCGGATGATGAGACTGTTTTCCAACCTTCCCTCTTGCGGCGCTGGCGGGGTAGATGTGCATGGTTCAAGTCCTGTCCTATGGAGGCGTGCATTAGCGTTCGAAGTATTCCAGCACGCACTGAAATTGATAGATAGTTTTTTACTAATTAGAATGCTATGTTGGACCGAGGGCAAGCACACATTAGCCGTGTGAAACACTTCTGGCGCAAGGAGTTCGCCCTGTTCCTGGTGTAGAAAGGGCCGCTATTGATACAGGCACCATGGTGCGAAGCCATATAAATGCTCACTCCAACGGTACTAGAATCAGAACGGCCGTTTCCACGTACCAACCCAACGAAAATCATACGAATCGTCAGCATCACGCTTCGTTCATCACGTGTCCAGCCCCACCGCCTGCTTCCCCAGCTCCTCGCTCCCCGCAAACGGCGGCTGCGCGTCCTTCGCCTTGTCCGCATCCCACACCCAGATCCCCCCGGTCTTGTCCGCCTCGATGTTCTCATGCAGATGACCCAGCAACGCCGCGATAACCTTGACCTTCTCGTCCTTCCGGTCCGTCTGGCTGAAGAACCGCCGCCGCCACTCGCGTCCCTCCTCCTTCTCCTTCTTCCGCAGCTCGCGCTGGGCGTTCTCGATCTTGGATTTCTCCCAGGACGTCAGGTCCATGTCGCCCTTGGCAACCGCGTCCGCGACCTTCTTCCACGCGCGCCGGGTTTCGAGCGGGTCTTGCTGCTCGACCGGCGTGACGCTTAGGGGGGTGATTGGGTGCTGACTGGCGTCGAAGGTAGAGATCACCTCGCCGGACGCGGCTTTGATGTTGAAGGTCGAGTTCCATTGGCCGTCGGCGGTGTAGAGGGGGGATTTGGGGGAGCAGCCGGGGGCGCTAGGGTCGTATGATGCGGGCTGGGTCGGGTTCGCATATTGGTGGAGGGTCGCGGAGATGCTGTTCTTTTTGCCGGAGAGCCAGCCGCGTCCGGAGTAAGAGATGGTGGCGACGTAGCCGGAGGAGGAGATGATGGTGGAGGACTTGTTGAGCTCGACGAACGGCGATCCGCTGATGAGGCCTTCGATGTGGAGGGACGGGAGCGTGATGACGTAGGTCTCGTTGAATTTCTCGAGATTGTAGACGGCATGGCCGACTTGCTGCGGTGATATTAGCGAATTGGTCCTGGCGCTGAAGTTCTTTATGGTCTATGAACTCGGGTGGTTTGTTCACCTTGACATTGATCGTGCTCTTAAACGAAGCCTTCTGCCCGTTGTAGCCCTCTAGCCGCACTCCATTCTTCGAATTCCATATGCAGTACGCCGTCACTGGCGGATGATGGCTGACCTGCTCACTCACGAGCTTGGTCTCGCCGGCCTCCTCATCCTCCACATCCCCCTCCCATTCCCCTAGGAAGAGCTCCCCAAGAAATGGGTTCAATGGCTTCTTCTCGCTGCCGAGCTTGTCGCTTCTACTGCTGTACTGCGACTTCAATGTGGCCAGGAACCATTTCAGCACGAGCATGGCCCGCGTGGCCGGGTCGGATTCCTTAGCGGGTGCAATGAACAAGTTTGGGTGCTCGGCCCAGTAGGAGGAGAACTCGGTCAGGGAGGTCGACGAGACGATGAAAGGAGGGGCGGTTAGGGTGGAAAGGTCGCCATTGAAGGTAGAGACGCTCTAGCGAACACGAAGCCAAACCATGAGCGAATCGGGTCTCCAATGAAATTTCCATCTCAAGGGGGAAGATGCGCCTTACTCACCTTGAGGAACTGAGCCCACGACCCCTTTGACGATACCGGTACGGCTGATCCTTCAGCTGACATGATGATTCTACTGTCAATCGAACAATGATGGTCACTCGTATAGGAGGGGAATAGAACCGGGTGGAGAAAGGGGAAATAGAATACGCCGGGGAAAGACAATGATTTGCGATTTGGATTGGAGGGGAGCACGATAGCGAAGAAGCGAAGAAGCGAAGAGTTATAATGCAGTAGCTGTGAGGTCAAGAACCGCTGTTCAAGTTCAGAGGAGAGGATGAACTGCCTTGGCTTCCATCCGCCTGACGCGCTGGTTTAGTAGAATCATGAGATGGATCCAACGGAAAGAAGTACCATGGAGAGATCCCCGAGTTCGGTCCCGAAGGATATGTACAGTACTTTAGTAGGCTACTTACACGATACTCCATTCCTCCGGCATACTCCATCAATGATCAATCAAACCATTATTCTGCCGATCACTGCAGTTTCGGGGGAATCTTAGCCTTGTCGTTGTCACTTACTTCGCTAGAATCACTAATACAGTTCTTCGTGTACAGCCTAAAGGTCGACGTCATCGCCATCACTTGGGAGGACGACACCAAATACGAAAGTCGGGAATCGATATCATCTCAATTCTCAAGGACCTATCACAATCGCCTGGAATTCTGATTCATAGATACATCACTGCCTCTGAATCCGAAGCTTTCGATGCTGCGGAAACGGACCGTCCTATGACGGCACATCTGTACGCCGCCTGTCTGTCCATGAAGCGAAAGAGACAATAGCGCATAGTGAAGCGGGAGAATCGTGTCCTTTTTTCATCTCATTTCTCAAGAAAATATCTCAAGAGCAAAACTTTGACCCGTTGTATCGTATTCTTCCCCCGTGATATGTCAGACGGAATGGAAAAAATGCAAATTGAATGTCCTAGGCTTCTAGCGGTCTAGAAGCGCCTATGCGTCGCAGTACTTACCAGGAGCTTCATTCTGTTGTCTCTAAACCTTTGGAGGGAAATGCGGCTGATGGTTTTCTATTCGCGTCAGCCAGAGAGGAATAAGCGGTGTGATCTGTCAAGACTCTGTACATACCCTCCAGCCATACCAGTCAGCAATCTAAGCTTCCTATGGTTTAGAGCCTGGGAGACGACACTGAGGGGAAGTAGTGGGGGATATCCTCTCAGGCTTTGGAGTAATTGAGAGAGAAAGGACTGTACAAACTGCAATGTACTTTCCGGAGAGGCGATAGAATAGATCATAGAGGTCAACAACTCAACCTCCTCAACGTGTCTATCGTGTCTTTCCTAAATCCTACTCCTCCAGGCTATCGGTGGGAAAAGCTTTAACCAATTTCGTCATCGGGGCGCCCGCTCTTTGCCACTAAACCTCCCCCCACCAAAGCGACCAACAGGAGGAGCTCCCAACAACACAACACGAGAAACCAGATGTCAGATTAGAGGTGACATCCTTCTTAAGAAATTGATCCGCTTGAACTTGCATCTTCGTAACCACTTTTCCTTCTCCCTCGTCTCCGCTACTATACCCATTTCCTGCGACTCTGAATTCCCAATTGCTCTCGTACATTGCACAATGGACGTCAAGGAAGTCTCTATCTCCCCCTTCTCCGATCAGAAGCCTGGCACGTACGTATACTTCATGTGTAAACAGTTCCGAACTGCGGCCACTAGCTGACGACACCCCTTACAGCTCTGGCCTCCGTAAGAAGGTCAAGGTCTTCCAGCAAAGCCACTACTCCGAGGCTTTCATCGCCTCTATCCTCCTCTCCATCCCCGAAGGCGCCGAAGGGAGCTCCCTCGTCATCGGTGGAGATGGTCGCTACTGGAATCCGGAGGTGACGCAGCTCATCGCGAAGATTGGAGCTGCATATGGTGTCAAGAAGCTCGTGATCGGTCAGCATGGCATTCTCAGCACTCCGGCTGCCAGCCATGTCATCCGCAAGATGAAGGCCACTGGAGGGATCCTCCTGACGGCCAGCCACAATCCTGGCGGTGAGTAGCACATTTCCTGAGATGACAGCAACCACCGTACTGATATCTATCTTGTAGGTCCCACCGAGGACTTCGGCATCAAGTACAACCTTTCGAACGGAGCTCCGGCCCCCGAATCGGTCACTAATAAAATGTTCTCCACCTCCAAAGATCTCACCTCCTACAAGATCGCCAACATCCCCGACATTGACATCGACAACATCGGGTCCAAGACATACGGCCCGCTCGAGGTCGAGATCATTCACAGCACCGACCTGTACGTGAAAATGCTGAAGGACATCTTCGACTTTGCCCTCATCAAGGACTTTCTGTCCTCCCACCCCGACTTCAAAGTCCTGTTCGACGGCCTGTCCGGCGTGACCGGTCCGTACGGCGTCGAGATCTTCGAGAAGGAGCTCGGCATCAAGGGCAGCACGCAGAACTGCATCCCGAAGCCCGACTTCGGCGGGCATCACCCCGACCCCAACTTGGTCTACGCCAAGAGCCTGGTCGACGCCGTCGACAAGAACGGCATCCACTTCGGCGCTGCATCCGATGGCGATGGTGACCGCAACATGATCTACGGTGCCAACGCCTTCGTCTCACCGGGCGACTCCCTCGCCATCATCGCACACCACGCCGACCTGATCCCCTACTTCAAGAAACAAGGCGTCTACGGCCTCGCCCGGTCTATGCCCACCTCCCGCGCCGTCGACCTCGTCGCCAAAGCCCGCGGCCTCGAATGCTACGAAGTCCCCACCGGCTGGAAATTCTTCTGCGGCCTCTTCGACGCCGACAAGATGAACATCTGCGGCGAGGAATCCTTCGGCACCGGCGCCAACCACGTGCGCGAGAAGGACGGCCTCTGGGCCGTCGTGGCTTGGCTGAACATCCTCGCCGGCGTGGGCCAGAAGACGGGCAAGACCCCGAGCATTAAGGACGTCCAGATGGACTTCTGGACGACGTACGGCCGCACCTTCTTCACCCGATACGACTACGAGAACGTCGATTCCGAGGGCGCGAACAAGGTGGTTGCCCTAATGCGGGAGCGCATCACCTCGCCTGGTCGCGACACCTTCGTCGGCTCGACCGTGGCGGGCAAGAAGGTCATCGAGGCGGACGACTTCGCGTACACCGACCTGGATGGATCCGTCAGCAAGAACCAGGGCATCTACGTCAAGTTCGACGACGGCACGCGCATCGTCGTGCGCTTGTCAGGGACGGGAAGCAGCGGCGCGACTATCCGTCTGTACATCGAGAAGCACACCAGCGACGCGAGCGCGTATCCGTTGGATGCGCAGGACTTCTTGAAGACGGAGGTCAAGATGGCCACCGAGCTGCTGAGCTTGAAGGAATTCGTCGGTCGCGACGAGCCGGATGTTAAGACCTAGGTCCTTGCTAGGGCTGCCGCTCTGCTCCAAGTGCCTGTATCCACTGCAATCCACGGAGGATGGAATCAATAGAATGGGATATGTTATACGACTGATGCGGCATGAACCTAAAAGTTGTAATTAATTGAGCGAGCAGGATGTTATGATACAAAATTGTTTCATGTGAAGCCAACGTAAGAACTGGGTGTGATGTTTGTGCGTTTATCCCCATTGCTAGATACCTCTGGCGTATTCCCTGAGACATGTGCGGTTGAGATACGACAGTACGTGAATTTGCCTATATACAACTATCGTAAATAAATGCATGTCGTCACCACCCCTGTCCTCTTGAAAAGCACGATCAGAATATCTAAGTCGGCAGCGACGCCACCACCAGAAGCGCAACCCACGCCCCGAAAACACAGCCGCGCCGAATAACCCCGTCGAATTCAGCCCATACTCCCCGATCCCTTCTTCGGCCCCGGACTCCCCAGGCTCAAACTCAAATCAAACAAGCTATCCCACCCGCCCTTCCCCTTCTTCGTCGGACTAGCCGACGCATTGCGGCGTCCCGGCGACGCGGTGCTGGGTTGCCGCGTGCCCGTGCGATTGCCCGACGGACTAAACATCCGCGCCGAGCCGCGATCGGGGGTGGCGTGGGGCGGTGACACGGTCAGCGTTGGCGCGGGCGCGGTGCGGTCGGCGGTCGGCGGCGGTTTGAGCGGCGTGGACGGCGCGGGAATCTGGTGGGAGAAAGAACCGATCAGCATCTGAACGACGGGATGGGGAGGTCCCGGGCCCGCGAAGAGAGCTAAACATGGCAGCTCTCTTCTACGGGCCGAGGAGCTGGTCGGTTCTAACCTCTTCTTCTCCCCTCGTGTCCCGAGGCGGAGCCTTCATTGTCACGTCTCCGCCCTCTCGCTGCTCCGTCCCCGCGCTTCCTTCCGCTGTTCCCTCGCCATTATTCTCGGTCGGCAGCAACGGTTTGGGTCCCGCAGATGACCCCGGCGGCGGCACGCTCCGTCGACTGTTCTCGCTACTCCGCCGACTTCGGGTCGACCCGGCCGCTCGCTCGTCCAGTCGGCCTAGGGTGCGCGCCGCTTCTCCCTCGCCATTGCCCTTCTTGCTCGTGCCGACCGTCCCTCGCGCGTCGACGTTCGCGCTCGCGACCGTGGTGGTACCGGCGCGGGGCGTGATGGGCGCGCCGAGCGGATGGGGTTTCTCTTCCAGCGCGTCCAGGAGATACCACCGTAAGCCATCCCCTAGCTCGAATGGATTGTCGTCGTCAAGTTCGGACGCCATGCTGGCAACCGAGGTGCCCCTACGACGGCCGCCGGTCGCAGGTTTGCCTCCCTCCATGGTCGGGCTCAGATCGACCACTCGCTCTTCGATCTTGCCGATGCGGGCAACGAGCCACTCTCGCCCGCTAAGACGGTGGGACTCTTGTTCGCGGAGGAAGTAATGCGGTGCTCCCACGTTGAACGCGGCCCAGGCACCACCGCGGGTTTGATTGCGCGTCGGAAGGAAAAGCGCCAGATCCCCCTCTTTGAACGAACGGTAGGCGATCTTCTCGTGCGATTCGTGCTGGTAGCGATGCGCTCGTTCACGATATGTGCGGGACTCTTTCTGCCATTTTCGCGCCGTGTGCTCGACGTCTCGTTGACGCTTCGCCAGGGCTTCGCAGAACGCATTGAGCGGGAACTGCTCGATAGCGCTCAAATAATTCGCGAACTTGGACGCCTCCTCCTCCTCCGCGCTGGCCGACGACCACTCGAGCGCTCCGTTATCAGACAGTTCATCCAGCGTGCGCTTCATCACGCTGGGATTCGAGAGGTTGCGCGACCCCGACACGGTACTGACGACGGAACCATCAGCCAATACTCCGGACGACGAGACTTTCGATGCGCGTTGAATGATCAGATTCCCCTTCTCATCCGGTTGGCCAACGGTAAAGCCAAGGGTTTCCACCAGCCGATTCAAGCGCTCCGTGCTGGTGAAAAGCTTCCGTGTCAACTGCCTCGCACGATCCGCACGTGCGTCCAAGCGCGCCCCATCCGCCCTCAACGATTCCACGAGCCGTTCGTAGCGTCGTTGGGTGGACGATAACTTCGCGTCGAGGGTGTTGATGTGCGATTTGCCTTCGGCTAGTTCGGACATCAAGCGCATGATCCGGGCATCTCCTTCGGCGTCGCCAGACTGCTTCTCCTCGAGCATCTTGGCGAGATCACGTAGCTCTTGCTGCTCTTGGTCGAACCTCGTCTTCATTTCTTGGAGCTCGGCGTTGAGGGATTCCTTTTCTCGCATCAGCGTATCGGCCTCCTCACGAAGAGTGGCGGCGTCGGACTCGAGAGCAGCAACCCGTGCCGTGTTCATTTGAGCGTCCTGGAGCTGATCGGCGATCCTGGTGCTCTTCTCGACAAGCGTTTTCAGAACATCGTCAACAATGTCTCTGGTTGCTACTATTAACTCTTCGTCTCCGATCGGTACTTCCACGTCATTTTGGCTGAGACTCCGGAGGATAAACTGCACCAAGTCCTTTAGCTTGTCGACCACTGCGTGGTTCGCCTCCGCCTTCTCTTCCACTTTCTTGAGTTGGACCTCGAGCTCACTCGTGATCATTTCACCCTCCATTCTTGTGTTATCCACCTTCTCCTCGAGTGTAACCCGCTCCTGTTCTCGGCTCGCCATAAGTTTATCAACATCCTCCTCATAGTCTTCCTTCAGCTTTCGTATCTCGTCTATTAAATGTTTCCGCTCACTCTGCCACTCCTTCGCCTGCGCGTCCATGTTCTTCATGAGATCTTCCTTCGTGGAGTTTGCCTCCGCCATGAGTCGCTGGACCTCGGAGACCTTCTCCTCGCTTGCTCGACGCTCTTGCGCAGCGGAGGCGGTCCTGCCAGCGGATTCTCGCTCGAGCACTTCATGCGCTGCTTTCACTGTAGTAAGTTCGTTTTCCAAGGCTAGAACCTTCCGCACCAAGGCCGCTTTGTCTTCAGCCGGTTGATTCGCCGAGAATCGCCGGCTCGATATGGACGACCGGCGCGAATGTTCATCATGCTGCCGTGGACTTGGACTCTTCAGCTCATGCCTCGCTGGTTGGGCGGTGGTCGTCGGAGTAGGTGGTGCATCGAACGATGGGCTATTAAGGCCCCCTCCGTGAAACGTTACGGCGCTACCTGGACTACCGAGGCGGTTGATGTGGCTTTGTCGGTGTAGCAGATCCTCCAGTTTACGAATACGCGATTTCTGACCGCGAAGTTCGTCTTCAAGCCTGGTGTTAACGACTCGTAAGACTCGATTGTCATCCTCCCCTCGAAGCATCAGGGAGCCTTTTCCGAGTCCCTCATGGACCGAGCCATTTTTAAATGCCTTTGCGCGCTTGATTTGAGATCGGGTCGGTTTGTCCAGGTCCTTGAAGCTTTGCGTGAGCGTGCTCACAGTAGAATCGAAGCCGCCTAATTCGCTCAGAGTGTAAATGTATGCTTCGACGTCTTCTCGCGTTACAGCAGGCCAGGACTCGTCACCACCCTGGAGGTTAACCTCAACGCCCAGTACCTTCCTCTCCAGAGAGCCGGTCCGCAGCACTTCTCCCATGCCTCGGACCCATTTCTTCCGTCGGCGGTTCTCCTCTTCTTTGTAACCAGCCAGGTCTTCCGCCAACGCTTCTGTATCGCGCTTCATCTTCTCCGTCCACTCTCGGCACCGGACGGTTTCGATAGTCAGATTGCCGTAAAGCAGGGGTAATTTTCCGACCAAGGCAAGGGTATCAAAGTCAGTCATAATGTCTGGCGATAGCTCAAGGCCACTGAATTCCTTTTTGAGCGAGTCTATCCGACCTTCCAGAGATGCAATGAGCTTCATATGCTCGAGCATTGACCGCACCGCAGTATTCTTCTGATGCACGGCTCTGCGCACCACATCACCCATCTCCGCGGCGTACTCTGCGATCGTCGGCAAATGGTTCCTCGTATGTAGCAAAGCCATCTTGGAAACCTGAGCGACACTCTTCGGATTTGGTGGAAGGGCCATGACGTGGTCATGATCGGTCGTAACTTTCCGCGCAATCACCTCTATTTCCTCGAGAAGCTTCCCTGGCTCACCTATGTCCCCGCTTGTACTCCTCCCGTGCAACTGGTTAAGTCGCTCCATGAGCCCATCATACTCTGAAGCGACAGCGGCTATCCTGCTCCCTAGGTCTGAGATGCGTCCAGCGAACTCATCGGTGGCAGTCTTCGTCGCCGTCGCAGCCTTTTGTGTTGCATCCACGTCTACGAAGGACGCTAGCGGTGTTGTGGCATTCGATGATTTCTTGCTCGGCTTGCTCGCAACCGGTGACGGAGCAGCGCTCAGGTAATACCGGAAGTCTTCCACGGCACCGATCTGTGTCAACTTGTCCACATCTGCCTCCCAGGTATCCACGTTCTCTCGATGTTCCTTCGATACATCCTTAAACCATTCCCGTGCTTCCTGGCATTTTCGTTCCAAGCCGCGAACGTGCGGTTCATGGTTGCCGGTCGCGATATGCAGGCCCCGTTCGACGATCGATTGCTGCGTGAAGTGGCGCTCAGCGGTCTGGGCCATGGACTTGCAGTCGCGCGTCAGCTCCAGCGCCCAGTCGCGGCGCGACGCAAAGAGGGTCTGCCATGACTTCAAGTTGGTTTGATTGGCAAGCGTGTCCGGAGGATCGGTTGGTATGTAGGGTTCTGGCGCCGGAGATTCGGGGACGTTCTGGGCCGCCTGCTTCGGATGGGTGAATAGTTCACGGTCGTAGATGAAGAGCTCTTTCTGTATGGAGTCAGGTTGGGAACGGGGTGAACGATAGATATCTACACTGTAATCCTCGGACTCTCCGGTTCAGATGTTACAAATGCAAGCGGAATACATACCTCAGTGAGTAGCGTCTGTAGCTTGACGTGTTTCCCCCGAGATGTTAACAGGATCTGGTCCTCTCCCGGTATCCGTGTAGCCTCATGGATCCAACGTTTCAGAGCATCGAGGGACCCTATGGACACCGGATCGGCGCGTAGTTGTTCGCCGCTATGCGCGATGAAGAGTGAAAGCGACATGCGATCATCTAGGAGAGCTGCGCTCGGAGGGAGCGCTTCCAATTTAGTGTCGGCGTTGGAGATGATAGTAGATATGGGATGGATTCGTTGGTTTGAGGATGTCGTAGAGGCGCAGAGGACGCGATAACCTCAGTAGATTAGAAGAGCTGACTACCAGCCATGAGTGGTTGTCAACCGAATATCAACGGGGTGCATTTCGGATTCATCAGGTCCCGTATTCGGGGGAGGTCTCACAGCTGCGGTGGTCAACTGTAGCGCGTGTAGAAGCTCTCAGCCACTCAAGTTTCAGCTGATGCTCCAATGAAATCACAGCATTCTGCCACATGCACGTGACTATGATGCCAAGCATTGAGCGCATGAGGAACATCCACTACAACTGCGGATGATCTGTACTCGTGAACGATTTAGTCGCATTCTATGGCAGCAGGCGTAATAACTGGTCTGCCGGTATTCATTTGACGACAAATATCCGGACGCGTCGGGTGCTGATCCGTCACCACCGATGCGACGTCATCTGCTAAATGGCGAAGTAACACTCGCAATGGAAGCGGCTTGATACTGTGACGATACGACGTACATCACCATGGCGAGCGGCCCGACATCGCTAGGCGAGCAGGCAGCACAGCCTAATGACATATCTGACCTTCTCACTACGCTTTCCTTTGATGCCTTCCAGTTGTCCCCGCGCGAGCAGCAGATCCTCGACCTTTGGAACCAGCTCCACGAGATCCGCCTTGAGACCGCTGTGCTCGAAGCGAAGAAGCTCCGTTCGTCCTCCCATTCTCACCGCTCTCCCCAAGCAGTCCAGATTAACCCCATCCCAGCACCTAACCCCGACCCCTCCACTCTCTCCGACGCCGAAGTCCTCGCCGCCCTTTCCACCGCCGAGACCGACCTACGTGCCACCCACCACGTCACAACCGCCCAGCAAACCCTCCTTTCTTCCATCCTCTCCACGCGACCGATACTCGACGCTGTACATTCCCCATCCGCGTCCGACCGCCTCGCGCCGCTCATCGCCGAACGCGACGTGCTTGCGCTGGTCTCGTCCCGGCTCGCGACGCAGCTGGCAGAGACGTTAACGGAGCTGGACCGTGTGGAGACTCGGAGCCGGGAACTGGTGGAGGAGAACCGCGGGTTGGTGGGGGAGATGGTGCGGTTAGCGGAGGAGGGGAGGGAGCCGGGGGTGGAGGAGGTGGTAAAGGAGTTGGAGGGGAGGGAGGATGCGTGGGGTGGGAGGCTGAGGGAGGGGGAGAGGAGGGTGGCGGAGGAGAGGAAGAGGTATCGGGTGATGAGGGGGTTGGTGCAGGGGGTGGTGGTGGGGAGTGGGGTGAATTGGGCGGAGGACGAGAAGTTGGTGGAGTTGGTGGTTGAAGACGAGGAGTTGGGTTGAGAGGATCACGATCGCTGATTCAACGGCATTTAATGATAAAGCGTCATGCTCTGGAGTTTGTTACACGCTCCCGAGAACTGATGGCTCTCGCATCTCAGGATCTCCAAACCCAACTTGGCAAATGACCCTTCCTACGTTGGCCCAATGGGTGCCTCTCGGAAGAAACTCCAGGGTCTCGATGAAATGACGAGGTCCCATGCTTTATAAAAAGTGCGATATGACCCCCAGATTGACTGCCGGGTCACTTCGACTTCGGTAGCGCAACGGGAAGAATCAATCGGTAGGATACCTATGAATAGCAAGCACCATGCAAGGAAGTCAGGCGTTGCGAAGAGCTGCCATTACTAGTATACATTGCAAGGTGCCACATGTTGGAAAGCCATTGAGTTACTCAGAGCGCATGTGATACCTCATGTAAGTGAGGGATGACGCAATGGCGGTCCTGACACGAAGGAATAAAAACCAGACAATTATCTTCCCTCGCATCCCATCGATAGTAAAAAGAAGCAGTCCCGTTAGAAATGAAAGAAACGCACCCACAACCCCGCACCGTCCAGTTGGATACCCAGTAAAACAAAGCGAGAAACGGGTCATTTTCCTCCGCATCAATTCTCGTCAGATCATTGCCGCAGAGGGAGATGGGGACAGGGGTAGACGTGCGAATCGTCAGACGGGGATGGGAGCAAATGGAATGATGATGGAAGCGCGGAGCCAGGCTCTCTGGTCTCTTCTTGACATCTTGCGCAACGATAGGAAAATCCACGTTGGAGCGCGGCAAAATCGAAAGCGCCGGATGGTTCCCAGGGTGATCTTGTCTTATTTCCATTTACTCGTCATCATCGCTGCCGTCGCCGCCTCCCTAATGAGTTTGGAGGAAACGTCATTTACTATTCATCACACCACATCTCAGATCCAGTCCATAAAAAGTTTTTTTGCGAACGATTGCCAGGAATGGCAGAAAAATAAAATCATGAGTGCGTATCAACTTACAGCATTGTAAGCCGCCTTCTCGTCCTCGTATCGCTTCTTGTCGACCTTGGCCTTGGCCTCATAAGGAGCCTTATCCTTGTCCGTGAGCTCCTTCCACTTCTCACCAAGGGCCTTGCCAACGTCGCCTGCGATGTCGATGTTAGCTATCAAAGTATTGAGACCGGCCGACCGATGCGAGTTGCTTGTGAGGGAAGAGGAAAACGCGTGGATTTCGTGCAGAATAGCGCGACATAGACGCGATTTACGCGTCAAAACACGCGTTACTAGCATCGCAGTTACGAAAAAACAAGGCCAGAGCCTTGAATCACGAGAGATTGCGAATGCCATCACAGAATGGGGGAATCGATGAAGATATCACGGTGATGGAGAGTGAAACAGCGAACCATTGAAGGACGAAGTTGATAGAGACAAAACATACCGAATTTGATGCCAGGATTGTCCTCCCGGACCTTGTCACGGTTGTCGTTGGCGAAGAACATGTAGGCTGAGAGACCGCGCTTGGGCGCGTTGGGATCCTTCCAAACATGAAGTTAGTACAGAGGATTCACGAGCGACGAGGGTGCGACATTCGCGGTACCTTCTTCCTCTTCTCGGGCTTGGTGACCTTGGCCTTGGTAGTAGCTTTTGCTGCCTTAGGCATGATGACTGAAGTTGATTTGAGAGTAATGTCTAGGAGAAGTGTCAGTATGACGTGATGGTGCTGGATGAGAGCGGTTGCGAGCGACGAAAACGAGTAGATAAGAATGAGACCGCGACTACAACAATCGCTAGTAGAACAGAGTTGACTTGTTGCGCTTTAGAAGGATGAAGTACAAGAAGCGCGCAGTAAAGCGCGAGAAGCCACTGGTCGCAAACGCGACCAAGGCGGCAATGGTGAACCAAACACGGGTTGAAGACGGGGAGCTTACATTTGACGCGGCGATGAAGCTGGATTCAACAGCAGAAATAAAAGTCCTGTGGTGTTGTTAGTTTCGAACGTTGGTGGACGCGTGGGAACATGTGGTGTATGGATGAACAAGAGAAATGGCGGGAATCAAAGCGATGGGACAGGGCGAAGGTGAAGCCGTGAGAGAACAAAACACACGGCTGAAAGGCTGGAGCAGAGGGATAGACAGGCGGAAAAGTGGAAAAAACGCGTGTTAGAAGAAGCAATGGATGGGAAATTCAACGGGCGCATTTGCAGGTATCCAGAAATTATATGGGCGTACTCACAGTGAGGATTTGTATGGGCGAAGCGTTGGTGGTATCGTTGTATGAGAGCAGTGAGAACAGTGAGAGAAGCGCGGTGGTGAGCAGCAGAGAGAGCAAAGGTAGGAGGAAGATTGAAGGCAGCGAAGAAGAGGGCGGGCAAGAGTGGGTGAGTGGAAGGTCCCCGAAAGCGCAGGAGCTCCCACCAACAATGAGCAGGTGCCAGGAACCCCTCCTTCCCACTGTTCCTCAAAGGTCCTCCTCAACACATGGACACGCACACACCGTCGCGCCTGCGCCTGCGCAGGCCTGCCACCCTCCGTCCCTTCCAGACCAGTCCAGTCACCAGCGGAGGAGGGGGAAGCTTTTTCAGCTCCGGTCAACCATAGCGACCAAAGCAGCCAAACCATCCAACACAAATCATCCTCCACCAGTCCACGATTCCACGCAAATGATGAAGGCATGAGGCCTGCAAGTGACCTGCAAGTGACCTGCAAGTGACCTGCACAGCAGCCAAACAGAATCCGGCCTGAATGAAACCTGCCACCAACGCCAGCCGGACGTGAACTGACTGAATGAGCTGAGTCGCCCCAGACCGGATTTTCCCTCTGCAAAGCATGAGACGTGAGGAGGCAGATCCTTCCAGACTTCCACCGCGCGTAACACCCATCCAACCGTCATCGTCGTCCATCACCACCGCACCCCTCCTAAAAAACGTGGAGGTTGGTATGACCTCTGAAGGCTGCCATCGGGTAATCTATACTCGTCCGTAGTGTGTACCTACGTTTCTTATCATCCCGTATATTATTCAAGATATTCCCCAACATCGTCCACCCAGTTAGCACTCTTCGCAGCATTCCATCTAATTGTAATACTGCACCGGTATTGTACCGGTAATTATCACCCGGCGACAATGTACTAACCCATGACTTTCATGGTATCATCTATTGATTGCAGGCTTCTTCCCAGTGCACAAGCCCACACAGCATGCCGTCCTCAGCCCGCTTCAGGCGACCAGAAGCCCAGTAGTACGTACCGTCCATTTAGATTCTATCCCCAGGGGCCAGGAGGCCAGGAATGACAGACTCCCTGGGCGTGTTTCGGCGAAATTTACCGCTGCCTGCCTGTCGCACTGACATACGGCATGTAAACAGGCCACAGGGCGTTTCACTTCCGTCCCACGAATAATTTATCGGTGCCTGGTAAGTTGTACATGTAAAGTACCGTCAGTATCAGGAATCCATGACGGTTGCAGCCAGCGATGGTAGCTTGCTGCATCTCGCCCTAGATCAACATCGGATGAACCAGGCCAATAGCCATGCACGGTGATGCACCCTCCTTTCCGCCTAGTCGCCGTTGACTGGCTTATGATGCACTTCAGCCAATATCCTCACTAAGTCCGAAGAATAGAGGCGACAAACCCGAATGCCCCGGGTTGGCAGCGTTGTGGATGGATACCCACTGCTGCTGGGGCCAACCAGAATTCGCTCAAGGCTTAAGATATCTCTTACGGTGCGGAAAAGAAGTACGGCTTTATAAGCAATATGCTTGGAGAGGTAAAGTATAATTGATCTTTGTCATCCGCTGCTTTGTCTCTGATATTTTGATTTTGGACCGCCCGGAGCTGCTCACTGACCATGACGACTGAAAACCTGGAACATCGGATGCTGTCCAGTTGCGCTGGAGCTGAATATATGGTGCCTTAGGAGGCATCAGGGCCTTTTGTTCCATCCAGTATCAATCATTGATCTGGACGTGTTAGAATCGAATCTCGATGATACTCAAGGTCGGTGTCATTGTAAAGCAAAAATGGAAAGGCATTCCCCTTTTCATACACGGCTTATCATCCAATCCAAAGAACGCTTGCTCGGTACTAAACTCCACGTGCGCCGTACCAATGCCCTGATGCCCGTCCTGCCAAGTGCAATGATCATTCTCTCTGCAATACCACCGTCAAGCCCATAAGCCCAAGCATCACGGTTTTCAGCCACGGGTATTCGCTCAACAGGATCGTCACGTAGCCAACGAGGGGCACGAACCCCCGCACGCTGCCAATGACATCGGTCTCGCGGGTCAGGAACCGCTGGCCGCGCGCATAGAGCTCCGTATCGTCCGCGACGTTGTTGTCGCCCTTTGTGAGAAGCTGGAGCGGTTTCGAACTGTCGCAAAGTCAGACCCGAAGGGACCATCGGCGTGCAGTGGGATGGAACGACTCACCCTCCGTCAAACCGTCGAATGACACGATGTACGATCGGGATATCCTTCCCTTTGACGTTGTACACCACGATCTCCCCGACCTGCGTGTCCATCCCCCGATTCCAGAGAAAGAGTAAGTCGCCGCGCTGGAACGCCGGCTCCATGCTCCCGGACAGGACCACAACGATCGGCGACGGCGAGTTCGTTGCAACGGACAGCCCTTTCCAGAGCATGAACGCGGTCGAGAGGACCAGGGCGAAGTTGAGGATCTGGGCGGCGATCTGCCGGGGCTGGAGGGAGGCTAGTTGGCCGAACATTTTCTTCGGTTTTCGGTGGAAGGATAGTGGATGTTTGAGCTCGCGTTTAGGTTGATAGGTGGTCGTTCGTCAGGTCGGCCGTGAATCGTCGGGAGGTCAACGTTTTCAGGGACGGCTGGAACACCAGAAGGGGGATTGCCTTCTAGAACCGAGAGAACAGCTCATTCGCCTTCACAACGCGGGCGGAGGTTTCCAATAATGTCGTCGTCCTGTTTAATTCTCAACCTCAAGAAGCCACATCGTATTAGTATCAGATGCCTTGGAATTATGGATGGGATGGGGCAGGGGTCTTGGAGAGTAGGAAGGGACCTGAGATGCGAGCTTCTGATTGGGTAGACCGCTAGTCCCCTCCATTCATTCACTTCCAGAGTCCTAATTAGGCGGCTGGGCTGTCTGTTGCTTACACAGCCGAGTTATTACGCAGTTACGCTTTCGCTCCTGACTCCAAGTTCCAACTCCAGTGCAATGGGGGAATAACTTGAAGGGAGTAAAAGGGCCTTCGGCCCAGATATTGGAGCCAGACAACCGCACCACTCGTATCCTTTCCCGTTTCCAGTCGGTGTTGCTCCGAGCAGCCCGATTCCGTATGCTTTCCAACGTCCAACACTCTTGCTATTTGGAGCATACACACGTAGCAGCACCGGTTCGCCTCTCCACCGCCGCCTTGCAGCCGGACCTCCCTCATTGCCATGCAAAATGAGCTGGTTTTCCATCCTCCCATCGGACTGGACCAACGTTGAGGCATGGCTCACTCGCTTCTTTGTATGTCATCACGGTCATCCTCCTCATTGAACCGCCGACTGATCCTCGTCAGCTGATGCTTGCGCTCCTCACGATCGGGCCATGGGTCGTCATCCTCGCGTACGACGTCCTCTTGTATATCCTACGCTTCATCATGTACGAGATCCCCGTCGTGGGTGGTCGCGCGCGCGGGCGACAGCGTCCGACAGCACCGAGCCTTACGGAGCGACCGGACGGGGAGCGGCGGGACCTCAGTTTACCGAGAGCGCCGCTGCCGAATGTCCCGGAGGTCGTTGAAGACGCGATACTGAACAAGGCCATGGAGACGCCCGAGGGCACGAGTAGCGAGGACGATGGCCCGCGGAGGAGAAGCCCGAACAACGAGGATTAGCCATGGAAACCGATGTTATTCTTCCTTCACCGTGTCTATCAAGGGTCCAATTGTTGAAGTAAATGCTCTGACTATATCAGTCCATTATTTTGAAGGAAATGCGACTCTGAACACATCCATCTGATCGGTACTCTAGTTTTGCAAATGTCAGGGGTATTGAACCGTCTGGTGAGTTTTAAACGCCGCTCCCGAGACCTAGTTATCAACGTATACAGTCGTTGCATCATGGCGTATCAGACCGCTAGTAATTCTTCGACTGAATCACCGGAACCGCAACACTTCGGATAACTTGGATGTTTCTGCCGGTCTCGTTTCATCAATTCCTGTATACTGTCACATCTCCATCACAACTTGAAGCGGGTATAGAAAAGGGCACGCGACATCTCTTTAGTACTTTACATGTACTTCCGCAACTCTCAACCCACTTCCCATTGAAAAGAAATATCTTATATCGCTGAGCAGCGGCTGTGTCTTTCCTGGATGCGTTAGTCGAACCGGCAAATCACTCTGTGCCCAGCGATTGTTTGCTCTTCGTCACACCCTCCAGATCGTTGGACCACCCCAACTGGAGGCTAATTGGCTACTGGGCGTTCAACTTCGACTTATTGTCTGCACAATACCGACGACCGACTGGATTTGAAGTGAGGAAGCTCGTCGTCTGTGGACATATCCCGTTCCAATGTCTACAACAGCACACTGGCCTTCCTCATTGCCTCAGATACCCTGCATCGGACTACCGATGCTTACTGGTATCTTACAGGTCGGATGTACCCGGGGAAGTCTGTCGGGAACAGTGCTGCTCATTCCTGATATGATCACGGTCCAATTCGAAAGCAAACGAAAGCTCCCAGAACCACGGATGTTCTCTGATATTTGGCTTGGAATATCTGTTCGACTCTTAAATACTATCCTTCTATATACCTTCTTCTATCTCTATAAGCCCAATCCGCTCTACTACTTGACAGATCCGTCAACCACTACTCAGGCTATCCTTTTGACAAGTGAAGACTGGCGCTTAGCAGCCCTCATCTGGTTACCATTGCACCAACTCATGTCGCTTCCACATCCCCTTTCCCAACCACCACCACGTCCGCCAGTCTTAGGTGACCCTTCTTTAGCACCCCATGGATTCCACGCCGCAAGCTGTTCACATTCACCCCACCCACCATTTCCACTGTCGCCGTGCGAGGACTTTCCAATGAGTATGGGACCGCAGAGCCCTCGACATCCCGCCGTGGACGCCGCGGAGCACCTTCTGGAGAGCCTCCCGCCTGGGATGTTCCCTCCGTCGTATACCGATTCCCGGCGACCAAAGTTGCCGTTCCCGCCCAGTCCAAATGACCCCTTCATGATGTCTTCATGCCCATCCAGTCGATGTAGCTCGACGAGGGATTCATTCTCGTCCGGTCCTCCACTTGACGAGCTGGTGCGAAGGTCAATAGCGCCCCCCTCCCCCCTTTCCTCCACAAGTCGTCGCTTACCTACAATATCAGGACCAACCTCGCCGTCCAACTAGTCAACAGCCAACTCACCATCTCCAGTCGCTACGCCCAAATGCAACCGAAGATGTGCACCGACGGCCGGTTCCCCGAGGACTTCAAGACCGCCAAGACGCTCGAAGAAGTGCGGGTCATCGACCCGTCCACCCTCGACCGCATTCTCTCGGCCTACAACTTGCCGACGGACCTGCGCAGCTTGCGGATGACGAGCCGCGATCCGTTCTCGCCGAAGATGGCGCATCTGGCGAAGCTGTGCACCTTGCTGGATTTTCTCGGCGCAACGCAGGTTGCGGAAGCGGACAGGATGAGGAGAGCGGCGGTCATGGTTGGGTATTGAGGGCGGGATGTTCGTGCATATATGGTCGTGATATCCTCATGGTACGATTCTGATCTGGGGTCGCGGTATAACACTCGTATTCAAAAAGCAGTATTGTCTTCCCATGGTTCATGACGTCGTTAATTATGCGCTTCCCGCCTACAATCACAGCGACTAAATGGAAGATGTTCACCATGACCGCTCGTGGCCTTAAGATACAATAGATTCTGCAATCCGTCTCAATACATCCTTGCTCAATAGAGCTTTGGAGGGTGAACGATAGCGCGATGCCTTTTTCCATCCGAACTCATGGCCGCAAGCTTTGCCTAACATCAGTTAGTCGGCCGAGAACGCAGTACTCCCGATGCAACAAAGTATGGAGACTCACAGTACATGTGATTGCACCCTGCTGATTTCTCGATCGGGGCCGCGCACTTTGGACACCTTCTTGTCACCGACCTTTTCCACTTTTCGCTCCTCTCCTCGTCATCCTTTCCCATGATCCCCATGAGTCCCTTGGTTCGGTAGTCGTACTGGGTGCAGCTCTCATGCTCGTGCCATTCGGTGTTGTGTCTCAGACACTGTTTATGACCGCAAGCCAGGCACTGGAAGAAGCCAGTCGCGCCTGAGCATACGATCTGGCCGGAATCGCATTTGGTATTAAGGCACCAATGGAAATCTGCCATTCCGTTGACAGCGGAGCGTAGCGCAAGGTCATCATATCTAAAATCCCAAGTTAGCGTCGCCGGAGCACGTAGTACTCGAGTTACACCGACCTCCTGAAGGTGTCCGGGTCAGCATGTTTCTGAACCTCGTGGTGCTTTAGAACCGAATAAGGGCATTCCGGGCAACCTATCGGTCCCCAAACTTTGCGATTGACCTCGGAGGCAATCCAATTCTCCATACATACCCGGCAAACGTTAGGTACATGAGAGCAATTCTTTGTGATCCATTCAGGAAAGTCGCTTGCCGCCTTCGCCACGGTACACGTTGAACAAATTCGCTCAGTGACCGAGAGGAGATCCCACTGGATCAGCATCTCGTTAATGAGTTCGCCATATAGGGGAACTTGATTTTGGATGTCATCCTCTTGGATATCTTCCTTCATGATATCATTAACACGAGCTGTGAGGTCCTGGATCTGTTTGCCGATGTCTTTTCGCCTTTGGGTCTGATTGGGAACCATACAACTATCACCAGCCTCGTGATCATTTTTCATCATGGCAGTCTGTCTCCGTACAGAGGTAGTGGTGTTTATGAGCCAGGCTGTACTGCGCTTATATTCGATCTCGCACTCAATTTCGCTAAGAGACGTAATCCCCATATCTCTCAGTGACATATCGGGGTCCTTCAGTACTTGGTGGTTGAAAAGCAATCTCAATTTCTGCGTGGCAGGTTCCGAGACAGGATAGATCTTGTTGGCTGCCCTCAAGACATGTCGAACTGTAGTGCGTCCGGAATTGATGCTATCCCTCTTAAATCGTACAGCGTGTAGGTTGGCGGTACTATCCGGATCCCTGCGTCTATCCTCCAAGAAGAGCGTGTCGGGATAGTCGATCGTGATCTGAGATAAGGGGAACGGAACTACCCCATAAGACCTGACGGGGACCATGACGTCTAACAAGGGAGTATCAGCGAAAAAAAGACGAAGGATGGACGGCTCCTCGATGTTCAGGCATCGAACGACATGATTCTTCAGATCTCCAACAGTGAGGTAACCATTCTCGATTGCTCCTTTGTTAACATTGACCATCCACTGTTTCTCCTCATCTTGCAAGACAAAACTAAGCTTGTCGTACCCCTTCTTACTATCCTCCTGATCCGTGATTTCAATTGTCGGCCTGGAGGATGCATCTTGTATAAAGTAAAGCCCTTCAATCCATGGAGCGAACTCGAACGCTGGTAGCTGCTTTTCTGTTTCCTTTATTTCTGTAGATGGACAAGACGAATCTCCATCAGGACGACCACGTCCAATTGCAACGTCTTTGCTTGGGTCATCAACTATGGGAATATGCTCATTCGGTTGACTGCTTCGTGAAGGCTCCCAGGAAAATGCCCGGCGACATGATGACCGGCGTTGGCTGGGTTCTTGCACCGTTTCCTTGGGCCTATTGGCGATGGCATTGGCCAACGGAACCGTCAATGGATACCGAGAAATCGGTTCATGCCCGATATATGGAGAATCCAAAGAAAGTAGCAAATGAGCAGCATCCGCCATGACTTGATGACGTTATCAGCTCAGGTAATGCTCAGGTAATGGAGTGACCATGCTTTGTGGGATGCGAATACGTTCCGTGGGAGGACTCAAGATTGATAAATAGCCGGTGTAACGACGGACTTTTCAGAATCGGGAAACGTGGATATGAAAGATTGATTGATATGAAAGATAGGTTACAGAGGAGGATCTCGGCCTCTGATATCCATGATCGCTGCCTCACCTCACTCTCCTTCACAGCCATCCCGTACCAGGGTTTTTGCGATGGATAGCCATAGACGGCAACCCTAGCCAATAACATGAATACTCACCTCCAGTCCCTAGCTTGAGTGTTCCGGAGTGCTTGACACAACGCCAATGGTTCCCGTTGAGCCGAAGAATCCGGTGAGTAGGATCACTAGGACAGCCAGGGTCAAAACGGCCATCGAAGGCTGTGCTGGCTTGATAGATCAATCGAACAGTGTATTGATGGCTGCCTAGCATGTAGTTGTGCGAATCGACGTGCCGATTGGCCCATATTGTGTATGATCAGATTGACAATAGCCTCTCGTTTACCGATTCGAGCATGCAGGAATTGAAGATGCCAAAGATATGGAGGCTTGAAGAGTCTGACCGGATAGTTATTTGCTTCGCTGTTTCGGCGCAGTGCCGACCGTTTGAGTGTTGGAGGTGTCAGGTGACCAAGCGGAGGCCCCGAGCATAGGTGGTTTATCCGGGGTTTACCCGGATGCTTCAAGAATTTCCATGTTGGACTTTTGAGCATACTATACACTCCGTACTCCGGATCATCATCAACTTTCAAAGAATCAAACAAATCAATATTACCTATTTGACGAAATTATCGAACCGTGCTCTCCTTAAAGCATTGGATTCCCCTCGCACGATCCTTCCATCGCCTCCAACGGGCTCTCCAATCTTCTTCCATTTCGTCCGGTTGTCCACTGCGGTTCCGAAGGAACGCAACGTCCATCTCTCCGTTGAGAAGACCAATCCACTAGACCCGACACTATGATGCGAGGATACGATGCAGCGCCCAAACGGGGCGGTCCACGAAGCAAAAAGGACCGCGGGGTTAGCGGCCAAGTGATGGCTGTGCTATCAGATCCGGAAAACCGCAGCGTGCTCGCCGCAGTTAGCATGTTCACAGTTAGTCTTCCTCTCTTCCGCGCTTTGGAGGGAACGGCTCTTGAATGATATTGGTCCCCGGCCGCTTCTGCCTGGTTTTTGAGCAAGTGACTAGACTCAAGCAGTACTAACAGATCCATGATAGGCTGCCGTTGCTTTCCTGAACAGTCCATGGAGCGAAGCGCTTGTGGTGGCAACGTAGTTGTCGAATCGACAGCCTCCGCTCGATTAACAGAAAACGAAAGATATCACGGATCCCGCAGGGAGGAAGCTTCAATATGTCTTTGGGCATCGTTTTGATTTCGGATTGCCGGTGTATGTTGAGGATCTGTACAATAAGGCATTGGTGGAGTTACGGCACCCTCTGCGATGTTGGTTTCAAGGAATAGCATGCATACGGATACCGGTAATGCCATATGTTCTCTGCTCATCCTGTCATTTCTCGACTACGTCCTCAAATTTACGTCACATCCGCTTTAGGATGTCGAACTACTGCTAGTGTGCTCAGGCGTACATTGATACGACATTCGGCCGACGTGGCCGGATCTGCGTGACACTATCCTAATACCTACGAAGGCCTTGGCCCCTCTGATCGGTTGATAGCATCTAATTTTCGCCAGTATATTGGTGGAGTGGAAGAATCAATGGCTTGGTGGTTTGAGATCCTTCCTGGTGATACTTTACTTGCGAAAGGCTAACTTATGTACAAGAGTTGTTCAAAGCCAAGGCTCGGTCCATGGACCTTCACGGTTTGAGTTCAAATGGGAGTGGTCTGGATACCTTCCAAGCCCTTCTTCTCCACTTTCCACCCTGCTTGTTGAGCACCGTTGCCAGTGAACCATTGTGCTGCCTGTGCATCCCCTCGCAACAGCCACTTCAACCAGTTGGTACCTCCAACAGCAAATTCACCACCATTAACCTCTGCCCAGGTTGCCATGTGGCCAACATCGAGGTTACCCTTCCATGAAGGTATGTTACGGGGCAGGTTTTTGTAATCACGCTCGCCCTAATGACGGATTAGCTTTGGATGCGAACTGGAGGCAATGCAAAAATGCTTACATTCTCGTACGCGATATCCGAGCTACCACCAAGGAAATAGAAGACGGGCTGTTTCAGTGTCGCGACTGTTTGACGAGATGCCGAGTCGCTGAATTCTCCAGAGTTAAAGATCCCAATGGCCTTGACACGAGGATCGGCCGCGGTCTCGTACGCCTCCAGACCACCACAGCTCTGTCCTGCAGCAGCAATGCGGCTTGCGTCCACATTGGCATACTTGCCCTGGCCGGCGTTCTTAGTGACAAAGTCTAGCGATTGGATCAGCATTTTCGAATTGGTCTGGCCCGAGCCGGCTGGAGACCCATTGGCAATGACCAGGAACCCGTGAGAGGCCCACTCGGTCAATGCCTCATCGAACCAAGTACCGTCGGCCTTGCACGCTCCATTGCCCCAGACGAGTACAGGCAGCTTCAGATCTGCGGGAATCTCCTTGGGAAGATAGATGGTGTGGCCAGGGAGGCCTGGGTCCGTTGAGTAGCCCTGGAAGGATCAGTTTGTTTGCTATGGCTTTGGCTCAAAGAACACTCACCGCTAGATAGGGGCCACTGCCGCCAGTGCTCCCTGCTCCACCTCCACTGGATCCGCCCAGTCCGCCCAACAACCCACCGAGTCCACCTCCACTGGATCCGCCACCACCAAACAACCCACCGAGTCCACCTCCACTGGACCCGCCACCACCAAACAATCCACCAAGTCCACCCCCGCTGGACCCGCTCCCACCAAACAACCCACCAAGTCCCCCAAGCTGAGGGGCAGCTTCGGTGGCCACGGCCAAAAGACTGAGAAGGAGAGTCACAGACTGCATTTTGAAAGGAATGGAAGAAGTGAAATAACGGAACCGTGAGCTCTGGTAGTTCAAATGGTCTGTCGAGGACTGTGACTAGAAGAACGGAGAAGAGTGGTTCTTGCTGGAAAGGTCCTATTATATCACATTTGATTCCGGAATGACTACAAGAACACACGGGCCCATCTCGGCATGTTCTGACGACTTTCGAACTGCATTCATTTTAGTTAAAGCTCTTGGCAACCGTCTTCGACGTCCTTGATTTCTTCCATATGGCGCCATGAGATGGTGAAGATATGTCGCGCCTACTGATTATACGTCAAGAGAACGAGATTTTCGGACTGAGAACCCTAATTGTAAGCCAGGCGAGAAGAGTTCGGTCCCGAAGAGGTTAGTCCACAGGCGAACCGGGTCTTGGACGACCTGAGAAGCGCTGTTTGGCTGTGGAGAACGTGGCAGAGAGCAGGTGGGGATCATTCCGGAAGCGAGATTATTTAATATATGGAACGAAGATAGGGCACGTCATTCCGAGATTGCCCTAGTGCTCGCAAATGTCGCTTTGATTGACAGCTAGTAGGCGATCCCGTTTGTGATGGGAAAATTCATTAATATAGACTTTGTCCGAGTTATATTGCCAAGGATTGGGTTTAAGTGCCTAAATTTCCACAGAATTTGGAGGAGTCAACACAGCCCAGATTAGTGTTTCTACAATGTCGTGACATAGTAGATGGATATAAACATGCTCTTGACTAGAGTCTTGGAATGGTTATAGTTCGGCCGCTGTCTTGCTCAATAGTTCATTTGGGAAGAATGGTGCATTAAGGCTCAACAATGATGCACATCATAGCCCGACAGTCGAATCATAAGACAATAGGGCCACACTCAGGTTAGGAATAAACCATGAAGTGTAGAGGATTTTCTTCTAGTTTCACCTCTAGGGTTGATGCAAGCAAGAAACCGACGGTCGTGTAATTTGCAAGGTAACCATTATACAACATTGGATCTGACGAGAGCGCCGAGAGGCATACAAGAAGGCGTATTATTATTAAAATCTGCCCATCGTTAGACCCAACAGCAGATAGAGTCATAGATACCGTATTCAAGACATGCTTTCCCAAATTATGTCGAACTGCTATTCTTTGCCCGGGCAAGCTGTTCTAGATGGCCGTCGATGTGGTGTCGAAACTGACCTTCCACATATCAAAGGAGTACCTAGCTATTTCAAGCATCTCGACGTCATCAAACATATGAAACCATTTCCTGCAGCATGAGTACATATAAAATTCCGGTTGCAAGCTAGAAAATTCTATGTTCGGATCGAAGCATCGAAACTAAACAAAGAGAACCTGGACCTGAAGCAGTCACATCATGTGAAAGAGCATTTGGTGCCTTAATGCCTCAGTTGGTGATCACCTGCTTATCTAACCTAATTGGGCTAGCGTATAATTGCCTCTCACCGAATCCTAGATTGATGTCTCACACATAGGACCTTGGTTTCAGATATGTTACGAGCTGCGATCAACTCCGCTTCAGCAAGCAACGAGGCGCATCTCGCCGAATCAGAAGCCGTTTGATGGCTTGGGAAATCTCCATTTGAGAATGCCAGCTCTATTATGTGTAGGTTTCTTGCGGAGACTGTTTCTAACTTTCTGTGAAGCTCCCAGATGAAGCCGTTTGGAAACATTCGCGTGTACTGCCAGTCGAAGATCAATCCTGTTCGAAGTCTATTCATATTCCAGCTACGCCGCTTCATGATTTGAAGCTGATCATGAAATTATTCGTCTACCTTCATCTGCTCCGTTGATCGGCTGTCCCTTCACTTCGTTCCCGTACCTTTACCCGTGTCACGATGATGGTCGCCACATTCGACTTTCTATTCCTTCTTCCATTAGCAGCAGCCAAAGTTTCGCCACTGGCCTTTGATATATGTCCGTATCGATCCTCATTGGATCTCTTCGGCGGGAAATCATGCAATTATCGAGAGACGACTAGTTGCGTCGCAACAGGATTATGCGGTTCCAACAGCACCTCGGTATTACAGCAAGAACTGACTCTCAGCGAGGCAGAGATGAGAGTTTGGTCTCATAGACCAAAGTGCATGCGAAAATCCGAGGATCATGACTTTTACTGCATCTTCACGAGCACGGCTTTCGCGAATGGACGGGGCATCTCCATCTTCACGGACCCAGCTACCGCAAAGTCAATTGCAGGACTACCGGCGTTCACAAACCCCGAAACCGTAGCTCATATCAATGACGAGTCCGGATCTCCGTTCGAGAAGAGGGCTCTTCCTGGAAGGGGGTTTGGGCTGGTTGCAACACGGCCGTTCCACCGAGGGGATTCGGTTTTCTCCCATACTCCGGTATACATGGTCAATGATCAGACCTATGAGGCGTTGAATGAAGAGGATCGATTGGAAATGCAGCAGGAAGCAGTTAGACGATTACCTCCGGGAACACGGGACCTATATTTGGAGCTCCATGGGCATTTCGGTGGTGATGCCATTGACGATAGGCTTAACACGAATTCTTTCTATGTCGAGCTTGATTCGGATCGTGATGAGAAGCACAACATTATGCTCCCAGAGACATCGGTAAGTTAAAAGACCATGAAATCCGGTTCGATCCGCTATACTAACCCCGTTCAGCGGATAAATCACGATTGTAGGCCAAATAGCCACTATTGGTTCGATCCTGACACCCTGACACACCATGTCCACGCGCTCCGGGATATTCAAATCGGCGAGGAGCTCTCCATTTCATGTGAGTAGGACAATCCCTTGGGACTTTGTAAAGGCAGCGCGACCTAACCTTCCGCGCCTCAGATATTGACCCGACCCTCACCCGCAGCACGAGACAAGCGGTATTGAAAAATGGCTGGGGCTTCGACTGCAGTTGCTCGGCATGCACGCAGCGAGAGATATTCACGGCGGCTTCCGATCACCGACTCGACGCCATCGATTTCCTTACCAAGGAGCTTGCCAACCGAACAGAGGCATCTACTGCGTCCCCGGAAACGGCGGAGCTGCTCGTGTCACTGTGCGAGCAGGAGAGGTTGGATGGCCCGATTGCTGACGCGTACACGTATGCCGCGATAGAATATAATGGGGTGGGCGATCACCGAACCGCTCAAAAATATGCCATGTTGGCGATTGAACGAGGGTTGCTATATTCCGGCGAGAAGGACTCGGATGTCATTGCGATGTACCGGTTGATGGCGGACCCTCAAAATCACTGGAGCTGGATGTATAGGAGAAGTAGGCATGATCCGTGAATACCCATTCTCGTGGACGGGAACTGGGCGACGAGAATTGAAACAATCTATGTTTTACCCTAGTGGACTGACGACAACCGCCCTCCATTCCCGTTCTCTTGGGTTCGATCACGGCTTAGGCGCTCTTTGGATGGACATTGGGGGTTTCTATGGAACTCATACCCGGATGGTACTGTAGATGCAATCCTTCGCAAATTCACGGTCCGCGCCTTGTACCCTTGGTACCCACAGATTGCCTCATGCTATTTTCTGAGGCTGAAATTCCATGACCTGATACCGGCTTGCTGCGTATCAAGATTGTATACTGAAATCGAGGTCGTGACACCGGTATTCTAAGTGTTGCGATGAATCAATTGTCGACTGAGAGCGAGGCTTCAAGCCCGACTGCTACCGTCATACATAGTATGTAGTAAGCCAGACTTGCTATCTTTGCCAGAAAACCAATCTATATGTCATACACTACCGCCATAGCCCGACTATCGCACAGGATGAAGAAGGATGGCAATGCCTTAATGTCATAGAAAGCAACCGGGCGGCTGCTTGCGGGTACCTGGTGACAGATAACTCGGGAATTGGTTGAATACGCCCGCTAGGGACAGGAACAAGTCCCTAAGATTACTGATATATCGCTATCGTTAACAATTTGAGGCGCAAATATTTGAAGCCGCCGTCACCGCTTGTGGTGAGACAATCGGGTTAGTGTTATTAAACTTATTATGGATCGTCCTGTAGCGTGATGGAAGAGGGGACTATTCTTCATCTGATCATTATCAGTCCTCGCATGTCCAACACGTGTTTTATATTAATTATTCATAGCGAACAATACTGCAGTTGGTGCGTACAATTATTACAATCTCTCTGATTCCATGACCTTTCTGATACTACGACTATCTACCCCTCTCTAGCTGTCCTGCGGTTCGTAACTGTGAATTGCCCACTATCGTGACGAGTATATTCACATCTTGTTCCTCTTCTTTTCCTCCCATAGCCGCCAGTTTGCTATGGTTCTCTCCATGACAGCTCTGCATCGGAGACCGCAGAATACGAACGTCCACACGAATCGATAGCACGACGAGCATACAATATCATCGCTTTGCATTCGATTGTCCGCTAGAGACCATCCGTGTAGGCCGATACCTCACAGTTCCACAACTGTTGACTCGCCCAAATCACAATGCAGATATACCTTTCGTCCTTTCCTACCCATCAAGGCGATTCTAGAGAGAATATATCCCGCTTTGCCATTCTACATAATGGCTGGAAACGTCCCTTTCGACCGTCTCGCATACACCTCCATTGAGCTTCTGCTGAACTCGCTTCCCGACCGAAATGACATCCCGGAGATTACCGATCATGATGCGGAGCTGGACTCGGTACCGAATCCTGGCGAAGAGCAAATGGATACCCCTTTAAAGGAGCTGGAGGAAGTAGTGGACATCGCCGAGGATGCGTCTTCAGATCTATTTGCACGAGCTCTGACCCGACTGCTTCAGTGCATGGTCTGTTCGTATCCATTGCGGGATGGCATCAACCTACCATGCGGACACTCCGTATGCCGGCAATGTATTTCCACCGAGGGGAATGGTACGGTAGCCGTAGCGGGCGAAAAGCCGTCGATAGGAAATGCCGAAGGCTTGATGTGCTGTCCCGTTCGCACGTGCCGGAAACTCACAGCATCTGCGTCGATGAAAGTCGACAGAAGTCTTATGGCAGTGGTGGATTGCATGTTGAGGCTTATAAAGGAGACATCAGAGGTCAGCATCCCACAACTTGTCGCCGGACACACGGAGCGTCTGGCTCAGTATTCCGCGAACCACCCTTGGAGTTATGATGCGGAGGGCGATAGAGCGGCGCACTTGAAAAAATACGTTCTACTGAAACAGCTCCTCCACACGAAAACGGTCGAGACAGCGCTCATCCCGACATTTCCTCATCTGTGCTCTATGTTCGCTTTCGCCGCCCAAGGTCGATTTCCATACGATAACGACCTGATTTTCGAAAGACCCACGCCAGACTCGGGGCAAACTAGCCAAATAAATCTAGAGATGCCTAATCTAGTCCGAAACCAACTTGAGCGCGAGCTGGACTGTCCCATTTGCTACAAGTTGCTCCTCTACCCGACTACGACATCATGCGGCCACACATTTTGCCGTAGTTGCCTGCTACGAGCGTTGGACTTCTCCATCCTCTGCCCGAACTGTCGTCAAGAGCTCAAGATGCATGGCACCCTTCAAGGCCATGAACCAAACCGAGTCGTAACCGGACTGACGCAGCTTCTCTTCCCGGACCGGTCCGAGCAAAGGCGACAGGAAGATCTTGCAGAGTTGCATGATGGGGACGAGCCGGACGAGATACCGTTGTTTGTTTGCACTATAGCTTACCCTCAAGTGCCCATCTATTTGCATATATTCGAACCCCGCTACCGGATCATGATCCGCAGATCATGGGAAGGGAACCGGCAGTTTGGAATGGTCTTCTTCGCCAAGTGCCTACAGGAGCAGCATGGGGAGGATGCGAGCACTCAGGATCTCGGAAACCCTGGGCAGCTCATGCCTGGCAAGTATTACATGGAATACGGCACCATCCTTCAAATCGTGGAGAAAGGAGACCTCCAAAGCGGACGGATCAACCTCCAGCTAGTCGGGGTCAGTCGATTCCGAACTGTCAGTGTTCGTCGACATGAGGACGGGTACCTCATGGCCCGCATCGAACGACTCCAGGACGTCTCCGACGAGCTCGAGGCGTCCATTGAAGCGGCGGAAGTCGGTTCCAAAGGCGAGCTCAACCTCAGCGACCGCACCGGCTCCGGCTCCGGCCGCCTCGACACCAAGTTCGTGCAATGCTACGGCCAGCAATACTTCCGCACGCTTAACTCCCTGACGAACGCGGAGCTCATGAAGAAAATCCACACGTGGATCCCCCTGTACAATTCCTGGCTCCGGCCCAGCACGCGCCGTAAGATTCGCATCGCGTATGGGGATCCGCCGCTCGACGACCCGAAAGTGCTGCCGTACTGGACGATGCATATGATGCCGACGAACCAGGACGAGCTGTACCGGATGCTCAAGGCGGACACGGTCCGGGAACGGTTGAAGCTCACGTGCCGGCTCATCGACGAGATCGGCATCCATGAATGGTGGTAAGTGCAATCTTCTATCGCTCCGTCATCCGATACGGCTCATTTAAGCTAACAGGAAAATGCCTGGAGCTCCCCGTTTATTCCCATTCGCGTAGTTACCCTTCGTCGCATCCTGGCGATTGTCTGCCTATTTTTGGCGCTTTCCATCGCGAGGACGATATGAAAACGATACTGACACAACCTCGCATGAATTGTTGTGTATTTTACTTGCTGTTGCATGGATCAAGGATATCCTGATCTCTTGAATGGCGGTGGTTGAAAATATCCCTTGCATTTACTGGAGCAGTTGAGCAGGTAGTATATTTGATGTTGCTGAACGGAAGCCGGATTTGTATGACGGTTCAGGTATTCTTGTCTAAGTGCATATGATAATGATAAATCGAGATTTATCATTTTATGATCAGCCAATACCCGGTATTATCAAGCGACTTAATTAGCTCAGATTCCATGAACTTACCTATTGGATGGGTGGTTGGAATTGAAAAGCCTATCTTTGACGGGTGCAATTCCGAGGCCGGTCGCACAAGTCGATGTGGCGTTTGCGTGATTGTATCCAGAACTACGCCTGTACGGCACCTTTATTTCCTAATAATAATAATACCGGATTTAAGGCTTCATAATGACGGGTTTATGTCAAGTTGTTCCGCGGCTGCATTGTCACACAAACCGAGCTGAGAATCCACCATCCCCGGACAGTAGTCTCAAGTTGCGTCACGTGGGTGGCTTGTTGTCCAACGTTAGCAACGGAGGTCCGCAACCGTGACTGGAGCAATCAAGCGCGCGAGCAAGCAACTGGAGCACGCAAACTAGATGCCCAAGTCGACTCCTGGGATGATTGCGATGGAATTGGGATGGGATGGGGACCGCCCTCCCGTGAATCCGACGCTCCCAGGCCTGCAGCCAGGCCAAATCCGGTCCCTGAATGTTTCCTGCTTCCTGGCTTTCTCTGCTGCCGTGCCCCTCGTCGGTTCTTCCGTCACTTTCTAAGACGTGGAGCTGCTTCTGTTAGGGTCGCCAGTTGGGCCCTTCGCTCATCGCTGATGCGCTCTCCATCCTCCTCCGGTCCCTCTCCATCGCCCTCACCCTCTCCTCACCTTCTCCTCACACTCTAATCCTCTCCTATCATATTTAGGAAGCTTGAACCCGTTATTTGGTGTTGAAACGTGGGATTTGCGGCGCATTTTCTCCACGTTAATTTGCCGTTTCACTCTTTGCGACACCAAGGATTATCGATATGCCTCCAAGAAAGCGAAACCGAGAACCGGAGGCGGACGAGTCCGAGGAAGAGCTCGTCGCTCTGCCGTCCGACGACGATGGCGAAGAAGAAGAAGAGTAAGTAATTTCTCATTTTCATATCGCAGCGCAGCGCGGAGCGCAATTGCGATCGCCTTTTCGTCTGTTCCAATTCCACGTTCCCAGTCTTTAATGATTCAATCCTCCCCCACCTGCTCCACTCTGCCTCGCGCAATCCAATTGTTGGTCGTCGTCGTCATGTCGTCGTCGCCATCGCCAGCCTCGCGCGACCCGTTCGTCGTCGTTTGCGACAATGGCGATTCGATGAGCAATTGAGAAATTCGGCGTTGCCGGAGTGTTGTATTTGATGTTGCTAGAATGGTTGGAGCTTCTCAGAGCTGTCCATGATGGAGCTCCAATCCGCGGAGCTCTCCTTCAGCCCGTCCAATCCCAGGAAACGTTCAGCGGCTTCATCGATATTTTCGAGGAATGCCTTACCTCATTGGCTGGTCTTTTCTCACCTTCAATATCTCGTCGGTATTCATCGTTTCGGCTGACTAACTGGCGTCGTGTTCAGATATGACGAGGATGATGACGAAGAGGACTACAGCGAGGACGAAGAAGACTCCGAGGAGGAAGCTGCAGAAAAAGAAGAGCCCGCTGCTCCTAGTAAGTGTCACTAGGCATCGATTTGCTCCATCATTCCCTAACACCGTCTCCGCAGCTCCCGTGACTAAAAAGCGCAAGCTCCAGCCTGCTGCCGACGAAGAATTGCCCAAAGAGGGGGAGGGCGAGCCAGAAAATGAGGAGGAGGAAGCCGAGGGAGAGGACGATTCCGAAGCCGATGAGAGTCTCGCCGCCACGAAAACAAAGAGAGTCTCTGGAGAAGCATCTGCGGACCACGGCAATGGTGAGGTTGGCGTCGCTGATGACGAAGAGGACGAGGACGAGGAGTGACGGATGGGATATGATATACATGGCATATGAAATATCCAGAGAAGGATCTCTATGGAAATCGGGTTGGGAAATGGTTGAATAAAATATACTTTCTCTGGGTGTTTAATTGAAGGTTGTTTTGAAGGTCGGGTTCGCATGATGACTCTGAAACTCCACACGAGGGACATAAGATAATTTGGACTGCTGGTAGGAATAATTAATGACGCCAACAGGAATTCTTGATTCCTATATAAGTTGAACAAAACAACCACTCCAGCGGCTTGCTTAATTGCCTACTCTAAAAGTTGGGAATGATGACAATCTGTGTCGATAGGACCTCCAACCTCCGGTAGCCGGTATTGGTCAAAGTCAAAGACCCATGGATAATAGCAGCGGATAACCATAAAAGTAATAAAGGATCCATGAACAGTGTAGGAGAAATATCCAGATGGGCAGAACATTCCCCACAGAAGAAATCAATATAACTAGTGATATATTTAGGCCTTCTCCGTGGCTGATGGAGGTATCAAATTCAGGCATCAAATCCAGGCTTTCAATCACCATCTCAGCCTAGGCAACAGAGTTGTGCCTGAGGCATCTAAATATATCTGGAGAATTCACTTCACGATTTCACGACTCACGTCTCATCATTACGATTCTGGACTTTCACTTTGAATTTTACATCTCCAAACTTCTCTTATCACAATCCACCTTGGTCAATCCCACTACTAATTTCTTCTTACCTCTATAAAACCATTTTCCCAACTACCCACATACTTTCATCCTTTTGCTTTCGTCCATCACCGCTTTGACCCCAACCTTCCCGGTGACTCGATTGGTATTGCGGGGGTACCCCTTAGACGGCATTATCATATGCGGTCGGAATATGACGTGTGAGCCTTCGATACACCAAGCCGAAAACCTCAGGATCTCTTGGAAATCACATCATACCTAGCAAGAGCGACTCTACCATCCCCTTGGAGGATTCTTCATCGTCACTCCCGTCCCGCCACCTGGACCTCAACTCCTTCACAATGTCTACCGACGCGGCGCAACCCCAACCACGCCGAATCCCTCGATTCCCCTCCATCAAAAATGCCCGACCGAGACAACATCGATCCTCGGCCGCGTCTGCTCCTCATGGCTCTCCGTCTCGCGATCCAACCCCACCATCTACTCGAGGCACCCTACTCCCCACTCCTGGAGCCAGCCGCGATGACGCAGCATACAATCAAGCCCCACCTCCGAAGAAACCGAACAATTCGGGTCATCCTGCTACCAGTCAGCCATGCCCGGAGTGTGGTGAGAGGGAGGTCATCGAACACGACGGTGAGATTGTTTGCACCATGTGCGGAACGAAGATCGCGGACGCCAATATTGTCGCGGATGTCATGTTCGGTGAGACGTCGACCGGTGCGGCAGTAGTGCAGGGAGGTTTCGTCGGCGAGTCGCAGCGATATGCAAAGACGATGGGCACTGCCTTTAGGAAGGTCGGAGGAGGAACCGACAGCCGAGAACAAAGCATGCGGATCGGTCGAGACGAAATTACAAGATTGGCGGCGGCTTTAAACCTCCACGCCCAAGTGGAATCCGCCGTTGGAATCTACAGCTTGGCCCACACGAACGGTTTTATCCAGGGTCGTCGCACCTCTCTGGTTGCGGCCGTGTGCCTCTATGCCGTTTGCCGACGCGATAACAAACACGATTTCATGATGCTGGAATTTGCGGAGAAGCTCAAAATCAACGTCTACGTCATTGGCGATACCTACAAAGCATTGGTCAAGAAACTGTATCTCTTCGACTATGAGAATGGAAGCTCGAACGATAAGAAGGAATTTTCACCGATTCTCAACCTCGTGCCTCTTATCGAGAAGTTTGCCGGGCGATTGGAGTTCAAAGACTCCTATTTTCAAGTCGTTTCGGATGCGAGCTTGATTCTTAGTCGCTTCAAACAGGACTGGATGGTCACGGGGCGGACTCCAGCAGGTTTGATCGGTGCGTGCATCATTCTTGCTGCACGTATGAACAATTTCCGGCGAACGGTTCGAGAAGTCGTCTATGTGGTAAAGTCATCCGATGCCACCATCCTAAGCCGACTCCTCGAATTCCAAAACACCGTCAGCAGCAAGCTTAACGTGGATCAATTCCGACAATATGCGGATAAGCTGAAGATTCAACATAATCCGCCTGCGATCCAGAAGAGCAAGGAAAAATCCGAGCGGCTGGAAAAGCTCAAACGTAAGCGGCAGGGAGAAGTGGATCAAGACGAGGTGCAGCAAACGATTGAGGCGGCCGAGATGCTCACCCAATCCTCTTCATCCTCATCATCATCTTCATCATCCACTGCGGCGCAGAAGGCGGTCAAGGCTAAGCCAGGAAGGCCTAAAGGCTCGAAAACAAAACGGACTAAAGAATCGGAGCCATCGCGGAAGAAGCGGAAGCTTGATAAAGATGGATTTCTTATCCCCCCCCTTCCAACTCCGGCATCGTCCATGAGCGTCTCGCGTTCCGCGACGGCCGAATCGGCTCACGACGCCGCATCCCAGACGGAAGACGACATGGACCGCGCCCCGACACCCATGTCTCTTGCAAGCGATCTCTCCATGACGGTTGAAGAGGCCTTCGCAGTCGCGTCCGTTATGACCAATGAAGCTGCAGGCCCGAAGCTGCCGGGGCGAAAGAAGCGCAAGAGGTCCGACGAAGATCGCGTCAACATCATCATCAACGACGAAGACCTCATCGACGAGAACGACACCCTCGAACGGGACATCGAAGAGTATATCCCCGAATTGTTCAAATTCTCCGAAGACCTCATCACCTCGGCTGCCACTCGTGCCAAAGTCCAAGCGGAGCACCTCCGCGGTACGAGCAGCGTCCTCGACAGCACGGAGATCGGCGAAGACGAGTTTGAAGACGACCCCGAAGTGGCCAATTGTCTCCTGTCCGAACCCGAAATCCGTGTCAAGGAACGCGTCTGGGTCACGCACAACAAGGAATGGATGCTCGCGCAGGCCAAGAAGATGATCCAGAAGGAACTCGAGGAGCGCGAGATGGCCGAGAACGGCGGCAAGCGGCTCGTGAAGCGGCGCCGCAAGATGGGTCGCATGGGAGACGGGAGCGTTCTGGAGGGCGGAAAACCGGTCACGAACGCGACCGAGGCGAGCGCGCGGATGCTAGCGAAGCATTCGAAGAATTTCCTGTCGAAACATGTTCACTGGGACAAGCTGATGTCGATCTATGGAGGGGATGAGGAGGCTCGTGCGCCGTCAGTTACTTCGGGTGCTCCGTCCGTTGCGGCGGGCGAGGCAGGAGAGCCTGGACAGGCCGCCGTCGGGATTGGCAGGCATCCGGACGAAGAGATCCTGGAAGAGTTCGCGTCCGATGAGGAGGACGAGGAGGAGGATCGTAGGCCCGCTGCAAAGGGCGACGATGAGGAAGAGGAAGTGGAGGAGAGTGGCGAGGAAGAGGACATGGGTGAAGAGGATGAGGAAGTCTATGATGACGAGGAGTTCTACTAGTTTGGGGGCTGTCCTAGTGACCAAAGTGAGGAGGCATTGGTAGAGACTGTCGTTACGAATTTCCTTGCTCGGGAACCACCAACTATGGGTCCAGTATCAGCATGTGTTGGAGTTGGGAGTTCTGTAGCATTTCCCGGAGGGGAGCATTTGCATCGAGATTGATGCCGGAATGCCTACTTTATCATGAACGCTAGCAAGTACTATAGCCTGGATAGTTCAATGCACTCAAATTCACTATCACAAGCTTGTCCAGATTACATGAGAATAGCATAAACCCTCTTTGGTGCTTGAGGTATCTCATGTTTTCCACGAAAACTATGACACGCTTCTGCGTCTATCTGAATTGAATCACGAACGGTTGATAAAATCGTGGTGATTCAACCTTAAAGACCAGGCACGAATGCCTCACTAGCAAGCCATTATGTCGCGCCTAAATTTGTTTCTCTCTTAGTCTCCTCCATTCCAGCGTCGTTCATCGGACCACACGAGCGACGACGTCTCAGAACAGCAGCGTCCCTCACGTATTTACGGTGCTGTGGCTGAACACGCCGAGCACATTGTCATCTACCAACCAGGCTGTGTCAAATTCTTCTGGCGGCAACTTTCGCGCCAATCCGTAGCCTGGCTTCGGATAATGCGCCGGTGGGTCGGTGTCATAGCCCGGGTCGTCGGGTTCGAGAGGCGGAGGTGGGTGGATGATAGATAGGTGGTCTGCGTGGAATAGAGGGATTGCGGCATGCTTGGTAGAGATGTCGACCAGCAGGTCGACAAGGGTCGAGGGCGGCAATGAGGTGAAGTATGAACGTTTCTTTTCAAGGCATGGTCAGTTTAGAACGCAAGGCCATAGGTTGCTCTGAATAAGGCGAACTTCGAGCGTACATACCTCTGCGGGCGAGAGTCCAGATCCTGGCACCAATCGAGTAGTTGCCTCGGTGAGCTTGGTGGGCTTTCCAGAACCGTTCTTCTGAAGGCCAGGTCGAGCCGGCCGTGTACACTTCGAGCAGAACCAGTCCGCGTTCTCGTTATCGATGGACTCTCTCGGAATCGGCGGGTGATGGCAGTACTGATGATACGTGGCTCCACAGCTCGCAGTGCTGCAATATACGATCGGATTCTCGGCTGGCGAATTGGCGCGCCCGCATAGCTTGCAGACCACGATCTCCAATGCCTTCCGCCCGCTACCACCGACTCTTCGTTTCGGATGGGACACAGGCGACGGAATGGCGGGGACGTATTGCGACGGCTTGGTCACGCTTCGTCCTGACTTCGTCATCGTTTGGGTCAGGGTGACCTCGACCGACGAGTCTGAGTCGTCTGCCACCTTTCGTTTCCGTTCCTCATCATCATCTTTCTGTTTCTGTTTCTGTTTCTTCCCCGACCCTTTCGGACGCCCGCGCTTGCGTTTCACAGGTTGCGTGAGCGTGCTCCCGTCGCTGTTCTGCACCGTGACCATATTGCTAAGCACATGCTGGCGCGCGGCGATGTATTGCTGGGACGTTTCGGGATGCGACGTATTGGGCGCGGTGGGCGCGGTGGGCGCGGTGGGTCCAGGGATGAATTGAATGAAGTTTGGGGATGCGGAGGGAAATGTGGTCATTCTATTGTGGAATTCATCGTTCACATTTGGTGATGGAGTCGGTGCCAGATCCATGATCGCTCCTGTGATCGGTATTCACTAGGATATCGTGTGTGTGAGACTACGAAGTAGGATCGAATATTCATCCGCCTTCGGCCAGGAGAGCTCACAGAACGATTTTGGCCTAAAGGTTTATCAATTTCAATAACGAATAACGTAGTAAGAAAGTTTTCAAACCTCTGATATCCACTTCCTACAAACGCCCAAGTTCGGAGGAGAGATGTATTCCGAGGCTTTGTAGAGGTGATCGGTGAACGTATGGTTTCGGGTAAATCTGGCGACAGTATGTGAGTAGAGAAGTCGACTACGGCTTGAAATCGCTTTTTTGGTCGATAGGTTTAACTATTATACATACGGTGCTTGAGTAACTTGAAGGTTTCTCGAGTCTAGAAGTCGGAGGTCTAACTAGGTTCCAGAATTGACGTCTTGCACTCGACGCTCTGATTGGTGGACCACGGTTTTCACTGTTCGAGGTTGAAGGATAAAGAAACCATAAATTGAATGACATTCAGAGGGCAACGGCCCATGGAAGATACATTTTCTAACGCTTATGACGCCTTGGACGGCTTCCGCATGTACAATTGCATGAAGCCTTGGAACATATCCTTCACCAAAGGAAGTGCCCGGGAAACACCTCCATCCAACACCCTTGCCAGCTGCTCTTTTCGCACAACCGGACGATCGTCACCGACTGGCTCTTCATCGACCTGCATTATCGAGTCATCATCCGCTTCGACCATGTCTACTTCATCGGCCTTGATTGCCAAACTTTGCGGCTTGTCTTTCCGCGACACCTGTCGTGTCATCGCATCAACGGGGATCATCGACATGCTTTCGCCAATGGTTCGAAGCTCCGCATAGCCATTCAAGACCAAGAACCCATCCGAAGCGACTAGTGGCGTAAGTGCCGACACCACCGCTGGGATTGATTCGGACAGGATAGCCTCCCGTTGACCCGGTTTGAAGACCTCGATCCTCGTCTCGAACCCACCTGCCGACGTCGACTTCAAGACAGGGTAAGCAACGGCGAACTTCTCCCCCGATGAACTGGCTGCCAAATGAGATAATGGCGCCGCTCTCCAGGGAGACAGAAGTTCCCCATTGACGATGCTCTCCTTCCATAACAACTCATTGCAGACGACATCCCAAACAACGATCGAGCTGGACAAGACTACCAGATGGCGCCCGCAGAATGCCATGCTAACGAGACCATAGTCATACAATCCAGATTCGGAATTTCGGATCTTTCCGTTGTGCGCGTCGATGAAGTGAACCGTTGCGCGAAGCTCGGTCTCATCGAACTCCTGGGTCGCAGCGAGGACCGATCCATCCGTTGAGTATGCCAGATGTGCATTAATCGCAGACTCGGTGTTTGTAACATCCGCTTCGTCGAGCGACATCAGCTCCTTCTCCAATTCAGTGGCACTCGAGCACGTCCATGTCACCAAGCTTTCATTTGCGTTGTCGCGAACCGTCGTTCCATTCCTGAAACGAGTCTTTGGCTTCCATATCCGAACAATGCCATCGTCGCCAATCGTGGCGACCGAATTGCGCTTGGGATGTGCCACTAAGCCAAGGACACGGCCATAGATGCGTTCATCGTTCGAGGCATGCGGTGCATCGATCCGGGTGATGAGGGTCCATTGATTGTCGGTCTTGTCCCATGACCAGAACTTCAAGTAGATTTCCGCGCGGATCTCCCGCTCGTTTTCAAGACCGTCGCCAGGAGCTTCCAGGTATTTGACTTGTTCCGCGGAAGGGAACCACTCTTCCACCGTGACCATCCAATTTCCGTCATGAGTGAGCTGCAGACATTTCACGTTCGGCTCCTTCAAATTTTCTAATTCGGAGTTGACGTTCGGGTTGGTCGTATTGTTTCGGGTAAGGGCTTGTTTCCTGTGGTGGCGAGCATCATAGAAGTCGAAGGTCTGGAGGAACGATGCAGGTTTCGCTGCTTCTCTGTCCAGCCGCCACTGGGAGAGAGGGACGGCAAAATGAACTCGCGTGGGGCACGAAGGATCTACCACCACCGGAGTCCTCGCCTCGAAATTGCGAACTTGGGGCTTTTCCTTCGAATCGTCTCGTAGCACATCCAGCAAGGTTTGGGGGTGGCATATTCTGCTTTGGACCGATGCGATGACTGCGGTTGGTTGAAGTTCGGCCGTGGATAGAACCATGACGGAATTGTCCGCAAGAGCAACGGCATATAATGTGCCAGATGGAGAGACCGTCACCGAATCAATGTCAGCCAGCAGATGAGGGAGGATCTGCCTGGAACCGGTATCCAGCTGCCATAGGACAAGAGACGTTTCCTTGCCGCCGGAGATGAGGTATTTACCTACAATGCTTAGTGAATGTATGCCCTAGTGGTGAAGGTGACTTACCATCATTAGAATACTTTGCGGAACCGACTGCTCCTCGATGCCAATGCAGCAGTCGTGGCGCTAGGTTGAGGGAACCGATCGATCTCTCCGTTTGCTTTAGCTTACGAAGGATGTTTTCGTAGCTGTAAATAATTCCGTCCTCACCACCGAGCGCTAGGTTGAGTTGAGACTTGGAGTCCACTTTGAGCGATTTCGCGTCGAACGAGCTAATTCTCTCATTGACCTCCACTAGTCTCCATGTATAACTTTGATCAGTCTTAGAGGGTTCACCGATAGCAACGGATCTGGACGAAACCGCGACAAGACATTCGTCCCCAATTGCTTTCAGACCAGTGATCTCCATCGAGCTCTCAAATACCGTCCATGGCTCGCCAATGAATCCATCTCCGCTTTTGACGCTTTTTGCAACGATGGCTGGAGTAAGCTTCGTCCTATCCTTTTGGGAAAGATGGAACACGGCGAGAAGAGCTTCTTCCTCGGGAGATTTGCCTGGCACCACGGCAATATGCTTCACCGCGTGCGCGGTCTCCCATATCGAAATCGCCTTTTCAAGGCTCCAATCCCACAGTAAGATCCTGAGGGCAGATGTTGCGACGTACATCGAGGAGGGTTCGACATTCGATATGGCGACGGCTGTAATGGCGCCGTATTGCGGAGGAACGATGAACTTCGAGGATAGAAGCGAGTCTGCGAGGAGGTAGAGTTCGACCGATCGACGAGTCGCCAATATCAGATACCTAGGTTTGAGTGTTAGAGCAACCGTTGAGAGGCGGTTGTAGAGGGACATACTCTTCATCCGCTGAGAAAATGGGATCAATGGCAAGGAACCTGCCCCCGATGGCTCGATCCCGTCCGCCAACAACGGAGTTGAGCGCTCCATTCAGCTCTTTAAGCTGAGATTGCAGATTCCGCTGGCTCTCGGGAGACGTCCGGACCTCCTCTTTCTTCTGCAGTTGGCCGGGCTTCTTCTCGGAAGGCTTTGGCTTATTTTCGCCATCCTTATGAGGTTTGTCTCCAGATTTCCTGGGGGGTTTCCGTGCCTTGGATTTGGGATGCTTCGCTTTCTTGACCTCATGCTTTGAAATATCCTCTAGCTTCTTGTTCTCATCCTCTGAGACTTTCTTGACCTCATGCTTTGAAGTCTCCTCTCGTTTCTTGCTCTCGTCTTCAGAGACCTTCTTCTGTTTCTTAATGGGTTGCTCTTGACGGGACGGCTCTGCAGCCTCCTCGGCGGCAGTCCACTTCCGCTTCCCCTTACGACCCATATTGACAGGATCCGGACAGGAAAATTGTAAATGGGTTTCCGCTAAAGCAAAGATGAGTAAATGAGTGCGGGCAATCTCAACACCCGTGCGATAGAAGAGCCTCCAGGAATTTTTGGCGCCAAGATTTCGATGGACGTTCTAGGCCCAATTTTTCACGTGATCGTGAATTTCATTCGCGACAAACATTATTTGCCCTCGACTGCATATCGAAGCAGCTCAACTTGACGATAATCTGCACAAGTACCGGTACTGATAAGTTTTCGAGATCTAGAAAGCAGCAGCGTGCAGTTTCCTCAAAATGATTATCCCAATCCGATGCTTCTCTTGTGGAAAGGTTCGTTACTCCCACCATCGCGCAACTCAAGTCTAACTCAATGAGCAGGTTGTCGGCGATCTTTGGGAGCGATACCTCAAGATGATTGAGGAAGAGGGACTTGCTGATGGGTATGAGACATGATGGAGCTTATATGGGCGACACCCACTGACATGATCCCAGGGAGGCTATGGACAAACTCGACCTGAACCGCTACTGCTGCCGAAGAATGATCATGACACACGTGGATTTGATTGAGAAACTCCTACGGTATGCGTATTTGGAAGATGCTTGTGTAGTATATCTTTTGCTAACGACTATATGCAGGTATAATCCTGCCGATCCCGCGAACCAGAAGCATCGACCGAAGGCTGGGTCGTGAGCGCGACGCAGGACGAGTGCGTGGCGTTTTCCACGAACCACCGGTTTAATATCTCTTCGCCCCCCCACCCATATCGACTGTTGCTTGAGGAGCACTTATATACGAATATCGTGCGCATTGGCATGCAGACAGTGCTGTCACTAGACAATTTTCAAGGTCGACACTCAGCAAAAGCATGAGATGTAAGAGGAGTTGCAAGCAAGGCGTTTTTGGAGGTATGGCTCTGCATGTGCTTGGAGTTAGGCTCAGGACGTAGAAGAGCGTCGGAAATATCTCTCGCGAAACCCAACAAGGGCGATCCGGCTTGTTTCTTTAGAAGGGACCACTACAAGGGTTATCATCTCGGTATTCTGCGTCTTTCTTGGGCTGGTACTGCCGTCATTCTGAAGACCGAATAGATTGATCATGCAGATGGTCGGTGAATCAACGGAATTCCGTCTCTCTCCACTATCTGTCCGTGAGCCGTGAAATCATGACACTGGCCTTCAACAATACAGTCGCACCGTCAGCAACGCTTCTTCTCCCGGGAAAGGTATTCTAATGAATTCCACCGCCCACCAAACACTCATGATGTTGACATTCCAGCTTCCGCTGTGCTCAATTCGCGCGACCACTTCTCTGCAATCTGCTCATCCTCTTCTTACCGGGAAGATTCGAAGCCGTACACCAGTGTCTTGGATGCCGGTAGGTATGATCCATTTACTTCCTGCGCAGGAATTCATCAGTGGTGATTCGGTACCTGCTGCTCCTTGAATCATGTACGATACGGTAAATACTGCGACTAGTGTCATTTTTGTGGTAGGGTGTACAGACACAATAATATCGATTGGCGTACTGATCCCACCTGTGACCTCAAAATTGCGAACTACGGACTGGTAATTCATGGCTGGTATCCATCAGGCTTGATGGTCATTGAGGAATGTCGGTAGCCCCGAGGAGGTCAAGTCCCAGTCAGGGGATACCCGACACAACGGAAACCATGAACACAACATGAATAGGGGCGTTTCGAGATAGGGGATTGCAACATCGTGATTTAATGAAAGTCGTGCCTCGCGACACGAACCGGCAATGCAGATACACTTCGATCGATAGCGGTGTGTCTCGGCTCTCTAAATTTCAAAGAAGCCGCAAAGCCTCAACAGAACCTTGTGGACCATGTCTGTCCTTGTCCTTCCGAGCTTCTGTACATCAGTCGATGGCTCCAGATGGGTCCATCGTGCTGTGGAGGTTCCATTGCTTTGGATTCCCATTCGGCGCTAGAAGGCTGCTAGAAGGCTGCTGGCAGGGTTCCACGCCTAAAATTAGGGAGGAAAAGCGACAGGTAAGGCATGGGGACAGGGCACAACTGGAGATCATTATTGGTGGCTTGCCCTTCATAGCTCTCACTGTTTAGTTCTCGGAGCACACTCGGCGCTTTAACTAATTAACAGCGTATGGATTAAGTTAGTTAGGGAGTGAATTACTTAGGGCTGATGGTAGGGGTGGGGAAATTGCAGAATGGAATTTTGCATTCACGGGCCAAAGCGGTCGTAAGAATCTAAGCCCTATGGCTGCTGACCAAACGTGTGCTCGGTGGCGTGCTGAATCATTTCGTTTTCGGGTGGGGTCACCGGCATGTGTGTTCCTGCAGTCCATTTACCTTTTCAGGCTTGAACCTGAAGCGAGAGACGGTCAGATCAGTAGGCGAGGAGAAACAGTTCACTTTGGATTATGGTCCGGAAGACAATGAGACGATTAAAACCCCTTCCTAGTTGTAGTGTCACCGTAATTGAGGTGTGCAGAGGAATGCTGTTGTATTGCGACGTATCATCGCTCAGTAGAAACGGTACCGGTATCGGGATCGGGATCGTAGCTCATTGTGTTCCAGATTCCAAGGCTTCAATTGAAGGTACGCACCGAAAGTTATGATAGCAGAGGGCAATTAACCATTTCCTGTTTGGGAAGTGGATAGCTACCGGTAATTCATCGGACTATAACCATCGGATGCGTGCCGTCCTGCCGTGTACGGTAATTCATAATTGGATATCAAATTCCTTCCTCGGGAATATATTAGCATTCTACAATCTATATTGCTGCGGCAATACGGCTTTCGTCGATGAATCAGCATTTCAGTCGGGGCCGAATGGGCTGGAATTGTCAGCACTCAGCAGCCCTACGAGGTTGATCGCTAATCAGTCAGCAGGAAGAGGGGTCATCCCACCAATCATTCAACACTCGCACGCCATGGTTCTGCAATCTGCATCATGAGCTTTAGAAATCGGCTTGATGCATGTTATCATACGCTCCAGTACGGTATATACGATAAACCACGATGGTGTCATTTTCGCAAACAGGCTTCACAATCTTGGTAATCGTTCGCGTCGACTGACGTTGTGCAGGTTCTGTTGTCGCTGGAGATAGGCTAGGACCCCTTGATTTGTGTCGAAGCACGAGCAATATTGATCAAATGTTGATGACCATCTCGGGTGAAGGAAATGTGACATCTCGCGAGAGACCGGGTCTGATCTCGCGAACCCGTGTCGCAGTCAGATGTGTCGCGACCGACTCACTCTCTCCAAAGTCCAAGGTCCAGATGTGGGTTCGAGAGAGACAGTTCATGTCACGGGCCGGCATGTCGTGAAGCCACACCCCACCCCAGGCGTCCCACTCATCCAGACACCGCATCAGGCGGTCAAGACAACGAGAGGGGTGCGCAGTTGGTTCCGCACGCCCTCTAATGGCTGGGGAGGAGGGGTCTTTTAGATCCGCTGGAACAAGGGCAGGAATGTTGTACATTGCCCGAATGCAGCATAGGCTATTCATGTTTGGCAGGCATCAGCTGGGGGACGTTGGGGGCATCGGGGTATTGGCTCGGGCTTGCCGTTAAACCCCGAGCAACTGGAAACAATCGGTCTACGAATCTCCAGGCTCTCTAGTCTGCCAGGCCAGAGTGACAGGCTGCCAGCAATGCTACGGTTGCAGCCCAGTGATTACGTGTTGTAAGAAATACAGGGTGCTGTGAGTCCGACCAAAGCGAACGGCATCGGGGCTTAGCTTGTCCTATTTCCGCCATGAATTTGGCAGCCTTGCGACTTACGAGCGATACGCTTGCGATTGTCCACATCAGCAGCGGAGCGCAGTTGCTGGGTGACGACTCACTCGGGCTTAGGGCTCATGTATTCGTCGTCGTCCCAAGGCAGCCTTAACTAAATTTCTTCTGGCGGGTGGATTAATTCATAATTGTGTTGCGAATGCCAGCCACGCCTCCAGAGCGGAGGACGAATCCCTCCCGCTGCCCGCGCGACCCAGCCATTCACCCAGCAACTGCGGTGTTCGAAAAGGCGATGGATGCCTGCGAGTTACGTTGCATCCTGGCGACATGGTCCAATTCGAGAATGCACCGCGAGATGAAACAATCCGAGAAGAGCGGAAATTGAGGCCATGTCGAAGGAAGCGGAGATACACCATATCCTGCATGTCCAGTGTTTATCGACAATTGCAATTGATGATAGAACGTGTACGCCTTACCCCTCGCCAGACCCCAAGATAAATACCCATTCGCCTATTCGGGACCATTTGGAATGGTGACGTGCAGGGCAGCAGGCAGGGACTTAACAGCAGGAGTTAAGGGAGTCAAATTCACAATCATGATGACTGGGCATAACGGAGGAAAATCGGATGAATGATCAGGTAAGGTGAAATGAGCCCTATGAGGATGGGCCGATGGGTGGGGCATTATTGAGCATAACTGCACAAGGTGAAGGAGGATGTGTAATCAGGATGATTTCATCAGCAAGAATGCCAAAGAATTTTGCGAATGACTCCCAAGGATACAGGGCGTTTTACAGGGCGTGGCAGCAGGCGTCGGACCAGAGATTTGTGCGCGGAAGAGTCGGGCGACAGGGCGGACAAGGATGGGCCCGGGGGATTAAGGTGGTTCGGACTTTCGGTTGACAAAGTTGATGATGAACCAGAATGATTAGGAATGACCGAATGAGGTTATGAGGTGAATCGCATGTCTGAGTGAGGGTGACTGAGTGACGGACTTACAGAGTGCCTGGCTGACTGATACAGAGGATTAGAGGGTGTGAGGGAGGGGAGCGACATTAAGCCGGAGATGCATGCGGGCTCTAACTGCGCAAGTCGGTGAAAGACAACGTATCCTCCGGGTCGCCTATTAATCCACACCCTGTCAAGCCACGGCCGAGACGGAGTTTACGAAAACACAGCAGTCGCAAGCCGGACTGACGCTCACTTCGGATTGTTCACGGATCATCCAACGACGATTATTTATCTCCTCATCATCCCCCACCTTCCGAGAGAGAGAAACGATCAGAATTCAGCTTCAGCTTCAAAATCTTCATCCAGTCCTCAACTGACTTTGGTCGACTTTGCCAACAAGTCTTCAACGATCTTCAACCACCTTGACCGATATTCCGTTCTCTCCACCGACCTGGACCTCCCGGACGCCGGAACACGCCACTGCCCCACTTGATTGGCCAGATCGTGAAAATTGCTGCTCTACAGTCATCGATAAATTCCCATCGTTGCCTTGACTCACAGGCAGACATCAAAAAAACATCCCCGACCAGATCCACCACCTCCTCAATTCCTCATTTAAGAAAAAGGACCCCGTCCCTCCTCAATTCACAATGCCTTCCCATCTTCGTCGTCAGCAGTCTTTCGAGCCTTTTACCGCCGAAACCACTCGATCCTACTTCTCCCCCTCACCGCCAGCCAAGAAGCAGAAGAAGATGAGTCTCACGCAGACCTACTACATCGCCGCCTCGGCCCGCTCGAAGCTGGGCCGGGAAGCTCAGAAGAGCGACCACTCCCTCCGACATCTCGTCGGCCACGCCAACCTCCTCGATTCCCTCATGGTCGAGCTGCACGAGGCCGAGCGGGAGCAGGAGACCTGGTTCAACCAGACCATCCAGAAAGCCGAGGAGCCCATGCATGTGCGATGGGCTGACTCCGCCATCATGGAGGAGGATGAGGACGACAGCGCCTCCGATGCCTCCGACAGCGACTCCGACGACGACTTCGATGAGGCCGACTTCGAGTTGACCGCACCCCTCCACTTCCGCCAATCCGCCATCAGCATCACCTCCCGCGAAGTCGAGGACTCAGACGAGGAGTTCGAGGACGAGGAGGACGACGAGGAGCACGCTCTCACACGAACTGCTTCCAACTCCCCGCCCGAGCTCATCCTCGACTCGGACTCAGACGACGACACCCCGCCGGCGTCGCCCCCGCAACTCAGCCTCGAATACACGGAGGAGCAGAGACAGGCCATCGCGACCACTGGATTCTTCAATCGAAAACAATCATCATTATCACCATCCGAGCAGGAATCCTTCGTCGAAGAAGGGTTCTTTATCCCGGACCGATCCAATCAGCTCATCGCGGCTTGCTAGATCACAGCAACCCGATCACGATCGAATGAATTGTTTCCAGCGAGTCGAGCGTTTTCAGCGAACAGATACCTGTGCATTTACATAACGGCGTTTTTTCTACATTTACCACTCATGACGGATTTCCACGGATACAGTCTACACTCAAAACGGATATTGGAGAAGATTTGGGATTTGGACACTTCGGAGATAGGAGGGTGACATATTGGCACGAGACTGCCCGTGGAGGATCTGGGATATCAAAAATCTAGCTCTCCCTCTTGTTCTGGAAGCTCGAGGTCGAGACAGATGCTCGCGGCGGCATGGAATTCATGACCGCCTGCTACGTAGCTACCTAACAATCATAAGATGTTCAAACTTCAAACTCACCCTCTCGTGCCACCATCAGATGTGTATCTTACCCACCATGAACAAGTCATTATGTCTCAGTCTTACCACGCAGCTTCATGATCACTATACTACTGTGTATAGTGACCGTCAGCATGTGCTGGCATCCGTATAGCCATCCAACAACCCAAGCCCCTCAGCGGTCAGCTTCTAATCTTCACCTTCCGTTCAGTCAGCCTTCCCAGTGCCAGGGCCCATCATCCAATCATCCCTGCAGCGACAAGGATGATGGAACGATCGGCTGCGGGACTTGGTCAGGCACCACTATTCGCTAGGCATCCACAATTCCGCACTTCCGCACTCGAGACCTGATCCCCTCCAAGCTCCACCCGTCCAACTCCAGGCCAATGATCCAGACGACACATGACCCAAACAACCCTCGCGCACTCGCGGACGAAAAACCCGGAGGTCCGATGCGGTGGCCCGATTCCACCGACCGGGTCCCTCGGCCGTGCGAGGTGCTCGGCGCCATCTCGTCTGGCCTCTGATCACAAATACAGAAATATCGTAAGGCTAAAACCCGACCAATCCGAAGCATAGGACCGGCATTCAATATTGATAATTGAATATGATCATTTGCTCTCGCCCCATGATTATGATGATGGTGATGATGATGATGATGATGATGATGAGAGATGGAATCACCTACGGTAAGGGGCTTCAGAGGGAAATCGTAGAGTGTAAAGGGGGATCGGATTCTTTCTCTACTCCGAGTGCAGTACATCCGTAACTCCGTCCACAGTGATTTGATAGTCTTACTTTGTAGAGCCCTGTCTAACTTTCAAGGCGCAGCAATAATAGTGCGTATCGGGTTCATACCGGACTCCAACTTCACGTTATGTCCACCGCCAAGCGCCGTCTCCAAACATCAAGTGAGTCGCGTCGCAGAATATTTGGAACAGACTTGGCGCGGATGCACAAGTCCCTCCGATAATCTTCTTTCCGATTCTTCCCTCCTCTTCTAAATGATGCGATGCGTCAGCTACCTTGAGAAGTATCTTAAGTTCTTAACTAACTAGTGATTTGAGTCCACGTAATTACTTATTCTGCTCAAATACCTCAGGCCTGCCGGACACCCGACCGACATTTGTCCCGCCTCCGACACGCCGACGCCCTTCTATCCTTGCACAAAATCAACGAAACTTCCACTCCTCACCTGCCGAACGACCATGAGTTTCGGTCGCGGCCAGCCGGGTTAGTCGCAACTTGCAAGGAGGAGTTTCCATTCCGGGTCTACCCTCTGAATTCCGTTCGCGCGGTGTAGAAACTAGAAAGATAAACGGAGTGCAAGTTGGCGTCCAGCCTCCTGGAGCAAGGAACGGCGTCGATCATCCGAAGCACTGGATCACTCTGTCGGCGTTTGGGAACCACCGACTGCCCACTCACAAGTCATCACTCACATGTCAGCAATGCATGCGGAACGCGTTCCGCGACTGCACTCAACAAGCACGCGGAGAGGCATGACGTTGGTTCGTACGGTCACCGAAAATGCGAATATGGTCAAGCCGACAAGTAGGTACTTGTTTCAGAACCTGAAACAAATGCGGTGATCAACGGACTGGTCTTCCAGGAATATAAGAGTCAAGCCCTTTAATTTCCATTTGGAAAGGTCGGGTTTTCAAATGCGTACCTGATTTTTTGCTTGTTTCACGGTTTCAGGAGGTTGCATTCCGATGGTATGCAGATGAGTTGGTGAACAGGTTGGATTCCCGTGGTCATTGGCATCGGTCCATGGTATACGATCCTGCGACTCACGATGGTCCGTTCGTCTAATATGTTCGTCTTTCGTTCCGTCAAAGTCCTGAGTGCTGTTGCGTTGGTTTCCTTCGTCGTTCGGAGTCCCTCCAGCCACGGTCCAGGGAGAGCCTTGGTGAGGGACGGTAGAGCCTAGGGCGGCCCATATGCGACTCAAAGGATGCTATGTTCACATCATTCTCTTCGCTTGCTTCACTGTACTTTGCTTGGAACCCTCAAGCAGCTCCATACTATTTCGAAGTTCAAAATCATCTTGCTAGGTGGTCTCCAGTCTCAGGTATGGCCGCCCTAATATTTGATGGCTATTAAACAGACGTTAGGGGATACCCGTTTGGAAAGTCCGATATGAGTGCTTGTCTGCAATCAGGCCGGTGGTAGGTTTGATACGATGTCACCTAACCTCTAGCTCGCTTTCGCCTATTATGTGGTCTGCTTGTAGTGGTGCGTTTAAACATCGTGTAGGTGACTGTGTCCTATAATACAACGAAGATAGGTATTTCGACAAGAGTACGTAGCGTTCACAACCGCTCCCCCTTTGTCCCTCCCGTCTCCGAAGCAAAGTCAGCCAACCATCTCCATCGGACCTTATTCTTCACATCTTGTCGCATCTGCCCCTCGATCCCCTTTGGAAAGAAATTCAGCATCCCCTGAACGGTCGAGTCGTGCGCCAGCACCACGAGCACCTCGTCCGACGCATCGAACTCCTCCAACCCCTCGATCGTCCAACTAGCCTTCTCCCCATCCACACTCAGACCCTTCGCCGGGGCCAAGAAGCGATGATCCGCCCTCTTCGGCCCCCCATCCTCGCCGTCCCCGTGCAGGAAAATCTCCCCAGGACACACATGACCGGTCGCGAACCTCGAGTTGCTGATCCCTTCAAGCGGATTCGGCGAAATGTCCTTCGGCAGCGGAAGGTACGGGGACGGACGGAACTCGCCCGCATGATGCGCCGCGTCGGCACCCATCAGGACGAATCCTTGCCTGTCCCCATCCGTGACGCGGGCCAGCGCGCATAAGTGCCCAATGGTATGACCTGGTGCGTCCAGAAGGTAGAAGCTCCCGTCCTGGAAGTAGTCGATGGCCTTGAAACGGCCGATGCGAAGCAGATCCGGGGAGTCGTCCGACGGGAACGACACCTCGCGGAACTCCCGACCTTCGTAGTCGGATTCGCGGATCACTCCCCGCGGGTTGGCGGGATAGCCAGGAGCGAAGGCATCTTTGAATCCGGGGCCGACGATCAATGCTGTCGACGCCGGGAACGTGGACGGGTCACCGATGTGGTCCCAATGCTGGTGACTCCAGATGACGGCGTTGATTGAGGACAGATCCACGCCATTCTCCGTGAGGATCTCCGAGATATTCTTCTGGACCGAGACTCCCCACCCGTTCTGCGTGATTCGGCGGACCAGCGCCGGGGCGAAGTTCTTCCAATCTTTGCGGACGCCGAGGTCGAAGACCAGTCGCTGGTTGGACGGCCGGTGGTGGATGAGGAAGACGTAGGACGGGCACTTCAGGTCGGGGAGGTCTTGGACAGGAGGTCGGATAAGGGTCGTGAAGGGGATGGAGATCCGTGTGGTGCTAGCGATGGGTGAGCACACGGATGTATCCAATCTCAGCAAGGAATGCATACCTATCGATGATAGATACTTCCACGGTCGATGGAGAGCGTGGTATATTAAGTTTTGGTGCCGGTACCGGAGGTACTAGGCATCTCGTTTGATCCATTGCAGGCTGTATATTCACCCGTAAAATTATTAGAGAGACTGCTTGAGTTGATGAAGTCCTCGTGTGGGACGGAGTGAAGTGGGGTATGTAGCCTATTCTTAATCGCTTCACTTACCAATTACCATCATCAGAGGGAACAGTCAAATCCTAATAACTACTTTGCGGATCTATCGGCGTGATGGATGCCCCGGATTTCACCTTAAATCCAAATACCTCTGAAGTGGAGGTTTTAGGGTAATAGATCTGAATTCCGGGCGTTGTCGGGACAACATTACCCCTCCTTAATCACGATAGGCGATAAACAGGCGCTCCAAGATCGTCGGTATCCATGGTACTACCATAATTACTAAACATAAAAAGTACAGCAGCACTGTTCTCCATCCTGTGGAGTACTAGTAGCCAAAGTGTATCGTGTAAAAGCCCTGCCCAATTGCCTAAAGAATAGCAAGACAGCCGGTGTCTCCGTATTGAGATCCGAGTATTAATACCATCAATTCACGGCAAAATTCGGCTCCTCTATCCGCTCCGTGCCATCCGCTTCAACAAGAGTTCGTGGGTGAGTTCAATACTCTGTAAGATCAGCTTGAAATAGACTGTGGCTGCCGTCAGCCTGCACAGGAACAACTATAACAATACTCAACTCCATATACCAGTTGATTTCCAGCCATACTCATTGTCAGTGACAAATAGGAGGCCAAGCCTCATCCATGCACAACACAATACATCTATCCACAAATGCATGCTCGCGGGGTTGCAACTGATGTCTCGGACACAATTGAGGCCCTCGTGGACATCATGAAAATAAAACTGGCTAAACATGGTCCTGCGTAACTGTCCGGGGAAGACGCTGCAGCATATCATGTCGCCAATATTTCGGACACTTTCTTGACGTTGACGGACATTCTCCAGGTGCGGCATGTGTTCCGATAAATCGCGTACCCAATCTCGGTAAGGAACAGAATGTCCCAATAGTGATATAGGAAAAGACGGACGACGACCCCATACCTTTTTCCTGACGAAGGGGAACAAAGATGACCTTGGAAGCGTCGAATCAGCATCAGGACGAGGGGCAATCAAACGCCCCCCTGGTAAAGGCTGACTCTTCGAAGGATGGCGCTGTGGAATCCCGGGTACATGCCCGGTCGCTGGCTGGAGCGGAGGAGGAGGTGGTGGTGGTGATGATGAAGGTGACTGGGGGAGAGACCTTCCTGACGCTGGAGGAGTCGGGGCTGGTCCTGGTGCTGGGAGCGCTAGAGGTAATGGTGGTGGTGATGGCGACGGACGAAGTGGCTGCCCTTGTATTGGAGGAGGTAGAGGTAGAGGTAGTTGCTGTCCCGGTGTAGGAAGAGGTAAATTTGGAAGGCTTGAAGAAGGTTGGGTATCTCGGGCTGCCTTCAAACGTGGGTCAAGCCCTGGTTCTAGAGGCATGTACGACCATGTAGCGCTTCGAGATAAAGGCCTTGGCCTTGGGGCGCTGTCTTGGTCAAGGACTGGCCAATCCCTTGGACCAGGTGCTTGGTGATTAGTCTGTGAGGGAGACCTTTCTGCTTGAGCGACATCTGTGGGTTGATGTAAACTTGAGGCAACCGTAGATTGCGAAGTTGCAACTCGTCCTTCATCCGGACGTGGGACGACCACAATTGGGCCGGGTTTGTTTCCCACATGTTGAGTAGTTCGCACACCTTCTGTGTCTACTGAAGGCGGTACTGCAGCACTGGGTTCCTTTCCATCGCGCGTACCTGCATGATGAATAAGTGGACTTCTCTCAGAATTCCCATATTCGTCAGCACTGGATGTGTCGAAATGAACCGTAGGTTGTTGCCCAAGCCTCTTCCTCTTCTTCTTTTTATTTTTTCGTAAGGCTTCCTCTTCTGAGTCGTCATCATCCTGGGTGAGGTTCAATGGAAAAGTGGACGAGCGTGCAAGATGTGGAGATACGGGATACCTCGCGAGTGGTGGCAGCTGGGGTATCAGACTCCGCCTTCTATTGAAGCCTCGCTGTAAGTCTGCAAACTCCCCATCCGTATCATCGGAGGCACTAGCGACAGCCTGGCTATCATCTACTCGCACATCATTGCTGGGCTCTTTGCCTTTCGTAGCATTTCTACTGCCCTCTCTATCACCAGCGTTGTTAAGGTCTGGTGCTGCTCCGTCCGTGACGGGGTTTTCAGCTGCTGGTGGCACCTCGGCGATTTCCTCGGAGTTTATCAGCCCCGTCAGGTCAATATCAGCCGGAGCCGTCTTGACTGGATTGTTCGATGAGTCGACTGATATCCGATTCTGATGTTTGGTTTGCCCATCGTGCAGATCCTGCGGCGCTCGTCAGTTTGGATGATAGCGAAGCACATATATATATTTGTGGATGCTGCTAACAGAGTTTCCCGGATTCTCTGGTTTTCCTGGTTAGGATCCTGGCTCCCTCGTCTCGGGTACATGGCTCTGAGAAGTAGTGGTTGGAGGTTCAGATGGTTGTTCGGGCGAAGTTTGCTCTATCGCCTCGTTATCTTGTTGCATCTCAGGGGTAATACACTACGGGCCGTGTGTGCAGGAAGTAATAAACTGTCCACTGTTAGCAGCAGCTCGTCCCGTTCCACTCCATTCACAGACATACTATGTAGTAATAGGTATAGTTATAGGTAATTAGACGCGATTGAACTTCACTCCATCGCATTTCTCATTTGCTTCAGACTCAAACATTTGCGTCCTGGATTTCAAAGTGGCAATGAGTAATGGCTCTCTAGTCTCTACGGCCCTCCCACTACTTGAGTGAAAATCCCCCACAGCCGAAGTTGTTGCCTGAACCAGCCGCTCGGTTTATCGTCAACTGCAGCTTGTCACATTGTGATTGGCATGTAGCCGATGGGGGCAGAGATCATCAAATCATGCATCCTATTCTGTACTCTACAGTGACCGGGATCACTCCTTATCCGATAGTCGGATCCGACCCTCCCCAGCCTTGTCAATAGCCTCACGGTAGTCTTGCGCTGATGTGAAGGGGAACGTCGAGCTGCTAACAATTTTCGTTCAAACGGCATTCATCCTAATTTCAGTCGCCAGCAGCAATTCTAGGCATATACCAGCAAGAAACCTAGAGATATGTCGAGAGCCAGATTTGCTTACCATGTCGAGAATTTCATGGTCGTCATTTGCAAGTAATATTTTACGTACGCCAGCGCCCCTCGCAGAGAATCTTGCGTGATCGACTGATTGGAAACCAGCTCTCATCGGGTATCATCACATTCTGATGTTTGCGTTGACCATTGGAATCATCCTTTCTGGCGAGAGGTTCCACCATAGTTTCATCCGGACTACATTAACCCAATCCAAAGTCTCGTCCTCGCAGGTTGCACAAACTCGTCTAGCTTTGGGCGAAGCGTATATGTTTTGTCCCTGACTTACCAGCACACCGCGGCCCCTCCTACAAGTACGGACCTGTTCCGAAATATATCCGACATTCTCTCAACTGCTTCGGAGAGTCTGGACGTGACTGTCCGCGTTGGATATTTCGGTCTCTGCATCAATGACGGCAGCGGCTGGAGATGTCATCGATCCGTCCCTGGACTGGGAACCACTGGAGCACCCAATGATCCACTGATGGTGGTTGAGATGGGAAGAAGATATAAGGATGAAGTTCTCTTTCCTGGACTCCTGTAAGTTACCTACTTATAACCGCTAGTCAGTGGACATTAGAAATGGCTGACAACGGTAGAATCGGAGCCATGGGGATATCCCTTTTGGTGATTGTAGCATTATCGACGTTCCCAGGATGGCATGAGGAAACGGATGAGGAGACGGGGTCAGTAACAGAAGTGAAACCGTTCCCATCTCGAGCCGTATCTCAATGCGCCCTCGCCGCGACGTTCCTCGCTTCATTTTTCACCCTTATTTCAGCTATGTGGCAACATGTCTCTGCTGCTGCAGCTATTGCTACCCTCGAGGTCTCCCTGCTTGGTGTGATTACTGCACATGTTGGGGCAGTGGCGACAGCGTTTGTGTGGTTACAACTTTTGTTGCTCGTCCTGGTCACACTCGGGCTCTTGGTTATAATCGTATCATTAGCGATATTAAACGAACTAACGAGCGATTAAATCGGAGTCCACCATTTTCATGAGACACTTGCGTTTGGAGGTAACAGGGCTGGTTAAGCCAACCAGTTATCGCATCATTGTTGCAGGCGTGGAAGACTAAGGCATTTGCAGGATATATAGCACCATACCCTTATTAATATAGAGGTTACTATTAATATTGAGACGCGGAATCTGTCCTTGATGTCGTTCTATATTCACGAACACAGTGGCACATGTCAAAATGTCGGTTCCCCCTGGTAGTACGATTAAACTCAGGGTGCCATATGTAGTCCAGGGTTTCGAGGTAAGCATTTCCAGAGCAGTAACTGATTATAAATGACCGTGTGATTTATATCACAGTATCCAAAATAAAGCTCAGAAAGGACTCCGATGAAAAGATGAGCGCACACGATAGTGCACAATAAGAATCATCCGCAAAAGCCTATTCGGGGATGAGTCCGCACATATAGGCTCCTCGCTGGTTACAGTTTGTCACACCTGCCTCTCTCCTTCTCTCTCTCTCTGTCTAGGCAGCGGAACTTGGTGTACCTATCTATTGATTCCATCCGATCTCCTCTTTCAAGTCAGATTAAATCCTCCATCGCACAGCATGTCAAATACCACGGATGCTCAGAACGGTGCCCCCACCGTTCTTCCCACCACAATTCCCACCCTCCTCTGGTCCCCAGCCTCCAAGGCTCTCACCCTCTCCTCCTACCCTCCCCCAACCCCAACTCCCTCCCAACACCTCATCGAACTCCACAGCACCGGCCTCACCCGTGGCGAACTCACCTGGCCCGAACCCAACTCGTGCCCCCACCCCATCCCAGGCCGGGACTTCGCCGGCATCATCGTCGGCTCTCCACCCACCCCTTCCCCTCGCCCCTTCCGCCCCGGCGATCGCGTCTATGCCCTCACGTCCTTCTACCGACCTGGGCACGCCCGCACATACAGCGTCGCGGAGACGACCGAGCTGGCGCGCATGCCGGCGACCCTTGACTTTCACGAAGCGGCGGCGGTGCCGATGAGCGCACTGAGTGCGTGGCAAGGGCTTTTTACGAAGGGGGGGCTAACGGCGGAGGAAAGGAGCGGGGAGAATGAGGGTAAAAGCGTACTGATTACGGGGGCGAGTGGGCCGGTGGGGTTGTGGGCGCTGCAGCTGGCGAGATGGTCAGGGGTAAGGAGCGTTGCGGTGGTGCGGACGGGGAAGGAGGGGTTGGTGAGCGAGTTGGGGGCAGATGAAGTGGTGGTGTATGAGGAGGGGGGGTTAAGGGAGTGGGGAGAGGGGAAAGTGGGGGTGGAGGTGGTGTTCGACTGTGCGGGTGGGAAGCTATTGAAGGAGGCGTGGACAGTTGCGAAATCAGGAGGGAAGGTGGTTGGTATAGCGGAGCCGCCGAAGGACCATTGTCCGACGGACGGAGTTAAAGAGGATGTTAAGGGAGAATGGTTCATTGTGGACCAAGATGGAGTGATGTTGGAGAAGATCACGGATTTGATCGACGCCGGGAAAGTGAAGCCGGTGGTGGATAGCGTGTGGAAGCTGGAGGAATGGGGGAAAGCATTTGACAAAGTCGAGACCGGGCATCCACTTGGGCGGGTTGTCGTACAAGTGCAGTGAGGTTGTCTTGAAGGCATCCCCGATACGTTGTATTGAATAAGTCGTGGCCCAGAAAGTATTATTATTAACCGAAAATCTAAAATGCCGCTCCTTATGTAACTCGCCAAAGCTGCTATCTTACACACGATTTCCATGAATTAGTGGTAGTCCAAGTACTCTTTCGGAACCGTAGGCCATGCATCCACGCCATCTTGAATAAGCATAGACATGCCTCCAGCAAGGTGAGATTGGATGTGGCAGTGCAGCAACCACGGCCCTGGATCCGTGGCCTGATACCGTACCACCATCCAAACAGGAGTCGGTCCAGATGGCAAACTGCCGAAACCGTCTCGACGGGGGGGATTAACCAGATTCAAGGACCCTGGCGGAAGCCCTGCTACCGCCTCGTCGACCGTGTCGTATGGGAAGTCCTCCATGCCTCGTCCGAGGAACCATACTTTGTTGCCATGCTTATGCATCGGATGAGGTGGTCGGCCGGCTTCGGAGATGAAGATTAGATCCACGACGGAGTCTTTGGTCGTGGAAATTGTGATATTGTCCTGGAGGTATGGTTGTGGGTCAAATAGGATGGGTGGTTCGCGTTCATCTCGATTACGAGGATATCGAGTGCCGTTCACCGCCCATAGATATATTGCGCCCATTGTGGTCATGTACAGTTTGAATGTAGCATCCACGGTGGTGGGGAAAGGAACCGGGGAAAATGGAGCGGTATCAAGCACGTTTAGTCTTGTGACAGCGGTAGCGGTAGCGTCCAGGCTGTTATCCAATATGAAAGGCTCCGAGATATCATCCGTATTGTCCGCGCCGTACGAGAGTATTGCGTTTCCAGAAATCAACTGCGCTCCAGTATTGGACGAAAACCGGATGTTGTAGTCGTCGATTGGTTTGTCCAGCTCCACGAGGATGGAGTAGCGATCACCGTTCGTGATTTCGAAAGCTTCGACCCGCGTTGGCTCGATGTAAAGACCATCAGCGGCATACACCCACATGGGGTGCTCATCGATCGAGAATAACCCGGTATGGAGGCCAAAGGCGCCAATAACATCAATGGCAATCCAGCTCTTCGCACCATTGGCTTTTCCGGTGGCCTTGATTACTTCCTTCGAGCCACTCGTTGACTCGCAAACCTCGAAAATGGCTGGTGGCATCTTCTCGGGATATGGTGGAAGCGTCGCATTCACCACGATGCCAGCAAGGACAATAGGCGGTAGGCATCTGTTTGTAGTTAGTCTCCACGATATATAAATATCTGCGACTCTACACTTCCCCTCTAGCAGTCATGGTCGCATTTTCTGGTTCTAAAATAGCCAATTGCTCCGGGCGTGTCAATGCGTTGATCTTATCCTGTTCCCAGCAGTCGACGGAACCCTTGCCATTGAACAGAATCGAGCCAACACATGCGGTTTCAATGTTCGTGTCGGTCTGGATTTTCCAGGTCTCAAACGAGTCGACATGTCGCCAGTCGGAAAGAAGCAATGGGACCACGTTCTTCTCGGCCGTTTCAATGGCTTTCAAGGCAGCACGGTCCGTGGTTATTTTGCTGAACGGCTTCGTGACGGTATTGTCTGGCCTGATTACAATGGCACCATACATGCCATCCTCTATTTGGTCTTGGGTGTGGGAATGATAAAAATAGCTCCCGTATTGCGTCGCTTTCCACTTGTACTTGAATTCTTTGCCCGCGCGGATCGGTCGCTGGGTCACTCCAGGCACGCCATCAGACCATGGCGTCCCCAATTGCTCGATACCTGTTCCTGTCAGTCCGCTGGTTTCTAGGGAGGATCCAAAACAGACCATGGAAATGGATGCCCGTATTAAATGGCATCTTGTTCTTGACGACCACTTCCACATCATCTCCTTGCGTGATGTCGAGTGTCGGCCCCGGAAACTCCCCATTCATAAAGATCATGTTCCGTTCGGGACCCCCATCTGGATTCCCTTTCTCCCATGTTAACTCGAGAGTAAACCGCTTGGTACGACGACGTCCTAGATCTTGGGCGAGACCGATGGCGGAAAGCAGGAGGATGCATGTAACCAAAAAATACTGACGCACCATGGCGATAGAGGATATTTGCGCAAGCTAGAATGAAAGTGATAACATCGCTTCTAAAAAATACCAATGCGACGAGGCGGCATTATTGTATGAATTGACGGTGGATGCAAGCCAAGCGCCAGCGGCAGAATAAGGTAATCAATAGACGGCGAATCCAATTGATGATATGTTTTACGGTGCACGCCTCAACTGTATGATCCCTTGCCAATTTCTGTGATCATCGTTGTTGCTGCTCTCTTCGGACGAAGACCGACATGCGTCCCTGTCTCACTTGCCTTCGCCGTAATCCTCGGATCATGCGAGGCACCGACCCATAACCGACATCCTTTCCAATTTGAAAATATGCATCCAAGACTTCGATCGCCTCGGCGAAAGGGGAAGTCCGCATCGCGAAGTGAGAACGATCGCGGACAACCTCCGAGAAGGGGCTTGAGGAAAGTGACGCCAAACAGACCCAAACGTGGAGTGAACGATGTATCCTCGATGTATCCCCACTCCCAACAGACAACAAATGAGACAGCCAAGGAAACAGGAGGCTCAGTTCCCAAGGTGATGGAAATTGGATATGAATTCATATGATGCTCGAGATAGATGCATGGTGTCAGCACTTATCTAAGCGATTCCCGGTGGCTTGGATTGCGAACAGGACCCCAATGGGTTTACTGGCTCGGGGGTGAGTAGATGTGAATGCCAAGGCAGACCTAAACTATTCCTGCTGATCAGATAGATACTAATGGAGGATCTTGATCATTGACTGGTGCCAGGTAACATTTGGCAAGGTGAGAGCAAGGGAGCTGGTACAAAATACCGGGAATGACTGGAGGATGCAGTTTCGACGACTTGTGTAGCTGTAGACACTGCATAGAGGAACAATAAATGACGTCCATCTGCGCTCCTGCGAGTCTGTGACAGTTGCCACGCGCAACCTTCATTAATGGTCGAATGGCCTTATTGGAAATAATTTCGCCTTTTGGGAGTCGGGCATTGGCACATGGCAGGAATTTGCAAGGAGATTTCAACAAAGATGTGACCATCCAGCCCTGTCGCCATCATAGAATACAATGGAATACGAAGTCTCCATATGTCCTGGCAAAACTCGCCCCGAAAGCAAAGGTATGTGAAATGTGATATGTCGCTGATCTTGCTCTCATGCGATAAACAATAAACGCCACGTTCGTATTTCAGGGGTTCCTTTCCTTCGTCCAGACACGGTTCTGGTTGATGATCAGTTGAGCCTCCTTTCTTTCACGGAATCTCGAATGCTCGACAATTCCAATCATGCATCATTTAGGCCAACAAAATTATTCCGTCCAGCCATCTAGTTTCGAACATTAAATCAGTATCAAAATCCGTCGTTACACGTCCTCGAGATGCAAAATCTCGGTTCCGGTTGGTTATTTCCCCTGTCATATTTTATTGGCTGAAATACCGGAGGATTCGACTAGGCGTTCAGCTGATTAGCAACAATAACCAATGTTTATCAATGTTGAACCGAACATCATCCTGATTTGAGATTAGAGGGCGTCAAGCCGTCAAACCACCGCTTTAATAACATGCCACAATAGGATACACAGAACTTTGAATACATCTGCAGTTGTGTACAAGGCCAAATGTGTTCACAAAGCCTCCTTCCCCTTCCCCCTGAAATTTTCCTCGATATCCTGTCGATCCTGAACCAATCAAGCGACCGCAAGAAGCATTTATCGCGGCTCTGCCTGACATCGAAGTCATTATGTTCTCTTGCTCAGCCTATTCTGTACAGTCATTGGGAGTCTCATTACCGTTTCGCACTGAATTGGTCGACCCTTGCTGGACCCTTTCTGAGAACCATTCTAATCAAGAAGCCGGAGCTTGCTTCGTGCGTCAAATCGGTGGTCATCAAACCGGACCCTCACCTTTGGGTCGGGCAGTGTGACAACAGCCTCAAACAGCAAATCATAGACAAAGTCGTCGCGGCTCAACTCGACTGCGAATCCGACCTGCTCAATAGGCTGGGGCGAAACAGCTCGTCTGCCATCCAAGCTGCGATGTTGCTGGCTCTACCAAGGTTGGAGACCTTATGGTTCACACATGTATCCATCGACGAGCATGTGGCCATACGGCTGATCGTACTCGAGCCGTCCACGGGAAAGATTCGATTTGACCTGTTTCCCACCCTTCGGGAAGTCAAGCTTCAGAATCAGGGGTCCAATTTTGATTTCAATATATTGGCAAAGTTTTTCCACCTACCTTCCCTCCGGCGATTGATCTGCGGTGGAGTGGGGTTAAGAATACCCGGTCCTTCAAATCATGAACCAGGTCTCGGGTTTCCAACCCGCTCGTCCAATGTTGAGGCCGTCACACTAGGAGGCCGGTTAGATGAATCTTCGATCAAGAGCATTGTTTCCTCTTGTAAGGTGTTAAGAGAATTTTCACACACGCAATCTCCCGGAGACTATAGGGGCATGAATCAAATCGACGCTGGAGCGATTTCTCGCGCCCTTGATGTCCACGAGCTTACTTTGGAGAGGTTATATTTGCTCTGGCCACACCACCTCGACCTACTAAACACTGTTGGGTCCATCAAACGCTTTAGTACTCTCAAGGAGTTGATTATTTCCTCCATTTGCCTGACTGGATTCCCGACCGCGAACGAGGTCGATGCATGGGAGGAGGAAAGGAAACATTTGGCCTTGGCCGCTGTTCTCCCAACATCTCTGGAGCTATTGGCTATTGTGGGCGCTTCCAATCGCATACGAGATCTTCTCAACGACTTGACGATGTCCCATGAAGACAGTCTGCCAAACCTCAAGACGATTGAGCTTCGTGAATGGCAGTACAACAATGCCGCCCGAGAAATCGTTCAATCATTCTCGAAGACATCAGTTAAAGTGCTAGTCAGCCCTGGCACGGAGAGCATATATGGATTCAATTATTGAGGGTACGGCGGGCTCTAGGATCCTGAACTTATATTGAACGCTTCGTTGAACGCTTCGTAATACGTAGGCAGGTTGGATTCTCTCATCACTAAGGAAAAGGGAACCAAGATATAGTACCAGGCGGTTTGAAAGACTGCCCTGGAGCATTTATGAGTCTGGACCGTAGATACAGGATTTAAACAGCTGGACAGATACCCTCAGTATTCCGTTGGGCTGAAACCTCAAGTAGGAAATCAAAGGGGGTAACAAACACTATAGGTCACAACATATAAATAGTAGGTATCTAGAATGTGAAATCAAGATGGATGCATATGTAGTAGTATCATCTCGGCATCAATCAACACGTCCACCTCGGTTATAGTTGCTCGATAAAGTCTCCACTGCGCAGTCTCCTGAGTCCTGGGCTCCTGGTACTTGGTAGAGATCGTTCGTTTCTATTATTGAATAATGGGCCAGACGTAGTAGGTAGTGAGCAGAGGAGCTCTCCGTGGAGAATACTGGAGATCCGAACGGCCCATTTGGCCCGTTTCTCTAGCTACCTGGGTACCTTACCTACTTCGTCTGTTAGCCTCGCTTTGACAGGCTAGCCATCTAGACTTCTGGAGCGTTACAACTGTCGCTTATTACCCTTTCGTCAATGGAATCCTTCATCAATCATCATGCAGCCTTGCCTTGTTCGAATGAGGAATGAGAGGTTGAGGACTGAGAAGTCGGAGAGTGAGTCGACGGATACGCTAATTAGCACAGATCGCGTCATGGCCCACATGGGTTTTGGAATTACAAGTACTTTAGTATCAAGATATTCCCCCGCAACCTACTACGTAGTACTTCTTTTAAGTAAGTTGATTTTAGCGTACCCAGTTTTTATATAGGATAAGTCGATAGCATGACTGCTGCGGCCTTAGGGATATTGTCAAATGCCAAATGTGCCATCGTTGGCATTGTCGATGCGGGTGCAGTCATAATACATTCAGAGCATCAAGCTTAACCCAGACGAGGAGTCTTGTCTACTTTTTGTGTTCACCCAAATAAGTCAGCACACCTTGGTATGTAATATAACTATATAAGAGAGTTTACCTCAGAATGCCTTCAATCTTCATATCTGGTCTCAAGTCCTTGCTGTTGCGTTCTCCTGAAGCTGTGGCTTAATAGTTTTCATGTCATTGGCTCTTTAAGAGCATCGCTAGGATGTTGTTCGCCAAACGTCACGCTAAACACTCGCCTCCTTGTCCTGAAATAGTGCCGAAGGATTGGGCGGAGCCGCGAAGGGCCAATTGCCAAACCGCCGATGCATCGAATACAACCGTGCACCACGCAGTTCCCATGGGCCATGGCGTTCGCACTCTCAAGAGTCGTTCGTGGCTCTTGTATCCGAATCGTCTTGGAAACCTATTTCCATCGGTCTAGGTGAAGGTATGGTGACATTCAAACCATCATGAAGTTCTACATCGCGTCGACGGCGCTATTAGGCGCGATCGGCCTCGTATGCGCTGATCCGTGGTTACCTCCTTGCGCGGTATGTGGCCCTTTACTAGAAGAACCCGGCAATTGGGGAAGCAAAGCTGAGAAGATATCTAGCAAGCATGCGTCGCGTCAACACCAGTGCGCTGCCGACCGACCGACTTTTCGTGCGCCTGTACCACGAAGAAGTACATCAAGGCGTTGATGTATTGCATCATCTCCGACTGCAGTGCCGAGGATCAAGAACATGCGATCGCGTATCTGGATGATTTGTGCCATGGTACGTCCACCCCGTCCTTTTGTTTATCCATACATGGAACCGAATAACTGACTATTCTCCTGCAGCGGATTGGCAGCCGCAGACGAAAAGCTGGTTCGCCCCACACTGGGGCCTCGAACTGCGACAATTTCGAAACACGACTTCAAACGGGACAAACACCGGCGGAGGTACATCGGGAGGCGGATCAGGAGGCGGATCAAGCGGATCAAGCGGATCAAGCGGATCGGGAGGCAGCAGCACCTCTACACGAAGGAACGGTCTAGGTTCCGGAGCCAAAGCAGGCATAGGCGTAGGCATTACGGGCGGAGTCCTGCTGATCGGCGCGCTTGCGGGTGGCAGATGGTGGAAGGCCAATCGAGGCAAGCAGGCGGCAGCCGCCGCGGCCGCCGAGCCGCCGCCCGTGATGTCGCAGCCGCCGCCCGGACCGCAGGAGATCGACGGCACGCAGCGGCCGTGGGCAGGGTCGGAGTTGGCGGGTCAAGGGATTGTCGCGGCATATACACCATCTTCGGGGACTCACGAGCTGCCAGTCAATCAGCAGCAGCAACAAGGGGAAAAGCCGCCTGAACCCGCTCAGGGGCCGCCGCAACCGCCTCAACCGCAACCGCCTCAACCGCAACCGGTGTATCAGGGACACAATCCACACGAGATGCCGGCTGGAGTGCCGGGTTGGTATGGGGGACCGCAACCGGGATCCGATCCGCCGAAACCATGAGTTAGATGAAAGCGTGGCTGGCGTTGTGGGGGTCTCTTTTGTGGATATATCTTCGATTGGAGTGTTAATCTCAAGCATATTGGCATACCCGGGGCGCGAGAATGGGTTATTCAGATGATTGGCATCGCAGTTAATAACCATCTACCACATTTTTCGATTTCTAGCTCCTGTCCCATGCGAAATCCGGAATCACCGAGTGCACGTTAACCTAATGACACGAAGAAGGTCGGCCGACACTCCCATTGCCGTGATGTCGCCACCAGCCCTATGATGCTCGTCAGAATGCGTTGCACTTCACGAAGCGTGCCACTTACCCTGCGCCCTGAATTGTCAGAGGCTTGCTTCCATATCTCTTCGTATAGAAGTTGATGATGTTGTCGCTGCCTTTCAGACCGCCAATTGGATGGGATGGATCAAATCTAGGCGCCAGTCAACTTTTGCCATCGCCAGGACTACTGAAAGGATGGATACGAACCTCTGTAGTCCAACCTTGGACTCTCCTGAAATAACATCAATAGACCCAACATATCGAAGGACCTTTCCGTCTTTCTCAGCAGATGCCTTCAGCTCATCCATCCTCGAATCGAACTCATGGAGCTTCTCCAAAAACTCGGCTCCGCTAGCACAGCTCTCCAGCTCGTTCGGGATCAGGCTCTGAATCGGAATCCCTTCCAACTCCAGTTTCATACCGCTTATTCTCGCCAAGATGACTAGTTTTCTCGCGACATCCATGCCGTTCAAGTCGTCCCGCGGATCCGGCTCCGTGAACCCCGACTGCTGCGCGATCTTCACGGCCGCGGCGAAATCCATCCCCTTCCCTGCGCCCGGGACCGGCATGAATTGGTTGAATAGGAAACTCATGGTCCCGCTGAAGACCCCTTCGATCTTCCGCACCTCATCGCCCGTCACCAGCAGATCCGTCAGGGTGTTGATGATGGGGAGTCCGGCGCCCACGGAACTTTCGTGGTAGATGTAGCCGCCCTTGCCGGATTCGTTCCGGCCGTTCTGCGCAACGGAAATGATGGATTCCCATAGGGCCAGGGGGCCGGAGAAGGCCTTCTTGTTCGGGGTGACGACGCTGATGCCCTGGCGGATGAAAGTGGGATATTCCGCCGCAACAGTCGGGTCGCTGGTGTTGTCGACGACGATCCGGTGGCCGGATTGTGGGTATTTCGTGAGAAATTCGGCAACTTCGGAGGGACTCAAGGGAGAGGTGCCGCGGGCGGCGAGTTCTTGTTCCCAGTATTGGAGGTCGACTTGCTTGTAGGAGTCACGGTCGTACAGAGCAGTTTGTGATCGGGCCAAGTAGACGACCTTGACGAAGACGGGATTCGAAGGAGATTTGGCCAGACGAGCCGTAATCTTGGTCAACTGCTTCAGGAATGGTTTGCCGACTCCACCAACACCTATTAAACGTCAATTTCGGCACTTCCTGCTGACTTCGGGAGTGATATAAATACCAATGATGGCAAGAATGACATCCGCAGCACCTGCCATGATGATGATTTTCCTTCTGAGAATAACGGCGACAAACTTCGTAATTCAATGGACTGGTATATGAGGAATGTGAGATGAACTTTTCAAAGGACAAATATCAAGACTTCTGTTCAGGTGGTACCTCCTTGCAGCTGAAGATAAATTTGCGGGATGGAGATATTGCGAGTTCGGCGGGTGATATGATGACCCCTCCCCCACAATTTGGGCGTTACCAAGGCGCTCCGCCATCCCTGTCCATTGGCATCTGCGCCTGTCATCATTTCGGGTTCTAGAATCTTATAGGAACTTTTTTGCTATTCCAAACCCTCCCTCCATCCATCGAATACCAAGCGGCCAAAATGCCGACGACAACTCCAGGCACTAACCTCTACGGCACTAGCCGCCCCAAAAAGCTGGCGGGGAACGAGCTTTCCGGCTCCTCGAACCTCGCATTCACTTCCCAGCTCTCCTCTCTCATCTCCGCATCCTCCAGGAATTCCTCCTCCGCTACGGCCGGTCGCTCACGGCCGCGGAAACCCGATATCTTCTCGGCGCACAACAAAGGCGTCAAGCGCCGCGCACAAGCCGACGATGCCGCCCGCAGCTTGGAGCAGAAGCACAGCACGAGCTCGGAGGGGGTGGATGCGGAGCTGTGGCGGCAGAGCCAGGCGAAGATGGAGGAGAAGGCACGGATATATGCGGCGATGAAGCGGGGGGATAAGGAGGATAAGGAGGAGGGAGGGCTGATCGATTTTGATCGGAAGTGGGTGGAATCGCAGGAACGCGGCGAGAAGGGGTCGTCGGGTGATGAGGATGACGAGGAGGATGAGGAAGAGGAGTTGGTGGAGTACGTCGATGAATTCGGGCGGACGAGGAAAGGGACTAGAGCCGAGGTGGGAAGAATCCAGCGCATGAGGCGGATCCAGGACGAGGATGAGAAGGAGGCGGATAGATTCACAGCACGGCCAATGATGCCGGAGAAGGTCATCCACGGCGATACGGTGCAATATCATGCATTCGATCCGGACGAGACTGTTGCGGAGAAGATGGCGAGGTTGGCCGCGAAACGCGACAAGGAAGCTACGCCGCCGCCGGACACACATTTCGACGCATCACGAGAGATTCGACAGAAGGGGCAGGGTTTCTTCCAGTTCGCGCAAGATGAAGAGGCCCGACAGAAACAGATGGGGAATCTGGAGAAGGAAAGGAAGGAGACGGAACAGGCGCGGGAAGAGGCAAGGGAGAGGAAAGAGAAACGGAAGCGAGAGGTGGAGGAGAGGAGAAAGGAGATTAGAGGGAAGAGGGCACGGAAGGAAGCCGATCAGTTTTTGGAAGAGCTTGGAGCAGAGCTTGGTGCTCCTGCAAAAGAAGAGGGTTGAGGAAAGTTATCATTGCATTGGCTGGGTTGTCTCACAGCACTTTCGAGCTGGTTCAGACCATCCAACCGTATATTCTAGAGCTTCAACTCCACAGCAGCCCTCTCCCATCCACCGCATTCCGAGTCCGGCTCCAGCTCCGCAAGCATCGTCGCCACGTCCATCTTTCTATCTCTCGCCTTCTCCGTGGTCAACTCGAGCAGCGTAGCCAGATTAAAGAGGAACGAAGGAAATGGGCTCGGCTCCCTTCCTTTCTCGAGCATCGACGTGAGATAGTCCCGCGTCTTTCCCAGTTGCCTCGTATACAGCAGGCAGACGGCCAGGTTGTTCTCGATGGTGAGATTGCCGGGGTACTTCGCGTGGAGGGATTCCCATGCGTCGACGGCGCCCGGGTAGTTTCCCTCGGCAGCTTTGAGGAGCGGCGGGAGGAGTTCGGCGGTGGATGGATGGGTAGACTCCAGCATAGATGATCCGGAAGGTTCTCCTTCCTGCAAGCCTTCGATTGCTCCCCTCGCTGCCTGTAGGCCCCCGAGACGAAGCCATACCAACCCTTCCGTGACCAGACTCTGTCGTCGAAATGCCATTGTCCCCTCATCTTGCTCGTTCGCGTCTTCTCCGGCACTAGAACTTCGGTTGAGCCCTCTCAAATGTTCGCCAGCACCCTCCAAGTCCCCAACATCCACCAGCACCCCTGCCACCGTGACCCCCAAATCCCGCAGCCGCGTCTTCCACATTCGCCGCTCCCCCTCCAATCCTTCCACCTCGCTCTTCTCTAACTTCCCCTCTCCCTCTTTCAACGCCTCTGATATCCTCCCTACATTCCCCCTCGCCTCCCTCGCCAACTCGTACAGCCCCATCACCGCCCTCCGCGGATCCACCACCTGCCCTGCCGGCCCCGGCCCCTCCGCCTGCAACCTCGTCAGCAGCACGCGCAGCCCGAACGGCACCAGATTCACTGGCCGCCGCCCCGCATAGCTCAGCCACATCGGTTGGGTCCAGTCCCCGATGGTCGCGGCGGCCTCGCGCGCCGCCTCCTCGCCGTGGCCGAGCAGCACGAGGCACGCGAGGCGGACATAGAGGAGAGAGAAGATGCGGTCGACGTCGCGCGGGGCGGTGTGCAGGGTAAGGTGCTCGGCGGCGGCGATGGCGGCGGAGTGGAAGTGGCCGTATTGGAGGAGGGTGGGGATCGGAGTGCGGCCGGCGAGGGCGAGAGAGCGGGATTGGAAGGGTTGGGGGGGTGAGGGGAGCGGTTGGTAGTGCGAGGGGGAGAGGAGATGGCTTAGGTCGAGTTCGGGACGGCTGGGGGAGAACGGGCGGGGGGACTGTCCGGGTCGGGTGGGTGAGCGGGCGGCTGGGTGGGAGGAACGGGGGGAAAGAAGGTTGGGGCTTTGGAATTGGGGGGCATAGCGCTGGGCTGCGGAACTGCTTGGACGTTGGGATGCAGAGTCGGGGGATAATGCTCTCGACGGGTTTGGGGGGAGGGATTCGGTGGTGGCCGATAGTGGACTGTAGGGTGTCAATTCATCTAAGCTCTTATATTTACGTAGTAGGAAGTCAGGTAGCTTACTCCTCCTGTTCATCGAGTGGCCCTCTCGTGCTACTCCGTGGACGATTAACTAGCAAGTGTCAGGAACAAGAGACTCGTGTCTGAGGATTGATGAAATAATGCATTGAAATACCTCTGCGCTCCTCAACCGAATTCATACGGCCATGACCCCGACCCTTTGGATCCATGTTGGAGTCTCTCAATGTTGTGTAGTACGAGAGGTGGAGGGAGGCGAAGTTTAGCAGGAATACTACATGAATTGCTCTATCTCCATGTATGTACAGCAGGGAGTTACTAGAGCTCAATTAAGATGGTTACTATGTAACACGGGAGGAGTGTAACTGTATATATGAATGATCCCTTATTACCGTACGACCCCTCAGGCAGGATGGAGTTGATTACGTACTCTGAAGTCTGAGGTTCTTGAGAATCACCCAGGCGGCGGGCCAGGCTCCAGGGATGATGGGGGCATGGGGCAAACAGGACTTTAAGGGTTGTAGCCTTGTAGTACTACGTATAACTAGTTAACGTAGTATGTCTTACTAAGACCACGAACAACCAACTTAACAAGTGATTTAACTAACTAACTTAGTGAATATAACAGTGCTAATCGCCTTATCGCCTTAATATCTCAGACCACATGCATATATCAGACAAAATTTCTTAAAACTCTCCTGCACGGATGAAAAGTGCAATGGCCTGGCCGCCGGGGTATGTCTTACTAAGCTTTGGCACGTGATCACAAATGGGTTAACGCCTTTTTGCCTTGTTGCCTTGTCGCCTTGTTGTGGATTTCACATTTCACCTTTGAAGATTTCTAGTTCGAGAGAATACATGTATGTGCGTGGATGGATTTGGCCATTTACTGGTACTGTACATGGAATTGCTATTACTTGTGCTGATTCTGATGAGAATTCCACCACATATCGACCGGATTGATTGATGAGATGGTTATTCGGAAGTACTCTAACGGGAACATATCGACTCATCCCGATGCTCTGACTTTGATTTACTTCCCCGCCAATTCCGACCGCCCCGAAATCGGTGGTCAAGGGGACCATGCGGGAGTCTGCGGGAACCAATCATGGCGGCCCAGTAACAATAATGTACCGCCTGATCGTTGTCCAACACCGTCCCCGCTTTGGCGCTCTGGCGCTCTCGGCTTGCATGGGCAAAGTTGCTGCAGTCTAGGGCGCGCCAGTCCAGTCACTCTGAATATGGCCTGGATTGTGACTCAATTTCGACTTTTCATATTGCCCTCCCCCCATCTTCCCTCTGATCCTCTCCCCTCTCTGCTTCCACGATCCTTTCTCTTATCTTCGCTTCTTTCCAGACATCTCCCCTCTTTTGAAGTGCCATTGGGTCGCCATCCGCGTCAATTGATGGGTGGTACCAGCATCCTGCCTTCACCGTCTTCCTCCCACCATCATGTTTCCCGCAAGGAAAACTTCGGCCACGGCCATCCAAACCCTCCATAGGGCCCGGCGATTTTCAAATACCGCAGCAGCTGCTGCGGTATCCCCCTATAGGAATCCCTCGCACGCATCAAAATCATCTCCCGTGAAAGATGTGCCTAAGCGAGGCCAGAGCACAGCTGCCGCGGCCCTACAACAGCAGCAGCACCAACGACCCGTTCCTAGTCCCGCCTTCAATCGAGACGATGCAAGACGGAACGAGGTGCAACCTCTCCGGCCTACCCGGTCGCCGGCGATGGACCATTCATTCGTGGGAATGAAGGGAGGAGAGATCTTCCACGAGATGATGCTCCGGCAGGGGGTGAAGCATATCTGTATGTGGAGCATGAGTCACGAATTGGAGAACGACTCCAGTGCTAACAACGTTTATAGTCGGCTATCCTGGCGGTGCGATTCTTCCGGTGTTCGACGCCATCTACAATTCGCCCCACTTCGACTTCGTCCTTCCTCGACACGAACAAGGCGCCGGACACATGGCCGAGGGCTATGCGCGAGTGTCCGGGAAACCCGGTGTGGTGGTCGTGACATCGGGACCTGGCGCAACCAACGTCGTGACACCGATGCAGGACGCGCTGATGGACGGAACCCCCATGGTGGTGTTTTGCGGGCAGGTTCCCACCGCCGCAATTGGAAGCGATGGGTTCCAAGAAGCAGATATGGTGGGTATCTCAAGGGCGTGCACCAAGTGGAATGTCATGGTGAAGAGCATTGCGGAGCTGCCGCGGCGGATTAACGAGGCATTCGAGATTGCCACCACTGGACGTCCTGGACCCGTCTTGGTTGACTTGCCGAAGGATGTGACTGGTGGCACTCTCACCCGACCGATCCCTATGGCAAGCTCTCTCCCCACACATCCTTCAGCGGCAACGTTGGCCGCGCGAGAACTGTCGCGGAGACAGCTGGAGGGCGCAATCAAGAAGTCAGCCGATCTCATCAACATTGCCAAGAAGCCCGTCATCTACGCCGGTCAAGGCATCGTATCCGCGCTGGGGGGTTCTCAGCTCTTGAGGGAGCTTTCGGAAAAGGCCTCGATTCCCGTCACCACCACTCTCCAAGGCCTCGGCGGCTTCGATGAACTGGACCCGAAATCCCTCCACATGCTAGGTATGCACGGTTCCGCATACGCCAACATGGCGATGCAGGAGGCCGATTTGATCCTTGCGCTCGGTGCTCGGTTCGACGACCGCATCACGGGAAGCATCCCGCGATTCGCGCCCGCCGCCAAAGCCGCCGCTCAAGAAGGCCGCGGTGGGATCGTCCATTTTGAGATCATGCCGAAGAACATCAACAAAGTGGTGCAAGCGACCGAAGCCGTCGAAGGCGACGTCGCCACCAACCTCTCCCTCCTCCTCCCCCACGTGAACGAAACCCCCATGTCCGCCCGCGCCGAGTGGTTCGACCAGATCCAAGCCTGGAAGACCCAGTTCCCCTGGGCATATGCCAAAGAGACACCCGGCGGCCCCATCAAGCCGCAGACGATCATCACCAAGCTCTCCGAGCTCACGGCGCCGTACAAGGAAAACGTCGTGATCGCCACCGGCGTCGGCCAGCATCAGATGTGGACGGCCCAGCATTTCCGCTGGCGCCACCCTCGCAGCATGATCACCTCCGGCGGCCTCGGCACGATGGGCTTCGGGCTCCCGGCCGCAATCGGCGCCAAGGTGGCGCGGCCGGACGCCATCGTCATTGACATCGACGGGGACGCCAGTTTCAGCATGACGTTGACCGAGCTGTCGACTGCGGTGGAGTTCGGCGTCGGCGTCAAGGTCATCGTGCTGAACAACGAGGAGCAGGGCATGGTGACGCAGTGGCAGTCGCTCTTCTACGAGGACCGCTTCGCCCACACGCACCAGCGGAACGCGAACTTCGTCAAGTTGGCCGACGCCATGGGGTTGCCTGCGCGGCGCACCGTGAAGTTGGAGGATCTGGAGACGGATCTGAAGTGGCTGCTAGACGACGCCGACCCCAGCTACGGGGAGGGGTACAAGGGGCCGAAGTTGTTGGAGATCGTCACGGATCAGAAGGTGGCGGTCCTGCCCATGGTGCCGGGGGGGAATGCGTTGCACGAGTTCCTGGTGTACGACGAAGGTACGTGGGCTTTGTCTCGACTCGAGCGGTCCGGTTGCTAACGATGCGATAGTCAAGGAAAACGAACGGAGGCGGCAAATGCGAGATCGAACGGGACGGTGAGAAGAAAAGGAGGAGAAAAGATCGAAGCATTTGTTGATACCTGCCTTGCGAAGCTCTGGCGTTTAGATTTGGGAAAAGTGTCATTCTGTCGCCCGCAGATCTCACATGGTTTGCTACCGGTATGCGAACCGTCCCGAACGCATTCGGCTTCGAAAAGTGGGAGAATATTTAATATTATATCACTCCCTTTGCTGGCGTCGATGGCTGGCTTGCATGTATATAGTTCACCCATGCGGACAGCACTCCGGAAAACGCATCTTGTTACCGGGTTCCAGATCGAGATCTGATCAACGCTTGTTGTGGCTCCTAAGGTATCTTTCGTACATGCGCGACATGAAAACATGAATCTACACCGAACGGAACGCTTCAATCGTCGCAAAATCCACCCCGCTCACTGCCCTTTTGATGTCGCCCTCGACAGCGGATGGAGCGCGTCCGTGCTATTCCTCCGCCCCCAGTTCAGCGGCTGGCGTTTCAAGAAGGCGCCGACCGCCCCGAGATACCCTTCGTGTCGGAGAAAGTACGCCTGCTTCTCGCCCTTGGACCAGAAGTTCACGGCGTAGGAGAGCGTGTGCATGGTTTGCCGGTGGCCACCGATGAAGGAGCCGCCGAAATAGATGTGTTCGAGGCCGTGCTTTTCCGCGTGGAGGTAGGCGATTTGGCCGATGTTGTTGCTGTAGATACAAGTTAGATACGCGAGCGAGGAGATCAGTTGCAACAGTGGGACGGTATCGTACCTGATGGCATAAAGCAAACTCCGGCTGATATCCTCCGGTCGGAACATCACCGGACCGTCTCCATCGTCCCTTTCCCGGAACCGGTCTCCATTCGATAGCCCACCATGATCCTCCGCCTCCCGTTCCGCCTGCCGCTTCATCTTGTAGACCTTCCCAAAACTGCTCGCGATGGTGGTGCTCTTCAATCCTATCTTGAGGTAGTCGGTCCCGTAGATGTCGCCCACGAGCATATCCACCGCTGTGTTATCGCCGTGGTCGGACATCCGCAACATCTCGTCGAAGTTTCGCGCGCCGGTCAGCAGAGAGAGCAACCCCCACAGCGTCCCGCCGCCCATGGCGGTCCCGCCCACGCGCTGAAACTGCCGCGGCCCTGACACCTTCACCATCGAGACGCCCGAGCCGATGTTCACGAGCAGGTAGGGGTAGATAGGCTCGCGGGACTCCACGAAGTGCATGGGGTCGTCCTCGCTATACGTAAAGACCTCGTTCGGGATCTCGTTGATGAAGAAATCCAGCCCGATGATCAAGCACTCCATCTCCTCCTCCCGCAGCACCTCGATCCCCAACGCCTCCTTGATCTCCTCGTAGTATTTGAACGCGCCGCCCCCTGTCGCCATGACGCACAGATCCCCCGGCGTGCCCCCGTTACTCGCCTCGTGCGCGCGGCGCAGCCGCCGCATGAACTCGATGCACGAGTCGATCCGCTCGGTCTCGACCTTCATGAAGCTCAGGCGGCCGCCCAGCTCCGGCGAGGAGGAGGATTCCGGAACGAAGTAGACCAGCTTCGCCAGCGAGCCGCCGATGTCGATGGCCATGTGCGAGACGACGGCGCGGTGGTTCGGCAGGCGGATGTCTTTGGTATGGTGGGAGGAGTCGAGGTGGTCGCGGTCGAGGTGGTCGCGGTCGAGGTCGTTCAGGACGGTCCCGTTCGGGGTGGTGGGTTCATCGTCGACGATGAAGGCGCCTTGGACGTTGATGCGGACGGTGCCTGGGTGGCCGATGACCTGGCTGTCGTCGGCGGGGGGGTTACCGACGGTGAGTTTGGCGGGCGCCTTGCCGGTGGGGACGTCGTCGTCGGCGATGGCGGAGTCTTCTCGCGGGGTCATGGTGGCGAAGGGCGCAACTCGCGAGGCCGCTGGTGGGATGGTGGGGTGGGTGCAAATTTAGGGTATCATGAAACAACAACGGGATCGAACTGAAAATGACTGGAAATGGCTGGAAAGATGCAAAGACTATGACTATGAAGAAGGAGCAGGACGGGGTGGAGGAAATGGATAATACCTCTCCCCATCGTCATGTTGGCGTGGTAGAGTTGTGATGGATTATTCTGCGAAGAATCAATCCCATCCACTGTACACCTTCCCTCCCGCCGGTTGATCGGCAGTACCGCTGCGGAAAAAAGTACCTCGGATCATGGAATTGCTACACGACGAGATTATAGAGGGCCACTCTTAATAGGCGATTATTAAAGGTGAATATTTACGGAGATTCGGTTGGAAGTTGGAACATCCCAAAGTTGAAAGTTGGTTCCCTTGCCCAGCGGCGGCGACATCCCCATGACTCGAGCTTCGGTCCCTCATCCCGTCATTTTGCCGAGTTTGTTCATCGGCTTCAGAAGTCCCGAATTTTCTAACAGGAGCAATTCGGCACGCGACAATGATGGATGATCCCCACGGGGCCGCGGTTGGGTTCAAAACTTATCAGATGGGTGGGTCCCACAAGTCAATAATATCGTATGGAATATTCCCCTACAATTGAATTGAGATTGTAGTCTCTAACCACTTTGAACCCGAGACCTTATGGCCAATCGGCCAGTGCTCACTACTCAGTAGAGGGAGAGAGAGATTCATACGCCCGTTAGGCCTCTCGGCGAGGCCCATGTGGGGAACTACCTAAGCTGGCTAATTACATACATTGGTGCCTTGTGGCCTTGTGGCCTTGTGCCCCCATTTTCTATCTTCGGTCTTCGAACTAACTTAGCTTCTAAGTTATATCTGCGGCTAACTACTCAGTAGAGGGCGGGGCACGTGGCAGAGATTGATTCTGAATTTCTGGTCCGTGTCATGTGACCTGAGCTACAGCTTGCACGTGACCCTGAAATGAGGCGATGCCACTGCTAAGCCACAAAGCGCTGCGTACGCCACATTCCACTCACAAGGGCCTTGCAAGGGTCTAGCGGGGTCCTTTAGACACAACGTCATCGCCTTGTGCCGCGGGTCATGTCAGTCTGCTGATTGCGTGTTGTGTGTTGCGTTCCTCTCCATGCCATTCCATCAACATCTGGTTCTTGTAATACTTGATATTGGGCTTTCATAATCCTTTATAACGTTTGATAAACCTTCCCACTTCACTCAAAACCTGCATTTCGAAAGCTACAAACAATTCACTTACTATTCAAAACAACGCATCCGACGCCCACTCCAACCATGTCGTCCACCGTCAACGTCGAGAACATCTCGCATCAAACCACCGAGAAGGAAGTCCGCGACTTCTTTTCTTTCTGCGGTAAAATCTCCTCTCTCTCTGTCAAACCCGTCTCCAAAGACGCGAAATCCCCTCAATCCGCCACCGTCACCTTCGAGAAGGAGACCGCCGCCAAAACCGCCCTCCTCCTCGACAACACCCAGCTCGGCCCGTCCCAAGTCCACGTCGCCAGCACCGCATCCATTGACGACCTCGCCGGCGATCGCGCCACCTCCGAACCCCTCGAGCCTACCGAAGCCGGCGACGTTGCCCAAGAGGATAAGCCCCGCGCCCGCATCCTTGCCGAGTATCTCGCCCAAGGCTACGTCCTCAGCGACAAGGCCATCGAGAAAGGCATCGCCCTGGACAAGCAACATGGCGTCTCCGAGCGCTTCCAGAAAGCCCTCCATGACTTCGACACCCGCTTCCACGCCAGCGAGCGCGCCCAGGCAGCCGACCAGCGCCTCGGCGTGTCCACTAAGGGCGGCGCGGCCTGGCGCGGCCTGACCTCCTACTTCGAGAAGGCGCTGGAAACCCCGACCGGCCAGCGGCTGCGGAAGTTCTACGAGGACACGAACAAACAGGTCATGGATGTCCACGGCGAGGCGAAGCACCTAGCGAGCCTCAAGAAGGAGGAATCGCCGGCCGGCGACGCCGAGAAGGCGGGGGTGGAGACGGTCCCTGGTACCGATCGGACGAAGTGCAATTGCGGCGCGAACGCGGCCGGCTGCCCGTGTCCCGCAGGGAAATGCTCCTGCACGAACTGTGCGAAGAATCCAGAGGCCCCCTCCCTAGAGAAACCGTCTGCTGGTGCTTCCACCACCGAGAAGGCTTAGGAATGAGAAAATTGGCGCTAAAAAAGGATTTGATTACGGGCAAACAAGCAATGAGATATCGCGAGGGATGACGTTTTCGCTTTTTTATGATAATCCACGACTGCTTTTTGCCGACTGATCGGTTTCGTCGTACGCTTCGTAGCACTTAGTTACCAAATCGATTGCTGCGGGTCTGTGCTCCATACATTTCGATCTCATGATTCCCATCTTATATTATAATGTGATCAAATAACTCGTAGTCAGAAGGAAGCGAGTATAGACCGTTCTTTCAGACATATGGTTTTGTATATATTAAGGATAGTCTAGGTAGGCTTACTCGACAGCCTGGACGTACACATCTCTAAAACCCTTCCCCTTCCTCAATTGCTTGATCGTCGCCCTTACCCAATGTGCTCTAGAAATCCTCTTGGCATAATGGAGGTGAAAACGTGCTAGATGTAGTTCAACACATACATTCTAGACCAAGGACCTTTCGCAGTGCTCTTAGTGGCCAAAGGATCGTTGAGAGCCCTCAAGCCGTACGTTAAACCATTGTCACTTGTTGTATATGGGAATGCCCACGTCCGACTCTCATCTCATACTGGATCGAAAGAAGTAGGAGATAGGTTCTCTCAAGACTTGAATAACGTTGCCTTAGAGTTGAGGTGTTTTCTGTTGTTCTGTTGTTCTGTTGTTCTGTTGTTCTGTTGTTCTGTTGTTCTGTTGTTCTGTTGTTCTGTTGTTCTGTTGTTCTGTTGTTCTGTT